CCCCCCTCCCAACTCCTTCTCCTCCCACTTCTCTTCCCTTTCTCTTCCACTTACTTTGCAAAGCTTGTTGTTAACCAGTGCAAGTACATATGTACACTAAAAGGGGCGTTTACAGATAGGGGACCGTTAGACTAGAAATTACAATTCTCCTTTTCAAGCGTTTATTAAAAAGCTTACATAAATTCTGATATCTAGAATATCTTGAGTTTATTATCAGTTGAATATCTTGAGTTTATAAGCAGCTGAACAACTTGAGTATATAAGCAGCTAAAATCTAAATATCTTGAGTTTTAGAAGCAGCTGAATATCTTGAGTAAATAAGCAGCTGAATATATTGAGTTAAATAATATGAACTCGAGGATGATGTAGTGTAGATGCATGCAGCTGCCTTGTATTAGCATTAGGGACAAGATGGCTTTTTGTCGTGATTTTTAAATCTTTACCGAAAACAAATGAAATAGGTAAAAATCACAACAACAAAATATTTTCCCTAATGAGCAAAGAAGACTGTTTGATTTAAATTTATTCAATAAGTTTCTATTGATTTATAATAAATAAGAACCTTCTATAGTGTATACACAAGATTTTGAAATTGTGAGTTTAAAGTTCTTAAAAAATTGAATAAAAATCTTATCTTTAGGAGAAGAGAAGGCGGGAGGAGATGAAGCACAGAGCGTCAGTATCTCCGAGTAAAATGAAGGAAGAAGAGAGGAACCTGATCAAGGGATCAGAGAACAAGCACAAAGATCCTAAGGTAAGCAATCATAATTTTATATACATTTTTGCATTATTTTAGAGTTAGGTTAAGACAATTTCAGGACCGAGCGCTGCGGCTAGGACAGGCTAAGGGGCCGAGCACCGCGGCTAGGACAGGCTAGGAGGCCAACGTGTTAAATGTTAGACGCATTTACGAAAATTATTGGANGATATGAGCCTCAGTGGGGTATGTCAATATTCTTATTATGCTCTCTGCCCTACTCCCCCCCCCACCCCCCTGTACATTGCATCTTCTCCCTTTTTTCTCTCCTAATTAGATGATGGATGAAAAATATTTAATTGAAAGCAATTAAATGCAAATATGATTTAATTAGAACCTTTAAAAGAAATAGATACAAGGGTTTTAGTGTCATTCATACATTTTATAATTAAATTGAACGTTTAAAAATCAACTAATTAATAATTGTAATTGTAAAATCAACATGTTTAATGTACAGAGTTACCCACAAAGGATGATACTTTAACGACGATCTGTACTTTAAGGACATCAAGGTTTGATTGAGTTCTTTTGTTAGTGTAATATACTATTTTGTTTAGGCCGGAACAAGTTTAGGGTCCCATGAATGTAAGAATTGTAAAAGTTCAAGGAAGACATCCATCCTCTAAGACTGAAAAAGAATTATACTAAACAAATATACTTTTGGGTTTGAAAAATACATATTTTCTTCTAAAAAAAATTAATCGAACAATAAGACATATCATGTGTACTATGTGCAATACATAAAGGAATATAGGTTGTTTGACCGTTCAATATAAAAGTTATTATTATTATTAGCATTATTATTTGTATTATCATTATTATATTAGTTTTAGTATTAGTATTATTTGTTATTCTTTTTATTATTAATATTATGTTTATTTTATTAATTTAATTTATTTATATTATTCAGGCTAAGCTAGCAGGTGTGATTGAACGATTAGCATATCAGACTGGAGATGCCGTTGGTATAGAGATTAGACCTAGTCCATCTATACAGGTAGTCTTTAGGAGGTAGTAGGTCAGGACTAGTTCATCTATACAGGCAGTCATGGAGGAGGTAGTAGGTCAGTTTATGATGGATATTTTTCTCTACATGAGGACATTGAGAGTCACATTTAATTACGCTGATGAATGATGATCTCTTTAAAACAACAGCTAGAATATCTATCTATCTATCTATCTTTTATTACTTCCTGATCACACTTTAATCTGACTAAATAACATGATAAACCATTATCATTTTATCATTTGCGAATGAGATGTGAAACTAGAAGTGTTGATGTAGAAAAATACATCAAAATTATTAATTAAACTTCAGTTGAACATTTACTTTAGTGACAGAGCCATTACCTTTAAATAAAATATAAAATACAGTGTTTTTTCCAATTAAAAATCGGCCATTAAAAAATCTAATGTTTTTAATTTAGAATATATTTTAGGAGAAGAAGATTTCAAGTTTAAAGTTGACTTTCAAGAACATGGATGGATCAACTTCTAGCTCCAGGTAAATGGATTACCGATACAATTTAATGAACTAGAGAGGTCGCTCAACTCCATACCGCCGGTTCAATTTCTGAATCACCGAATTTAATGATATTGATCTTCAACTTTGAATCGGTGATTCGAGATTTGAACCTGTGGTAGGTAGTTTAGCGACCTAGCTCAAATTTACTGAATTCGGTTCCTGTTGCAAGAAATAGTCGATTACAGTAGGTACGATGGTTCTAGTTCTGGATCCATGTTTAAATTATGAAATACTGTAGGTACGATGGTTCAAGTTCTGGATCCATGTTTAAATTATAAATTACTGTAGGTACGATGGTTCTAGTTCTGGATCCATGTTTAAATTATAAATTACTGTAGGTACGATGGTTCTAGTTCTGGATCCGTGTTTGAATTATAAATTACTGTAGGTATAATGGTTCTAGTTTTTGATCCTAGTTTAAATTATAAATTACAGTAGGTACGATGGTTCTAGTTCTTGATCCATGTTTAAATTATACATTAATGCAGGTACGATGGTTCAAGTTCTGGTTCCATGTTAAAATTATAAATTACTGTAGGTACGATGGTTCTAGTTCTGGTTCCATGTTTAAATTATAAATTACTGTAGGTACGATGGTTCTAGTTCTGGTTCCATGTTAAAATTATAAATTACTGTAGGTACGATCGTTCTAGTTCTGGTTCCATGTTAAAATTATAAATTACTGTAGGTACGATGGTTCAAGTTCTGGTTCCATGTTAAAATTATAAATTACTGTAGGTACGATGGTTCAAGCTCGGGATCCATGTTTAAATTATGAATTTCTTTAGGTACGATGGTTCAAGTTCTAGATCCATGTTTAAATTATAAATTACTGTAGGTACGATGGTTCAAATTCTGGATCCATGTTTGAATTACTGTAGGTACGATGGTTAAAGCTCCAAATCCTAGTTGAAATTATAAATTACCATAGGTACGATGGTTCAAGTTCTGGATCCAAGTTTAACAGCTCTAAACCTGATATAAAGCTCAGCAAGTTAAACCACAGCTCTAGTAAATCTCTTCATAAAATTACAGGTTAGCATACTATAAAACGAAAACTTTTCACTTGTTAACAATATTAGGACAAAGCAAGTACACAAAGGCCAAAAAGACCAAGGCCTATAGATTATTTTATCTGATCTGGTTTAGTCACTTGAGTTTGGAAATGGTCGTTAGGAAGTCCCTAATACTCTGATTTGATGATATAATAAATACTCTGATTTGATGATATAATAGTGATAATAATAAGTTTACATTATTCCGTAGAAATCAAGAATATATGTTTTTTTTTACGAATATCAGAGGCGTATATAGGGAGAGGAGAGGGGGGGGGGGTAGTCAAAGAGACTTAAGCTTAAACTTCTAATCCTTGTAGAGAGGTTTATAATTGAGCGAGGACCCGGGAAGATGGAGGATAAGATGAAGAATGATGATGGAGAAGAGGGAAGAAAAGACAACATTTGTTCTCCCTCATCACTTCATGGATCAAGGTAAAACTATCTTCTCCAAAAATCTCATTTTTTGCCTGATTGATTGATTGAATTGTTGGTTATACTGTGCAGGGTATGGATTGAATGATTCAAAATTTAATGATTAACTGATTAATTTATTGATTGAACTGATAGGTTTACCGATTAACTAATTCAGTAGTTGGTCAATATTCTAATTAACTGATGAAATTACTACATAATTTAGCGATTATCTAATAGATTTACTAATAGATTTAAGATTACTGATTGACTACTTTAGTGTTATATTGATTTGATTTTTCCTCAGTTGGTTGATTGATTGAATGATTAAAAGATTGATGATTGATGTTAATGATTTATTAATGATTGATTGATGAATTACTGATTGATTGATGATTGATTGATTGATATTAATTATAATTAACTTAGCCCTGATGTGATCACTGATGTACTACCTGATGGTATGCTTGATGATCCTGTTCTCCTGACAGACTAGATTATTCCTTCTAATATTCACCAAGTAAGATGCTTTCTCTGATTCATATACAGTGGTAGGCGATTATTTAAATACATGGAAGACGACTTTATATTCCAATTTTGATTTATACCAAGCTGTTAAACAGCATGGATACACATATACAAAGAAGTTAAGTGAAGCTGTCAATTAAAAAGCTTCTCTTTGATTACATATTAACTTGTAATTTGATAAAATCTTGTTAACAATTAGAACTTAAATAAAAAGTGTCTTCATTATATTGATATAATCGCCTACCACTGTACCTAAAAAGAATATTTAGTTCTCTAAGTGTTAAGATGGTTTTTGTTGTTGAGTACATTTAATTGAAAATCTATATTTTTCTGTATTATTTAATTGATTAATTTGTATCTGAACCTTTACAAAGTTTACATCAAACCTGAAATTGTTCAGTATTAATATTTCAAACTTTTTAGCTTTGGTCAATTGTTGATAATTTGCAAAATTGTTCTAAATGCATATTATTATAATATCAAATTATCTTAGGAAACCGCTATGTTTAGATTCAATTACAGGTTTCCATATTGTTGTATTTTTATACTTGAACAGATGGTGTACCATATCAGATTTGCTTTTATAAAACTTTTAATTTTGAAGTATTAACACTGTACAGTATACATTACGGTACGTGGATTAATCCCGTATTTACATGACCGTGTACAAGTCTGATGTATTTGTTTGTGTACGTTTTCTACTTTCAAATTTTGTAATTTTCTCGTCACTATTTTCAGATTAATATGGTGATACGACAAACAGATACATATATACTAGAATAATGTTCAATTGAAATTTCTTCAGGTAGGCTTTAAACACAGATATAAACAAGATTCAGTTTAATGAAATAAAATAGAAATAATAATAACCTAAAACATCATCAAGAGAGAACTAGTAAATCTAAGAAATCTTGTTCATGAACAGATTTGTTGGTTTGTGAACAAGACCAAGATGAACTAGTGCATCTAAGAATTCTTGTTCATGAACAGATTTGTAGGTTTTTGAAGAAGACCAAGATAAACTTATAAATACAAGAATACTTGTTCCATGGGCATATTTGTTGGTTTGTGAACAAGACCAAGATAAACTATTAAATGCAAGAATTCTTGTTCATGAACATATTTGTTGGTTTTTTAACAAGACCAAGATAAACTATTAAATACAAGAATTCTTGTTTATGAACATATTTGTTGGTTTTTTAACAAGACCAAGATAAGCTAATAAATACAAGAATTCTTGTTCATGAACATATTTGTAGGTTTGTGAACAAGACTAAGATAAACTATTAAATACAAGAATTCTTGTTCATGAACATATTTGTAGGTTGGTGAACAAGACTAAGATAAACTAATAAATACAAGAATTCTTGTTCATGAACACATTTGTTGGTTTTTTAACAAGACCAAAATAAGCTAATAAATACAAGAATTCTTGTTTATGAACATATTTGAAGGTTTGTGAACAAGATCAAGATTAACAAGTAAATACAAGAATTCTTGTTCATGAACATATTTGTAGGTTTGTGAACAAGATCAAGATAAACAAGGAAATACAAGGATTCTCGTTCATGAACATATTTGTAGGTTTGTGAACAAGATCAAGATAAACAAGTAAATACAAGAATTCTTGTTCATGAACATATTTGTAGGTTTGTGAACAAAATCAAGATAAACAAGGAAATACAAGGATTCTCGTTCATGAACATATTTGTAGGTTTGTGAACAAGATCAAGATCAACAAGTAAATACAATAATTCTTGTTCATGAACATATTTGTAGGTTTGTGAACAAGACTAAGATAAACTATTAAATACAAGAATTATTGTTAATGAACATATTTGTAGGTTTGTGAACAAGATCAAGATAAACTAATAAATACAGGAATTATTGTTAATGAACATATTTGTAGGTTTGTGAACAAGATCAAGATAAAATCAAGTATTGTGACGAATGAACATTTTCTCCCAGATAATGGAGGATGGAGAGTCGGTTACTGGGTCGGAGGGAACCATCAGGTATTCACAATCAGGGGGGCTTAGAGGGCGCCGGTGGTAAACCGGCGGTTGATGTTTTAAGGGGTCTCAGTCATTAGTGGGGCCGGCGCTGAGCCGCCTCNCTCCTCCCTAATATTGAATTTTGACAATTTCCTGTGAATAACCATGAATATAAGATTCTTGTAATCCGATGTAAAGGAAATTAATTAGATAGAATCTATGAGAATAAGGGTTTATTCATGTTTTGCGTGGGTTTATTCATGTTTTACGTTGACGCATGATGGCAGTTGAAAAGTATGTAAGGGTTTTATTCTGATTCAACTGACTTGTTGATTTTTAAAATCTATAAAACACAATTCTTTAAAGTATAGAAATGTAATTGTTAATTATTTTTTTAAAGGCACAAAAAGGTATAATCTCAATCCCCTTTAATTGCTTACTTTGCAACGTTGTCCTGGACAAATTCCTGAATTCGCCCCTTTCCTTAAGGTTCTTTTTCTCTAGATCAATGTCTCAAAATTAATAATATCTTTCTAAGATCGAAGCTCAAAAGAACTCGTTTTACATTATAATATTTGAATAGAACCTTTGATCTTTCAAGAAATTATTTATTTCTTTTCTCTCCTGAAACTTCAACAATGGGCATTGAAAATATCCAATTTTTCTTAATTTAAGAAAAAAATCCAATTATAATATAAACTATTTTAGGGAGTCTGATTCTGAATATTCTCTACATAGTCCGGGAGAAAGGTAGGAACTAACGATATAAAACTTTAACCTTTAAGGCTGAAGGAGGGGGGGGGGGCTCTCCCTTCCAGTATTTTCTGGTCTAAAGTAGTTTTTAATACGTTTTTTTAATGATAAGAAACCTCCAGCACATAAACCATTAAAGTAGTATTTTTTCGTAAGATCTGGCCTTCAAAAGTGTGCTATGAATTAACATGATTGCATTTATTTGTGGGGGCTCTGAGGTCTCAAAATAATGATAACAAAATTAAAGCAGATTCTTTGTACAAAGAAAATGTACTTCTGGTAGCCTGTTTAGGATTTACCTTTTCATATAAAATTATATAAAACTTTTTTAAATTATAGAAAGTTTTATAAAAGTATAAAAAAAATTGAAAAATTAAAGAAAATTTGATAAAATTATAGAAACTTTTATAAAATTATAGAAAATTTGATAAAATTATAGAAAATTTGAGAAAATTATAGAGAATTTAATAAAATTATAGAAAATTCGATAAAATTATAGAAAATTTGATAAAACTATAGAGAATTTGATAAAATTATAGAAATTTGATAAAATTATAGAAAATTTGATAAAATTATAGAAAATTTGATAAAACTATAGAGAATTTGATAAAATTATAGAAATTTGATAAAATTATAGAAATTTGATAAAATTATAGAAAATTTGATAAAATTATAGAAAATTTGATAAAATTATAGAAAATTTGAAATAAATTATAGAGAATTTGATAAAATTATAGAAAATTTGATAAAATTATAGAAAATTTGATAAAACTATAGAGAATTTGATAAAATTATAGAAATTTGATAAAATCATAGAAAATTTGATAAAATTATAGAGAATTTGATAAAATTATAGAAATTTGATAAAATTATAGAAAATTTGATAAAGTTTTGACTGTCATTAGAGTAAAACTGGTCTCATATCACTGTAAAGCTTTTTATAAGATTATCTTGAGATTCAATTGCAAAAGAACAAAAGGAAATATAATTGAGTTTTTTTTACCTTAATTATAAAACTTGAGAAACTTCCAGGACCTAAGGGATTTCTATTTATATTATATTCATTTTCACAACTTTTACAGGATTCTTCCTGCACAGCGCCAGGTAACGCCAACTATTTTTATGTACTATGCAGTGCTTAGGATCCGGATCCGTTGGATCTGCAAGATTTTGGCTTCCTGGATCCGGATCCGCAAAAACATACGGATCCACGGATCTGGATTTAAGGGACAACTTATCAGCCAAAAACTGCAAAAAAAAACTTTTTTACTCTCTAACCCCAAATCTGAACTATTGAAAAAAAAATTATAACATTTTTCTGATTTCTGAATAGTTCATCAAGTTTTTGCATAAAGAAGTGAAAAAAAGATAAATGCTGGTTTGTTAAAAAAAATTCAGTAAATCTTTAAGAAATGGCCTGGATTCGGATTTGGATCTGGATCCATTTTTTCCCAGTGCGTAACCAGGATCCGGATCCACATCAAAATTAAATGGATCTTAGGCACTGGTACTATGAATCTACTTTCAAGGAGTTTCATGTTCGATTCACATCAGTACTACTTAGGGATTTTTCTCAATTTTTTTTTTTTATCGCATAAATCCACAAGTCACTTATATCAGAGAAACCACTATTGAAAACGATCAATTTCTGATAGAAGAACAGGGATATCTTTTACAGTTTAGTTCATATGAAGGTTTAAAGGGTATCATATATGTAAACCGCTTGATATTGAGAGTCACTTGAAACTAAATTCACAGTCAGTCCTATTTTGCCTCCAAACAAACAAAATAAATGATTTATTGCAGTGCTTAGGATCCATTTAATTTTGATGCGGATCCGGATCCAGATCCTGGATCCGCACTGGAAAAAAATGAATCCGGATCCGGGTCATTTCTTTAAGATTTACTGAATTTTTTTAACAAAAAATAACTTAAAAATTTTTTCATTTTTTTTTTTCGTTTATTTTTATTCTAAAACTTGATGAACCATTCAGAAATGAAGAAATTTTTATGATCTCTCTTTTTTCAAAAGTTCAGATTTGGGTTTCAGAAGTAAAAAATTTTTTTTGCAGTTTTTGGTTGATATTTTACCCCTTGGATCCGGATCCGTGGATCCGCATATTTTTGCGGATCCGGATCCAGGAAGCCAAAATGTTACGGATCCAACGGATCCGGATCCTAGGCACTGATTTATTGTATTGATTTAGATTACCCCTGCATGAGGCTGTATTCCGAAATGATATTGCTGGGTTAGCAGCACTGCTTAGAGATGCTAAAGTACAGACTTCAAACACACAGGTTTATACCACAGTTTTGACACACCAGATACCAGCTGTTGTTTTATATCTACTAGGCTCTTCTGTACACACAGGTTTATACAACAGTTTTGGCCCACCAGATAACAGCTGCTGTTTTTATATCTACTAGGTTCTTCTGTACACACAGGTTTATACCACAGTTTTGACACATCAGCTACCAGCTGCTGTTTTTATATCTACTAGGCTCTTCTGTACACACAGGTTTATACCAAAGTTTTGGCACACCAGATAACAGTTGTTGTTTTTATATCTACTAGGCTCTTCTGTACACACAGGTTTATGCAACAGTTTTGACACATCAGCTACCAGCTGTTTTTTTATACCACAGTTTTGACACCAGCTAACAGCTGCTGTTTTATATCTACTAGGCTCTTCTGTACACACAGGTTTATACCACAGTTTTGACACACCAGCTAACAGCTGCTGTTTTTATATCTACTAGGCTCTTCTAGCAACAATTTAAGGGGTTAAATGTTGCTTTAGCGACAATTTTTTTTTCGCGATTGTGAAACTAACAATTCACAGGATTTTTCTGTAAACCTTGATAAATTTTTAAAATTTAATAAATCAACATTTTTTCAGGCAAAATTGTTTTTTTTTTCTATCCATCCTCAAATCTTCACTGGGGTCACGTGAATTGCCAGGATAAATTTGGACCCGATTGGTTCAGCCGTTTTGACGTTTATAAAATGCAAACAGACAGAGCTGGAAACTTTAGAATAAAAACCTTTAATCCCAACTACTTAATCCGAATATCCACTGTGGAAACTTTTAATTTTAGTCCTTAATCCACTCTTTTTCTCTCTCTTTGGATATTTGTACATTGTTTTCTTCAATGAGAGGGAAGGAATATAGTTCGTAAATTGTATTGACCAATTGACCAATTCGACCAATGAAAGCCTTGAAAATAAATTCTTGAAAATAAATGAGAGAAATCCGCAATTTTTAACAAATAAAGAATTTGTTGTCGGCCATTTTGTAAATTAATCGGTGAAGAAAAATATTAAATAATACGTTTGAGATTCTTTTTTAACCAATTTTAAGTAATGTATTAATAAATAAATGGGTGAGGAATTAAGTGAAGGCCCTTCCAGTCCAATCTGGCGTTCTTAGAATCCAATTTGTTGATCTAAATATTTAATCTCGAGATTAGCAAAAACAGAAGATTAAGTATTAATCCTGATATCCACCATTCTAAAGTTCCCAGCTCAGCTCAGATAGTATACTGATAGTATACATAAGATATAGATAAAATAGATGAAACATGCTTTATTTTATCTTGAATTTAAAGTGACAGAAAAATCGTTAAAATTGTGTTGAGAAGTAGAAATAGTTCAACACAAATGTTTTACATCTGATAAATATAAAATATTTATTTAAGATTTATTTAAGTTTGAATATGAAAAGATCAACACAAATATATAAATAGAAATATTTTATATGCCATTTTCTACCATGATTTTTTTATGTGGCATAAATAAAAATGCTGAATTTTATCAAGGAAAAAATCTAAATCCGTGTTTAATTTTTAGATCCAAGTCGGGTGTAAGGATAAGCATGGGAACACAGCGCTACATCTAGCGGTGATGTTAGGAAATAGTAAATGTGTCCAGCTTCTCCTATCCCACGGTGCTCCGGTCAAACTAAAGAATAAGGTAAAAGGCTGAACAGATTTTATGAATAAAGAACACTATTGTTCCGCCCGCATAATTATGTTGCATAAAACGCGTTGGGTCACAACTACGTACTGGGTACACTAGACGGGCTTGTAAACGGTACAACAGGCAATCCATGTACCGGTTGGGATCATCCAACTTTTGAACTTAGATGAGGAGGAAATTAACATTGCCGAGGGTTGCCAAGACCTTGTTGTTGTTGTTGTTGGGTTGGGAGGCTAAACTTTGTATTATTATGTTTAGATCAAAGTAACAAATCACAATAATGAATTGAGAACTTGTGAATGAATCAAATGCAAATAACTTCGTGACCTTCTCATTGAAGTACAGAATACAGATATCTGGAAAATTTCTACAAATTATCATTTTTTGGAAATTTTATGATTTTATATTTTTCAGCATGGTTGGTCGCCTCTAGCAGAAGCAATTAGGAAATTATTTTTTTCAAACTAAATTAAAAAATTAATCTTGAAATATTTCAGGAGTAGAAATTTACAATAATGATGCTCAAGATTTGGATGAGTTAAATTTTTTAACTTTTCGTTTTTTTCTTTAAATTTTTAGAAATGATTTTTGCTGTAAAATCCAGATGTCATGAAAACTAAAAGGATTGATAAAAATCTTTAAAAAAATTGCATTAAAAATACGAGAGAAAACAAATCTTTTAAAATAAAATATTCACTTAATTCATCTATTTTTATGTTTGAAATATTTTGACAAAACATTTTTCTCAGTAGTGCAAATATTCCAGCAGAATATTTGACCAACAGGAAAATTTATTTTAAGAAAAAAAAATATTGAAATCAGTTACGGAGATCGTCCAACAATATCAAGCTTACTCAGGTGGGGTTCAATCTAAAGTTATCTATCTATTTATATAAAAATATTGAAATCAGTTACGGAGATCGTCCAACAATATCAAGCTTACTCAGGTGGGGTTCAATCTAAAGTTATCTATCTATTTATATAAAAATATTGAAATCAGTTACGGAGATCGTCCAACAATATCAAGCTTACTCAGGTAGGGTTCAATCTAAAGTTATCTATCTATTTATATAAAAATATTGAAATCAGTTACGGAGATCGTCCAACAATATCAAGCTTACTCAGGTTGGGTTCAATCTAAAGTTATCTATCTATTTATGTAAAGTTGTAATCTCTGTTTGTCCGATCATGACTCAGGAACCCCTGGACCGATTTGCCTCAAATTTTGATTGGGGAACTCGGGAGAGCGGCTTGGTTTTGAGATTCGTAGTTGGGTGGGTTACTTTTGACTGTAAAAATAGCTAAAATCCTAATAAACGACAAGGTACGGTTCCCAAGCTATATATAAACTTAATACTTATAATTGTAACCCTGTTTGTCTGTCTGTTTGTTCGTCCGATCATAACTCATGTACCTTTCGACCGATTTGCCTCAAATTTTAATTGGGGAACTCGTCCGACCCACGAGAATGTTCTTAGCTTGGTTTAGAGACTAACTTGAGTGGGTTGACTTTTAAAAGGAAAAAAGCGCGGGTAAACGGCGGGAGTAACTATGAGCACCCTGGGCAACGCTGGGTTCTCAAGCTAGTAATAATAATATTATTGATATTTTTGTGAAGATAATAATAAAAACTTATCAACATTCGATATATATCGTGGAAGGAAATCCTTGGATAAAATAAAAATGCGCATCATGGATCAGAATGTTAGCAGCTATCAGCCATAACAACAACAAAAATCTATATTTTTATTGCAAATCTTAAGAGTTGAATCAGTAGAGATCCGTAAAACTTCCTATAAAACAATTTTTTAGGATAAAATAAAGGTTTTAGAAGAATAAATTCAGAGATTTTTTTATAACAGTGAATCAGGTTGAAAATGGGTCAAATTCTTAGCAGCCACTGGCGTAGTTTCAAGTGACTCTCCATGCAAAGATGACATTGCCCGATTCACAACGATTCCACTGAAACCTTTATCTGATCACTAATGTGGAAGATATTGTCGTTTTTTCTAGGTTTAAATGTTTAAAATAGTTTTCAAAGATATAAACATTGATTCATGATTTATGCTTGTGAATCGGGCATTTGAGGGTCACTTGTAATTATGCTTACAGTCCCTTTAAAACAGCGCTATTCAATACATCATTTCATTGTTTTAGACGTTTAAAGAGACAATCCAAGCTGGAGCTGGAAACCAGACGACCTGATATGATCAAGGAACATCCCCTTTAAATGTCTGACATGATTTAAAAAATAATTAATTTCTGGTCAAAATCATAGATGTTTGTTTAAGACATTCTCTGTTAACCATGAATTCTTCATTGTTCAATTTTGTTTGATCATCAATCATCAATCATGTGAATTCTAATATAAATTTTATATAAGTTAAAAGTTGACAGAAAATTGTCTCATTATTAAATTTTTATGAAAAGATGTATCATGCAACTTAAATATTTCACGACCTAGAGATTTTTAAAGAATTCATCGACCAGCAATTTTTGCCTAAGCATGGTTTTCATGTTATTGATTTACTCTCTAACTCTATCTTTAATAATTAGAATAAAGGGATTTTTTACTCTCTAACTAGATCTTAAATAATTAGAATAAAGGAATGGTTTAATCTCAGGGTTTACGTGACCTCGGGGATTTTTACCTGGAGATAAAATGGGATTTTACCTCCTGGGTACCCCTGGTATCTAGGATACTACCCTCGGATATATGCAGGATTAGTAAAAAGGTAATCAGATCGTTTAAAAGGTTAACGCAAGATTAGTAAAAAGGTAATTATAACGTGTAAAGAGTTACAAGAGTAAAAAGGTGATCATAACGTTTAAAAGGTTAACGGCAGGATTAGTAAAAAGGTAATCATAACGTTTAAAGGGTTAAAGGCAGTATTAGTAAAAAGATAATTAAACGTTTAAAGGGTTAAAGGCAGGATTAATAAAAAGGTAATCACAACGCTTAAAGGGTTTAAGTTTAAAGGGTTAAAGGCAGGATTAGTAAAAAGGTAATTATAACGTTTAAAGGGTTAAAGGCACGGTTAGTAAAAATATAATTATAACGTTAAAAAGGGTTAAGGACAGGATTAGTAAAAAGATAATCATAACGTTTAAAGGGTTAAAGGCAGTATTAGTAAAAAGATAATTAAAAGTTTAAAGGGTTAAAGGCAGGATTAATAAAAAGGTAATTATAACGTGTAAAGAGTTAAAGGCAGGATTAGTAAAAAGGTAATTATAAAGTGTAAAGGGTTAAAGGCAGGATTAGTAAAAAGGTAATCATAACGTTTAAATGGTTAAAGGCAGGATTAGTTAAAAGGTAATTATAACGTAAAAAGGTTTAAAGGGACTGTTGGTGTAATTACAATGGAACCTTGGTTGCCTGATTTATAGCGTTACCACTTCCACTTATTTGAGTGACAATCAGGAAGATCTTCGTTTTTATTTTTTAAAACTAAATTAATTCTGTTACTTTCCATGTTATGTTATGTTATAATTCAAATTTTTGTTCGAAACGGTGATATTTTTGATTGTCAGTAAATTATTCATTTTATATTAAAAATATAAATTGAAATTATAACTTGGATTTCAAATACGTATAAGGATCTTAGATTTTAGATTAACTCTATAAGTTTAAGCGACCCTCCATTTATAGACTGGAATGTCAGGTTCACAATGAAACCGTTTAAAGTTTCGCATAATCAAGAATGAATGAGATATCAATGTTTTAATTTGATTATTTTCAATTGTGATTTCTCAATATAGGTCAGAACTGAACACGCGATGCCTTCCACATTTTAAATTAGATAAAGGTTTAAAGGCACCTTTGTGAATCGGACAACGCATTCTTTTCATGAAAGCGCACTTTAAATTATTCCTAGGGAGCTTGTGTACGACTGGACACTACTCTGGTGGATTTCAATGACATGAAATGGGTCCGAGGAGATATTGCTTTCATCTACAACGGAGATGCTGGTCCTGATGCTGATCTAGCAGTTCTAGACAACCAGGTACACCATCATCCCTTCCGGCACCACTCATTTAGGGCTGGTTGCTGGTCCTGATGCTGATCTAGCAGTTCTAGACAACCAGGTACACCATCATCCCTACAGGCACCACTCATTTAGGGATAGTTGCTGGTCCTGATACTGATCTAGCAGTTCTAGACAACCAGGTACACCATCATCCCTTCCGGCACCACTCATTTAGGGCTAGTTGCTGGTCCTGATACTGATCTAGCAGTTCTAGACAACCAGGTACACCATCATCCCTTCCGACACCACTCATTTAGAGCTAGTTGTTGCACTGTTACATGGGTGTATACTGTATATTTTTCACAATTTATGATTTTGGATGAGATGGGAAAAAATAAAAAATTAAATGGCAACTTTTTTTATTCATTTTGACACTGTTTACCCAAAAATTCATTGATGGTCCCTTAAAAATAGTTAATTATTCGCAATTCAGTTAATAAAACCCTAAGCATCAACATTTTCAGGAGGGGGTTGATTTTATACACTCCTGAGTTGTTATTTTCTTATTCTTAAACCATTTCTGGCCTTCTGGAGGCCTCACAATTAAGCTGAGAAGTTCAACAGATTGCGAAGTATATTCTACACGATGCAAAATGTCAAATTTGACAAAAATTTTCGGCCTAAACGTTTCGAATGGTTTTATTTCTTCTGTCAATATCAGTATTGCCTAAAAGCTGTAGTAAATGCTCTACGTCTAGAAATACTTATAGGTCGCTACCAATCCAGGTACAACTCAAACCCTCTCATTAATCCAAGAGGCATATGAACTATTCTGCTCGACAACTTTATCTGTATCAATTTCCAATCTATATCTTCCAACTGTCGTTTATTTTGTTTTCTATTTTAAAGGTTAAGTTAATGAACGTATTTACAAGTTATATACAAGCGTAGTTAAGCTAATCACAATACAGGTTTGACTTAGTTATATACATGCGTAGCTAGGTTAGGTTAATCGCAATACAAGTTTTGTGTAGCTATTTTTAAGCGCATTTAGATTTACAGACAATGTACAACGTAATATATCTAGATATGATCAGGTTTACAAATATAGAGACTTCTACGATATTAGTTTCAAAGCTATCTTGCAGAGAATACAATTTTGTATTAGAGTTGACTTTTGAAAGCTAAAAACTTTAAATGTTTGAAAAAATGTCCGCGGTGTATATTTTTATTATGTATATAATAATTCCCCCCACACCCGCACAGTGTAGTAACCATAAAGGGGTTTTGTACTTAAAAATATTCTGATCAAAAACAAATACTTAATATTTTGAATTTTAGGCTGGAGTATATCAGTATGTTCGGAAACAAGAGTCGGAACTTGAGTTTGAGGTAATTTTTGTTCAATAATTTAAAAACATTATTTGAAAAAGTTCTCAGTAAAAATACGAATGAAGTTTTTAATTAAATATGTAAGTTATAAGTTTGATAAATTAGAACATAAACTGATTATAACCTGAGTTACTGATTGATTGAATAAATGAATGGGTGAATGAATAAATTAACGAAAGGATGAAAAAATGAATGGATGAATAAATGATTTATTGATTGATTTAATGATTAGGACGAGGTTGACCTGCTGATGTCGAGCGATATAGTTGCCGGTCAACTTTCAACCAAACCAATATCTTTTTCCAGGTATTAAAGATAACATTCATTAAATTAAAATATATATATATATATATTGAAAGAATTTTAGGAATTTAATTAAGTCTTAGTTAATAATAATTAACTAAATAGTTTAAATTGTTTAGAGAAAAATCTGGCTGGATTTGGAAACAGGACAAAGCAGCGAAGGTAATATTTTATTTTTTAACTGAAACAATTTTTTTTACTTTTATAAAACCTTCGTTAACCTAAAAGAAAATTAGAATTTTTTTGATTAATTTTTATATATATTTCATTTATTTTATTTCAGCTGGGGAACTATATGTCAGATTTCTATAGTGTTAACGGAATGGTTCTTGAATCTAGGCAAAATACAGTTTAGAAAATATTCAAGCCAATTAACCAACCAGTTACTTTTGCACTAAGGGACTGTCTGATCAAAATATGAACTAGATATCCATATTTTGCTTTAAAAATTGTTAATTTTCATTTGTGGTTTCTCCGTGTAAGAGACTGGTTCACTTTTTGATTCAAAAACAATGGAGAAATTAGCAGGATTGAAAACTTGTTAGGCTAGAAAATTACGTTATCTTCTACATTTTTGATCAGATTAAAGGGTAACTTAGTTAATCAGGATTGTCCGTCTTGAAATGGTAGGTGACTTGAAATCACGCCTACAGTCCCTTTATTTCTTCCTTTTTCTATATTTACCACCACCTCTACCTACTGTCCCTTTAGTCCATCCTTTTTCTGTATTTACCACCACCTCTACCTACAGTCCCTTTATTCCTTCCTTTTTCTGGATTGACCACCACCTCTACCTACAGTCCCTTTAGTCCATCCTTTTTCTGGATTTACCACCACCTCTACCTACAGTCCCTTTATTTCTTCTGAAAAATAATAAGCAGAAAACATTTTTCTCTCCCTTATTGCTTGTTTTCTGATCCAAAACTGTTTGTTTTAAAGGAAACGTAGGGAACACCTTTCTGCTGAGGATTTACAAAAGAATAAAGCTTTACTAGACAGCTTCTCGAGAGGAACTCCAGTCGGTAAATTAACTTTATTAATAATAAATTAATAATAAAAACAGGGTCTGTCTCAAAATATGAGATTTCATGGATTTATTATTATTATCATTATTATTATCATCATTATCTATCAGTATCATTATCAGTATCATTATCAGTATCAGTATCAGTATCAGTATCAGTATCGGTATCAGTATCAGTATCGGTATCAGTATCGGTATCAGTATCAGTATCAGTATCAGTATCAGTATCAGTATCAGTATCAGTATCAGTATCAGTATCAGTATCAGTATCAGTATCAGTATCAGTATCAGTATCAGTATCAGTATCAGTATCCGTATCCGTATCCGTATCCGTATCCGTATCCGTATCCGTATCCGTATCAGTATCAGTATCAGTATCCGTATCAGTATCAGTATCAGTATCCGTATCCGTATCCGTATCCGTATCCGTATCAGTATCCGTATCCGTATCCGTATCAGTATCAGTATCAGTATCAGTATCAGTATCAGTATCAGTATCAGTATCCATTCACCACCCCAGTTTTCTGGTTCTCACTGAACTATTCTAGATGAGGAGACGGAAGAATGTGAACGACGTGAGTCTCTACCTCCTCCTCAACCATCAGGGATATCCTGGAGGGAGTATATTGAATCTACTCCAGGATCCCTACCTGCTCTAGGCACATCATCATCAACTTTAGATAATAGTTTCAGAACAAAACTCTTACTATATATATACTTTCTCCAAAACTAATTTTTCTTCCCCCAACCCCCTTCGCCTTCTTTGAAATATTTTTTTCCCGCTATAGCTATAAATGCTTAAAAAACGTTACACTACACTTTTTTAGGGTTTTATTCGATGAATTGGGGAAAATAAGATTTTTGGGTAAAATCAGTGAATTTTTTGGTAAAATCAATGAATTTTTTGGGTAAAATCAATGAATTTTTAGGTAAAATTAGTGAAATTTTTGGGTAAAATCAATGAATTTTGGGGTAAAATCAATGAAATTTTGGGTTAAATCAATGAATTTTGGGTAAATAGTATCAAAAGAATAAAGAAAAAATGCCTTTTGATTTCCAATGTTTCAGTTTTTCCACCCAATTCAATCCGAAGTATGAAAAATTTACACCCCTAACTTCAACGCAAACCACAGATGTTGTTCAATTACTTCTGAAAATTTACTGGATTACAGAGGTCGCTGAACTTCATACAACCGGTTTAAATCATCATGACAGCTACTTTAATTTTGACAATTAATCTTGAAGGATTGTCAAAGTTACTTCAACCTAATTTATATTTGGTATTTTTCCCCAGCTTCTTTGATTGCATCCGGTTGTACTTAGTCAAACAAGAAAATTCCTTGATGAAAACGAAGTAAACTTTTCCGTCTTCACTGTTTATCAAGTTTTTACTGTTTGTTTGCATAAAATAAACTCTAGTTGTCATAATTAAATTATTAATTATAAATCAGTGCTGGTACTTTTTGACAAAGACGATCTCGAATTCGTCAATAAACTCCTATGTTTATTAGGAGACCCTTCCTTTAAACATGATGTTTTGATAGGACGGAAACATGTGACGAAATCCAGTAAAAAAGCTTTCAAAGCAACCATTGCCATGTCAGAGGACTTTCCTATGAAGGTAAACATATAATTACATATTTTACAGTGGCACCCATTAAACTGTGGAGTTAGAAACCGACATTTGAGCAATCTTATGTGTATTTAAAGTTCTTATAAAGCAGAATGTTTAGCAGTAACTGTAATATAAGTTTATGTGTCCTACTGCCTTTATTAAGAAACGCCACTTCAAGATAGGGTATGGAAGAAGGACGTTCTTAGAGCTTTGATTTCATTGAATTTGTTTAGGTGAATAGTTTAGATAGATATAATTCTTGTTGCTAGCTGTACTTGAAGTTATTGCTCCGCAATTCAAACATTTTATAGAGGAATATATATTTTTAGCTGGATATGCTGCTAGCTGTTCTTAAAGTTACTGCTCATTAATTCAAACATGTTATAGAGCAATATATATTTTTAGGTGGATATGCCGCTAGCTGTTCTTAAAGTTACTGCTCACTAATTTAATCATTTTATAGAGCAATATATATTTTTAGGTTGATACGCTGCTAGCTGTTCTTGAAGTTATTGCTCATTAATTTTATTTTTAGGTTGATACGCTGCTAGCTGTTCTTGAAGTTATTGCTCATTAATTTAATCATTTTATAGAGCAATATATATTTTTAGGTGGATATGCTGCTAGCTGTACTTGAAGTTATTGCTCATTAATTCAAACATTTTATAGAGGAATATATTTTTTTAGGTGGATATGCTGCTAGCTGTTCTTGAAGTTATTGCTCATTAATTCAAACATGTTATAGGGGAATATATATTTTTAGGTGGTTATGCTGCTAGCTGTACTTGAAGTTATTGCTCCGCAATTCAAACATTTTATAGAGCAATATATATTTTTAGGTGGATATGCTGCTAGCTGTACTTGAAGTTATTGCTCATAATTCAAACATTTTATAGAGGAATAAATATTTTTAGGTGGATATGCTGCTAGCTGTTCTTGAAGTTATTGCTCATTAATTCAAACATTTTATAGAGGAATAAATATTTTAGGTAGATATGCTGCTAGCTGTACTTGAAGTTATTTCTCCGCAATTCAAACATTTTATAGAGGAATATATATTTTTAGCTGGATATGCTGCTAGCTGTTCTTGAAGTTATTGCTCCGCAATTCAAACATTTTATAGAGGAATATATATTTTTAGGTGGATATGCTGCTAGCTGTACTTGAAGTTATTGCTCCGCAATTCAAACATTTTAATAAATTAAAAGAATTTGTTACAATGCGACTACCACATGGGTTTCCTGTGCAGGTAAGATTATCTAAAGAATATTTAAATTTAAAATCATAAATTAATTGATTACAATAAATTCGTAAAAGAAAAATTTCACTCCAGTTGGAGAGTAATTTTATTTTTTGGTTCAGTTTTTAAAACCTAATTGAATTATATCAAATCTTAAAAATTTATTGCTGTGCCAACAAAGCATAATATAATAACTAATTCATCATTAATTTCGCGTTTTTGTTAAAATTTTTTTCTATTCAATGGTAAGACATCAAAATTAAATTTCTAGGTCACAATTAAGTTTTCATCTCTTGTGGGTAACTTCTATTTGTTTCTTCTATTTTTATCTTTGCTTAAGAACAATAGTTTATAAAAAGTGTTTTTTTTAAATGTCAATTTTCAAACTAAACTCCATAATTTTCATTAGCTTTTGAGAGAACTGAGATATCTTTAAAAATGATGGAACTATTAGTGTTTAAAAGTTGATATTAAAAGTTGACCATCCTGCATTACAGGTGAATATCCCTGTACTGCCAACTGTGTCGGCCAAAGTCACGTTTACGGACTTTGCTGTCAGAGAGGACCTAGAGGATTCATTATTTGTCATCCCTTCACACTATACTCATGATCCTACCAGGTATACTCATGATCCCTTCACACTAACTCATGATCCTACCAGGTAAACTCATGATCCCTTCACACTATACTCATGATCCTACCAGGTAAACTCATGATCCCTTCACACTATACTCATGATCCTACCAGGTAAACTCATGATCCCTTCACACTTTACTCATGATCCTACCAGGTATACTCATGATCCCTTCACACTATACTCATGATCCTACCAGGTATACTCATGATCCCTTCACACTATACTCTTGATCCTACCAGGTATACTACAGATCCCATCACACTATACTCATGATCCCAATTGGAATACTCATGATCCCTTCACACTTTTCTCATGATCCTATTAGGTTATATTCATGATCCCTTCACATTATACTCATGATCCTACCAATCATACTTATAATCACTTCACACACTTCACTTCACATAGTCTATAGAAATATTCAATTCATCCATATCTATATTGACAAAAAAGACATTTTACAAATGAATTGATTTTTTGCCACAAACTCAAATTTTCTAATCCCTATATCTTTGTAATCTAATGGTCTAAACCTTATATATTTCAAACTTATACTAATTGATCTTCCCGAATTTGTAATTTGAAATATCAAAGGTCTATGACATCTGGCCGCGAAGATATAAAGATTAGCAAAATAGAGTTTGTGACAAAACTCAATTCCTTTGTCCTGGTAAACGTTTGAAATGAGTTTTGTTTAGGTTTCCTGATTTGTGACATAGCGATGAATTGAGTTTAGTTCTTGTAGATTCTAGAAACAAGATACTTGTCAAACCAAGCCGCAAACTGCATTCCTTCAGGTTAGTTCTTATAGATTACATAGTTTCGTTTACCAATGACTTTTTGTAGACATTTATGTAGACATTCTTATTAGCTTAGTTTTATTAGAGATGACATTCATTCTTATTAGGTTTGTTAACCACGTAACTTTCAGTAGACGACTCTTCTTAGGTTAATTTTTGTAGATGACATTCATTCTTCATTGGTGTGTTAACCACGTAACTTTCAGTAGAAGATCTTAGATTAATTTTTGTAGATGACATTCATTCTTATTAGGTTTGTTAACCACGTAACTTTCAGTAGACGACTCTTCTTAGGTTAATTTTTGTAGATGACATTCATTCTTCATAGGCTTGGAAACCACATGACTTTGTATAGACGGCACTCTTCATAGGTTAATTTTAGTAAATGACATTCATTCTTCATTGTTAACCACAGGGCTTTATGTAGACGGCACTCTTCATAGGTCAATTTAGTAAATGACATTCATTCTTCATTGTTGATCACATGACTTTATGTAGACGACACTCTTCATAGGTCAATTTAGTAAATGACATTCATTCTTCATTGTTAACCACAAAGCTTTATGTAGACGACACTCTTCATAGGTCAATTTAGTAAATGACATTCATTCTTCATTGTTAATCACTGGGCTTTATGTAGACGACACTCTTCATAGGTCAATTTAGTAAATGACATTCATTCTTCATTGTTAACCACAGGGCTTTATGTAGATGACACTCTTCATAGGTCAATTTAGTAAATGACATTCATTCTTCATTGTTGATCACATGACTTTATGTAGACGACACTCTTCATAGGTCAATTTAGTAAATTACATTCATTCTTCATTGTTAACTACAGGGCTTTATGTAGATGACACTCTTCATAGGTCAATTTAGTAAATGACATTCATTCTTCATTGTTGATCACATGACTTTATGTAGACGACACTCTTATTAGGTTAATTTAGTAAATGACATTCATTCTTCTTAGGTTTGTTAACCACATGACAAAAATGTCAGACAAATACTTTCAGTGAAGCTTAGATATCTCCTTTGTTGTTGGCTATACTGACTATTTGCCAGATGTACATAGAAAACTAGTTGTAGCCTATACTAATGATTATCAACAAAAAACTGGTTTGAGTAAAGCAAGTTATGTATGATCCTTGGGGGGGGGGGAATAGGGCTCTTGAATTGCAGTACAATAATTGAGGTGATAAAACTTGAGATAGAAATTCTAAACCTTCTTATGATTCGAAACATCCCTAAATCCGCGTAACAAGTAGATAGTCATAAAAGAATTAGTAGACGAAATGCTTTTATGTGGAAGACACTCCTTGTAGTGTTTGTTAATGACACTCATTTATGGATTATGCCAGGTTTTTTAGACGACATGCCATTATGTAATAAGTAGGTCACATTTCTTTTTGGTCAATTATAGAAGACGACATTTTAAAGCAATAATACTGATTTACTGATTTTACAAACTAGTGATCGTTCAGATGTGATTTTACAATCATATATTAATCTTTAATCTATTAAGAAATTTATTTACCATTTGTCATTATAAGAAGTTATTCATCTTTTCTAAGTTTATTATTTATCTAGCATTCACTCATTACCTTGTACGAATAGAAATTGAATTTTTCAATTTTATGCTTAAAGGTTAATTAATTGTCCGTTTAGTTTGTATGAGAGTTTGCAGTGTACTGAACCTGCAGAGTTTCCGTGTGTGGATATTCCTATACAGTCAAACTTTGGTTCTCTTTATGGTTCTTCCATAGCGGTTCTATTCGACTTCGAGACTTTTCATCAATAGCGGTTCTATTCGACTTCGAGACTTTTCATCAATAGCGGTTCTATTCGACTCCGAGACAGTTCATCTATAGCGGTTCTATTCGACTTCGAGACTTTTCAGCAATAGCGGTTCTATTCGACTCCGAGACAGTTCATCTATAGCGGTACTTTTCGACTTCGAGACAATTCATCAGCGGTTCTATTCGACTTCGAGACAATTTATCAATAATAGTTCTTTTCGACTTCAACACAATTTATCTATAGCGGTTCTATTCGACTTCGAGACAATTCATCAATAGCGGTTCTTTTCGACTTCGAGACAATTCATCAATAGCGGTTCTATTCGACTAAGAGACAGTTCATCAATAGCGGTTCTTTTCGACTTCGAGACAATTCATCAATAACAGTTCTTTTCGACTTCAAGACAATATATCTATAGCGGTTCTATTCGAATTCGAGACAATTCATCAATAACGGTTCTTTTCGACTCCAAGACAGTTCATCAATAGCGGTTCTATTCTACTCCGAGACAGTTCATCTATAGCAGTTCTATTCGACTTCGAGACTTTTCATCAATAGCGGTTCTATTCGACTTCGAGACTTTTCATCAATAGCGGTTCTATTCGACTTCGAGACGATTCATCAATAGCGGTTCTATTCGACTTCGAGACAATTCATCAATAACAGTTTTAATACAATAGTTATTGTAAAATCTTAATTTCTCTTATGGAATAAGCAGTCCATTATCCCGCGCGTTCTAAAGTTGAAAATTGTCTCTCATGGAATTGCAGTGCAATTAAATTTAACTTTACTGTAGATTTTTTTCGTTTGTTAAGAAAATTTTTTTTATGTATAATTTAAAAATGTTTCCAACAATAACAATTAACAATGGTTGTTTTATTAATCTCAAGCCAATAATTCTTGCACTGCTTAGGATCCGGATCAACAATATTTTGGCTTTGGATCATCTCAATTGACAATTCTGTTATCTAATTAGAGATTATTAAACAAATTTTGTCTCTGAAATTGTTCATCGAGTTTAAGCTTATAAATCCGCGAAAAAAAAGAAAAAAAGTTAACTCATTATAATTTGCATAGTTTAAAGAAATTTTCTTGACCAGAATCCGGATCTGCATCAAAATTAAATGTATCCTAAGCTACCTATGCATTGATTGCATGTACATCATTGAATGTCCACATTCAGGAGCGTTAATTAAAAGTACAGGGATATTTAGATTTAGTTAGATCCGTAATATTATGTATGCGTTATATGATTCCAATGGCATTAATTGTGACATTAATAATCGTTTTTTAAGTTATTTTTGACCGAGGTTCAGCCCAGACTTCTACTAAATTATGCTTGTTTGTTTATCTGTTTGTTTGTTAGTAAAAAGTAAATGTTTTAAGGGATAGGATAATTTATCAGCAGTACCTTAATTTCTATCTGATGTTTCTGTCAGAGATTGCCATGAACCATTCGTCAGGAATCTACCAAATTTCTTGAAAGGTTTTTTAGAAACAAAAATGGAAATGAAAATCCATCCTTAATGTGACTTTATAACATCCTGTATCCCCTTTGAAATTTTGAACATTCTTTTTAAATTATAGAATAGAAAAAAAGATATTCAAAATCTCAATTATTCCTATGGCTGAAAATTTAGACTTTTTAAACAATTCAAATGTTTTAAGTTTTTTATTGGAATTAAAATAGATTTTCCTCTTATCCCACTTATTTGACACTGTACAGTGTATAATGTGCATTGTAAAGAGTGTACACTGTACAATACACTGCGGTACAGTGTACACTGTACAGCAACAATTTTGGAATAAGCATTCAAGATTCAAGTGGGTCATCACTTGAAAATGTAATATTTTTTAGGCCTTAAATTCCTTCAGCTTAGTCACAATAAAACTAAGTACCTTAACTAAAAAAACATAAGTTTTTTGTCTTATAAGTAGTTTAAAAGTGTTGAATAATGAATATGTATAATATTGTAACGGGAAAATGTTCCTAAAATATCTATTTTGTCGTATTATGGAATTACTATTTGTCAAAAGAAACAAAGTATAACCATACTTCAAATAATTTATGTCATGTTTTTTGTTACCATTGATTATCTTCAGAAGGGCCTGTAGTAAATTCAAGTAATGTTTGACAACATATGCCTAGTGCTTACTGCTTAGCCAGTCATATGATCTTGAAATTAGTTTTATTGAAATAGTAGTCATACAAACACAGCAAAACAATCTTAACAATATTACAGTATAGGAAGATAAATTCTACATTCATAATTTTAGAAAGTAGAAATTGTCTTACATGCACTATGATATGGTGAAAATAGTTCTACATGCACTATGATATGGTGAAAATAGTTCTACATGCACTATGATATGGTGAAAATAGTTCTAAATGCACTAGGATATGGTGAAAATAGTTCTTCATGCACTATGATATGGTGAAAATAGTTCTACATGCACTATGATATGGTGAAAATAGTTCTACATGCACTATGATATGGTGAAAATAGTTCTACATGCACTAGGATATGGTGAAAATAGTTCTTCATGCACTATGTTATGCTTAAAATAGTTCTACATGCACCATGATATGGTGAAAATAGTTCTACATGCACTTTTATATGGTAAAAATAGTTCTACATGCACTATGATATGGTGAAAGTAGTTCTAAATGCACTTTGATATGGTGAAAGTAGTTCTAAATGCACTACAACACAGGAGATGTAGTCCTACATTCACTACATAATGATAGTCCTACATTCACTGCAATATGAGTACCGAGTAGTCTTTTATGCACTACATTGTAGTTAATATGAATTTAATCTTTTGAAAGTTTTAAAAATTATTTTATTTAGATTATTTAAATTTTTGTGATTTAAACATTCCATTTGTTGAAATTAGTTAATAATTGTTAGAATGATAGTTCTGAAAGAAAAGAAACAATTTTAAGGAACAAACTTTTTTGCAAAAAAATTAAGCATATTAATTAAATTTGAAATCTCTTTGAAGGATTGTTTATAAATGATTAAATTGTATTTATTATTTTATTTATTTATTAACAATATTTACAATTAAAAATAATTTCAAAAATAATGCTTAACAAATAAAAATTGTGAAATGATTTAAATCTTGTAACTTATAGTATAACGTATGTATAATTATATTGTACAGTAAATAATGTATATAAACAATGAATTTGCACTCTAGGTTTACCTTTTCAGTAAAAATGTTGAAGCCAAGAGTACTCACAGAGGTATTAGCCCAGGTAATTAAGATAAACTTGTAGGCTGAGTGAATAAAGGATTTTATATACCTCCTTTATTTATCAACAGAATTTAACATAAACATTTTTCAATCAGTTTTTGAAAGATAATTTCTCGACCAACAAATAGTACCGGGGTTTTTTCTATGAACCAAAAATATTTTCGAATTTGTTCTAATATTTCAATTGTTTTCATCCAAAAATAATATTATTATTACAACTATTTTAGAAGATGACTACTACAAAAGAATAATGAATAAACCAATGCTAATTTGTTAGTAAAAGATTGAAGGGAGAAACTGAAATAACTGTCACGCCTCTCGTTTCCATACTCGCGCGTGTATAAGCTCAATGTAAAATTGCATTTTTCCGACATTTTATTTTAAAATAAATTAAAACAATGAACAATAAAAAGCTAAAAACTATTGCTAGCTTATATATTTAATTATTATACGTTTGTTTAAGGTTACAATGGATGGAGTTGAAAGCAGCTTTCTTTTTAAGGTTGATGGTACTCTTATAGCACACTACTGTCTTAATTCAAGTAGGTTCCCTTTAATCTCTATATATCTCATAGTACAGTCTTAATTCAAGTAGGTTCTCTTTAATCTCTATATCTCTCATAGCACACTACTGTCTTAATTCAAGTAGGTTCCCTTTAATCTCTTTATATCTCTTATAGCACACTACTGTCTTAATTCAAGTAGGTTCCCTTTAATCTCTAAATCTCTCATAACACACTACTGTCTTAATTCAAGTAGGTTCCCTATATCTCTCATAGCACATTACTGTCTTAATTTAAGTAGGTTCCCTTTAATATCTCATAGTACACTACTGTCTAAATTCAAGTAGGTTCCTTTTAATCTCTATATCTCTCATAGTACACTACTGTCTTAATTCAAGTAGGTTCCCTTTAATCTCTATATATCTCTCATACACTACCGTCTTAATTCAAGTAGGTTCCCTTTAATCTCTATATCTCTCATAGTACATTACTGTCTTAATTTAAGTAGGTTCCCTTTATTCTCTATATCTCTTATAGCAGACTACTGTCTTAATTTAAGTAGGTTCCCTTTAATCTCTATATCTCTCATAGTACACTACTGTCTTAATTCAAGTAGGTTCCCTTTAATCTCTATATCTCTCATAGTACACTACTGTCTTAATTCAAGTAGGTTCCTTTTAATCTCTATATATCTCATAGTACACTACTGTCTTAATTCAAGTAGGTTCCGTTTAATCTCTATATCTCTCATAGTACACTACTGTCTTAATTTAAGTAGGTTCTCTTTAATCTCTATATATCTCTCATAGCTCACTACTGTCTTAATTTAAGTAGGTTCCCTTTAATCTCTATATATCTCTCATAGTACTCTGCTGTCTTAATTTAAGTAGGTTCCTATTCCTATTGTTCAAGGAATAGATATTAACTATTTATATTGTCCAAGGAATAGATATAAACTATTTATATTGTACAAGGAACATGTAAAATCTATTTTTATTGTCTAACAACTTTTTGCTGTAAAAATATCAATTTATTTCAGCTCAAAATTTTGAACAATATTTTTTTTAAAATAAAAATGAATAAATTTCCAATTTGTAAACGTTTGGTTCAGCCTAGATTGTCAACTCCACCTAACAGATAATTATTTATTAATAAGAAAACATCCAGTTGATGGTCAAGAAACGGATGATTTTAATTATGATGTTAAGTTACTGCCTGGGTAGTGAGTAGTTCTCCTACTTTCTTCCACGAGGGGGAGCTCTCATTTGCTGGACGTTGGCCTGACATTTTTAAAACAAAATACATTGAAGAAAACTGTTAAACTGGGGCGTATATTGATCAGAATCACTCCTAATGTTGGGGGNTCACCAGCAGAAGGCAAGTTTTTTCATTCTTTTTGATACTTTTTCCCAAAAATGTTTACTCATTTTCACCCAAGGATCGAGCGAGAGAGAAAACTTAAATAAATGTTTTCTCTGATAAAGGTTTAAGGTACCCATTGTGAATCAGACATGTGAATCTTAACATATATTTTTCAAAATGATAAATATATCAGATTTGCCTTTTACTCTTCCCCTTTTCCCTTTCTTCCCTTCCCTTTTTAAATTTTTCCCTAAACCCTTAATAAGCTAGTATAGCTTATATTTTAAGGGGCTAACAGAAAAATATGAATGAATAGTGAACAGGTATGGGGAAATAAAAGTATGTTTCTTTGTTTGATTCAATAATTTTTTATTTTACCTGTGGTCCGTTAAAACCTCCAGGTCCAGGTCCAGGTCCACTAAAACATAATTCCAATAATTGTATTTGCATTTGCATTTGCATTTGCATTTGCATTTGCATTTGCATTTGCAAGAAAAAATGTTAAATATCACCTTTTATATTTGTTCAATGTTGGATAAAAATAAAAATGTTCAAACAACAAAATTCAATATTTGAAACAAAAACTTCTTCTTTTTAAAGATATTTAAAAATCTTGCACAATTAGCAAGATTCAAAATTTTTCAGTCTGAATAAAGAAAGTATTCAGTACAAAATCAATGAAAAAGGTTAATGAAACATTTGTGTTTTATCAATAAACGTTCAAAATTGGAAAGATTAAAATTGCTTTACATTTTTGTATCTAAGGGGAAGGATCATTGACTGCTAAAGTAACTGCGACATTTGAGTAGAGGTTGGCAATGTTTTTCAATATTATTTTATAATCGAAAATATTACCCAGCATTTCTTCCATCAGGATAAACTAAGGGATAGAAGGTTTCTCCATCTGACCACCAAAGACTTAAAAGAAATTTTAAACTTTGAAAAGAATTATTTTGAAAGGAAACTATCATTATCATTATGATTGTACAGTAGAATCAAGGAAGGAAATGTCAGATATTCGTTGCATTCCAGGTCTATTAAAGACAAAATATCTGTTACAGGAGAGCTTAGATAGCTTCAAGATGTTTTTACAAAGCTTTCATGTCCTTAAATTTATACGTAGTATATGTTATTTGAAGTGTAATTTCAAGTGTAATTTCAAGTGTAATATCAAGTGTAAAATCAAGTGTAATTTCAAGTGTAATTTCAAGTGTAATTTCAAGTGTAATTTCAAGTGTAATTTCAAGTGTAATTTCAAGTGTAATTTCAAGTTTAATTTAAAGTGTAATTTAAAGTGTAATTTCAAGTTTAATTTTAAGTGTAATTTTAAGTGTAATTTCAAGTGACCCTTAATGCAAAGATGGCATTGCCCGATTATTAAGGATTTCCTTGAAGTTTAAACCTAAAACATGTCATTTTTGTAGAGAAACCACAATTGAAAAAAAATCAGTTCAAAATTTAAAATTATAAACATTGATGCTTGAACAAACAAGGTGCTAAGGGTATTGTTGTGAATCAGGCATTACTGTATTTGCTTGGAGGTTTTTTTTAAATTACGCTTACAGTCCCTCTAAGATGCCAGTTGGTGGAGTCACTAGAGTGGTCAACATCATAATTCATGAAACGAATTTAATCAAAAATATTGTTTGGCTAAATTTTTCTTAATTTAATTAAGTGTTTAGTTTAATTATTTTGAGGATGAAAACTTAAAGATATAAGATTTCACGTTTCAATATCTTGTCATTAACATAACTGTCTCAGTATTGTTTTTGTCTGTAATTATATTTTAGCTGCTTCTGTACTCATTTCTTGCCTTTACTGTACTCATTTCTTGCCTTTACTGTACTCATTTCCTGCCTTTACTGTACTCATTTCCTGCCTTTACTGTACGCATTTCTTGTCTGCATTTATTTTTTAGCTGTACCTGTACTGCAAGCAGTATCTGTCTGCACTTACATTCTAGCTGTAGCTGTACTCATTTCATGCTTCTACTTGATTTTAGTTTTTGATTTTATTTCTTTTCTTTTCATTATTTTTTGGGTTAATGTCCTGCCTTGATGTTAGGTACTTAAAGGCATTTTCCAAAGTGGCAACTTTCCAAGTCTATCTTAGACATAGCACTTTGCCCCCAAGCCTTTTCTAGTCGCAGCGCTTGGCCCCTTAGCCTATTCTAGCCACAGCATGAGGCTTTCATTGCTGCTTGCGGCACTTCAAAAGACCTAACCTAACCTTTGGGAAGTTCTAGCTGTACCTGAACTTATTTCCTGTCAGGGAAGTTCTAGCTGTACCTGAACTTATTTCCTGCTAGGGAAGTTCTAGCTGTACTTGAACTTATTTCCTGTCAAGGAAGTTCTAGCTGTACCTGAACTGATTTCCTGTCAAGGAAGTTCTAGCTGTACCTGAACTGATTTCCTGTCAAGGAAGTTCTAGCTGTACCTGAACTGATTTCCTGTCAAGGAAGTTCTAGCTGTACCTGAACTGATTTCCTGTCAAGGAAGTTCTAGCTGTACCTGAACTGATTTCCTGCCAGGGAAGTTCTAGCTGTACCTGAACTGATTTCCTGCCAGGGAAGTTCTAGCTGTACCTGAACTTATTTCCTGTCAAGGAAGTTCTAGCTGTACCTGAACTTATTTCCTGTCAAGGAAGTTCTAGCTGTACCTGTACTTATTTCCTGCCAGTATTTACCTGTACACTTTTTCTTGTGCTTGTACTGAACACATCATTGTCATGATTAGACAAAATAACCGTGCAATTAGCCTAGAGAAAATATTAACTCAAATATTTCAAATACTAACTTAAACTAATTACTTTTTTATTGTTTTAAACGATTTTGACTAAGATCAAAAGCTTTGAACAATCAAGATATCTTATAATAAAAAAGGATTACATTTTTTTCTCTGTTAAACTCCTAGTAACGAAGCAATGTTCTGAAGAACTGAATGAAACTAGATATTTTAATAAGAAAAGAAATAAATTTTTAATTGTTTTATTATTAAATAGAACTTCCAATTATAAAAATAATATTTTCAAACTATATAAGAAAATCAAATTGTTTGCAGGGAGGAAAATAGAAGTAGAAACTAGATGAAATTAATAGAGAATAATATTAAAACCTTGCTGATGAGTTGACTTGAATGCCCCATTTTCAGTAGAATGTGATTGTGCAGGATGTATTTTGATCATATCTGTATAATAGTAAATAAGTAAATAACTTGTGAAGTTGTGGAAAAAGAAGATGTTTTAAAGAAAAATTTGGCAGACAAATGTCTTTTTTAGGTCCAACAGATCCTAGAGTTGGTTCAGCCATAGCCAGCAATATTTGGTCTATTTATCACAAGGTATAAAATAAAATATTTACCCTTCAATCCAGATAAGAGACTTACTACTGTACTAAATCCAGAGACCTTAATTGATTTGTCTCAATATTGAGTTTTTCATTGAACTTAAATAGACTTAATGCTGGGACTAATTTTCTTTGAGTTGAGTATAGTTTAAAAATCAATTAAAAACTTCTAATAACTTACCAAGTTGAGACTAATTAATGATACAGAACTCAAATTTAAGGTTTTAAAACTGGCCTCTCACTATCAGAATTATTTTTTTTTTCAGAATGGGCGGGGTAGCTTGGACGAGGATAAGTTACAGATGGTTCTAATGGAGAATCAGGGAGGGAGGATAGTCATTAAACATGTTAATAACCTAGTTATTTGTCTCTGCTCTAATACAAGGTATAGAACCATTATTTATGTTGATATACCAATACATGTTCACAATATCATAGCAATAAAGGGTATTTTGGAAACTTACCAAGCCAAATGCTGCCAAATGGTGTTTTACAGTATATATATTATGTCAAATTTTGTAAAATAAACATGCTTGCTATTTTTTTTATTTTATTATATCTAATAGTATTTATGTTTAGTGTTGAATTGGGTATGCTGACCAAAAAGTGTGATGCACTAGGGAATTCTTCATTTTGATTTAATGAAATAATTATTTTATTTTATTATTTTATTGAAACACACGCCTTGTGCAATGAACAAAATTCTTATGGAATTATTATTGTTTTTGAAGGTTTTAACAAAATAAAAATGATATTTTCTAATTTGTTTGAAATATGAAGGGTATATATTTTAGTTGAGTACCTGCAGGAACCACTCTCTAAAGTTACTCTCTAACTCTTCATCCCTTATCCAGTTCTCGTTCAATCCCCTACTTCGTTACACTTGTGTCATTGTTCAATACTGGAAGACAATTTATCGTTACAGAGATAAGTGCTGAAATGGTTCCGATGTGAATCATATATATTTATTATTTATACTTAATTGTCATTTAAAATTAAGTTGAGTTAATTCTAGATTCATAATAAGAAAGAGAACACCAACTTTTTGCATTTTTTAACATGTATATTTGATTTGTACCCCAAGATCTTAAATCAGTTTTTGTTCCAAATTTTGTCTTCTTCTGAATGTAGTCATCACTATTAATATGATAAGGTTTTACATTTTATATATTTCAGATAAATGAAACATGACTTGGAACCCTTTAAAGAAACCAGCCCTTTGCCAGAAACCTGCTCTTTCCCAGGAATCAATCAATCAAGCAATCAAGCAAGCAATCAAGCAATCAAGCAAGTAATCAAACAAACAAACAATTATTCAAACAAACGAATAAACAAACACCCAATCAATTATTCAAGCAATCAATTAAACAAGCAAACAGTGAATCAATCAATTAATTGATTCATTGAAATTGAAAACCATGGATATGTTTGATTGATATTTTTGATGGTGTAGGGTTTAGCTTCCTATGAAGATGATAGAATCCTAGAACTAAATTTTGTCAAATTACAGGTATAGAATATTTACATATAATACATAGTTTAAATAAGTTATATTTTAAATTTGATACGCGGCTCAAACATGGTTGGTTCCGCTTGAAACTGTATTCAGTGTTTCGAGTTTTGACCCGGCACTCAATTTGAATCAGTTTTTGGCGGTTCAGCGAAGCGGTTTAAATTCTGTAAATTTGGCCTCATACCTAGTTAGTTATAGTCTTAGTAAACCTATGTAAGTGTATATCATGATTGTACAACGTGCACCGTAATGTACAGGAGCTGGATGAGAACTGTAGGAAGCTGTATAAGGAGGTTAGAAGGAGTGAAGACCTCCTCTCTGGCCTCCACAGAGCCGAGGAAAAGTTGGCCTCCGACCTCTGCAACTCACAACTTTGCCAGGTAAACAATCAGATAAACCATAAAATAGTATTTGCCAGGTAAACAATCAGATAAACCATAAAATAGTATTTGCCAGGTAAACAATCAGGTAACCATAAAATATTATTTGCCAGGTAAACAATCAGATAAACCATAAAATAGTATTTGCCAGGTAAACAATCAGATAAACCATAAAATAGTATTTGCCAGGTAAACAATCAGATAAACCATAAAATAGTATTTGCCAGGTAAACAATCAGATAAACCATAAAACAGTATTTGACGAATGTATAATTTTAGACATGAAATATAACATCATTTCAGGCATTTAGGAGTTCATTTTTAAGCTTCTGTTAAAAATATAAACTTAAGAACCAACAAAGAACACTTTTAAAAATTGCGTAAATGTCGTCTTTATGTCGTCGTTTCATGGGTCTCACTGTAGCTGTAGGTTTGATATTCTAGGATGATGCTGAACTAAAGAGTTAAACTCTTGATATTCTAGGATGATGCTGAACTAAAGAGTTTAACTCTTGATATTCTAGGATGATGCTGAACTAAAGAGTTAAACTCTTAATATTCTAGGATGGTATTGAACTAAAGAGTTTAACTCTTGATATTCTAGGATGATGCTGAGCTAAAGAGTTAAACTCTTAATATTCTAGGATGGTATTGAACTAAAGAGTTTAACTCTTGATATTCTATGATGATGCTGAACTAAAGAGTTTAACTCTTGATATTCTAGGATGATGCTGAACTAAAGAATTAAATTCTTGATATTCTAGGATGATGCTGAACTAAAGAATTAAATTCTTGATATTCTAGGATGATGCTGAACTAAAGAGTTTAACTCTTGATATTCTAGGATGATGCTGAACTAAAGAGTTTTATTCTTGATATTCTAGGATGACGCTGAACTAAAGAGTTTAACTCTTGATATTCTAGGATGATGCTGAACTAAAGAGTTTTATTCTTGATATTCTAGGATGACGCTGAACTAAAGAGTTTAACTCTTGATATTCTAGGATGATGCTGAACCAAAGAATTTTATTCTTGATATTCTAGGATGATGCTGAACTAAAGAGTTTTATTCTTTATATTCTAGGATGATGCTGAACTAAAGAGTTTAACTCTTGATATACTATGATAATTCTGAACTAAGAAGTTTAACTCTTAATATTCTAGGATGATGCTGAACTACAGAGTTTAACTCTTGATATTCTAGGATGATGCTGAACTAAAGAGTTTATCTCTTGATATTCTAGGATGATGCTGAACTAAAGAGTTTAACTCTTAATATTCTAGGATGATGCTGAACTAAAGAGTTTAACTCTTGATATTCTAGGATGATGCTGAACTAAAGAGTTTAACAGATAAGTATGTGAGTGTAGCATATCAGATGGGTCACACTACTGAGGACTTGACAGGAAAATACAATCTTCTTGTTTTCATCTTAGTTCTTCTCAAAATCTATTTCTTAAAAGGAGAAATATTACTTTTCGTGGACTTTCTACATATTTGTTAAATCGTTCAACCTTTTCTACAGTCTACATAATAATCCATATTTTCCAAGTAATGATTATATGGGCATAAGAATTAAGACTTTGCCAAAAACTCGAATTTTCTAATCCCTATATCTTCGCAACTTGATGATATTTCTTTTATTATCTAAGAGAATACATAGTTTAAAATATCTAAGGTCTGTGACATTGAGTTGCAAAGATATCGGGATTAGAATATCTGAATTAATGGCTAAAACTCAATTCCTTCATGCCATTGATTGGCAAGATTAGAAGACCAGAGCTGAAAACTTTAGAATGAGATATCCTAAATCCCAGTTACTTAATCTGAGTATCCAATGGGCACACTTTTGATTTTCTTCTTAAACCGTTATTTCTTGGATAAAGTAGAGAAAAATCAAAAACTTGTTTTAAATTTAGAGAGTCTCTCCCGTTTCTGTTTATAATCTTAAATGGCGCGTAAAATTTCAAATTTATCGGCTTCATGATTGGTTGAATTTTATACAATTTTCAGGATACAAGTACAAGATTAGGTTAGTCTCGATATTAAGAAAAACAGAGGATTAAGCATTAATCTCAATATCCACCATTCTAAAGTTTTCAGCTCTTACCAAACTTTTCTCTTGAGAAAAACGCTATTGTGATGTGTCAATCTCAAATTATACTAAAATAGTATTGTACAGTGTACAGTGTACAGTGTACAGTGTACTGTCCCGACTTCAGATTGTATTTGGTTTGGTAAGACCTGAACCAAAGAACTGTTGTTGATCCGTTGAAGAAACTAACTGGAGAGTTTCCTCATGTTCAGGTTAATTAAATGTGTTCCTATTCTCTACTTATATATATAAACTTTGCTTGTCTGTTTGTTTGTAACTACTGTCATTCCGATTATTCTGGTTATAACTGCATATCTCTACCATAGATTAATAACAATACAGATTGAACACTAGATGTCGCAATTTCAAGATTTAGGGGTTTTTCGTTCACAATAACCCTGAGGCAGAATCCCAAAGGAGTTACGCGCATGCCGCGTTGAATTACAAGACAAAGAGAGATCATACGCGTAACTCATTTGGCATCTGTCTTAAGGTTATTGTGAACGAAAAACCCCTAAATCTTGAAAAGACGACATCTAGTGTTCTATCTGTATTGTTATTAATATATAATCTCTACAACCTCTAGGCTGCCTTGAAGAGAAGGGATCAGACCCTAGCTGAAGTTCTGAGAACGAAAGATAAACTAGAGAAACAGCAGAAACTAGAGAGAACGGGGCAGGTATGAACATCGGTCCAACTTCTATAGGCTGTCAAGAATGATATAATGATATCTTGTTAAAAACTTTTTAAATTTAAAGGGACTGTAAGCGTAATTTCAAGTGACACTCTGTGTTTATATGGCAATGTCCGATTTACAACGAAACCTTAATTTGATCAAAGTGTGGAGGGTTCCGTCGTTTTCGGATTATTAAAGGTTTTAATTCTGAAAATTTCTCCAAGGACTGAACCTCTCTTAACTGAATTGAGAATTTAATTGATTAGTTTAATCAGCCATAGCTTGCTCAACTACCTCTCTCAATTTATAAATTTCTAACTGAGACCAATCAATATTGGTTTGTTTGATCGACATATTTGTATTTCACTTCTTTACATTTTGCTTAATGTAATAAGGTTGCTACATGGTTATTTTATTTAAACGTTGACAGGACGCCAAGGCCCAATAAGTTATCTTATTAACATTGTTTATTTTCCTCAAAATTCTGATTTTTGATTTTATGAAATTGGATTATGGGCGGTTTTATTTCATTTTGTAATAGCTTAGGAGATCTTTACAATTTTTCAAGCAAAGCTAAGAACCTTCCTGTGGTTCTAACGAGTTTACTTTAAGGCAATTCGGGCAAGGGGTTCATGAACTATAATCGGACATACACAAAAACATCAAGACAGACAAACACTTTATAAACAAATATAAATATAAATAATTATTATCTTATCGCATTTGTAGAATATAGTAAAGACTGAACAGATGAAACGATGCTATCAAGCAGCCAAAGAGGATTTTGAAAAGCAAAATAGGTAAAAAAAATATTTGTAACATTTTTGAAAATATTTGTATTGTTTCTGTTTAGGTTATTAGTGCTAGAACTTCCCCAGTTTTATAAGAAAAGAATTGAATATTTTAATCCTTCTCTTCAAGCTCTAATACGCAGTCAGGTTGGTTTCTAGCCTTCACACAAATAAATAAAATAAAGCAAAACAAGAAGAAAAGTTTTGGCACTTTCGGTTTTACACTTCTAGTTGGACATATGGCCACAGCGCCCGGCCCCCTAGTCTACCATTAGCCGCAGCGCTCGACCCAAAAAATTGTCTTTCTTACCTAACCATGAAATAATACAAAATAAACATTTGTCGTATGTCGGAAAGTTAGTAGGTCAGAAGTTCAGTAGAGGGGATGTCTCGTATAGACGATGTAACATTACCCTTGTTAAGCCTAAACTCTATTTCCGCTATGAAAAATTATTATTTGATGAAAGTAATTATTCTTAGGAACTGATCAGTCTCCTCAAATCCTGATATCTTTTCAACCTTTAATATACAGATTCAGTAATGATATTAATGTCGTCTTTGTTATACCAGTGCAAATTTCTGTGGTTAGCAGGCCTATGCTGGGTATTGTAAATGTAATTAATAAAATTTAGTTTTAAAGACCGTTATAAATTATTTTAAAATTTTTTTTTGGGGGGGGGGGGCAAGTCACCTTATTTATATAAAATTTATTTTAGGTTGATTATTATGGAGAGAACACAAGGTTATACACAAACCTAATTACTGGCACTCCAAACTCAAGGGAATTGATATTTTTATATACATATGAAATCCTCCCGTAGTGGTAAAAAAAGTTCTGATCTTTGATAGTAATAACGATAGAGATTTCAGTTTTAATTTCAGTATTAATTTCTTTGATACACATTAGAAAAATATTTTAGTTCAAAACTAGTGTGCTAATTTTAGATAAATATACAAAAATGTAACTTTTGCATTCATTCATACATTTTTTCGGAACAAAATTTGGCAGTAATCTTTAAATTCAATTTTAATTTGCAAAACAAAATTGTGCAAATTGAAGCTAACATATTTTTAAGAAATTGTTGATCAAATGCAACCAAAAAAATGCCTTTTTCAGGCAATTTGACCATTTTTAGTTTTTTATGCCAATTACTTTTCTTGTTAGAAAAAAATCCTTTTTAACTGACAATTTCCTACCATATAGATACTTAATACTTATGTCTTAAAACGACTATGAAAATATTGAAGTTAAATAAATATCTAATTTCCTATGAAGAATGGCTGATGGTAATGGAGGAGAGGGTGTGGAAGGAGGTGGAGGGGCTGGTGGTAGTCAGGGTGTTGATCCTCCAGGTTCAGCAGATCCTGGAGTAGCAGATAAACTAGCAAAGATTAAAGCTCTCTCAATAGTTTAACCATTTATTTTAACCTATAACAGGGACTAAATCTTTAGGTCGGGATAGCGCTCAGCTAATCCCACGGTTTTATATTCCATGGTGTAAACTTTTGATTGTTGAGATAAATGAAAACCTCACAAAAAGATATTTTAAGAAATTGGCTTTAAGAGAGGACAAATAAGATTTATAAACAGACTAAAAATTCAAATTTTTTGACTTAAGATATGATTCCGCAATAAGTAATCTGTTTTTTTAAACTCTGCTCTCATTGGTCAACAGTTTGGAGGTGGGACCAATCAGAGAACAAGATTCACTCATTAAACACGTCTAAAACATTTCGTTCTTCCAGTTTTGGATTACATACAGTGTAGCCCAGAACTTCGGAGTCGTCAAAAGAATTTAGAAAATGTCGTCTTCTGAACCTCATAATGGAATGCTGAAGATATTTATTTTATTTTATTTTCACAATAACTGAGATTTAGGTATAATAGTATTAACCCCATTAAAAATTGTCAAGATGATATTTTATAAATTCTTTGAATGTTTCCAAAGTTTTGGGTTGAACTGTAATATTCTAATTATGAAGATCTCCTCTTCTGAAGTTTTATATGGACTTACGATTCGGAAATTTCAGTCAATTTTTAATTTCTTCTAAAAATATTTATTGCTAAGGCTCAAATTTACAATAAAAATTATGAATTTAGTACAAATAAATAACTTTAAAAGTTAACGTTTTCTACGTAATAAGAAATAGTAAATTTTAACGAGAAAAGAATTTTTTTTACATGCTATGTTATTAGAAATTTACTCTAATTTATATGTATGTATGATGTGCATTTATGTTATCAATAGCAAACAAAGTACATTAAAATAAATTTACATAAAAAATCACTTACAGCGATATCACGCATATTTATGTAATTTTATGTTAACTTTTATGTTAAATAATACAAAATTTTACATAATTTGCTAATTTCTAGGTAAAATTTTGGTTTTCATGTGGGGTGAAATGGTGGTTGTTTCATAATTAATGAAATTAGTTCATTTAAAACCGCGCTAAGTGTGCTGAATTAAATATTTTATATTTTAACTAAGAAGCCTTTTTCTCAGAATTTGCATAAAGTACATATATTTTTATATTTATTTATAATATTACATAGAATAGATATCATTTAAAGTTCTTAAAAGCACTGAAAAGTTTCTAAAGCGGTATTATTTAGAAACATGTCAATAATTATGTTAATATTATGCCTAGCGTTAAAATACTGAAAATGAGAGAAAAAATATGACGATACTTGATTCCTCGACCCCCTGTATTTGTTTACATCTGAAGTATAAAATTGGAATCAGATAAGAATTCTTGTTTAACTAGATCACCAAGATCCCACCAGTTCTATACCATACCTAGAGAACCTGTAGTTTTCATCAGACTCTCAGAGTTCTCGTTCTACCCTGAGAACTTGCAGTTCTAATTTGTACCTTGAGAACCCTTACTTTAAGAACTATCCGGAGAAGGTCATGGCGACCGTAACGAAAACTAGCACAACGCTCAGGAAATAAATAAATAATAAAAACTTAATTGAATATCAAGATTTGTTCAACCTAATTTTACACACTATCTTTATGAAAATAAGCAAAAAAAGAAAAATTTGAATATTTAATTTGGTTTTTAAAATCAGTAAATCTTGAAGAAATATCCATTTTTATGATTGCGGATCCAGAATCGGATCCGATCCGCATGAAACTGACTAGAAATCAGAGTACTGTGCACTGGCTAATTAGAACCAATTGAGTTTAACGAACTAGAATGTGTAGTGAGTAGCTACGTCAATTAAGTTTAACGAACTAGAATTTGTGGTAAGTAGCTACGTCAATAAAGTTGAACGAACTAGAATGTGTAGTGAGTAGCTACGTCAATTAAGTTTAACGAACTATAATGTGTTGTAAGTAGCTACGTCAATTAAGTTCAACGAACTAGAATGTGTAGTAAGTACGTAGCTATGTCAATTGAGTTTGACGAACTAGAATGTGTAGTAAGTAGCTACGTCGATTAAGTTTAACGAACTAGAATGTGTAGTAAGTAGCTATGTACGTCAATTGAAAGAAAATAAAAATTATTTATTGTTTTTTTAGGCTTTCCAGGTTTGGAGAAGAAACAGCAGTATGCACATAGAAAAATAATTGTTTAAAGGGACTGTACACGTATTTTCATTTAAAGAGTGGAATTTTCGAATCACAACGGTACCCTTGAAAGCTTTGTGTGAATAAGATATTTTGGTTTTCCTTTAAAAGTGAAATGCGCATTTTTGCTGCAAAAACAAAGAGGAAATTGTCAGAATTAAACATTTTTGAAGCAAGAAATACGGTAATAGATTCCAGATTATCGACCAAATAACGGTTGTCAGGGTATCGTTTTAAATCGAGCATGCACCTCTTTAAATGGAGGATTAATCAAAATTACAATGACAGTCCCTTTAATTATAAAAATAATCTGTGAAAAATCATTACGAGTTTTTTATCTTCTTGTTAAATTGTCTTCTTTTCAAATTCAGTTTCGAATAATTATGAAAACCAAATAATACTATGGAACTCAGCTAACAATTACTGGTTTAATAGGAATCGTTAATCATTTGTAAATACATGTTAATCGAAAACATTTTTAATTTGAAATACAAATATTCCGCTCGATCATAGATGTCACTATATAATCGTTATTTTGTTATGGTTCTGGATTGCAGAAATATATTCCACAAGAAGATGAAGATGAAAGTATTGACGAATCTGTCCCATTGAGCTATAACATTGGCTTAGAGTATACTACAGGGTGTACCAACAAACATGGAAATTCAGTAACGAATTAGATATCGTCTTTTTAAATAATTCTTTGATTTAGTAAAGTGATACCTACTGAGAAAGCTGTAATCCTTAAGAGTTTCGTCTGCTATGTTTCAATTTGTTTTTAAATTACAGTATACAAACATAGTAAACTTGTCCGTCTTCACTGTTCATCTTGCGGAGACATTATAGATACATCTTAACAGTCTTTTACATTTTTCATAAAATAAACTTTAGCAGACATAATAATATATGGCTTTTGAAATCAGGTATTACAATGCTAATGTATAACCAAAGACGATATCGAATTCGTCACTGAATTCCTATGTTTATTTGGACACTTTGTATCTTGTCCCTTTAATAAAATTCCTGTTTTTATTTTATATGTTTAGGGTTGAAACTATCCAGTCCCTTCTCCAGGGTTTAGAGACCAATCCTCTTCCTCCAAGACGATCCAGGGATCCAAAACTTCCTCATGCTCCTGTCCGCGTACATAATCTTAGGTACTGTACACAATCTTAGGTACTGTACACAATCTTAGATACTGTACACAATCTTTGGTAGTTTACAAAATCTTTGGTAGTGTACACAATCTTTGGTAGTGTACACAATCTTTGGTAGTGTACACATTATTAGGTACTGTACACATTATTAGGTACTGTTCACAATCTTTGGTTCTGCACACAATCTTGGGTATAGTACACAATCTTTGGTACTGTAAACAGTCTTAGGTATTGTACACAATCCTAGGTATTGTAAACAATTTGAGGTATTGTACACAATTTGAGGTATTGTACACAATATTAGGTATTTCACGCAATCTTAGGTACTGTACACAATCTTAGGTACTGTACACAATCTTAGGTATTGTACACAATTCAGGTACTGTACACAATCTTGGGTACTGTACGCAATCTTAGGTAATTCACACAATCTTAGGTATTGTACATCATATTATGTATTGTACATAATCTTAGGTATTGTACAACATTTTAGGTATTGTACATAATCTTAGGCATTGTACACAATCTTTGGTACTGTAAACAAAACGACGAACTTTATTTAAACAATCGTTTAAAAAACCACAGTTGTTAAAAAACGATTTCTTTTAGATCAATTGTTTTTAAAAACAATTTTTTCGTTTTTCGTTTTTCGCGGTCGTTTTCAGAAGGAAACGATCGTTTAAAAAAAAGAAAACGATTCATCCATATCTGTATACTACAACTCCTGCCGGCGATTTAAAAAATTCAAGAAAATACGACTCGGGTCTAAGCCCGCGATTTAAAAACTTCGGCTCGAGTCTTAATTTCTTAAACGCAGCTTTAAGACCCAATCTTAGACCCAACTCTGACGACAGCTTGTGTCACGTGATTGACAGCTGCAAGATCTTAGGCTCGACTTAAGGAGTTAGGCCCAATGAAAATAAAACCGACCTTGGTTGCTTTTAGTGGAGAATAAGGCTCAATGTTGGGTCTTATTCTCATCAAAACTCGGAATGCACCAATTCCAACTATGAAAATCCGCCAAAAACAACATTAAACCGGTTTTATGAACTAAATTCTGTTGAAAAATAGATGCAACTTAAATTCGAAAGCCCGAGCCGTAAATAAGGCTCAACAACAGCTTAGACCCGAGTCGTATTTTCTTGAATTTTTTAAATCGCCGGCTCTGAGCTGGTACAGTTTTTAGCTTATAAATGTTTCGGGGTGAATTAGTAGATAAAATGTTAAATTACAATCTTATCGTGATTATTTTACATTTACTACCCGGTCTTGGGGGGGGGTATACCTTTTAGCCACCCCCCCCCCATTATCCCATTAAAAGATGGAGTTAAGACTAAACTATGTTTATTTGTCTACATCGTAATAATTACAGCCATTTCAAATTGAGCTGAAACCCTCCATTATGGTGAAGACGTCATAAGCTATCTATTCTATTTTATCTAGGAATCTTAAGTTCGTTCTGCACACAATATTAAGTATAATTACAATATTAAACATTTGAATAATAATTAATTGATAATCTCAGTCGTACTTTTTAGGGTTTTAACTTAAAGCAACGAACTCTATAATTCTTGTTATTTTCTACGATTCTTTAACATTTCTTTCTTAATGCAAACCTTTATTAATCTTATACCGTCATAAAGTAAAAGGTTTGTTAAGATCGTTAAACTATAGGTATGTATAATTGAACTCATTCTCTAGTGTGTCCGACAGTGCTTAAAGAAGTAGTTCAATTAGTCATTCTAGTTCAACTACTCCTAACCATCCGACCTCTGTTAAATTTATTGCTCCTCCTAGTGCTGGTGAATGCCGGCTGGCAGTTGAGAATGCTCTTCGGTACTTTCCTCCCAGTACACATGCTGAACTTGCAGAGGAGTTTGCTCAGGAGCTTAGAGAATACGGACATATATACATGTACAGGTAGATTTATACAATGACATGTACAGGGACATATACAAATACAATGTTCAGGTACATATATACATTGACAGGTACATAAATACATTTACAGGAACATATTTACATGTACAGGTACATTTATAAACACATGTAATGGTACATATTTACACATATAAAGATACATATATACACATGTACAGGTACATATATAAACATGTACAGGTATATATATCCATATGTACAGATACAAATATGCAGGACTAGCAGGAACCTCTGTATTGTTATACCAACAAAGTCTTTAAAAGCTCTACCAACCTAAAGTTAAGATAATTTAGATATGCAGCAATGTACTGTCCAAAATTATGCCCTGTTTATGCCTTTTGAACATCTGTATACTATACCAACTGCTCAAATACCATAATCGTGCCAGGTTTATGCCTGCTGAACCTCTATATGCTGTACCATCTGATCAAATACTATAATTATGCAAGGTTTATGCCTGTTGAACCTCTGTATGCTATACCATCTGATCAAATACTATAATTATGCCAGGTTTATGCCTGTTGAACCTCTATATGCTATACCAACTGATCAAATACTATAATTATGCCAGGTTTATGCCTGTTGAACCTCTATATGCTATACCAACTGATCAAATACTATAATTATGCCAGGTTTATGCCTGTTGAACCTCTATATGCTATACCAACTGATCAAATACCTGCAAGATCCCACCAATCTGCTGCGATCATCCATATGCTGCTCAACAACTTAGATCCAAGGTTAGGAAAGAACATTACTTCTATTTTTATCATTATTAATCTATATATTAATGAATATATAAAAACTGAGATAAAGATTGTAAATTTGTATCATTTCTCAAAAATACGCAATTAATAATTAAAGAATTTTCATCTTATTCTTAATATTTATATATCAGTGTTGCTCAGTTTCCTCAGGAGCTGGTAACCTATGGGGGTAATGGTCAGGTGCTGGCAAACTGGGGACAGTTTAGGATAGTTCTTCATTACCTGGCGAATATGACAGGTAAACCCTCCTTCTCCCAAAAACACACTTTTTATCAACACAAACAAGGAATTTTTTATTTCAAAAAATCTTTTAAATTTCAGTATTAATTTATTATCCAAATATTTAATTCTTATTATTTATTCTTTCATGATGATATTCTACTCTTGGGTCGGAGCATTTGTGTAAAGTATCGCCTGCATAAAATGGAGATTCTAACTTCAGAAGTAGTTTTTCGGCGATTTTTTGACAACTATATATTCTTTATGTTCTAGATGATCAAACCTTGGTGATGTACTCCGGTCACCCAATGGGACTGTTCCCTAGTTCTCCCTCCTCCCCCCGGGCAATTATAACCAATGGTATGATGATACCCAACTACTCTACCAGGCAGGATTATGACCGGGCATTCGCGCTCGGTGTCACTATGTACGGGCAGATGACCGCTGGCAGTTACTGTTATATTGGACCTCAGGTAAAACTAAAATCTTGTTTTATCAAATAAATTTACATGTACGTGGTCCTTTCTTTGTACGGTCGATAAGAGTATTATAATGTACCGTTAGTTGGTTCGGTCATAGATAAATAAATAAATAAAAAATACTATATACTAGGAATATCTTTAAAACATCTCTGTACATTTATATCTTTCAAGATGAAAAATGTCGTCTTATGCGCAATCTATCTTTATCTATGGGTTCGGTTTTGTTTCGTTTTTAGGTTTTTTTTTTATAAGTTTCCACCATAATCTTAGATATTACCGGATCATGTATGTTATATCAAGAATTCTGCTTGATCAAATCGTCAAAGTTTGAAATATCAAAAAATTAAACTGCAAATACGTGGTGTCCCACGAAACATGACAGTTGGTAAATAGTTTTAAATGTCGTCTTCCATACACTGTATTAGATAAATAAATCAGTTTATTTCGTTTAAAAAATCTGTTGCTCAAATATATTTTACTTTGAAATTAATTTATAATTAATATATAATATTTTTATCATTATTATTTCATTAAACAATGAAACAAATTATGGAAGAAGACATTCTAAACTGTTTACCAACTGTCATGTTTCGTGGGACACCCTGCATATCGGTTATTTGGAAGTTATCAATTCCTTTAATAAATAATGGTGTATAAAGACGACGTCTCACTATAGTCACTTATAATAAACTAGACATCTGAAATACCATGCTTCATAATTATATATTTTTCAGTGCTTAGGATCTGAATATTCTCAAAACCCAAATCTGAAAAATAGATTGATAAAAATTTCCTTATCTCTGAATGGTTCATCAAGGGTTAAAAAATTTAAATGGATTCTAAGCACTGATATTTTAAGATATTATTATTTTGACAGGGAATTGTACACGGAACCACATTGACCGTCCTTAACGCTGGAAGACTGAAGCTTGGCACTAATGACCTCTCAGGTATAATCAGCAGTAATTAACATATTAAACTAGACATTTCTAACATTTAGTTCATTATTTGCATCTAAAACTTTATTACATCAAATAGAAGGCGAAATAGTGGATAGCGAATCAATATTGAATAATACAATTTACTCTCACTTCATAGTTCATTAACAATCATAAATAGTTTCAATAGATATAGGCACTAAAAAATAAACAAAACAAAAACAAATCAATAAAGTGTCATAAAAATTACGAACCCTCTTTTGCAGTAAAAAAAGAAACTATGAAATAAAATGAAAAATTTCAAGTTTAAACCAGTATTTTAAAATTTTTGTAGCTGAATCTGAATCCAAATTTATTTTCATTGCTAATTCAGGATCGGGGTCCAGTTTTAGAGCTTATTCAGGATCCGAATCCATTTTTTAGGGCAGATTCAGGATCAAGTCCATTTTAGTGCTGCTTAGAATCTATTTACGCCCTTTAATTGTATCTGAAAAATGGATTTGTCACCTGAATCAGCACTGAAAATGAAAAACTTGATCCTGAATCAGCACTGAAAATTTGGATTTGGATTCTAAATCAGCACTGAAAAGTGAACCCGGATCCTGAATCAGCATTGAAAAATAAATCTGGATCATGAATCAGCACTGAAAAGTGAACCCGGATCCTGAATCAGCACTGAAAATTGGATCACACTGAAAAGTGAACCCGGATCCTGAATCAGCACTGAAAATTGGATCAGGACCCTGAATCAGCACTGAAAATTGGATCAGGATCCTGAATCAGCACTGAAAAGTGAACCCGGATCCTGAATCAGCACTTAAAATTGGATCAGGACCCTGAATCAGCACTGAAAATTGGATCAGGATCCTGAATCAGCACTGAAAATTGGATCAGGACCCTGAATCAGCACTGAAAATTGGATCAGGACCCCGAATCAGCACTGAAAATTGGATCAGGATCCTGAATCAGCACTGAAAATTGGATCAGGACCCTGAATCAGCATTAAAAAGTGAATCCGGATCCTAATTCAGCACTGAAAAAAAAATCTGGATATTGATTCAGCACTGAAAAATGAACCCGGATCCTGAATCAGCACTTACACGGCAGCTGCAGTTTAGGATCCGGATCAATTCTCCAGTGAAGATTCTGGATCCGGAATGAGATTATGTTATTTCTAGGTCGCGTATTTGTAACCTCCGGTCTCGGAGGAATGTCAGGAGCTCAGGCTAAGGCTGCTGTTATCTGTGGATGTGTTGGAGTTATTGCTGAAGTAAGCTATGAAGCTTTGAAGAAAAGGTGATAAATTCAAAATAAATAAAATATAATAGGCTTTTAGGGCACTTTGCGCCCATCTTCTACTTCAACTGTGAACATGTTCTCTTCTTAAACATTGAAAAACAAACAAAAACAAATTGGCGGATTGAATTTTATTAAAAAAAATCGTTGATTTTCAAAGTTTAAAAAAAAACGAATTTTGTTATCAGCAAATTTTTTAAAATTGGATCATCCACAAACCTTCCCTGGAGTCGGTTCTGCCGTTTTGACGTTTATTGGACACAAACAGACAAACAGACAGACAGACAAGCAAAGTATATATATATATCAAGACAAGATATATATATATAATATACATATGTATAAACTATACTGATAGAGATGGGCATCATACATAGACTATACTGATAGAGATGGGCATCATTTATAAACTATACTGATATATTAAATCAAATCAAATCAAATTATTTATTTCTGCAGAAAAAAAAAAACAATATTTACGAATTAATTTTAAAAAATCAAAATATGTAAAATATTATTTTCCGGAGCAGGCGGACTCAATAGCCTGGGGCTGTTTTAGCTGAGCCCCCCTGTTAACCAAATTCTTTAATTAAATTTTAACATTTAAAAAAAAACATATTCACAAAATGAACCAAAGAGAAAATCAGTGCAGCATCAATCGAAGGTTGGGCATGGAGACAGATAGGGATTCATAAAGTGAACAGAAAGTAACTAATATATTTGAATTTAAAAAGGATCTTGGGCTCAAAGTAAACGGCAACTCCGACAAAGAGATTAAGGAGGGGGGAGGGGGGGATGAATGTGTAATCCACCACTGGGGCCCAATCCCATTCACTGGGAGAGTATCTGCCTTCTCGGTGTATCATGCATCCCTCAACCCCAGTCCCCTCAAAACATTCATAAAATAATCATCACAAAAAGTTGGATCAAGAACAACATTAACCCCCATATTAAAAGGGGGAGGGGGGGATGAGTGAGTGATCCCCCACTGGGGCCCAATCCCATTCACTGGGAGAGTACCTGCCTTCTCGACGGATCACGCACTCCACACCCCTTCCCAACATCCATACATCAATCATCTTAAAACATTTTGAACAAGATCATCAAGATTTGAAGGGGGAGGGGGGGATGATATATCATATATAAACTATTGAAAATAATCAGTTTTCAAAATTGACAACATTGATATCTAATTCATACTTTAAAGGTGAATCGGGTATTGCCATCTTTGCATGGAGGGTCATTTGAAACTACGCTTTAAGTCATTTTTTACATTTCTTCAAAAATATGATTTATAATTTTAAGTTTGATTGTCTAGGTATGACCAAGGTTGGTTGGTTGAAATGGTAAACAACATTCCGGATTTACTAGCTGCAGTAAAAGCTGCAAGAAAGGTACCATATCCTAATCTACTCTTTAAGCATATTTTTGCTGGCCTCCAACAAATTATGAAGTCTATTTGTAATAATCTTCTTACTATGTTTTCTTAGTGGTAATATTTTAATTTCAATAAAGATGGGCATTATTTATTTTAGTTCTTTTATAAACATTCAAGGTTTTTTTACTCCTAAAAACTTAATATTTTAAAAATGTACATCTAGACATTTGCTTTCATAACAATTGTGAAGAATTTAACTTTTGATAAAGTTATTAATCAAGAGGATTTATCTTTTTTTTTAATCTAATCCTGGAGGCGACAGGTTCAAACGTTTCTGTCCTCCTTTTCCAGACATTGCTTTAAGAAAACACTAACTAATTTTTGTTAGGTTTTCTAAAGGTAAAAAAAAAACCTTAGAATGTGTGTGTTTACATTAGAACCGGTTTAGTAAGGGCAGATAAAAAATATTTCTGCAATAATTTGTTGATCGCATTTTTGTTCACCAATTTAGAGCCAAAACAGTCTGATGCATTGCTTACTGTACACCCTATAAGTTTATATAACCCCCATCTAATAGTTGCATGCCTGATTTACAAGGTTACCCTTAAATCTTCGTGTGAAAAAAAATGAGGAAGATATCTTAGTTTTTCTATCAGAGAAATTGATAATTTTTAATTTTGGTTTCTCAATAAAAGTGACTTGCAAGGAGAAAGGAGAAAAAAATGAACACTTGTTAAAATAGATAAATTATGATATCTTCCTTATCGTTGCACGGATAAATGTTTAAAGGGTAACTTTGTGACTCGGGATTTCAAATTCTTTGACAGAACATTAAACTTATTCATTTATTTAGGCGAAGAAAGCAACAAGTATTGGATTCCATGGAAATATAGTTTCTGTTTGGGAGATGTTTGTAGATGAACTGGAGAATACTGGAGAACTACTTGTAGAACTTGGTTCAGATCAAACATCTTGCCATAATCCATATAATGGGGGATACTATCCTATAAACTATGGGTAAATATAATCCATATAATGGGAGATACTATCCTATAAACTATGGGTAAATATAATCCATATAATGGGGGATACTATCCTATAAACTATGGGTAAATATAGTCCATATAATTGGGGGATACTATTCTATAAACTATGGGTAAATATAATCCATGTAATGGGGGATACTATTCTATAAACTAAGGGTAAATATAATCCATATAATGGGGGATACTATCCTATACACTTTGGGTAGGTATAATCCATATAATGGGGTATACTTTCCTATAAACTATTATTAATATTATTATTATTATTATTATTATTATTATAAAATCTAAATATTTTCAAATAATTATAAAAACACGTTTTTTTAAAACATTGATACAATTGTGTTTAGTTATGAGGAATCTCTGTAACTATTGAATAAAGATCCAGAACTATTTAAAGAAAACATTAATAGAATTGTGTTTAGTTATGAGGAATCTCTGGAACTATTGAATAAAGATCCAGAACTGTTTAAAGAAAAGGTTCAGGAAACCCTCAGAAGACATGTTACTGCTGTCAATAAGGAAACTATCTGATGATGAAAATGAAATAATGAAAAAGTAAAATTGGCGTCTTAATAACTTTGTTACTTAAAACCATAGATTAATAACAATACAGTGAAAGCACTACATGTCGTCTTTTTAATATTTAGGGTTTTTTTGTTCACAATAACGCTGAGGCAGAAGCCCAAAGGAGTTACGCGCATGTTCTCTATCTGTCTTGTAAATCAACGCTGCATGCGCGTAACTCCTTTAGGATTCTGCCTCAGGGTTATTGTGAAGGAAAAAATAAATAGTATAACATAAATTATATTCACATTGACAGAAAAACATTCTTAAAATTGCCATAAATAAAAAGTAAAACATACATGATATTCGCATTGATATTTGTATTGACAGCACAACATACTTAAAATTTACATTAAAAAGTATTGACACATGAATTGTCCATGACAGCCAAACATATTTTATGTAACTATTGTGTACTGTATCATACTTACAGGGTGTCCCACTAAACATGACAGTATGCAAGAGGACTTGAATGTCGTCTTGATTTTTGATATAATTTGCTGTGTTTATCTGTCAACCTAATTTTAGAAGTAAATTTCTAGAGATAATAATCACAAAATTCCCCTAGTCCTGCCATTTCCAAAATGTGGTCTGCCTTTTTTGTGCTTTCAATATTTCCCGACATATAAAGAATTTCGTTCAGATTTCGACAATTTTGCTTTTATTCAATAAAATTGAAATCTGAACCAAACTCTTTATATCTCCGGTAATATTGAAAGCACAAAAAAACTCAGACCACTTTTTGGAAATGCCAGGGCTAGGAGAATTATGTGATAATTGTTTCAAGAATCATACGTGTTAAAAGAGATAGAAGACTAAATGTCACAAATAAATTCATATATCAAAGACGACTTTCAAGTCGTCTTGCTATTGTCATGTTTCGTGGGACACCCTGTACCTACTTCAGCGTGAATTTCATAATGAACGTACTATAAAGGAAACATCGTGCAATTTTTAAATTTTTTATCAAATGTTTGCAATATTTCTTACACGCTTACAAATTGATTTGAAAACTCTTATTTAGTAATTAATTAATTAATTAATCAATATTGTTTAAAACAACATATATTCATTTGATTTGTAACTATAGTTGGCGGATGCTGGGATGTATTTCTTTGATTATGGAAATGCATTCTTACTGGAGGCCCGGCGGTCCGGGGCAGATGTCGGGAAACCAGGGGCGGAGAGCTCCACTGATGCAACCTTCAGGTTAAAACCATGGTGACTTCGCACAGTGTTAACCAGAAAACTCAAAGAACAGGAAGACGACTTTTAGACTCAAGTTATGACTTTAAATTGTTCAAAGAACATGAGGCAAAGCAATTGTGCAGTTTTAATTGTAGTTCACTTAATAGATTAAGGTAAAGTTATTTGCATCAAATGCACTTTAGCATTGCTTTAATGTCGTCTTCCTTTCCTTCAGTTTTCTGGTTTTTACTGTATTGGGGTGGGGGGGGGAGGGAAGGATTGTACTAATTACGGTTTAAATTTTTTTGTTAGCAACCAGCGTCTTTTGTTACCATTTGTTACCAATAGTCATTGATTGATTCTTTGACTGGCATTTTTGGCATTTGTTTTCAAACAATGGAATTTCTCAGCTTATTAAAGGCCCCACCAAACAATTCGAGAATTTTCATACACAGTATTTTTCTTCTACATTTACTCGTATAGTACATAAACTATACAGGGTGTCCCACATCATATTAGATTGTTAATCGGTTAAAATTACGATGTTCGGGACTAATCAGATAATTTCAGAAGAATAAATCATTTTAAAACATTGAATAAGGCTATTATAAGAATTTTCTTGCGTAAAATTCTAGGTTTTTTGAATATTATGGGTTTATTTTGGCGTTAAAACTTGGAGATAATCTAATATGATAAGGGACGCTCTGTAATACAGAGTGAAAAAAGACAATTTTGTGGAGAAATAAACGTTTTTGAATACTTTTTGTTGAGTTTTGTTATTATGACGCTTATACTATGTCTTATTACAGTATCTAGAAAGCACTGAAAAGGAATGTCGTCGTAGTTTGAATTGATCCTCTATTTTAAAAAAACGGTACTCTTGAAAACTGAATCTGATGAATAATGAGGAAAAATAACGTCGTTTTCCGGCTTGAAAAGCGTTTAATTCTGAAAATTATCCATTGTTTCTAGAAGCAAGAAATTCGCAGGTCATCTTTGCAGAGAAGCCACAAATCAAAGGGAACAGTTTTTCAAAAACAAAACATGTATATTTGATTCATACTTGACCAGTCAAAGCTTTGAAGTATAGTTTTGTGAATCGACCAAGCCAATCTAACAATGGACCGGGTCACTTGAAATTACGTTTACTTTAATGTTAAGTAGAAGTAAAATTGTTAATCAGTACTCTTGTAAATATTGTAGGTATCCGAGTTATGTTCAAGACATAATGGGAGATATATTTTCTCTTGGTTTTGGTCCTTTCCGCTGGGTTTGCACGTCAGGAGATCCGAAAGATCTTGAAACCACTGATACGGTACATCAATATATTATACTAGCTTGGGAACCCAGCGTTGCCCAGGGGAGTCATAGTTAGTCCCACAGTTTACCCGCTCTTTTGTCGTTAATCGGTCAAGGGGTTCCTGCGTTATGATCTAACAACCAAATAGGCAGACAGACAAACAGAGATTACAACTTTATATATATTATATATAAGATATACTTTGCTTGTCTGTTTGATTGTAACCGATAAACGTCAAAACGGCTGAACCGATCGAGCCCAAACTTTGTGTGGGATCTCACATGACCTCGGGAAAATTAATGGAACATCAAAATTGGAGATAAAAAGTACTGGAAAATAGTTGGAATTTTTTTTAATGCGTAAATTCGAAAAGAAAAATCGGCCAAAATTTAAAATGGCCGATTCATTCCTTTCAGAGCAACAGTTCAAAGCTAAAATTATTTACATGAAAGGGGGCGCTAAGCGCCCTAAAAGCCTATAGTGTTTTAAATTTCAATTAAGAACAAATAATTGCAATAAAAATTTTAAAATCGGTATCGATGCTCAGATTGAAAACCTATAAGATATATACCTAGTTATTTTTTGCCACCCTTTCCTGCATAATAGGTTAAACTTTTAAACTTAGTTTGAAGTGTTTTTTTCTAGCTGGCAGCAGAGGTTCTACAGCAGATTGTAGATTCTGGAATTCCTAAAGAAATTGAACAGCAATATCAGGTTAACATTTTTTAGACCACAAACTATGTTTATTTCAATCTTGTCGGTTACCGGCGTAAACAGGGTGGCTGCTTATCCCCCCCCCCTGAAATGTGAAGACACTTCCAGGGGGATTACATGGGCTACCCTCCCCCCTGAAATGTCAAAAAATGTTAGTCCCCCTGGACCAATTCCTGTATTCTAAGAAACCTGAACAAAAAAAGCAAATATTTGTATAATTCAGTAAAATTTTAGAATTATTGCAATATTTAAATATAACAATAAAGAAGCTATTTCTGCGAATGTAACTTATGGCAAAGTAAGTATGCAAACTAATCCATTTCTAGCAATTCAGAAACATTTTTATCATGGTTTTATAATCATGTATAAGTTAGCCTCATTCCTAAACTTGTTTCCTGAATAATATTAAATCAAAAACATGAACATTTTCTTTAACTTGATTTTTCTTCCTATCAGGATAATTTGAAATGGATAAGAGAGGCTGGTCGTCATAAGATGGTGGTTGGATCCCAGGTAATCATTTATCCTGTCATAAATTGGTTCTACGTAGTAAAATTCACGAGTCCCCTTACCAGTCATTGTATATTGAAAACTAGAAAACTCTGGAGTATAGTAGACGACTGTTAGACTCAAGTTGTGATTTTAGATAGTGTCTAATGAACATGAAACACACTAAATGTGCACTTCTAGGGTGCAAAGACCCATTGTACCTAATATCTTAATTTTCTAGCTACTTGTAGACTATTGAAACATCAAATACACATAAGATTGCTAAATGTTGTCTTTCTGTTCCACAATTTTATAATTTTTGATAATTTTGTGGAGGAGTTAAACTTACAAATTCATAATTTTGATCTTGTTTTAGGCCAGAATCTTGTATTCGGATCAGAAGGGTCGAGCAGCCCTGGCGCTTAGGTTTAATAAAGCAATCAGTGAGGGGGATATCAAGGGAACTATTGTTATCAGTAGAGATCATCATGATGTTAGGTATCATCATTATCATCATTATCATCATTATCATCATTATCATCATTATCATTATTATCATAATTATCATCATTATCATCATTATCATCATTATCATTATTATCATAATTATCATCATTATCATCATTATTATCATTATCATCATTATCATCATTATCATCATTATCATTATTATAATCATTATCATCATTATCATCATAATCATCATTATCATCCTTATCATCATTATCATCATTATCATCATTATCATCATTTGCATCATTTGCATCATTTGCATCATTATCATCATTATCATCATTATCATCATTATCATCATTATCATCATTATCATCATTATCATCATTATCATCATTATCATCATTATCATCATTATCATCATTATCATCATTTGCATCATTTGCATCATTTGCATCATTATCATCATTATCATCATTATCATCATTATCATCATTATCATCATTATCATCATTATCATCATTATCATCATTATCATCATTATCATCATTATCATCATAATCATCATAATCATCATGATCTTCATTATCATCATTATCATCATTATCATCATTATGTTCATTATCATCATTATCATCATTATCATCATTATCATCATTATCATCATTATCATCATAATCATCATAATCATCATGATCTTCATTATCATCATCATCATCATTATCATCATTTTCATAAATTTTTTATTTTCATCAAATTTTATCATAATTTTCAACCACAAAGTCTTGGAATGCTGTAATTTTCTTTAACTGAAGGGCAGTGCTCTGTTTATATGCTACACAGGGTTACACAAATTATGCAAACTTTTAAAAATGTATTTGAAGAGTTTCAGGTCGTAATTTGAAGGTTCGTCCTTTTTACAGAGAGAACCATAAAACTGTGGAATATGAATACGGCAATATATCTTAGTTTTCCTAGCAATCTGTCAAATCAATTATCAAGTTAAATGGATCTGTTTACACTACACAATTGCTCTGACAATTTAAATTCATTACTTGAGTCGTTTTCCTGTTCCAGAGTTTTCTGGTTCTTGCTGTATATAACCCTATTTTGAAACTCAAGTTAAGAACAAGAATGATATAGTATAATATAATCCTTGATTCAGAATTCAGATTCACATCTTTTATTGTTTTCCAGTGGAACAGACAGTCCGTTTCGTGAAACCTCCAACGTATATGATGGTTCTGCAATAACAGCTGATATGGCAGTTCAGAACTGTATTGGAGATGCTTTCCGTGGAGCTACTTGGGTAGCTCTGCATAATGGAGGAGGGGTTGGCTGGGGGGAGGTTATTAACGGAGGATTTGGTTTGGTAACATTTAAAGTTTGTACTTTTCAATTTTAGACTGAGGTTTAAAAACACCTTCATCAAAACTATATTTTTCAAACCCTTATCCAACAACTGATAGAAGGAGATATCTTTGAATTATATTTTGCAAACTTGCCACTTTTCTAAAAACCATCTCGTGAATTGTTATCTACGAACCAGAAAGATTTTTTTTACTCGACTTTTAAATTAAATGAAAAACTTAAGAACTTATTTTATCAGTATTGGTTTCGCAACTTAACGGTTCTTTAATATCATTTTTTTTTGTTTTTTTTTTACAATTTACTTTTTTTTCAATTTTTTTTTTCATAGCTAAATCTAGAGATGGGATCGTTTTTTTGAACGAACAAAATTTTTGGTGAAAAAGTGTGTCGTTCAGAATTAAAAGATTTGGAAAAGATTTTACTGAACAAACTTTTTTTGGAACTAACTTTTAAAAGCTGTTTACTGGACGAAAAATTTGTTTGAACAAGTTTTCAAAACTATTGTTTTTTTACTGAACGATCGATTTTATTGAATAAACGATTTTACTGAACGAATGATTTTATTTTACGATCGTTCAGTGAGAAAACAAACGAAATAGATGGAAAATGAACGATAATTTTGAGGACGAACGAAATCGATTTTTTTATGAACGATTAAAAAAAAGAAGGAATGAAATGGGACGTTCATTAACGATAAGCGAACGAAATGAAAAAAGTAGAACGTGTCCATCTCTAGTTACATCAGCAAAAATTCTTTGAAATATAATTTTTTAAGAAACGATTTTTTAAGGTTCTTGATGGCTCTGAAGACGCAGAGAGGTGCGCTTACAAGATGCTCAACTGGGATGTAAGCAATGGTGTTGCGCGTCGAGCCTGGAGTGGCAATTCTAACGCGCAGAACACCATTAAGCGCGCCATGGAGGAGGACGGCAAGCTTAAGGTCACCTTGGCGAACAGGGTGGAGAAAAGATCAATCATAGACAACTTGAAATTCAACTAAATATGTAGATTCACATTTTAATATAAGACAAACTAATTACTGATAAATATACAGTAAAACTGCGGAATAGGAAGACGACATTAAAGGAATAATTAATTGTATCTGATGTTGTTACAAATCAAATAGTTCTAATGGTAACTTATTAAATTTCTTATAAAAGCTAAAGCGGTCTGATTACACTGTATGCTGTGTCTCAATGTCAGTTTAAAGTCATAAATTGAGTCTAAAAGTCGTTCTTATATTTCAAAGTTATCTGGTTCTGACTGTATATTCGAACAATAAATATACTAATTTTTTTTCTTTGTTTATTATTATATTTCCATATATTAGATTTCTGACTACTCAGCTATGTATGTCCCCTTAGTAAGTTTTATTAACACAGGATAGCTTATTTGCAAGGAAAATAACAACTCTGTATAAATAAAAAGTTGTAAAATTGCTTAACCGTCTTACATTTACAAGGCATTTATCTGTGAATCTGATTTTACGTACTACAAGATCAGCGAGAAAATGTATTACATAAAAGAATGTTAAGATACAGTTAAACCCTGAATAAGCATAGATAAAAATAGATTGCGCATATGACGACATTTTTCATCTTGAAAGATATAAATGTACAGAGATGTTATGAAGATATTCCTATTAAATAGATTAACTAGGTCGGTTGTGAACATTGGCTGTTCTTATGCCATTGAGTACTTGTGGTGTACATGAGTTCTGTAGAGAGAAATTTAAGTTAGTTTAGTCCTTCCCATGTCCTTCTTCAGTTCTCGTCAATATGATACATTGCTCAGTGAAATATTGTTGTTTGAAATAGTTCCATTCCAGGAGTTATTTTACACTCTATTATGAAATCCATTAAAACACCAAACCACCCCGCTTATCATTGAAGTACACTTTGACCTCTAGAAGTATGAGTTTTCGGACTGTTCAATTCTTGGTGATTTTGCGTACATAAGCTATCTATGTTTATTTATTTATCTATGTGAATAAGCCATAAATCGAAAGAATTCATCAAATGTCGTATTCTTCACTTTCTGATAATGGAATATTGCAAATATTTAGTTTTTCATTTAATGATTGTATAAAGCTCTTTAAAACTGTTCCCGCATATTCATGGCTATTTATTTATTTTCGCAAATACTGAAATTTATTTAAAATAGTGTTGAAAAATTGTCGAGACGACATTTGATAAATTCTGCTGTATGGCCTATTCAGGGTTTAACTGTAGAAATAAAAGAATAAAGAACAATCCACACAAGTCGCACAAGTAAATGCAATTGATGATATTTATATTTACTTCTCGGCCTAAACGTCCGAGAAGTTTTCAATCGGACAAAACAGTTTTTGAACCTTTAAGCGTAATTTTACTTAACCTTCTATGCAAAGTGGGGAATACATTCCCGATTTACAACGGCACCCTTTGAACCATTGAGGGTGTTTACCATGGGGGATGATAGTTTTCTACCTGTGTGCTCAGTTAGCTGTACTGTACACTTACAACTGTTTACTAATATTGATATACTATACAAACCACATCAAATTAGACCGCGTCAATGGGTCTAAATTACGATTTAGGGGACAAATTAGAAAATTTCAGAAGAATGAATCATTTTGAAAAATTTAATAAGGCTAACAGAATTTTTTTCTTGCAGAAAATGCTAGATTTTTCGAGTATTATATGTGTATTTTGGCGTTAAAGATTGGAGAAAGTCTAATATGATATGGGACGCTCTATAGGTTAGGCCAGAATCTCCTTATAATAAACAAATATGCAGTACGCTCTCAGTATAGTTTATGTCCTATACAATTAGTAAAGGATTAGCGTACATCATCACTCTATACACTTTAACCTCGTTGGGTGTTGTGTTGTGTACGCTGTCGTACAGTGTAAACTCAACAGTGCCGAGGTTACCTCCTTCTTTAAAAATCCACTACGTTTTAATGGGAGTAACCGGCAATTCACTAATAAACGTTTTAATGATGTATAATTGCTGAGTTTGAGCGCAAAGTCGACGTTCAAAATCATCCATTTGTGTGGTTACATTTTGAGAATCGATTTTTTTAAAATTATTAAATAACGACGACAAAAAATGTAAAAAAAAATTCTACAGTAAACTAATTAGATGTTTAGGAACATATTTCTCAATTGAAATTTTCTCAATAAATCAATGTTATAATCAATTATTTCTTTTTCATCATTATATTGAATTTCTTATTCTTTACGATTTTGTTCACAGATTTCTTCAAATTCTTTAAATGTCGTCTATTCAATAAAAATTCCAAGAAATCGACAGAAATTGCTTGTGAACAACGTGACATTATAGAAACCAAAACCTGAATAAGATTATTTATTTTCGATGATAATAGTAAATTTGCATTTTCTCAACCTGTTCCTAAACAACTAACTAGTTTACTGTAGAATTTTTAATACATTTTTCGTCGTCGTTATCGAATTATTTGTTAAAAACCGATTCTTAAAATCATTCCTAAAATGTTAACACAATCTATGAGGATTTTAAAGATTGAACTAACATGCACCGAATAAACGTCTCATAGATCACAAATGAATCCTAAAAAAATTCTCCCCATTATTACATTCTCAGTTAAACTACCATACATTGCTGGTCACTCCCTTTAACACACCACTCTACAAAAGAAGAGTAACTAGAAATTAAGCAGTCCCTTTAATCACCATATCTGAACCTTGCAAGGAGGACTTGAATCCTGTGACCATTATTCTTAAAATAAAAATATATAATTTTTAACAGAACTATTTACTAATTTTAAATAAGATCTCAGTCCTGTATAGCAGACTAAATCATATAAATTGCTTAAATTCGGTTCTTTGTAAACTAGGACACCTCGTATCTATTCAATCGGATTCTATATCCATAAGAGAGAGGAGACATGAGCGAAGAATGAGAGAGTATCGTATAATATGGATCTATGTATACCAGGACATCCTGTATCTAGAGATATGAGCGAAGAAATATAGAGTATTGTATAATTTGGTTTTATTTATACCAGGACACCCTGTATCCACAGATATGAGCGAAGAAATAGAGATTATCGTATAATCTGGTTCTATGTATTGTATACCAGGACACCCTGTATATAGAGATGTGAGCGAAGAATGAGAGAGTATCGTATAATATGGTTCTATGTATACTAGGACACCCTGTATAAAGAGATATGTGCGAAGAATGAGAGAGTATCGTATAATCTGGTTCTATGTATACCAGGACACCCTGTATAAAGAGATATGTGCGAAGAATGAGAGAGTATCGTATAATCTGGTTCTATGTATACCAGGACACCCTGTATAAAGAGATATGAGCGAAGAATGAGAGAGTATCGTATAATCTGGTTCTATGTATACCAGGACACCCTGTATAAAGAGATATGAGCTAAGAATGAGAGAGTATCGTATAATCTGGTTCTATTATACCAGGACACTGTATAAAAAGATATGAGCGAAGAATGAGAGAGTATCGTATAATCTGGTTCTATGTATGCCGGGCCTATAATCCCCGGGTAGGAACAAACTTACAGTTTGAACTAGACCAGGCCAGGGTGCAGATATATACCCTTATTGTAACATGCTAACAAAGTGTTCAATCTTTTACAGACTTACGAATAAAGAGTTTAAATATTCTCACAAACCGTTCTATGTGTTACACTTATCATTTGATGTTAAGAAATAATCGTTAAAAACTTCACGTTATGTGCACTTTTAAAATGTTTAAAGTTTATTGGACCCTTTTTCTTAAAAACATAAGGTCTTAATAAATGTTCTTATAACAATAGAAAAAATGTAGAAAAAGTTGATCAAATCTGATATAAAGGTAAATTTCTGAATTTTTGGGTTATGACGAAGAAATACCGTACGCATAAAGATTTCAACCTTTTAATCAGAAAGTAGAGTATGTATCTCTTTAAAAACTTTTATATAAAAACTCAGTGACGTAAAACTTTTTATTTTTTTTATTTTATTGCTGTTAAAGAACTTTTAAATTTACATTTTTCTTTGCTAGGATATATGTTTTAAACATGCATCTTTTTTAAATATGTATATTTATTTTTGTTTTAATTTTCTTGTAATATTATCATCTTCAACTAGTTCCGTCTACGATTTTATCGAATGCATAAACCCGAGATTTATCATTTGATCCTGAAAAATAAAAGAATTCCAGATAGTCATTAAAGTCTCATGCGATGTGGATAACCCTGTACATAATTCTTTGCTTGTTATTGTACCTTTATGTTTGGTTTTCTTTCATCTAAAATATTTATGAACGGTTATATGCATTACACAACATGTTTTCTTAAAACTTAAAACTTAAAACTCAAAACATAAAACTTAAAACTTAAAACTTAAAACTTAAAACATAAATTATTTGAACTAACTATAGATAATATATTCTACAGTATTTATAATAAAAAATTTATAATTTGAATTTAAACTCAGGTCAGAACTTTTGTGCGGAGTATCGTTAATGTGGATCTCGATATCCATTGTGGACACTTTTAAAATTAGAGGATATATGCTTGATCCTTCAATTAAAGTTATCTCTCATTGGTATGACTATCACTGGATGTCGCAGAGTAATTGAATGAGCTGGAGATCAATCAAGGAGTATGGAATAGAATGGAGATACAAATGACGCGACCCGCCCTGCCATGATGATTATAAATGCTTTGCAGACGGGTACTCCATTTGTATAAGAAATATTTGTCTGATGTACAATTACCACGTATACAATATTTCTTATTTAAATGGAGTACCGTCGCAAAGCATGTATAATCATATGGTAGGGCGAACCGCGTCAGTTGTATCTCCCTTCTATTCCTTACTCCCTGATGTATAATCATATGGTAGGGCGGGCCGCGTCTATTCCATAATCCTTGAGATCAATGATTGATCCCAAGATTTACAACACAAAAGTTCTGACTCATCTGTTGCTTTACGATTTTCTTGTTTGAAAGCAGAATTTCGGACACCTCCACTGTCGACCAATTTTCACCAAAGAACAACATGCTTTTAATCTTTGGTTAAAACAAAGTTTTTCAATCGGACATTTTGTTGAGAATTCAGTGGTTAAAAGAACACTTCCTGAAGCTGCACTAGTCATAGTTAAAGGCTCTGCCCCCAATACAAATGGTTTATATAGGTAGCAGTTGTGTTTGAAAAAATTATTAATCCTAATGGTCGGACATTTCCATAAACCAAGAACAGATTCCGCTTGAGTTGGGGTAAATTCACAATGTTGTTGAATAACAGACTTGTAGAATTCAACGAAACTGTTTCCACAATAGTAGCGATACGTCTTGTTTTCATACTCTGGAGTCGTTATTTCATCGCAAACCCATTCTCCCTGGTCCAGATCACAGGACATATATATTGCATCAGGAATCAAAGACGAAGATACCTCTACTTCGATCAGCTGTCCAAGGATTAAAACTTGGTGTGTAGAGAGTAGGAAAATAAAACTTGCAGCCAGCTCAAGAAACATGTTTTCACCCTAGAATACTTTTAAATGGAATAAACTTAAAGGAACTGTAAACATAATTTCAAGTGGGCCTCCATGGTAATATGACAATTCACGATTCTCAATGTTACACTTTAAAGCTTTGTCTGATCAATTATGAATTTTATATTAGTGTTTATAACTTTCAATATTTTTTTCTCTACAAAAGTGACTTGCGCATTTCTACTACATGAAAACATTAAGGAACTATCTGATTAAACACCTTGAAAAACGACAGCATCTTCTGCATGATTGTTCAAACAAGGATTTTAACGGTAGTGTTGTGAATCGGGCGTTGCAATCTTTGCATGGAGGGTAACTAAAACTATTTTAAACTATCCGAGGCCGAATTTAAAGAATTTGAGCCGTGGCTTAAATTTTAGCCGGGGCTCAATTCACTTAAAGTTGTATTCAATTTTGCAATATTTAAGCCGGCGCTCAATTGAAACCGGTTTTGGGGGATTTGAGACGCCGCTTAAATTCATTAAATTTGGACACTGGCTCGTTAAGGATTAAAAGTTCAGGTTACCTGGTTCTTTAATAGCGGTGTAATTTAGTATTTTTGAGAATTCAACGTGTTAACTGCAGGCCCACAGGTTTTACTCTAACTATGACAAAGGAAACGCAACAATTTTATGCTTGTACAGGGTGTCTGGATAAAAATAGCGCTACACATGTTTATAAAAAGATCACGAAACCGTGATTTCTTGATTGACTTTATTGTTCATTGTTCACCAATCAAACCCATGTTCAATATATTTTATTTAAAGTTTGGCTGTAGGATGGTGGGTGGTTTGGTTTTTTTGGGGGGGTTAGAGGGGGAGGGGGGTAGGCAATTGGAGGATTTTTTTTAATACTAGGAAGATTTTTTGGTTTTTAGGAGAAGGAAAATTGGATATTGACTTATATATATATATTACAAAGCATTTAATTTTTTCTGTAAGATTATATAATATCTATATATACACTTTACTTGTCTGGGTGTTTGTAAACGTCAAAACAGTTAAACCGACCGGGCCCAAATTTAGCGTGGGATCTCACATGACCCCAGGGAAGGTTTATGGAACATCAAAATTGAAGAAAAAAATCCTGAAGAATAGTTAAAATTTCTTTTTTGAAAATTCACCAATTCGAAAAGAAAATCCGCCAAAATTCGAAAATGATTTAAAATGGCCGACTTTCAGAGCAAGAATAAAAAGCTAAACTTATTTACAGGAAAGAGGTCGCGAAGCGCCCTAAAAGCCTAGCATATATATAATTACATAGTTACCGTTTTGATAATTTAATCCAAAGAAAATTAGATTGAAGAAAAAGAAAGCCTGGGGAGAAATTGTAAACAAAGAAGAGAAGACAGGAAAGGGCAGAAGAGAGAAAGTATAAAGAAACGGGAAAGGGTAGAAGGAGAAAGTAAGACAGGACGGGAAGGGATAGAAAGGGAAAGTAAAATGGGACGGGAGGGGTAATTAAGGGAAAGTAGGACGGGACAGGAAGGGGTTACTGTGGTAGAAAGGGAAAGTAAGACGGGACATGAAGGGGTAGACTGAGAAAGTAAGACGGGACTGGAAGAAGTAGAAAAGGGAAAGTAAAACAGGAAGGGTAGATAATGGAAAGTAAGACGAGAGACGGGAAGAGGGGTATATCATCTATAGCTGAGGGTTAAAGTTGAACAATTAAATACAAATATCTGTGTAATCATTAAAATTGAAAACTAGGAAATAGATTGGATTTATTTCATGGATCCTTTTATTCTGTTATTCTTACACTCTCGTAATCAGTAGCACAACTAGCACTTTTGTGAGAGTGGGGGGGGGGGGGCGAAACCTGATTATTTTTTTTAAGCGCTTATTATTATATTTCTTGGTAATTTCCGCGTATCCTAACATCAATGTATACCTTATATCATAGTTTCCTTGTATCCTAATATCATTGTATCCTTATTTTCTAGTTTCCTTGTATCCTAATATCATCTAATCCTTATATCCTAGTTTCCAGCTTGTATCCTAATATCATCTAATCCTTATATCCTAGTTTCCAGCTTGAATCCTGATATCCTTGTATCCTGATATCCTTGTATCCTGATATCCTTGTATTCTGATATCCTTGTATCCTGATATCATTGTCTCCTAATATCATTGTATCCTGATATCCTTGTATCCTGATATCCTTGTATCCTGATATCCTTGTATCCTGATATCCTTGTATCCTGATATCATTGTCTCCTAATATCATTGTCTCCTAATATAATTGTTTCCTTATATCCTAGTATCCTTGTATCCTAATATCATGTTATCCTTATATCCTAGTTTCCTTGTATCCTGATATCCTTGTATCCTTATATCCTTTTATCCTAATATCCTTGTATCCTGATATCCTTGTATTCTGATATCCTTTTATCCTGATATCCTTGTATCCTGACATCCTTGTATCCTAATATCATTGTATCCTTATACCCCACTTCCCTTGAAACCTGATATCCAGAGAAAGTGTGTAATGATATAAACATGTTGTAGTATATCCCTTTGATTAATTACAAGAGAAACGGAAATTGCCCTGAGCCCTACTATAGGAACAAGAGTAGCCTTATAGCCTAACTCTCACAGTTACAGGAAGTCCGTAGATTTCTTATCCCTTATATATATATATATATATCTATATATAATAAATTTATTCACTCATATATACAGCCTTTTTGACGTTTATTGGACACAAACATATAAACAGACAGATAAGCAAAGTATATATATGTATTGATGAAAAATTTAAAAACGTGGAAAGCTCTATATCAAGATATATTAGAAATTAAAGAAGTCTTCAAGACACAACGATTTAAGTTTAATAAAAACTGTTAAATCTTGTCAAATAAATAGGGTTTAAAATAAGATATTTTTATTTTCAAATCTTTTTAGCTTTGTGGATGCCGGACAGTTGGTTTCTAGGGGTAAATTTATAAACGAGATTATAAAGATGGACACCATATGTTTAATAGGTTACTCCGGCTCAAATCTCTTCGAATTCTACCAACATTTAACATACAGTGAAACCCTTAATAAAGAATACATCGAAAGAATTCATCAAATGTCGTATTCTTCACTTTCTGATAATGGAATGTTGCAGATATTTAGTTTTTTAATTAAATGATTATATGGAACTCTTTAAAACTGTTCCCGCATATTCATGGCTATTTATTTATTTTCGCAAATACTGAAATTTACGTAATATAGTATAAAACTCATTGAAAAATTGCCAAGACGACATTTGATAAATTCTTCCGATGTATTCTGTATTAAGGGTTTCACTGTATTATATTATATATATATCCCCTCCCCCTCATTTCCACCTTCCACTTTAATGTTGGTATATATACAGGGTTACCCACAAAGAATGAGGCTTTAATGAAGACCTGATACTCAAGCACACTGAGCTGAAGGTTGAATTTGGCTTTCTTATTTGAAATGCATACTTAATGAATTGAAAGTGAAAGAAACAAGTGTATACAACTGGAGGGAACCATGAATGTAACAAAAAAGACTAAATGAATTCCGTACAGTCGTCTCTGAAGTCTTATTCTTTTTCTGGTAACACTGCATTTTAAAAAGGCCTCCATATGTTTAAAGTTTTGCGAGTTCTTCCATGAGTTTAGCGTTCATCCATGTTGGCTGGATATATTGAAAGATAAATACAGACTCAAAACAGAACCCTTTGGAGAACCATTCTTAATTTGGTTCCAGCTCTGCATGCACCTAGCCTTTACAGCTGACATGCAGGCGTTGCAAATTTGCAAATCAGTTTTTCCTCTTCATGTTCAAGACACGATCATCGAGGATATATGATGAAGATTGCCAACGTATATAAAGGGTTACATCGAGGATATATTATGTAGATTGCCAACGTATATAAAGGGTTACATCGAGGATATACGATGTAGATTGCCAACGTATATAAAGGGTTACATCGAGGATATACGATGTAGATTGCCAACGTATAAAAAGGGTTGCATATAAAAGAGGAAACTTTAACGCCAACCTTAAATATAGTTTTTTAATGATATACTACCAGATGATATGACTGCAATCAGTGAAACAAGTTTACATTAGCAGGGAACTAAAAATATAAAAATAAATCCTGAACAGTCGTCTCTGAAGTATCATCCTTTGTGAATAACCTTGCAAAAAGTACTGTATTTGGTCCAGGCCTTGTTATATTCACTTCATTTCTAAAAAAGATCGCTTTGTAAAAAATGACCCATTGTTCGTGTTTATATTGTGTTCACATTCTACTCAGTTTAACTTTGGTTACACCAGAAACCAACGTAATTAATCACAGTAACAAACAGGGTGTAAAAAAAAGGAGTTTCAACCCATGTTGATTTACTTTTTTCCCCCAATCGACTTCGAAAAAAATTCAACATGGGCGGTTTCTTACAAAAAGTATAAAGTGTTCGATTTTCTTTGTATTTTTGGTTAGCCAGGTTCACCCTGTTCTATCAATATTAAACCTCGTTGTCATCTAACTGTACTCTGCTCAGTACTCAACATTAACACGGAAACTTAAAATATTACAGATTATCAAAACCAGGTTTCGTTACTGTAGTGTTCAGTTACTATTTTTTAATAATAAACCTAAATGCAATCATCTAAAATTTAACCGCCGATTCAAAAACGTCATATGTCAGCCCCCTTTTTCAAATAGTGATTGGTTTTATAACAGGGTTAACCTATAACCAACTTTTTACTACTAAAAAAAACAATTATTTTCAATTTAAATGCTTAACTTATCAAATAGAAAGTAAACCAACGATTCTCAATTTATTCCTTTATAAGTTTCCTTCTCTACTTGGTACTTGGAGGAAGGATGTAACCAATTTTATTCTTCCTGGTCCCATCAAACCCTTCTTAATCCTACTGAGTAGGTTATGCATGATACAGGAGTCCCATCCTACCCTTCATACGATACATGATACAGGAGTCCCATCCTACCCTTCATAGGATACATAATAAATGTTACCCATCCTACCCTTCATAGGAGACATGATACAGGAGTCCCATCCTACCCTTCATACGATACATGATAAAGGAGTCCCATCTTACCCTTCATACGATGCAAGATACAGGAGTCCCATCCTACCCTTCATAGGATACATAATAAATGTTACCCATCCTACCTTTCATAGGAGACATGATACAGGAGTCCCATCCTACCCTTCATACGATACATGATACAGGAGTCCCATCCTACCCTTCATACGATACATGATACATGAGTTCCATCCTACCATTCATAGGATACATAATAAATGTTACCCATCCTACCCTTCATAGGAGACATGATACAGGAGTACCATCAAACCCTTCATAGGATACATGAATACCATTAAACCTTTTATAGGATACATTATACAGGAGTACCATCAAACCCTTTATAGGATACATTATACAGGAGTCCCATCAAACCTTTTATAGGATACATAATACAGGAGTACCATCAAACCCTTTATATGATACATTAAACAGGAGTCCCATCAAACCCTTTATAGGATACATTATACAGGAGTCCCATCAAACCCTTCATAGGATACATAATACAGGAGTCCCATCAAACCCTTCATAATCCTCTCCTTGCTACATTTTGCGCACATGGTGTTAATATCATTCTATCATTTATAATTCATAAAACCCAGAAATATATCTAATCTAGGGTTATTATTCACCCCTTTAAATAATGATTACATGAACAATAGAGAAATATACATTTTATCAGATTCACGCAATTTATTTATTTATTTATCTATTTATCTATCTATTTGTTTTAACAGTTATTTGCGTAACACGCAACAATATTAGTTCGGAACTATCATTTGTGCGCCGTATCCTTATTATGTATTAAGCATTATTTTGTTGTTTATAATTTCAGTACTATTCTGTTTCTATTTTTGTCATTAACTTTTTCTATTTTCGTTATAACCATTGTCTATATAATTATTATATTTATTTTTAATATTATTGTTGTTGTTATTATTATTATTATTATTATTATTATTGTTTAGATGGAGGCCTGGATCTCCTTGTATATTCTGGGACCTGGAGAGAAGGTTGGGTTGGAGAAGGTTGCTCTGGATAAGCTTAGAGATGGTCACCTTCTCTCGAGAGCTCTTGGAAACATTCTCCCAGATAGATTTCAATCTCTTAGGTGCAGCCTTCATCATAATCTGAATTTCTTTTCAAAATTCATATCTTCGAATTCTTATTTTTTTCGAATATCTTTCTCATTCTTCTTTTTAAATCTTAAATGTCTTAAAGAGTACTTTAAATTGAATTTTCATAAAGGGTTGCACTAAACATTTACAATAAAATAGTATTCTTTTATCTTTACCGGAGCATCAAGTATAAATAATGGAGATATGGCGTTTGTATATTTGGGAAAATTATCAAAAATAACGTTATTCAGATTTTTTAAATAGGGTACCTCATTTAATGGTAGCTCTCTTGAAATTACTCTGACAATCCCTTTTCAAGCATATTGGATTTTCTCACATTAGGAAATTCCATACTGTCGCCTTTGAAGGTTCATCCTTTGTGGGTCTGTATCCCCCTTCTCTGTTCATCCAACTGGTTTTTCTTTTTACTACCCTTTTTTGGCTAAGTCATCCTAATCTTTAAAATGAACAAAGATTTAAGTATGAATGATTATATTGAATGGAGTCTTGGTGCATAGATTGATCTTAACCTAGGAGTCTGAAATAGATGGGAGATACAACTGACGCGGCCCGCCCTACCATATGATTATACATGCTTTGCAGACGGGTACTTCATTTGTATAAGAAATATTCAGAATAGGTTATTGAATACGCGGTTACATCAAACAAATAATTCTTATTCAAATGAATTACCGTCTGCAAAGCATGTAAAATTATATGGTAGGGCGGGCCGCGTCAGTTATATCTCCCTTCTATTCCATACTACTTAATCTTAACCCAAAGAATATAAAAATATATAAATATAAGACTAGTTTGAGAACCCAGCGTTGCCCATGGTACTCTTATACATAGTCACTTCCACAGTTTACCCGCGATTCTTCGTAAATTACGATTTTAGCTATTTTTTCATGTAAAGGTGGACCCTCTCAACTTAGAATCTCAAACCCAAGCTAGGAACATTCCCTTGGGTCTCCCCACAAATATACCGGGTGTCTCAAAAAAAACTGTGCAGTAGGGGTATTAGTAACTGAAGAAACAATTTTCGTTTCTGAAAGCCTGAAAGGCCCGGCGAAGCCCATGAAAAAAAAATGTTGAACAAAATCTAACTTTTATTTGACTATGTCACCCCCAGGCTAAACAAGAGTATTCACAAAAAATTTCAGCCCATTTGGTTCAGCCGTTTGGCCGGCCACAGGGAACATAAACATGAATCTCTTGTTTCATATCTTAGGACAGCTTAAGTGCCCGGCGTTGCCCGTGGAAAAAAAATGTTAAAAAAAAATTGAAATAAAAAAATTCGATTTTTTAGGCTTTGTCACCCACAGGCTACCCATTAGTGTCCACAAAAAATTTCAGCCCATTTGGTCCAGCCGTTTGGCCGGCTATCGGAAATTATTTGTATTTTAAGGGCCTGTCAACGTATTTTCAAGTGATCCTCATTTTATACCGTTACAAGACAAATTGGAAAGTGTAAAATTGTCTCTTTATCATATTTCCTTTGTTGTAAAAATCCAGAATTGTCACTTTTTTCAGATTACCGCAATTTAAAATTATCGATTTTCAAATGGAAAAACAAGGAAATCAACCATTTGTGCCCAGACAAACTACAAAAGTTTAAAAGGTACCGTTGTGAATCAGATATGCCACTCTTTAGACACAGATTGCAGAAGCTACAGTTCTTTTTAAAAGAAAGAAAAATGTTGGAAAAATTTTAGATATTGAAAGAACCGAAATTGACTAAATAATAAAGTTTTCGTCATTTTTTATAAAAAAAAGTTAATTTGTTTTGATAAAAATGTGCCATCTATGTTTTTTGGGAACCCCTGTAAATTATAGAGTTTAGTTCATGGTGAAATTTTACTTCCTTTTGTAAAGAATAATTGTGGGAAACATCGTGTGAACGCGTGATATGGGTTTGCAAATTTTATGCGAATTGAAGCGAGTATATGATGATGTCAAGTGCATGTGCAAATTTTATTGTCAACCTACGTCCTGATTATTCGCACTTTTGACCTGATTTCAAAGAAACAATATTTTTTTATTTCTTTAACTTTCTTACTTTAAATTCTTCTTTTTTGACTTATCTTAAACCATTGTAATGTGTTCCTCCTCGCAGATCCCATTATCCATGAATTAGAAACTATCTTAAATTCGAATCCCATTTAACTTTTTCATTTTTACATTTTCTAGTTCGTTATAGTCTTATTCTTTATGATCTTTTTCTTTTTACATTTTCTAGTTCTTTATAATCTTATTCTTTATATATGATCTTTTTCTTTTTACATTTTCTATTTGTTCGTTATAATCTTAACATGATCTTTTTCTTATTACATTTTCTATAGTTCGTTATAATCTTATTCTTTATATATAATATTTTTCTTTTTACATTTTCTATAGTTCGTTATAATCTTTATACATGATCTTTTCTTTTTACATTTTCTAGTTCGTTATAATCTCATTCTTTAATTCTGAAACTTGAAATTCTAAAAATAAAAGACATGATCAAATTTAATTCTGCTGTTTTTATGTTTAAATATATGAATGGCAAACTTCCATTATCTTTTAATGGAATTTTTTTAGCGTTAGCAGAACCAAACAGAACAAAAAGTTATAAATTAGAATTAGTTCACAATAAATATCTAGAAAGTTTTCCTACGGTTTTTCTTCCAATGACCTGGAACTCTATTCCATTGGAAATAAAATCATTAGGCACCCTAGCAAGTTTTAAAACAACTCTTAAAAAAAGTTTTCTTGAAGAATATAATTATTTTCGTTTTATGAATCGAAATTGCTTTTCTTGCTAAATCTTGATTCTATCCCCTTTCCCCTGTTATTATAACAAAAAAAAATAAAACATAAACATTATAAACTTTGTGTGCTGGGCCCCTCCCCCCCCACGATCCATTCTTCTTCTTTTTCTCTCTAGTCTTCAATACCTTTCCTCTATCTACTACTTTTCATTTTCCTCCTTTTCCTTTTGTTTTAAATTGTTTTTGTTTTAATTGGTTTTATTTAAATTGAACATGGATGTATCGCTGCAGAATGGCCTCTCATTCAAAACAACCAACAATGGTTAGAGAGGCCCTGGCTAAATTATAATGTAAAAATTGTGAAACTTAAATATATATCTATCTATCTATATGTGATCTTTTTCTTTTTACATTTTCTAGTTCGTTATAATCTCATTCTTTATATGTGATCTTTTTCTTTTTACATTTTCTAGTTTGTTATAATTTATTTTTATACATGATCTTTTTCTTGCGGTTTTTTCGTAACCGATTGGAAAATTTTTAATTTTATGTAATTCCAAATTGTCTACGTACCACTGTACACTCATTTCAAGTACCGGGCTGACATTTAACCAGCCAGAGAAGGCTGTACAGTCCAATTACAGACTATGTAAGGCAACCCAGTACGGTACGCCAAACGAATAATCTCCAGCTAGTGAAGTTTATATGATACATCTGACATAAATGATACACAGAATTGATTTTTTTTCACTTTTCATTGATTTGTCCGTTAAAAATGCACATTGTAGATGCAAAATCTTTTAATCTTCTCTTTTCTTATATTTTTATACAATCACTCAAGAAATTTAGATTATGAGGAATCCCTTTTAAAAACTATAAACACCTTCTTAAATAAACACTTGCAATTGTTTAGATCTCGGCTGGGGTCGAGGGGGTCAGTATCCTGGCTGTTTATGAAGGTCAACATTAGACGAATTCTCATCAGTCTACAGAGCTATTTCAGGTAATGGAAACTGGGAAAAGTTTAGTAAACGAAAGGAAATTAATGAGAATTATCGGAATATTTCGTTAACGGAAGGTTCCAAAAATAATGTTATTCAAAAAGTAATAATTGAAAACCTAAAGGTAAGGTTCCGTTTGCGAAGTGACAGTTTTTAAAATTAACAGAAAATTCTGCTCACGAACGGGAAGAATTGTTAAGTAACTCGTTAAAAATGAACGATCACTGATCAACGTTTAAAACGACTCTACTGTTTAAATTTTGATTTCAACCAAATTCTTTTTTTAATTACAAATTTACAAGTAAACAATGAGAAGCTGTAAATTGACATATTCTCTTTGTTTCCATGTTTACGTGTACCCATGCTATTTGAAAGTTTGATAGAAACCATAACAGAAATCGAACGTCGTCTTCATTGTATTGATATATATGACGACGACCATACACTACAGGATTGCCCACAATGAATGACACTGGAAAGACGAGTTGAAACACTTACAATATGACGATTCCAAGTTCATATTAATTTATGTTGAGACTTCTGCCTTGAATGTAGTCTTCATATGGTTTATTTTATAACTTGTCAACTTTGACAGAACGAAGTGCATAATAAACAGACAATATGAATTCTGTACAGTCGTCTCTGAAGTCTTATTCTTTGTGGGTAACCCTGTATCTGCATATAAAGGCCAAAAGGCGTAGTCAAACCACATATCTGTCTCATTTACAATTATTTATGGAATATACGTTTTATATTACTGTCCAACGAATATACTTCACTTAGATATCACAGTATCACACCACTCTAAAACCTGCATGATCCGATCCGTTAAAACATCTACAGTGTACAGTCGACCTACCACGTTTAATGCAACAAATGTAGCCTGGCAAGATCACAGTCATATATTACGACAATTTATTTGTTAGATCCTATTTTACTCTGCGACATAGAAATCCAGATTCCAAAAATTGTCAATTTTATTTCTGAAACTTCGATCCACTCTTTTTGATACAACATTTCATATTTACGATGAAAATTAAAAAATAAACTTTTTTAGGCATTAATCATCCGTATTATGCATCTCCGCTATCTCCGTTATTATCGATCAGAGGCCGAATTTAAAGAATTAGAGCCGCGGCATAAATATAAGCCGCGGCTTAAATATGGTTGTATCCACTTAAAATTGTATTCAATTTTTCAATATTTAAGCCGGCGATCAATTGAAACCGGTTTTTGGGGATTTGAGATGCGGCTTAAATTCATTAAATTCGGACACTGCAGGACACATTTGTAAATCTGACATATCCCATAATTATTACCACAATGTTATGTCGTCTTCTTCTCTAAAATATAATGACCAGTTTATTCATTCAGGCAATATCTTGGTGTACAAATCAATGACGCACGAATACCTGATATATTCAGGTCAGTTTACGATGTACGCTACAAAAATATGTTCAATAATATAAAAAAAACTTGAAATCCATTTAATTTTTATGGTAAGGTGGTAATGTTGAAAACTTCAATTTCTTATATAATCTTAATTTTCTGATATTTATCTGTATTGTGAATATTTAGGATTGCTAGGGATGGAGACAAGAATGAAATTATTAAACTTCTTTCATTAATTCTTGGATGTGCTGTTACCTGCAGGTTCCATCAAAAACTTAAAGAGACTGTGTGTGTATTTTGAAGTGACTTTCCAAGCAAAGTTAGCAATGCCCGATTTACATTGGTACCCTTCAGGCCTTAATCTGATCAAAAATGTGGTAGATAACTTATTTCTGACTAGAAAAGGTTTTATTTCTGTGAATTTCTCCATTATTTCTCTGAAGCAAGAAAAGTGGAAGTCATTTTTGCCGAAAAACCACAAAGGATAAAAAAAACAGAGCTGGGAACTTTTGAATGGTGGATATCGGTATTAATGCTTGATCCTCTCTTTTTCTTAATCGCAAGATTAAATAATGCTTATTCTCCTCATGTTATTAATCTCCAGATTAATTAACAGATCGGGATTAAGGATATCCCATTCTAAAGTTTTCAGCTCAGAATAAATAAACAATACATGGATATATAATTCATACTTGATCAGACAGGCTTTCAATGGTACCGTTGTAAATCGGGTATTGCCATCTTTGCAACTACGCCTACATACAGTTCCCTATATTCCAATTATTCATCATTCAATATTTTACATTTATGAATTTTAATTATCTATTTATCAGGAATAGGTTGCGACATGTTGAAAACATAATGGGTCTTCAACCTGATGACAAAGCAGAGGTTTATATTATTTTTATAAATCAAATTAGTTTTTAAAACTTTTATTTAATCAGAATAAACAATTGTCGTCTTCTTACTTCTGTGTACAGGGCGTAATTAAAAAAAAGTTTAAAAAATTTACTAGCTTAGTCTGTAAGCGAAGAACGACAGTATCTTGAAGTTGTGTTATCACTGCAGGTTCTGCTGATATTACGTAGCCTTGATCTTGAGATGGGTGTACTGCAAGTAAACAAACTGTACAACAATCTAAAGGTAATATTTGATCTTTAGATGGATGTACTGCAAGTAAATAAACTGTACAGTGTACAACAATCTAAAAGTAAAATTCACAGACTAACCAGACTGCTCTATGCTCTACCTGGATAGGCTTTTCAGGCCTATAGTGTTCCAGCACGCCATGCTACAGTTCCATGAAAGGTTTTTTGATTGCCATCTAACGGCCACTTGTTGCGTATAATACCATTTCAAAGGGTTAGGTTTTACAACTTTTAAAAAATACTCCAATTTAGTTAATTTTTGAAGATTTAATAATAATATTTCACCCTGCATTTAATTATATTGGTTCACCCTGTATTTATTTATAATGGTTCACCCTGTATTTAATTATAATGGTTTACCCTGTATTTAATTATATTGGTTTACCCTGTATTTAATTATAATAGTTCACCTTGCATTTAATTATAATAGTTCACCCTGTATTTAATTATAATGGTTCACCCTGCATTTAATTATATTGGTTCACCCTGTATTTAATTATAATGGTTTACCCTGTATTTAATTATAATGGTTCACCCTGCATTTAATTAAATTGGTTCACCCTGTATTTAATTATAATGGTTCACCCTGTATTTAATTATAATGGTTCACCCTGTATTTAATTATAATGGTTTACCCTGTATTTAATTATAATGGTTCACCCTGTATTTAATTATAATGGTTCACTTCAGAGAGGGGAGGAAGACCAGCCACAACAATTTCTAGTCCGAGCCACATTCTTCTCATTTTCTCGTCCGAGCCACCTCGAAATCCTCGTCCTTCTTTTTAAAGTGTTCAATTCTTCAAGATAAAACAATTTTCTAAGAATCAGGTCACGTTAGAGCTTAAACGAAAAATTAAATTTTTGTAAATCGAAACCAATACTTTCATAGAATTAAATTTTTTGAGTGGAATGTCCTGGAAAACATGCCCCTTTTTCACGCGCATTTTCAAATTATGTAGGTGTGGAATGCCGCAAAAAATTCCAAGTTTATAGCTTTAATCTTTTTTTTGATTATAGCGAAAATCATGAATTTTTTCGGGTGGTTCCATGGGGAAAATTATAGGCAGAGGTATGCAAAATATGTAGCTATATATTTTGTACCACGAAGGTGCTTACGAAGGCAGAAGAGATTTAAGTTTTATCTAAATAAAGTTTGAGATCATTCTCAAGGCTTTGAAGATTTCAACATGATGTAATCATTGCAATACTTTAGTCTATCCATATTTTATGCCCTAACGTGGCCTGATTTTTTAAAGATAACCTTATATTCAAGAATAAGAAACTTAAAAACACATTATAAGCGAAGGACGACGATTTCGAGGTGGCTCGGACGATAAAATGAGGAGAATGTGGCTCGAACGAGAAATTGTTGTGGCTGGCCTTCCCCCCCTCCTTCGGAAGTACAATTATTGCTACTCGATCTAAATACATGATAAATAACGAGTGTATAAAAGGAGAGGAAGATGAGTAGGTCTTCTCTGCTTCAAGAATCCACCGCTACTTATTTGCGGATTTTATAATCCTCTTTCGGGGATTTCATATCCTCTACATCACCCTGTATTTAATTATAAACTGAGATCAAGCTTCATTGTCTTGTTTAATATTAATGTATAATGATCTTTTAATCCTTTAATGAGGTCGTAACTCATTGTCTCTCTTAAAGAGATTGTTAAGAAAATTAAAGGGACTGTACTCTTAATTTCAGGTGACCCTCTATGCAAAGATGGCAATGTCCGTTCTCAAAAACTTTATCGGATCAAGTATGAATTAGATATGCATGTTTTTGTTTACTTAAACTGTTTATTTTATTTGTGGTTTCTCCGCAAAATGGACTTGTTCATTTCTTGCTTATTAGAAATAATAGAGAAATTCACAGAAATAAACGCTCTTTCAGTCAGAAAAATAACGTTTTCTTTCACGTTTTTAATTCAGATTAAGGTTTCAAGGGTACTGTTGTAAATCAGGCATTGCTATCTTAGCATGGAGGGTCACTTAAACCTATGCTTACAGTCCCTTTAAGCAAAGAAAATGGTACTATTTGTGCAGAAAGGGTTTCTAATTTTCTATTTAATTGGTTTTCACCCCTTTCCCCGCATCTTGTTCAAAATCAATATTTAACGAAATAATGTAAATCTTATCAAAAGTTTGAACCTCCAAGTAATGATTTTTTATACTTTAATGACGACCTTCAACTCTTTAAATACTTTAGATATTACCATTTAGATATATAATTTTTGGTAAGCTGTCTCTAATGGTTTATTTAATGATTTGGTCAAGATTATGAAATTGTTAAGCTGCGGGGAGCCAGCAAAGAAAGAAAGTCTCTGAAGTCTCATCCTTTTTGGGTCTCCCTGTATTTGCATGATTTTAATCAAAGCATCTAAGTTTACCTATTAAAGTGCGTATATATGCGTATAATTTAATATATTCTATATGCATTGCATAATAATATTACAATTCCTTCATACACGACTTACGCACCTACTCTATACAGTATACACCTCCTAAATTTATAAATAAATCTCGCTAAACTAAAGTAAATGCTCTATATTTGAAATCTTTTACGTTATTAATTCGGAAAGTTGCAACATTCAACTCGGATCATAAAATAATAAATTTAATTCCAAACAAATCATTCAGATATTATAACCAATAGTCATCGATTATTTTTCGACGCATTCGTATATAGTTAATATTTCATAATATTTTTGATTTTGTTTTTTAAAAAATAATTTTCGCTGGTGCTGGATATTCGAACATTCCCGGAAAATATGAAAATGTCGTCTTCATTTTCAAAAATCCTCGAAACAGGAATAAATGTTTTCAAAAGTAACTCTCAGATCATGAAAAATACAAAATATTATGAAATATCAACTATTTACGAATGCGTCGAAAAATAATCGATGACTATTGTTTGTAATATCTAAATGATTTGTTTGGAATTAAATTGATTTGTTTACGATCCAAAATGAATGTTGCATCTTTCTGAATTTGTATGGACACTACGTTCTTTGGTATTAGTCGTTTTTAACAATTTTCTCCTTATAGACGCAACGGATAGAAGTAAGATTAGTAGCGATCAAAAGCGCATTAAGCCTATACCCCCTTTCATCTTTCGCAAACACTCCCTTTAACCATAACTATTTTTATTTAAGAGGTATTTAGAAGAACAAAAAGGTTTTGTATTTCTTCTATGGAACTGAGCTGAAAATGAGATATCCTTAATCCCGATTACTTAATCTGAGTATCCAATGGACACACTTTTGATTTTCTTCTTAAACTGTTCTTTCTAAGGTATAGAAGAGAAAAATCAAAAAATGGTTTTTCAAAATTAGAGAGTCCCTCTCGTTTCTGTATATTAATCCTAAATGGCGCGCAAAATTTCAAATTTACCGGCTTCTGATACCCGACTCTGATTGGTTGAATTTTATACACTTTTCAGGATACAAGTATAAAATTAGGTTAGTCTCGATATTAAGAAAAAGAGTGGATCAAGCATTAATCTCGATATCCACCATTCTAACGTGTTCAGCTCGGGATAAATTTGCGTTTCTCACACTTATGCGTAAATTAAAAATTAGAGAAGCTGTAGAGGTCATAAAGTCGTTTCAGTAATTTCCCATAAATTTAACATTCTTCCTCTGCCTAGTTCACTGTGACATTTCTTTAAAGAAAAAGATATCATTCATTCTTCTTCAATACTTTATTTCTGTATTTTAACAAATTTTCAATCTATAACGGTAACATTATTCAGTGATAAAATTTTCCTTTTAGAGACTTATAATTAGTACTGATTTTTACTGGAATCATAAGATACACTACAGTAATTCGTAAATATAATAGTATCCACAAGCTCACCTTATTCTTCCCTATCTTTAAATATGTCAGCAATCCCTTTAAAGGGGCTGTAAGTGTAGTTAAAAGTGACCCTCTATTTGATAGCAATTCCCGATTTGCATCTTGAAATCTTAATCTGATAACAAATGTGGAAGATACCGTCGTTTTTCTGAATTTAAAAGTGTTTAATTATGTAAGTTTCTCCATTGCTTCTTACGATAAGAGAAGCACAAGTCACTTTCGCAGAGAAACCGAAAATGAAAATTAAGTGTTTAAAGAAACAAAAACATTGATATGTTTTATACTTGACTAGACAAAGCTTTTAAGGGTACCGTTGTAAATCGGGCATTGCCATCTATTCAATTTGCATGGAGGGTCATTTGAATTTACGTTTACATTCCCTTTAAGTTGTAGGATATGTGTACTATAGGTTGTGTATATAGGTTTCATGACACATGTTTGATTAGCAATCTTCAACTTGGCTCCTACAATAAATTCAAATATTAACTTTTATGATAATTTATCCGCCAAATTATGAATTATCATGCATTGTAAATTGTAATACCCCCTCCTCACCCAGCCCACCCACGCTTAACTTTATTATTGTTAGAACATATGCATGCGCTGCTATCATATTTATCACTTGCGCTTGGACTATCATTTATCAAATTCAGTCAAATCAATGATTATTTGGTATAAACTGTTTGGATTAGCGTGAACTGGTTATAGATTACCGTGATACCGATAACTGTTTGGATCACCGTGATATACAGATAACTGTTTGTATTACCGTGCTATACAGATAACTGTTTGGATTACCGTGCTACAGATAACTGTTTGGATTATACAGATAACTGTTTGGATTACCGTGCTACAGATAACTGTTTGGATTAAGGTGCCATTAAAAATTGTTTGGATTAGCGTGTATACAATCCAACCAAATGTTTAGATTAACATACTACAATCAGCTGTTTAAATTAGCGTGCCACAACGAACGGTTTGGATTAGCGTTTATGCTACAAGTCAACCAACTGTTTGAAACAATTTGAATAGTTTGAATACCTCCCTTTTCAACCATTATTTAACGAATATGCAGTTTTACTTTGATGCAATTCGTGCAATCTTGATTCGTATCAAATTACTTTTAAATATACACTAGATGATAATTTTATTCAAATTTTATAAGTGTGTAAATGCTATATGTACATGATCGATATTATGAGTTGAGTACTATAATCTACATAAATAATACGTATTCAGAAACGTATATACAATGAGATGTCAAATATCAATACATTTTTTTAAAAATAACATTTTACAGAAAATATATAACTTATATCTCTCCTCTAGGACCTACAGTTGAGGGAGAAGGAATGCGGAGAAACTGTAGAAACCAAATCTGTCAAAATCCCAAAATGCGCGAAACAATTAGTAGAAAATGGCGGGAAACAATTTTCAGAAAATGGCTGCCAAACAACAACCCAAAAAAAACAAGATGGTTGGACACAAAGCAATCTCCCGCATCCACGAGTTGACGCATTGCGTAAGCTGAAGCGTGAGAGATCTGGAAGAATAAAGAATGCTGGGTATCCTGCTGGGTTCAAAACTCTAGGTTAGATCAAACAGCACAGAGAAGATACAGATTTAGAGAATCAACACAAAATTTTTCATTATTTTGCAACCTTTATACTTAACTAGCATATGATCTCCTCAATCAAAGGTTAAACAGACAAAATGGAGGAGAAAAGACCAAGTCAAAAAGTCAGATTATGCTCTAAAGTTATTTTATTCTAAAATTACACAGATGTTCATTACATTGGATTTTTTTTAACACTTCCTGATTTTTCGTCTTTTCTTTTTTAGGGAATGTAGGTTATTGACGTAGTTTCAAATGAACTTCTATATAAATAATGGAATGTCGAATTCACAACGGTTCTTTTAAAGCTTCGGTTTGATTAAGGATAAAGGAGTTATCCATAGTGATGGGTATAGTTATTTTTTATATAACGAAAAGGTAACGTATAGAAAAAAACGAATGATGGACGAACTTAATGGATCGTTCAAAGAAGTGAAAAAGTATTGCTTTAAAATAACGAACGAAAAAAACGATAAATAATTGTTCAAACGAATTTGAAAATAATATTGTTTTACTGAACGATCGTTCAGTGAGAAAACAAATGGAATGGATGGAAGATTAACAATAATTTTGAGAATAAACGAAATAAATTTTTTTGAACAATTGAAAAAAATAACGAAATGGGTTATTGACAAACGATGAACGAACGAGATGAAAATAGTAGAACGTGCACATCTCTAGTTATCCGTGTTTTTCCAGCAGAAAATTCATTTAAGGCTTCGTTGAGAACTAGAGGGGGAGTCACTCAAAATTCCGAGCACAGTCCCATTAAAGCTTTTCATGCCGGAGTCAGGCACATGCATTTTTAACAGACAGACCTACAACAAAGAATGTACAATGCATGCTGATATTTTGACGTTAAAATGAGTACAACATAGAAAATATATCCCAACAAGGAAATATCAAATTTGAATATTAATATTTAAATGTCATATTCTCACATCAAAACTTCAAGTTAAAGAAAAAAAACATGAAATGAAATGTAATCGGTTTTGCTTTTTCTATTTAGCTTTTTTTCAGGTGTGAAAGAATTGAAAACGGATCCTATAAATACATTAAGGTTACTAAAATCATTTTTATTCAAGAAAACATATTTTTAAATGCGTTATTAAATTTTGTTTGATGGAATTTTTTAAAATAATTAATTTTTTAGCAGAACATCTGAGATAATTGATGTTGATGCTGAATGCTGGGAGGAAGGAGAGGAGGATATCAATGATGAAACTGAAAACAAGGTTGATCTTGATAAACCTGCCAACCAGGTTGAGACCTATGCAAGGATTGATCAGCATGATTTGTCACGATGTGTCAACATATCAACTGAGGAATATGAAAAAATTAACAACCAAATAGCAGCTAACGAAGCTGCAGAAAAAGCTGCTAAAACAGCTGCTATGCATGCCAAATCAGCAGCTGCTGCAGCAGTGGACAATCTTGAGAAAGCTTTGAAGGAAATGATTGCCAAGGATAGGATAATCTTAGATCTGGAAATCCAGGTTACAAAGATGAAAAGTGCTAAGGGAATTGCCAGTAAAAGGTAATTTTATATTTTTTATTTAATTTTTTATAATGGTCTTGATCTTGATCTTGATCTTGATCTTGATCTTGATCTTGATCTTGATCTTGATCTTGAGAACTTGATCTTGAGAGCTTGATCTTGATCTTGATCTTGATCTTGATCTTGATCTTGATCTTGATCTTGATCTTGATCTTGATCTTGATCTTGATCTTGAACTTGATCTTGATCTTGATCTTGAGAATTTGATATTGATCTTGATCTTGATCTTGATCTTGATCTTGATCTTGATCTTGATCTTGATCTTGATCTTGATCTTGATCTTGAGAATTTTATCTTGATCTTGATCTTGATCTTGATCTTGATCTTGATCTTGATCTTGATCTTGATCTTGATCGATCTTGATCTTGATCTTGATCTTGATCTTGATCTTGATCTTGATCTTGATCTTGATCTTGATCTTGATCTTGATCTTGATCTTGATCTTGATCTTGAGATCTCGATCTGATATATTTAGATTTTAAGATCGTGTTAGTAATTATTCTGATCTAAATCTATGTAGGTTTGTGAAATCAAGTGCTAGGATCCAGGAACTATTGAGTACAATCGAGATTCTTCAAGCAGAGGTCAACAACCTCCGACTTGACCTCAGCTCGACCAGGGATAGGTCTGAAGAGGTCAATGAACTCAAGGAAACTTTAGGTACTATTCAGTTGAACCCTAAATATAGAATACATCGGGAGAATTTATCAAATGTCGCCTTGAACATTTTTTAATGGGTTTTGCCACTTCGAATCTTATAACTAGAAGTAAGTATCCCTAAATCTCAGTAACCGTACTGAATGTACTGAAGCTGTCGTATATTTTTTCAAGCTCTAATTCAGCATTAATCTACAGAGGAAGCTGCTCGAAGCTTAAAAAGGGGATATATGTAGGTTACTACAACAATATAAAAATTTCATTGCTGAAAGTGATATTTTTCCCCGAATACGAATTTTTTTGTCTCTTTTTTTCTAAAAATAAATAAATAGCCATGAAATATGCTAGGACTGTGAGGACATCTTTTAAGAGCTCCATTTAGATATTTAATCAAAAAAAATATTTGCGGCATTCCATTATCAGGAGATTTAGAAAACATTTAATAAATTTTTCCGATTGGGCGCGATGTATTCTATATTTAGGGTTTAACTGTATTTAAAACACTTTTCATTTTTTACATAAAAGAAAATATAAGGGCCTGTAAGCGTATTTTCAAGTAACCCTCCACGCAAAGAAGATAATGCAAAATTTATAAGTATACCCTTAAAAGCTCTGTCTGATCGAGTATGAATAATGAATATCCATTTTTTGTTTCTATGAACTGTTTTTTTTCATTTGCGTTTTCTCTGAACAATTCTTGCTTTTAAGAAACAATGAAAAAAGTATCAGAATTAAACACTTTTTTCCACATTTTGGATCAGATTATGGCGTCGTTGTAAATTGAGCATAATGATTTGTTTGTGGAGGGTCACTTGAAATTATGATTACAGTCCCTTTAACCCTGATTATTTAACCCCAGGGAGCCTACTGAAGAAGAATGTGAAGATTATGAGTGAAAATGATGCTTTGAGACAACGGATAGAAAACTTAGAAGACGGGCTTAGGTAATTATTGTCAGTCTGTACATTATTCACTATACAGGGATCGGAGTTGATGACCTGCGAGAAGTAGTTGAACTATGTAGAGATGGTTTAACCGCGTATCTCTTAAATTAACTTTAAATTGGTGATTCAAGATTTTAACCAGTAAGCACTGAAGAGATAGTTGAACCGGCGATAGGTAGTTCAACGACCTCTCTTCAATTCATTAAATTATATCCCGGGATTGAACCATCTTCACTATTGGCGGTTATATCAATACAATGAAGACGACCCCTTTTTTAAAGTTTTGATTGTTAACAAGCTTTTTTCTAAAATCAAGTTTACAAGTAATGAAAGAAAAGCTTTTTGATTGACAGCTTCTCTTTGTTTCCATGTCTTAGAGTATCTATGCTGGTTAACAGCTTGATATAAATCAAAATTGAAATCGAAGTCGTCTTCATTGTATTGATACCTGCGACGACGACTGTATATCCATCAAGAACTACTACAAAATTATTTTATTATTAAATAAATTATTATCACGTTCTTCTGAAAAATGTTGGACCCACGTTTTATGTCTTTGAAGATGGTTAACTAACGTTTGTATGATGGGTAATCATTTGGTTTTTTTTCTTCATATTTTTGGCCTTTTAAAAGGTTCCACATAAATCTGAGAAGTTTTAAAAAAATTGTAACAAATTTTATCTTAAATATTTGCTTCTGATACACTTTGCCAAGTTTTAAAACGATCATCTTTTTATTTTTTTTTCCATAGAGAATAGAATATATATTAGAGGGGAATTTAGACAGTCTCTCGGTATAAATTTTTTCCGTCCCTTTCAGCCTGAAAGGGAGTTCAAAGTGTACAAATCATGTAAATGTTCACAAATTATATGCAGTAGAGTACACTAATACAGTATTTTTAAAATTCGGTGATGGTATTAATTTTAGATTTTCTATAAAATGACGTTCCAGGGCCCAAAAGGTTATATAGCACAAATATGTGAAGTACACCTGCAGAATGGAAAACAGTACAACAAAATAGCCGTTTTACACTTTTTTCCAGTAAATTCCCCTCTAATATATATTCTATTCTCTATGGTTTTTTTCCCTTATATTTTTTCTTGCAACCATTCCCATTTCTAACGGAAATGCTATATTCTAGGATGAAATTAAGTCTCCAGGATGGACCACGACAGCTGTCTATCAAGTTTGACTCCGGAGTTAGGTACGAATTTGACTCCGGAGCCAGGTTTGAACATGATCTTGATTCTCCGATATCAGAGTGTAGTTCTGGACTAGGATCTAGTATATGTACTCCGCTGGGATCCCGAGCCTGTACTCCGAGAGGTTCTCTCTTCTCAACTTCACGGAGAGATATCTTTCCGTTCTTTATCCCTGCTCTACAGGATACACTAGGTCAGTAATATCCCTGCTCTACAGGATACACTAGGTCAGTAATATCCCTGCTCTACAGGATACACTAGGTCAGTAGCAAACCCAGAGTACATTTAGAACAATAAAACTGTGGAATAGAAAGACAACTGTTGAAATCAAATATTGATTGTATTGATGAACAGTAATTGTGAAAAGTGGAAAACTATTTGCTAGCCTATAAACCAACATCAAGTATATACAAGGTTATACAAAAAAGATGAGACTTTAGATATGACTGTTATATACATAATTCGGTCCTCAGTTTGTTTATAATTAAAGCGCTTTAGGTCGTTATTAAGCAAAGTGATTAAATACTAAAGTGGACCAAACTCATAGTTGGATGACGACATTTTATGTCCCAAGTATTTAGAAATATGTATATATATATAAATTGGTCTGTATACGGAGTGTACAGTACAACAGAAACTGGACTCCCTTTGTTTACAAACACAGACTTAGAATTCGTATTTAACTTAAATATAAATTAACGTAAATTAAGATTTCAGAAGTGAATTTTAGACATTTTACTGTCCTTATGGCCCAACCTGTCGTCGTTTCCTTAGTCTGTTCCACTTTAGTATTTATTCACTTTGGTTATTAAGTCTCATACTAATTGTGGGTAACCCTGTATATAAGAGTGCTTACATGTTGTTTTCCTTTTCCAGAATTTTATTGGTCTTACCATATATATGGATATTGTGGAACAATAGAACTTGTAAATGAATTAGATCATAAACTTTGGAAATTATTAAATATTCAACCATGGAAGTTATAATTTCTAGCATAGACCGTTCGTAATGGATCCACAGGAGTTTGCTTCTAAAAGAACTAATCCTAGGGTCACTGGAGCAAGGTTGTATAATAAGGTTGCTTACTCTCGATGCGCTCCAATGTACTGGAAATGTCGTCTCCTAAGCATCGAGAGTGTAAAATAACAACCTTGCCCTGAAGTCTGGTTTATAGAGCCCGAATCTTCCCAACTTAACGGGCGTATTAAAGACGTACTAAATATGTCTCCGCACTAAATAGTGTTTGTCCGCTAGATGTCTCCCGTTAGTTGTTTTGGGACGGACAGATTTACTCACGTCACGTAATTTCACCGTATTTTAAAACATGATCCTAACTGTGGTAATAATATGGAAGACGACTTTTAAAACAATTTTTTATTTTTGTTTAGATGACAAGTTGAATAATTGGCATAACAGGGAGGATAGATCGGAGAACAGTAGACGGGACGGAGTAGAGAATATGCAGGACGGAGATATGATAATGAAGGATGAAGAAAGGAGTATGAAGGATGGAGAGGTTGTAAAGTTTGATCCAAGTAGATATCTTGACCTGGAGAGAGAGGCTGAGAGGCTGGTCGACCTGGTCGGGGTTATGGAGGACAGAGAAGAGCAGATACTGGCGGAGGTTAAGGCAGGGTGGACAGAGGCAGATATTGCAAGGCGGAGAGTTAGGTAATGTTGTTACTTATTTTGCTTATCACTGAAAACTGCGGTTTATTTCAAGCACCGCGCCGGACCGACTGTGAACCTACTAAAGAAAGCTGTACACTGTACACAGCAGGGGCGTACGAGGGCTTTTATTTAGGGGGGGGGTCACAATTTGCGCGCGTAAGCGCGCAAAAAAAAAATTTTGGTCCCCCCCCTTGGCAACATTGTGCCCCCCCCCCTTAAAAACCCCTTTTTTGAAAAAATATTAATACTTTTTTAAAATTTTTTTTGCCCCCCCCCTCCCACCTGGACTTGTTTTGTTCACCATAAAAAGACTACATTTTTGGATGCTACTAACCTTAGAGTCTAAAAATTATTCCTTTGCTTGAAAAACTAACTTTTTGACTTTTTAAATTTATCACTTAACTCCATCACAGCTAACTAAATCAATAATCACAGCATCATTAAAAATTATATTTTTACTAATAAACGAAATTTCTTCTGAAATTTTTAGATAGAATTTACTCCATCTACATATTCACCAACTCTTTTAAGCTACAATTTTCTGGGATTTGCTTGCACAAACATTTCAATGATTTTTTTCAGTAGAGAGCTCAGACAGCCTTATATAGGGTGTAAAGCGCTATTAGTGCAAGATCGTTAAGTCTGCTCTCCGTCATAGTACATCTTGTGTAATGAAGTATTCTCTTTAGAAGGCTAAAACTTTTCTCTCCTTGAATTAACAGTGAATATAGACAAATCCTTAGTCTTTGTCATTGTCAGGTGTTACTTTCTAAACGTAGTTTCCTTTTAATTTTTATTTTTGGAACTCCCAGGGGGGGCAAGAGGACTACTACCCCCCCTAGGTACACCCCTGTGCCTGACCTGAGGAAGGGAAATGCAAGCAGATGTAATATTAAAATAGCCTCCCCCATGGGTGCCCCCCCTCAGCCTCTCAGGGGGGGCACGCGTAGAGGGGGGCGGGGGGCGCGGCCCCCCCGCCCCCCTCTACGCCCCTGGTACACAGTACACATACAGACAAAATCAAGCAAAACGGGAATGTACGCCAAATGAATCTAGGGATTAATTTTAATCAAGTTTAATAAGTAATAGGATGACAACATTTAAGCAATCTTATCTGTATTTGATGTTGTTTTAAACAAATAGTTTTACTCCTATCTTAAAAATCAACTTATTCATAAATGGGTCGGTTTACTATGCACAGTCGCTGTTCTTTATGTTCATTGAACTATTTAAAATCATAAATTGAGTCTAAAAAGTCGTTTTCCTATTCTTGAGTTTTCTGGTTTTCACTGTAGCCAACTCAAAGTGGAATCAAAGTCGTCTTTCTTAGAGGGAGTGTAAGAGTAATTGCATTTGATCCTCCACGCAAAGCGGGAATGCGAGATTCACAACGATACTCAGTGGTCTTTTATTTATATTTGTATAATTTAGAGAACTAGAAGGGGAGCTTGAGATTAAGGGAAGACAAGGAGAACTATCTAAAAGATTAAAGAACGTAATGTTGCTGACTGCAGCCTTCGGAGCTGTACACCAAGCTGTACAGGCAGAAAATATGCTGGAGTGTATACCAATGTAGAGTTCTCCTGTACACTGTACATCTAGGTGTACAGCAGAAAACATCCTGGAGTGTATACCAATTTAGGGTTCTACAGTATACTGTACATGTAGCTGCACAGCAGAGAATACACTGGAGTGTATACTAATGTAGAGTTCTACTGTACACTGTACATGTAGCTGTACAGGCAGAGAATATGCTGGAGTGTATACCAATGTAGATTTCTCCTGTACACTGTACATGTAGCTGTACAGCAGAGAATATGCTGGAGTGTATTCCAATGAAGTCTGCTGTACACAATTCTTTATTTGGAGTACATTTAAGTTTAGATTTTACTTTACATGATTAACAGTTTTAGAATAGATGCAATAATATAACAAAAGTAGAAATATTTTAATAATGTATCGGCGCTCTACTTAAAAAAATGTAATTTTAGGATAAAAAAATAAAAGATGAAAATTGGAAAAAGTAGTACTTTAACTCTTATTTTGAATTTATAAACTCAATTTTCGTATTTTGTTCTCTACTTTTAAAAAAGATATAGAATTGACAGAGTTCTAAAGATAGTACATGGCTTGATTTTCTTCGCAATACTATGAAATACTCATATATTTATTTATTTAGTTCAGTTTCTATAGTTCAAAGTTCTTAAATAATAATATTGGGATTATTTTGTAAATTTTAGAATTCGTGTATTTGTATTTCCCTCAACAGGCCCCAAAACCTTTCTTTTTTGAAAAAAGTGTATAACGTAGAAAAATACCACAAAAACACGTTCTAAAAATTTTGGTGCTGGTTTACTTGAAAACTGTATCTTGTACTCGTTCTTGAAATAAAAATTATAAAATTTGTTTTTATAAATTTTTAAGGTGTTGGGTATTTTTCCCAAAGGCATTTTCCCAAGGGCGACTTCCCAAGTGACAATTCCCCAAGAAGCAGACTTCCCAAATATGCAATTTCTCAAGCGTCAACTTCCAAAGGTTAGGTTAGCCCTTCTGAGGCGCCGCAGGCTGCACCATGAGGGCTGAGAGCTGCAGTTAGGATGGGCTTGGGTGCCTAGCGCTGCGGCTAGAACAGGCTAGGGGGTCGAACGCTGCGGCTAGAGCAGACTTGGGAAGTTGCCGCTTAGGAAATGGCAACTTCTTTCTTCCTTAGTCAAATTATCTAGAAAGATTTCTATACAACGATAATTTTCCCATTGCTGCTCAGATTTAGATTTAATGGGTATCTTTGTGACTTGGACATGCAAGAATGCAGTAAAACCGTAGAGTAACAGAAGTTGATCGTCTCAAAAGTCGCGTCATTTATGGGTAACCCTTTATGTCTGTTTGTGTGTTTTGTATGTATATACAAATGAACAATACTATACTTCTATCAGAATACATGTTACAGTTCTTTACAGATGTTATTCAAGGCTGGTTAAAGGGACAGACCGGCTATGTAACGTCGACTTTGCGCTCAAACTCAGGATTTACAGATCTTTCAAAAGGTAAATATGTCTCAATACTCAGTTTAACTACCTTACATAGCCGGTCTGTTCATTTAATCTGTACTAATCTACCATCCCAAAACCCGAATTTTTAATTATATGCTTTTGTTAAATAGGTTATTTGAGAAAGCATCACAATTAAAATGGTTGATTCTAAATTTGATTTATTTTCAATTTTGTAGAAAATCGAAAATTACCCCGAACATCAGAAAAAAACAATTTAAGCTTTTTACAGGTTTTTTGGCAAGCAAAACTGACTTTTAAACAGCAAAACAAAAAATACAACTATGCAGGAGCCTATCAAAACATAAAGAGAAAAAGGTTTCATTAAATTCAAAATTTATTCTAAAATAATTTTAAAAACAAAGATTTTAAAAGTGTTGTTTGCATGTTACAAAATTTGAAAAATATCCCAGTATTGGGACTAAGAAACAACTTAGTATATTTACTCTCATTAAGTATGGGTTTAGACCTAGGCATGATACTGTACAGTTTAACTTCAAGTATGGGTTTAGACCTAGGCATAATTCTGAACAGTTTAACTTCAAGTATGGGTTTAGACCTAGGCATAATTCTGAACAGTTTAACTTCAAGTATGGGTTTAGACCTAGGCATAATACTGAACAGTTTAACTTCAAGTATGGGTTTAGACCTAGGCATAATACTGTATCAAGTATGGGTTTAGACCTAGGCATAATACTGAACAGTTTAACTTCAAGTATGGGTTTAGACCTAGGCATAATACTGAACAGTGTAACTTCAAGTATGGGTTTAGACCTAGGCATAATACTGAACAGTTTAACTTTGGGAATTATTTAGCTAAAAGAATACAATTCGTGACTTGTGAGTATTGTGAGAGAACAGAATCTTCACTAGAAGGTCGGAGATACCTCAAGGTTCTGTGTTTGGACCTCTCCTGTTAATTTTTGAAATGAAATGGAATTCAATCCATTTTAGAAATATGCCTTTTACTTAGATACAAATTGGACAGTCATATATCATACTGAAGATATATATTACAGCAAAATTCACTTTAAATCTGGGTTTTCTGATGAACATTTGATGTTAAATATACTCATTGAAGATTCTAAGTTCAAAAATTAGAGTATTATGTGTAAATAGATATTATTAGCTTGATTTCAAATCCATATTAATTCTTTTAATATTTCATCTATTTTTTATACAAACAGAATAGCTGTAAGCGTAAAAAGTGTTTTTTACGGAAATGTTGAAGAGATTCTCACAAAAGAAACAGGAATAAGATTCCAGAGAATATTATCCTGACACAGAGATTACTACTCTTCATTTGGCAAACTTATTCGCAAAATTGCGCATTTTTTCGTGAAAATGAATCAAGCAAAAAAAATTCGAAATTTGAAAAATAATTTTGCGAAAAACTAAATTACACAAAAAACATGGCAGCAAAAATTAATTGCGCAAAAGAACTTGTGGAATTCTCTGCTCTGAGAGCCATTATAAATTTTATTATATCATATTTAATAACTTCTCTTCAGTATTTATTTCGCAAAATTTTCGCGTTTTTCGAGAAATTTTTGCATTCATTTTTTCAGAACAATTTCGCATTTTACGTAAATCAAATTAAAGTGCGAAATATCGCATTCTTCGCGAGCGAACAAAATGCGAAATTTTCGCAAAACGATTTATCCTTTTCACTGGAAATCCTACTCTATATATATATAGATGCATTCCGAGCAAACATGCATGCATACAGTATATACATAGCATGCAGTTCCCAATTCAGGTTTTACTGTTGCTTCCTTCACAATTAGGATTAATAAATTGCATCAAAATAAAGGTCAAGTACGCCACAACGTGACCTTGGAACACAAAAAAGAAACACAGAGGTAAAAATTAATAAAAATTATTTAAGAAATTTTGGCTTTATGTAGATTTTAATTTTTCTTTAAAAAATAAAAATCCCCCCCTTCCTTCTCCCCCTCGAAGCTGTTGGTGTCCCGCCCTTGTTGATATCCTTGTATATACTGCTGAGTTAGTTTTGCATAAACCAGTGACCAGTCAACCACTCACAGCCTATACATACTATATTTACTATATATATATATATATATATTATAAAGTGCGAATTTCTGTTTGTCATTTTAAAATGTTGATTGAGGAACTCGGGAGAACCACGGGGATGTTCTCAGCTTGGTTTTGAGATTCCAAGTTTAGCGAGTTAAATGGTTTTGGAATTGTCAGATTTAAAGAGTTTCAGGTCGTCTTTACACTTTCATCCTTTGTGGCTAACCCTATATATTTATCAATACATTATCAGCATCAACAAGAATGGAACTAAGGAGAGGGAGTATGGTTTTTTACATTTTACAGTGAAAAAAATGATAAATTTTCTTGTTATAAAAAATTCATACAGCCGAGAAGCAGTATATTCTTCACGTATACCATTAAAGGGACTGTAAGCGTAATTTAAAGTGACCCTCCATGCAAAGAATACAATCTCCAATTCACAACGGTACTCTTAAAAGCTTTGTCTGATCAAGTATCAATTAGATCTAAATGTTCATAATTTTGAAAATTGATTATTTTCTATTGTGGTTTCTTTACAAAATTGACTTGCACATTTTTAATGCAGAAAAAAAACATTAAAGGAATTATTACAATTAAAACCTAGAAAAACGACGATATTTTCCACAATATTAATCAGATAAAGGTTTCAAGGGTACCTTTGTTTACTACAGATTGCCATCTTTACATGGAGGGCCACTTGAAATTATTATGCTTACAGTCCATTTTAAAAAGAAGTTACTTTCTTTTCCTAGCTATTTAAGAGAATTTCAACTTTGAATATCCACAAAAAGATACCTTAGATTTATAAAATTAAAGTAATAAAAAAGATTCTTGCTGTATTCTTTCAATCTTAAATTTTTTACGCATCTGGGTTATGTTTTTAACCTTTCAGTCTTTAATCACCTCCGGCCCCTCACCCCCCACCACAGAGGGGTATTTGAGGAGTCAGGGGGGGGAGTGGTTTTTGTCACAATACTCCTCTTAAAATGCATTTGTCTTGTGTCTCATGTTGAGAATGGACAAAATTAATATATTCTGATAATTTTTTCATTTACAAACATTGTATGAATTGTAGCTAGCATTGATTTATAATGATTTCAATTTATAATTACTTTTTCCGTTCATAAATTTATCATTGAATGGATCCTGTAAACCCGCAATATATTTAGATGTAGTCTTTGTTTCAGCGAGCTATTGCGGAAGAAAAACATTTATTTATAGCAAAAGTACAAGAAAGCACAGCGGTTTTGGGATATTCTAAATATATAAATAGATTCTAACAGTTAAATAGAAAAGATTTAGGGGTGCCAGCAAAACGCCAAAACATTGATGTAGTCAGAGTAGCGTGTTGAAAAATTATATTTTATTATATTAGTTTTCAATGAAATAGCGGGTTTTCGGTCGAAATTCTTAACTAAAACATAATATTTAAACAACTTAGAGACTTCTCTAAAAAAAATTCTTAAGTGGCCAAGCCTTATTAGACATTTCACACCGTCATTTAAACAGCTAAGCTAGCTACATACTTTTTCATTCTAAAAAGAAGAAAATATAAGTCAGTTAAATTCATTTACAGTGAAACCCATAAAACTTAGGAATATGAAAATTAAAGACTTTATAGGCTTAAAGTATGGTTTAAATAGTTCAATGAACATAAAAAACACAACAATTGTGCAGTGTACAGTGTACACGTAGGACACTATTATTACATTCTGACCAGTGTGTGTCTACGATTACATTCTTTTTCATGCTGATCTGCCCGGCCTTTCCCGCTGAATTAAAAAAAAACCTTTGAAAAAAAATCGAAATTTCAAATTTTTTTAGCCCATTAGGTCCAGCTGCTTGGCCTGCTATATATATATGCATAAACATAAGCCAAGAGCTATATTATATAGAGATGCTATTGCAGCTTCTAAAAGGGAGGGACATGTACGTTTGTATGTTCCCAGATTTCTATTATAAATTAAATTAAGATTATTCAAATTTCAGATGCGCAGTTTACACATAGTTGTACTGCTGAGCCTCTGCACACTTCAATATGTACAGGTTAGAGATTTTATGTAAAACAAATATTAAATAATGATTCCCTTCTGATTATCAGAATGTTGTTTAACAACTTATTCGCTGTATACTTTTTTAAAGCACATGCATGATAGTGCATTTTTGGTATCTTTTTGTACAAATGTAGTGCACATGCTTAGACAGTACCCATTTGGTATCACACTGGTACATGTATGTACTGTGTACATTTTTAGGCAGTACCTATCTGGTATCTATATGTACAAGTGTACTGTGTACATGTTTAGGCAGTACCTATCTGGTACATATATGTACTGTGCACATGTTAAGGCAGTACCTATTTGGTACATGTGTGTACTGTGTACATGTTAAGGGAGTACCTATTTGGTATCTGTATGTACAGTGTACATGTTAAGGCAGTACCTATCTTTACATGTATGTACTGTGTACATGTAAAGGCAGTACCTATTTGGTACATGTGTGTACTGTGTACATGTTAAGGCAGTACCTATTTGGTACATGCATGTACAGTGTACCTGTTAAGGCAGTACCTATTTGGTACATGTGTGTACTGTGTACATGTTAAGGCAGTACCTATCTGGTACATGTGTGACCTGTGTGAGACAGGATGGGTTGGATGTATGTTTAAATGTCCGATAGAAGAATATCTCAACAGACACCAGTTTGACGAGTGAGTAAGAAAACATTATCATCCGAGCCGGATATTCCAGATCCGAGCCGGATATTCCAGATCCGAGCCGGATATTCCAGATATATTCCAGATCCGAGCCCGATATTCCAGATCGTATTTTCTATCATTTTCCAATTTTTCATAATTATTTTCAATACCATCTCTATAGAATTATTTATCAACATGTCAACTCACTTTCTATTTCGTTCTCCTATAAATGTCATAATTGCCAATAGGTTTACAATTTATTTTCTGTACGGATTTTCTTTTTATCATATTTTTAAGTTTGTTATTTATTTTGATTTTATTATTTTGATTTTCGTCTTAATTATTATCATTTTGTTTCTTTTTTCATTCTATTATTATTATTTTTTTGTTTTGTTTTGGCTATATTATAGATTTTACATTTATTTTTTTATCACTTTGGTTTTTATTTCACAATCATCTTTTTTAGAAAAAAAACTTTTTAAATTTTTAGCTTTATCACAAAGGAATTTAGTTTTTGCCACAAACTTAAGTTTTCTGTAACCCATTTCTTTGTAACCTGTTGGTTTAAACCTTTGATTTTTCAGATTTAGACAATTTGATTAAACATGATTCATAGTTTGAAAAATCCAAAATTGCAAAGATATCGGGTTAAAAACATTAGAGGTTGTTGCAAAGACTCCATAGTATTTTTCCCCAAGTTTTCATCAATTTAACATATTTAAATTTTCAGTGACAACGTGTATATAGGAATCAAAGATGAGATGGGAGAGAAGAGTTACACAGATAATATAATTGCAGGAAATAAATATATTCTATAATCTAAATATCGTCCTTACTGAGTCATTTTATTTAAAAAAGAGAGGCAATAGGCCCGTCTGCCCGAATAGTAACAGTATCCTTGAAATCTTAATTCTGATAAATATTGTGGAAGATATTACGTTTTTATATCTTGAAAAGTGTTTAATTCTGTTAAATTTGCCATTGTTTCTGAAGCAGGAAATGGCAGGTCACTTTTATAAAGAAACAACAAATGAAAATAATCAATTTTCAAAAACAAAAACAGGGATATCTAATTCGAATACATGATCTGATCTTATAAAGTTTTAAGGATACCGTTCACCCCGGACTAACCAGAGTGAAATGCATTCTGTTTCTATTATTTGAAATCATACTCGTTTTGGCCTATAATTAAACAATATTTAAACTTATAGATTGATTTGTTTTACAATTTTCATTCAAAACGTATATGCCGGCAAAAAAGTATATAAGAAAAAAGGCTAAAAATTTATGTTTATTAGGTCAAATTGTGATCGAAAGTCACAGCTTTTTTTAAATATTGACAGAACCGTTAAATCCACGTGCGTTATGAATCGGTCATTTTTCAATCAATTGTCCCGGGTCCCCTGAATTGTCCCGGGTCCCCTGAATTGTCCCGGGTCCGCTGAAATTACGTTTAGAGTTCTTTTAGTGGTTTATAGTAGTTTATTAACATGATTATTGACATTATCAACTGAATCTCTTCTTATCAACAATAGTAGTTTATCAACATGATTATTGACATTATCAACTGAATCTCTTCTTATCAACAATAGTAGTTTATCAACATGATTATTGACATTATCAACTGAATCTATTCTTATCAACAATAGTAGTTTATTAACATGATTATTGACATTATCAACTGAATCTCTTCTTATCAACAATAGTAGTTTATCAACATGATTATTGACATTATCAACTGAATCTCTTCTTATCAACAATAGTAGTTTATCAACATGATTATCAACATTATCAACAAATTTTCATAACGTAAAAAATCAATTCTCAGCAAATCTTTCAGCAAGTTTTAACTGAAAGATTTTAAAGATTCGTAATTAATGAATTATACAATTATATATATTTGTATTCATGAAATGAAGGAAAGTGGTTTGTTTACATTTTACTATGACATATTGGAAACAATAGCAAAGGTTGTAAATAAAAGATGAAATTTGAAAATATACAAGGCTACCAGGGCGCTCCGGGCGCATCTCCGATTTGAACTTTTAATTGTCCCTAAATCATTCAATTTTTTTCGTGGATTTTCAAAATTTTGCGAAAATCAAAAAAATGTTTTTAGACAACTTTTTGAAATTCTGAGCTCCATAAACCTTCCCTGGGGTCATGTGAGGTCCCACACAAAATGTTGGCCCAATCGGTTCAGCTGTTTTTACGTTTATTGGATACCAACAGACAAGCAAAGTATATATATATATATAGTAGATAGATATAAGTTACTAGGCTTTTCGGGCGCTTCGCGTCCATCTTCTATTTCAATTGTGAACATATTCTCTTTGTATTCATTGTAAAACAAAAACAAAACGAAAGTTTCGCGAATTTTGTAGCAAAATTTTGTTGATTTTCGAAATTTTCAAAAATCGAATTTTGTTACAGGAATTTTTTGATAATACAATCATCCATAAACCTTCCTGGGGTCACGCGAGGTCCCACAAAAAATTTTGGGCCCGATCGGTTCAGCCGTTTTGACGTTTATTTGAGATACAAACAGACACCCGGACAAACAAAGTTTATATATATAGAATTAATGTTCCTATTAAATATATTTCTTGATCTCAGGTCTGATAAGTAGTCAAGCGCAACATGAAATCTGACCGAGGAAAAATTGTTAAAACTTGTTGAAAATTTTTAATTGTTGTTTGCAATAAATTATTTATGGTTTATTGGTTCAGAATAGGTTTATTTTAAAAGAAACTTTCTCAATTCTGTCAAAAGAAAGTTGAATTTATACAGTACAAAGAACACATGTTTTTACAGTACATAATTTAATATAGTACATAAATTGCACAGTACAAAACAGAAGTATTTAAAGTACAGGATAGAATATTGATGTGAATATATAATTCAATACAACAGTACATGTATGCATGTACTTAACACTAAGTTAAAACAGGGTGCATGTATTTTAAATTCATCATTGGCTATGATACAGGGTTACCCTTAGAGGATGAGACTGTAAAGACGACCAGAAACTCTTAAAATCTGACGATTCCAAGGTTAAATTAAGTCTTCTGCACAACATATAATTTTTTAATGGCTTATTTTATGATATGACAAAAAAGAAACAAGTTTAACAGTTGCAGGAAGTCATGAATATAAGGATACAGACAGTATAAATTCCGTACAGTCGTCTCTGAAGTTGTTAATATATACACTGAGATACAGCTTATTGACCATTTAAAAAAAGATCATTTTTTTCTTAATTAGAAGTCATAACAGCTTGGGTCTGCATTGTAGTCGTCTTCCTTTTCATGCGAGATGCCGCAACCGCTTCCTGATCCTCCTGAAATTTATGAAAATGGGAAGTTCTAAGAAATGCATATCAAAACTTATTTCCTAATTGTGGACTAATATACCAATCTCTGTCCAGACTCTATTAAAAATTGAAAAGATATTTTTTCTTTCTATCCTGTTTCCCTGCAAACGTTTTGTCGCCGACATGCCGATGTCGAACATAAAAAGTCCGGAACTAATTACCTGACATCTTCGCCATCGTAACTATAATATCGGTTTAAATGTTTCCTAGGATACAGTTACAGCGCAAAGTCAGCAGAAAAATTCCCAATTTGTGTTCTATATTTAAAACAGTTCCATGAAAGTAAAGAAAATGTTAACCTTATATGCTCGGATAGCGAGCTCTCGAGCACTCTGAGTGTACTTGGTTCTCATCATCATCACCTCTTCAGTTGTTTGCCTTAATTTTATTTAACTATGATGAATTTGAATATTTCCTGAATTAACGATTTTTACCATGTACCTTAGGTGGTTAATGATGGATGTTTAATAACACCATTCGTACACAACAATGCATTAAACTCTGCAGCAAAATGTCCTAATGCAAACCAACTTATTTCAAGTAATAAGAATTCTTTAGGCCAGAAAACTTTAGATCTGGTTCATTTAGGTCAAATTGTACACTTACCGTAAGTTCTCCTCAAGCATTGATATTTTTTGCTTTGAAAGCATTGACTTGGCAGAGGCTTCATCCACTTCATAGGATTCATAAGGTTTCAGATGGCAATCATATGCTAACTTTGTCACGCTATCTAAGACTGACCTAGGATAACATACAAATAAGGACAGTTGACAGCTATAGCACAAGCACAGTAAATTAGAGAGAGTGAGCATTAATTGTAATTTGCTTTAATATACTTTTTTGATGGGCTTTATATTTTAGTATTCAAAACTTTTAACGACATTTTCGACAGATTTTGAATTAGATTTTATAAAATGTCAGAAAATATTTGAAAGCTGTTCTTAGTTTTACGTGATAGGAGATCAAGAGGAATTTTGATACCACCATGTTTTGTCAATCTTGTCAATTCACTCCATGTCCTAGTTATTCCAAAGACTCATATCAATGTTAAAAATAGCTCCAATGATTTAAAGATTAAATCATCCCTAAAAATACTCCATCTAAATATTATTTCTTGTTTTCATCACCTATTGCGAATAGATGTTCTGATTTCATTCCGTTCCTCCATACCCTCTGTCCTCATCTTGGACAAGTACCCGTACAGTTCCTCCTTGGACTTAAAGTCAGAGTAGTTCACCTGAAAAATATTTCTAAAATATTGTAAACGGTCTCAATAATGAATTAAAAATCTACCTGAACAGCTCTGCTCAGGTCCTCAGCATGCTTTCTAGCATCTCTAGTCAGCTTATACTGAATCCAGTTCTCTACAATAATCTTATTTAATTAGAACTAGCTAATGGGCCCGAAATCGATTTTTTTAGCCTATAACACTTATTTAACCCCTCATTGCTGACTGGATTTAACTCCTGAATTTAAAAGTTTGGGTCAATCCCTGTGTCAACTAAAAGTTTCCAGATCAGACCGCAATGTCAGCTTAAAGTGTCAATCTATATATTTATGCTCTTTGCTTATATTATGTCAGCTATAGCTGGCCAAACAAATGGACCTAATTGGCTGAAATTTATTAGTGAACCCATGGTACCAGGTACCCTGGGGTTACATTCGGCTGAAAAATCGATTTAGTTGTCTTAATTCAAATTTCTTAATTCATTTTTCTTTAACTAAGAATCTTTTTTAATTTTAGAAATTCCACGGACAACGCCGGGCAATGTCTGTCAATATTAGTATATACCCGAGTTCCTGGCTGTATTATGCATATCATCTACCACTGACTCACCACCAGCCCTGTACCACAGCAAGGCCTCAGATCTAGAAATATTTGTTTATACTGTCAAGTGTTTACATAATGACACCAGTTTTCTTCAAATTATAGAAATTTTCTATCAACATTCTTTAATGTTGGTTAATTTTAAATAATGATATCTCGGTAAACTCATACATATATGTTTAAATCATGCTGCTGCTTCTGATCCGATTTAAGCTGTTTTGTTTAAAGATGCCAATTTTAAGGATATTTCCATGGCCTTTCTGTATGACAGAAATATTTGTAAATTTATGATGAAACTTTGTTTATAAGTTGAAAATAAAATGTTTTTTTAGTCTTAGTTCATTTTATTTTTTGGTTCCTCTTTCACTTTGTTACCTGGTTGGTATAACCTCTTCTGCCTCTTCTTGTTCCTCTCTCTCTCTCTGAGCTCTAAGAGCTGGACCCCGAGTTAGAAGATAGAATTGTCTCCAGTTGGAACACACACCAGCCAGCTCTTTCTCCTTCTCAACCACTTCCCTTTATTATGAATTAGCATTTAATCTTTTAGGATTCACACTAAACTAAGCTATTTGGGAAGGTTAAATAGGTCTATGATAGGCCGGGTACTGTAAAAAGCCTGGCCGCGCCATCAAAGTTGAGACCAGGCCGGCCTAGGATAGGGTCGTACTGTCTAAACGCTACTATATTTTCGGTCAGTGTACGGCAGATTACTGCAGTACACACCGAAAGCTAATAATGGCTGGTACAAGGGGTTGGGACGGTTCGAATTCAAATTGACCATAATCCAAGCTGCTGTGGATTGTCAGTAAAAAGTTTAATTAATCAAGTAATATTATAATATCAATAAATACTGTAAATAAAAGTACATGAAGAATTTCTACAGCTGAGTACGCTTAGAATAAAGATGTTTTGGTGATGGTCCTTAAATACTGGTTGACAATGACAAAGGAAAATATGGAAAACAGTTAGATATTTTATATACATTTGAGAACAACAAAATCTAGTGCAGCTTGAGTATTGATAATAACAAAACTTAGATTTTTGTTTGAAAGTTTTTTATTAAAGAATTACTCTTAAGATCAGGGGTCAATATAATTCCCAAAAAAGCTGATTTTCTCGATCCCAAAATAATTTTTTGCCCCCAACTTTAAAAAAAATAATCCCAATTTTAAAATGCCCCCAACTTTTTTTAAATTATCATTTAAAAAAAATTTGCCCCCAATTAAAGAATTTGCCCCCATTTCTTTCAAATTTGTCAATCCCAAATGGGATTGAAAAAGGAATGATATTGACCCCTGCTTAAGATAGGTAAATAGGTTCCTGTTTTAAGAAGAATCCGTTAAAGCTTATGGATTTAATACTAGCAGAAATTTATGGCAAACAACAACAGAAAGTGATTATTTACTTATTTGGCAACGCACATTAATACCATAATTGCTATAATTACCTACACAGAAACCATTCTGGTTTTCAGGGAAATCATAAAACAATAAGATTAGGACTGGGACTGGGCCCGTTCAAACTTTTCATTTCATTTACGGTTAGTTAGAAACGCTTTTGAAATAAAATCTCAGGTAGCCGTTAGTTGTATCCGGCTGGAGTTGTACTGTACCTGCCACCATTCCTGTACCATGTGATACGGCTGGAGTTGTACTGTACCTGCCACCATTCCTATACCATGTGATCCTACTGGAGTTGTACTGTACCTGTCACCATTCCTATACCATGTGATCCTACTGGAATTGTACTGTACCTGCCACCATTCCTATACCATGTGATCCTACTGGAGTTGTACTGTACCTGCCACCATTCCTATACCATGTGATCCTACTGGAGTTGTACTGTACCTGCCACCATTCCTGTACCATGTGATCCTACTGGAGTTGGATTGTACCTGCCACCATTCCTATACCATATGATCCTACTAGAGTTGTACTGTACCTGCCACCATTCCTATGCCATGTGATCCTACTGGAGTTGTACTGTACCTTCCACCATTCCTATACCACGTGATCCTACTGGAGTTGTATTGTACCTGCCACCATTCCTGTACCATGTGATCCTACTGGAGTTGTACTGTACCTGCCACCATTCCTGTACCACCTGATCCTACTGGATCGTGTCTCCTCTAAATCTTCTTCAGCAACAGCTTTCTTCCCTCTAGCCAGCTCAAGCTGCTTATAGTTGCTGCTGTACCCAGCACGCTCCCTAGACATCAATTAATTATGTATTTAATTTATTTTCACTTTTATTTCTAAAATGAATTTGCAGAATTGATTTCTCCAATTAAAGGCTATATATAATTTCTGCAGTATATATCTACTTGTATATTGACTCCTTGAATCGATCGTTTATTTTATTTGAACAAATGATTATTACAATTGATTTCTACAATTGGTTTTAGTAATTGATTTCAGCCATTGATTTCAAAAATGTAATAATGTTACTGATGGATTTGTAGATTTATTTACATCGATTTGCCTTTTCAATTTATTGGATATTGGGGACTGAATCACCAGCGGGGGGGGGGGACTTATCCAGCCCCTTTATTTGCCTCTGATAGCTAACAAAATGTGTGAAAACTAAACGATGCTCTTTACCTGTCTTCATCTACAGCTTCGATATTGTTTCTATACCAGAGCAGTCTCTCACTTCTACACCACACATTCTTAGTCTTTTCACGCATGGATTTAACGGTTCTGTCAATATTCCAGAAAACTGTGACTTTCCATCACAATTTGACCCCTTTTACATAATTTTATAGCCTTTTATCATAAATATTTTTTGTTGGCATATACATTTTAAATGAAAAAGTATAAAATAAACAAATCTGTAAGTTGAGTTAAAGACGAAATACGTTTAATTTTAAATAAAAGAAACCGAATGCTTCTCTCTCTGGTTAGTTCCTAAAAAGTCTCTTTACATAATACTGAACTCTCAGCTCATCTACAGTGATAACAAGAAACAAGGAAATAGAAAGACGATATTATAGCATTACTAAAGCGCTTTGATGTTGTTACAAAGCAAATATGTTATCCATTTACTTAGCAAAGCACAATTTAAGTGAAAAGGGTCTATTTACACTGTACAATTGCTATGTATAATTTAAGTGAAAAGGGTCTGTTTACACTGTACAATTGCTATGTATAATTTAAGTGAAAAGGGTCTATTTACACTGTACAATTGCTATGTATAATTTAAGTGAAAAGGGTCTATTTACACTGTACAATTGCTATGTATAATGTTCATTGAACTACTTTAACTTGAGTTTAAAAGTCGTCTTCCTATTTCAGAGTTTTCTGTTTATCATTGTACCATGTATAGCCGGTCACTCTCTTTAAAATCTAAAATAATGTTTTTAAAAGACGAGAATTATCCTTCCTTGTCATATCTCCCAGTTCCTTCATCTCCACCTTCCCCTCCTTATACGCTTCCCTGAATACAGATCAAATCGGAAAAATGTTCGAAATAGAAATAAAAAAATTTGTTTTTGCAAAGTGAGCACCGGAGTGAATCGGACATGTCAAACTTTAATTCAGTGTTAGCATGAATTTTTTTCGAAACTCGACAGTCAAGTATAGTTTTTGATCAAAGAGGTTCGCGAAAAATGAAAAGCGGTATAGGCTGAATCGAATTGAATTTCGCGAACACTCCCTTTAAAGTTTAACCTTCTTCGTTTGAGAATATCAAGCTGCTGCCAGTTTCCACAGAGTCCAGCGAGCTCCCGGTCATCCTATATAAGTAGGTTTACTATAGTGGTCACCATTTATATCAATACAATCAGTGAATGATTTCAAATGTTCCGTTGTTAATCGGATAGATCCATCTTGAAATTGCAACGACAGTCTTTCTTTTCAAGCTGTTATACAAAAGTATGTAAAAGTTTGTGAGAAGGTTCATGATGTATAGGGTTACCAACAAAACATGAGACTGTAAAGACGACCTAGAACTATATTTGACGATTCTAAGGTTAACCCAACAATTCTAAATACATTCTTTTTTTGGCTTATTTTATGAAAAGGAAAAAGAAAACAAGTTTAAAATTACAGGAAATCGTAATTAAACATGACAATTGATAAATAGTTATGAATGTCGTCTTCAATATACTGTATTAGATATTTGTAGTTTATTTCGTTAAAAACATCTTTTGCTTGAATATATTTTAATTTGAAATCAAATTTACTGTAACCATGACTCCCATATAATATTTTTATTATTGTCTAGCTTTGGTATCAAACAACAAAATTAGGGAAGAAGACATTTTAAACTATTCACCAACTGTCATGTTTCGTAGGACACCCTGTAACAGACAGTATAAATTCTGAATAATAACAGACAATATAAATTCCGAATAGTAACAGACAGTATAAATTCTGAATAGTAACAGACAGTATAAATGTGAATAGTAACAGAAAGTATAAATTCTGAATAGTAGCAGACAGTATAAATTATGAATAGTAACAGGCAGTATAAATTCTGAATAATAACAGACAGTATAATTCTGAATAATAACAGACAGTATAATTTCTGAATAATAACAGACAGTATAAATTCTGAATAGTAACAAACAGTATAAATTCTGAATAGCAGACAGTACAAATTCTGAATAGTAACAAACAGTATAATTTCTGAATGGTAACAGACAGTATGAATTCTGAATAGTAACAGACAGTATGAATTCTGAATAGTAACAGACTGTATAAATTCTTAGTAGTAACAGACAGCATAAATTCTGAATAGTAACAGAAAGTATGAATTCTGAATAGTAACAGACAGTATAAATTCGTAATAGTAACAGACAGTATAAATTCTGAATAGTAACAGACAGTATAGATTCTGAATAGTAACAGACAGTATAAACTCTGAATAGTAACAGACGTAAATATTCTGAATAGTAACAGACAGTATAAACTCTGAATAGTAACAGACGTAAAAATTCTGAATAGTAACAGACTGTATAAATTTTAAATAGTAACAGACAGTATAAGTTCTGAATAGTAACAGAATGTATGAATTCTGAATAGTAACAGACAGTATAAATTCTGAATAGTAACAGACAGTATAAATTTTGAATAGTAACAGACAGTTTAAATTCTGAATAGTAACAGACAGTATAGATTCTGAATAGTAACAGACAGTATAAACTCTGAATAGTAACAGACGTAAAAATTCTGAATAATAACAGACAGTATAAATTCTGAATAGTAACAGACGTAAAAATTCTGAATATTAACAGACTGTATAAATTCTAAATGGTAACAGACAGTATAAATTCTGAATAGTAACAGAAAGTATGAATTCTGAATAGTAACAGACAGTATAAATTCTGAATAGTAACAGACAATATAAATTTTGAATAGTAACAGACAGTTTAAATTCTGAAATGTAACAGACAGTATAGATTCTGAATAGTAACAGACCGTATAAACTCTGAATAGTAACAGACGTAAAAATTCTGAATAGTAACAGAAAGTATGAATTCTGAATAGTAACAGACAGTATAAATTCTTAATAGTAACAGACAGTATTGATTCTGAATAGTAACAGACAGTATAGATTCTCAATAGTAACAGACAGTATAAAGTCTGAATAGTAACAGACGTAAAAATTCTGAATATTAACAGACTGTATAAATTCTAAATCAGACAGTATAAATTCTGAATAGTAACAGAAAGTATGAATTCTGAATAGTAACAGACAGTATAAATTCTGAATAGTAACAGACAGTATATAAATTCTGAATAGTAACAGACAGTATAAATTTTGAATAGTAACAGACAGTTTAAATTCTGAATAGTAACAGACAGTATAGATTCTGAATAGTAACAGACAGTATAAACTCTGAATAGTAACAGACGTAAAAATTCTGAATAATAACAGACAGTATAAATTCTGAATAGTAACAGACTGTATAAATTCTAAATAGTAATGCAGACAGTATAAATTCTGAATAGTAACAGAAAGTATGAATTCTGAATAGTAACAGACAGTATAAATTCTTAATAGTAACAGACAGTATAAATTCTGAATAGTAACAGACGTAAAAATTCTGAATAGTAACAGACAGTATAAACTCTGAATAGTAACAGACGTAAAAATTCTGAATAGTAACAGACTGTATAAATTCTAAATAGTAACAGACAGTATAAATTCTGAATAGTAACAGACAGTATAGATTCTGAATAGTAACAGACAGTATAAATTCTGAATAGTAACAGACTGTATAAATTCTAAATAGTAACAGACAGTATAAATTCTGAATAGTAACAGACAGTATAAATTCTGAATAGTAACAGACAGTATAAATTCTGAATAGTAACAGACAGTATAAATTATGAATAGTAACAGACAGTAAAAGTTCTGAATAATAACAGACAGTATAAATTCTGAATAGTAACAGACATTATAGATTCTGAATAGTAACAGACAGTATAAACTCTGAATAGTAACAGACAGTATAAATTCTGAATAGTAACAGAAAGTATGAATTCTGAATAGTAACAGACAGTTTAAACTCTGAATAGTAACAGACGTAAAAATTCTGAATAATCGTCTCTGAAGTTTCTTCCTTTGTGAGTAACCCTGTACAATATGTAATGTACACTGTCACTGTAGTGTACAGGTTAGGCACAAACCATGTTAGGTAAAAAGTGAATCTTACCTCTGAATAAAATTTCACCATTTTAACCCTGTGTCAGCTTCCTGAAACATATTAAATAATATTCTATATCAATAAAGTAGTAATCTCTGGTTGTTTGTTTGTTTGAATATCTGATCATAACTCGTAACCCCTTGGACAGATTTGCCTCAAATTGTGATTGAGGAACTCGGTAGACCCATGGGAATGTTGGTTGACCTTATTATATTATAGAAAAAGTTTGCTTAGCAGGCTAAGCTGGGTTCCAAAGCTAGTGCTTTTTATCATCTAAAGCTGTGAGCAACGTATTTTTTTTGGAATTCTTAGAAGTAAAAATTTTGGTTTTAATTTAACATAATTAATATTTATCAAAATTTTTACTATATTTTTGTAAACTCAAATACTTTTTTTATCGATGGATTTGATCAAAGAAACAATTTTTTAAACTTTAAGATAATATATTTTCATATTGGTTAAAAACTGCTTTTGTAATTGGTCAATGTAAAGATTAAGGTATGAACACACAATTAAGGACCATTTCTGAGAACACCTATTAAGAATAAAGGCACTGTGGAGGAGGAAAAAATATGTTACATACTTACATTTCAGCTGTATAATAAAGGATACATATAATATATTTACAAAACACGTTTTTATTCGAGATTGTGTGGAAACTTTTGTTTGTCTGTTTAAAACAGCTGATGCCTATTTTTCATTGCCAAAATGGCCATTTTTCTTTTCTGTTTGTGTTGCCAAGTTTTGTGAAAATTATAATACTTCGATTTAAAATAAATATGCTTTATATCTTGCTCTTTAAGTTTACTGAGATGATGAGATCTAAACGGAAGGATTAGATTATTATTTATATAAAAAGATTATTTTTACAAAATTTGAAAATGTTTAAAAGTATCTTAAAGTGTTATTGTGTCAGGTAGAAATATGTCCAATGACCTGGCTAACTAGTAAACCTGTACCTGCCCGGCTTGTGTGACCTGCACGGCTACTACCTATAGACTGACCTGAGCTTTAGTGTGAGGCCGGGCATGCTAGGGGAGGGGGAGATAAAGGAGCGGGGGGGATTATTAAATAATCGTTTGTCATCTTTCTAAATTTTGTATTTATCAACTGAATTTTTACTATGCATAATTTGATAAATATTGTTTTGATTGATTAAATGCTGATATTAATATCTTATCTATTTATTCAATCTTTTAAGTTTTTTAAAGTGACTGTTCACTTATATTTTGGTAGTTTAAGGGTAAACTAAATACCCTTCTTAGCTATTCATTAAAGGGTGAGAGAAAAAAGTGTAAAGTTTTTTTTTAACACCCTTTATAGTATCATTCTTACTTTTAAAAAATATTTGTCCGCACAATTAGGTAGTGTGTATAGAAACTATTTAAACGTTTTTTTTCAGTATTAAGAGCCAATGAAAATCTAAAATTATCATATTTCAAAGATATCATTGTAAATTGACCTTGGAAGTACTTTGCAGCGTCAACATTGGTAACCTGATTTTAGCCATAATCACATTGGTAACCCATGATTTTATCAATATTTACATTGGTAATCTTATTTTAGCCATATTTACATTGGGAACCTGATTTTAGCCATATTTACATTGGTAACCTGAATACGAATTTGTACTGATTATTTCGTTAAAATAAACTATTCTATTAATTTCAAAATAATGAAAGACACTACTTTGCTCTAAAAGTTTTTTGGTTTCCTAAAAAGTTTAGTTCACATAAAGTTTCAGTAGATGGTGTATTTTTGGACCTACGCCCGCCCCTCTACTGCCCATCCGACCTACAAGCACGTGGTTTTAACAGCTCTTTGGTAGGTTCGATGCACTGTAGGTCGGATGGGCACGTTAAAAACAGCATATTGGTGCATCCGACCTACTTTAAACTGTCGCTTGGACTGCACGTTAGTAGGTCTGATGGGCCGGTGTTTCGTAGGTCAGATGGGCATTTTTCGTACGTCGGATGGGCATTTTTCGTAGGTCGGATGGACATTTTTCGTATAGTTCGGATGGGCACTTCCTCCCTACAAAAAGTGCCCATGCCGACCTACGAAATATGCCCATCCGACCTACGAAAAATGTCCATACGACCTACAAAAAGTGTCCATCCGACCTACGAAAAATGCCCATCCGACCTACAAAAAGTGCCCATTCGACCTACGAAAACTGTCCATTCGACCTACAAAAAGTGCCCATCTGACCTACAAAATTGAGTGGCCGTCCGACAGCTACAATTAAATATTTATACCCTACTGCGCTAAATATGCATGATAAAATGAGCTGCTGAATAAGTCGGATGGGCAGTAGGTCAGATATTGCAGTAGGTCAGATGTTGCAGTAGGTCGGATGGGTAGTAGGTCAGATGTTGAAGTAGAGCGGATGGACAGAAGGTCGGATCAACATTACCGTAACGTGCACGTAGAATTGAAATGTCTTAACTAGGGATTGAAGCGAAAAGAAAATTTCACATTTTTCGCGATAATTACGCATTTCGTTCGCTCACGAAAAATATAAAATCTTTGCGAAAATTCGTCATAACAGGCAAAATAAAGGTGTTGAACCAATGGTTTTTGTGAAAATTTTCGCTTCGTTTTTGCAAAAAAGTTTGCAAAATTGGAACGAAAATTTTCGTTCGTTGTAAACCCTAGTCATAACTCCTCTTATTGATGAGCAATGATGAACAAATCTTTTAAATTTCTTTTGTAACCAGAAAAATTGGCAATTTATTCCTACTTGTACATCAAATCAAAACTAAAAGCTACGACGTCACAAAGACTCGAGTAATATTTTAAAAAATTTTACCTTCTCATTCTGTCATTAGTTCCCGAAAAAGATAATGTTTAATATCTATAATTAAAAAACATAATAAACATTTTTTTTATAGTAAGAATGATGTTCTAAAATGAACAGTATTCAAAAAAGATGAAGCGTTTTTTCTTCAGAAAGATAAATCGATATATCTGTTAAAATGTAATATCTTCATTTAAATGTATATTTTCAGTAGTATCTCTGTGTTCATGTGTTAGTCTGTTTTAAAATTCTATGCTGAATGGGTTGACTTTCACAGGCAAAGCTGGGTTCCCATGCTAGTATGTACAGTATTTTCAATAGTTAATAAATGACTAAAATGGTATAGAGCGGATCCAACAAATCCTAAACTCTTAATTTTTTAAAGTTTTATAAAATAAAAACTTGCAACAAATAATTAGTACGATAATCTAAATATTATATTTTCTCCGAATGATAAATCTACATCAAATAATTAAGATCATAATAATAATAAACTATCGAAAATAACTTCAAAATTTTGCAACAAAAATGCCTTCAACATCACAAATTGAATTTAAGTAATTTATCATAATTAAACAAAACAATCATGTCATGAAATGTAAACTTGTGAGAAATATTTTTATGCATTGGAAAAAAGTATATTTTACATATTATGGAAGGAATGCTTTAAAGAGATAATTTTCTAACTATGCTATGCAAACACATTCATGCAAATATTAAATAATAATTATGCAAAACTAGAGTATATTTCCAGGCTTTTGCGTCAATTCAGTCATGTACACTGTACATAGGGCTTGTACTATGAAATAAGGCTGTTGTACCCCCAGCTACCGTGGCCAGTACCATTGTACACGTGGTAAGCATGTACAGTTCTCTCTTCGTATGGGTTCCTAAACAAAAACAAACATAAAAAATATTCATAAAAAAACCAAAAAAAACCCCATTAAAATCAAAACAAGACAAATCAATAAAATTTTACTTTAAAAAACGTTTAAGCAAAATAACAACTTGTGAAAACTTCGCAATAATAATTTTCATCAAAGTTTTTTTTAAAGGGGGGGGAGGTTATTTTTATTTGGGTCGTAATTTTACAATGTAGGGTGAGCAGATTTCTTTTTTCTTTCTTTACAATATCCAAGAATGGGGATGACGGCGGGTGCATACCTTTTAAGCCCTTATTAAAAAGATAAATGATAAAATTAGAACTTACATATAGTAAATATAGCATCTGTTGCACACTCTGACAGGACTTTCCATTCCATATCTTGGCAGAGGAACCTGTAACAAATTCAGCGTCAAAATATAAATTTTCAATGTCATGAAAAAAAAGAGTTGAAGTGAATTTCAAACTTGAAGGACCTGATTTTGGAAAAAATGAAGTATAAAATCGGTTTTAATATTGGCGATGTATGAACAACATTTGAGATTTTTGTTTGGATAATAGTTATTTTTACATTTTGGATAATATCAAGGATCCAAGATCCAGCGGAGCCTACTCAGTACATGAAACGGTGAAATCTACCTGATTAGGAGAACATCTTTGACAGAAAACCCTTCCACAAGATCTACAGTGATGTCGACGCTTGACCAGAGAAAACCCTGCGCCACACCCCATGCACAGAGGGGCCATGGAGTCCGGTATCCAGGGGGGCGGGCTTTCTACTCCTGGGTTAGGACCTATCTCCTGCTCCTCCTCATAAACAAACAATATTAACTCATGTGTAACTCTTCTTGGTCGACATCATCCTTCGTCATATTAAAACAACAGAACAACTTTCTATGGTGAAGAATAAAAAAGGGGTTTCTTTTTTTTGAATTGAAGGTCATTTTTTCTCCTTCCCAATTTAGTAAAAAAAACACCCCTCCCCTACTCCTATTGATAAAAAAACCTAGTAAACCTTAGATAGCCAAATATCTAAAATCTTAAGTTGAATAATTAACAAAATAACGATTTTTAATGCAGGAATTATTTCATTCGACAGCTGTCTTTAAAATTGTATTTCATCGAATCCCAACCTTGAATAAATTACTTGAGACAAGAAGTAATTTTCTAACAGGGTGAGGGGAAAGAGACAAGAACTTGAGTCAATATCTGAGGCGGATATAAGCACCTAAGGCGGATATAAGCATCTAAGGCGGATATAAGCATCTAAGGCGAATACAAGTTTCTAAGGCGAATACGTGTATCTAAGACAAATACAAGTATCTAAGGCGAATACAAGTATCGAAAGGCGAAAATAAGTATCTGAGGCAGACAAAAGGCAAAAATCAATACCTGCGGCGGAGCGCCTGAAGCTATAGTGAGTAGAGTAGGTTCAGGTTGATAGAAGTTCTCCTCTGTATTGTCTTGTATGAGCATAGCTCTATCAATATGTTGGTCCAGGTTACTAGCATATACCGGCATATTTACCAGTGCAGGGGGGGAGGTAGAGATTAGTCCGGGATCTACGTTCACTCCGGGTTCACGAGCAAAGTTCCGAAGATAAGATTGCTCAGTTTCATTCATGAGAGCATCTTCTCCGCATTCATACTCGGAACCAGGAACCTGGGTTCTAACTACTCCAGGAGGTAAACTAGCAGCACCTTCTCCTAGTTCATCTACCTCTCCTAGACTATCCTGTTCACTGTCACTTAAACTCTCGGATACCTCTCTATCCTGTCCTTCATCCTCAACCCTGATTCTTCCTTCCTCATTCTCCTCCTCCTCCTCCTCCTCTTGTGTACTGTTCATCGTGAACACGTACTTCAGGATATGTCTAAACAATAAAATTATAGGGATTGTCCAGGGAGAGTTACTCTAATTATAAAAAGTGGCTTGTTCGATTCACAACGGTACCCTTTTAAAGGCTCACCACCCGTTGGAGCCTGAACATCTGGTCCAGGGGGAGCTTAGCCCCGATAGCCCCCTTGACTACATCTCTGGTATTTAGCTTGGTTATTAGAATAAATAGGAACGATCGATTTATACAGTGAGAACCAGAAAACTCTGGAAAGCGACTTTTAGACTCAAGTTTTGACTTTCAATGGTCCAAAGACAAGACTCAGAAAATCAGGAGTGTAAACAGACAAATTTAACACGTGATTTAATTAATTACTAGTACAACTGTTAGCGTCCTTCAATTTCTTCCTATTCCAGTGTTCTGGTAACATAACTATAATTCATTTCAATTTTCCCTTTTAGTTGCGTACTGACCTGAAATCCCCTGCAAAATTGGTCTGAAGCTGATCTGCAGCACCACTGATACAAACATACAGCCTGTGTATCAAATCCTCACTAGATTTGAACCGCGCCCGCGCGTCCTTCCAGGTTTTGTGATAGCGCTTCGCCCCCCGGCGTTTAAGTCCTTTTTTAGTAGATCCTGACTCCAGGACTCGAAACCCCCGTTCCTTTCTTTCTTTGACGGGAGATACGGTAATATCAGGCCCACTGCAGTCTATCTCAACAACAGCCTAAATATCAAATATTGTACAAATAAATAAACATTAATAATGATATCACAAAGATTATGTGCTGGTTAAAAAATAGAAAATATCCTAAAACAATTTGCTCTATAAAAATTATTGTAAATTTTTCCGTAAAAAAAGACCTAAGTAAAAAAGGTTTGCTTGTCCCATTCAAATTCAACCCCGAGATCCATAACAAAACTTTCCCTAGAAGTTATTAAGTTTAGTGTGTGAACACATTTTCTTCACTTTACCTGTTTAACTAAAGACGGAGTATTTGATGATTTATTTTCTAAAGAACCCGATGTTTTATCTAATTCATCTTCCTCCTTCTTACTTCTTTCTTTCCTTCTTCCTCTATTTGAATTTGTACTCGCATTAATTATGTCCTCTAAGATAGATCTAACTAAATCCTCGGAAGATTCTGCGCATTTTGCGTCAGAACTTGCCCTTGCGCATTCCTGGATGGGAGACCCGGATGCCGCGTCAGATTCCCGCGAAGAATCCAAGTCCGCCTGGGAAGGATGGGTGGTGGAAGAATCACAGTTAACAGAGGTATTGGTATCACAGATACAGGGGATACTGGACACAGAGCACAGCTTAGCGTCCAATAGGGCAGCCTGACTTTCCTGAAAATGAAAATTTAACGAAAAGGTACAAAAAAATTTGAATTCAGCTAATAACAATCCTGCTAAAACGGTAGAACAGCACGTTCTACAATGAAAAACGTCAACTAGAAAATAAAATGTCTTCCTTTTTTTAAAAAGTTGTCAAAACAACGTCGTGCTTACAAAATTAGATGAATTCACTGTATAATTGTATCAACATCTTCTTAAATACTAAAGTTAACTCCCATTTTAAAATATCCAATTACAAGACAGAACAGCGAACACAAAAATTCACCTATAATAGCACTAAAAAAAATCTAAAAAAATCCCTTATATTGCACATACAAATTACACATATTTTAAAAAGTTTAGAAGTTCAATTTTCGCGGATTTAATGGAAGAATAAAAAAGCAACTTGCGGATTTTTTTTTATTTACAGATTTAAGCGCATAAGATATTTGTCAGATTTAAAACAGCCAGAATTAAGGCTTAATTTGCAATTTACAAGGTTTACATATTTTCACGTTTCAGTAAGAATATATTCTGTGAATTTTTGATGGTAAACATTCAATGAAAAATAAAATAAAATAAAAACTTTTTAGTGTCTTTACCTGGGTTTCCTGATTTTCAGATATTCTTAATTTCTCGTTTAAATCTCTCTGCGCCGTCTAGTTATAAAGCCATTATTTTGTTAAAAATTTATAGAAAAGAAAGTTTAATTTGAAATGAGTCCATATCTATCTTTATAAACAAATTTTTATGTCTGTAGGATTCTATTTGATGTTCCATTTGATTTTATACCATTTTGTTAAAAATTAAAATTTTAAAAACAAATGTTAAAAAAAGTTTTGTTAAAAAGTTGTTTTATTCCTGAAGTTTCATCTCTAGGTTATCAGGTTCCTCAAGCTGGCAGAGCAATCTTTCAAGAACATAGAACTCAGCAGGGCTGAGGGTCCACAGTAATTCACGGATCTAAAATATTTTTTCTTCTCAAATTAAATCAGACATACAAAAAATCAAATTCTAAGTTAAATTTATTAAAAAAGATCTAAAATGATTTTTAAAAGATTCACTTTTAAGTTTGTGACAAGCTCAGTTTTTTCTACCTTTAGTTTGAAAAAGTCCTATTTTATAACTTACCTTCCGCAATAAATTCTTAAAAGGACGGAAAAGTTCCGGAAAATCCGCGTATTCCCGATCTACGTTCAAAGGACCATTCGGGAATATCAAGAGGCCGCAGACGATCGCTAGGCGGGGGATGGCGAACATGAGACTGGGATCGAACTGATCGACCATGTCCTGTGTGACCAGCTGGTTCTTCAACGATCTCTGCAGGGTCTCAGAGAACAGGCAGATCACATCCTGGTGAATCTCATATTCTAGACAAATAAAAATATATGAACTGTAAAATTAATTATCAAAACTAATCAAATCAAATCAAATCAAATCAAATCAAATCAAATCAAATCAAATCAAATCAAATCAAATCAAATCAAATCAAATCAAATCAAATCAAATCAAATCAAAATAAAGATATTAAAAAATCTGCAAATCACATTTTTAACCCCCCCCCCCCCTCCAACCCATCAAATGAGAAAAATCATGTTTTACCTTTAATAGTTTTAACATGAACCATACAGGAGACGTAGCTGAACTCAAACTCTGCAAATAATCTGTCAAAGATCTTGAGAGTTTCGTGGATTTGCTCTGTGTACTGAGGGGTCGGGGATAGACACTGAAAATAACAAAATATTAGGAAAATTAATTGAAAAAACTTCTTTAAAAACTTTCTAAATTTGTTTAACCGGGCCAACTCTAAAAATTCGGATTATCCCTCAATTTTAACCATTTAAAGAGAATAAAATTGAATCAGAGGGGGAAAAAACACTAAAAAGATGTACACAATTTACGTGTGTTACTAACAACCTATCCTGATAAAATGGATCAAAACATAATTTAAAATTACATGTTTTGTGTCAAAATTTTAAAAGTGAAAGGCTCTAGAAATAGAACAAATATTTTTAGCAACTAAAAGAGACAATTGAAGTGTAAATTGGATATTTATGAATAAAAACATAAGACTCTTGTCCCAACCCTCATATTGGCTGCTGTATAGTAGGAAGTACTAACGACGAAGCAGTAATGGGAGCGCAGAATATTGTGCGTAACATACATACATGTACATTGTACAAGTTTGGTCACATGTACAAGTTGTTTTTTTATCTTAGATCATTACANTTGGCAGATAGGAAACTAGATAATAGTGATAAGAGACAATTCTGATAATTATATTTTAGATAGTTATAAACAAACTAAAATAGAGGCACAACTAGGATATTTAATGGGGGGGAGGGGGTTGTGTTTTTGGCGTTCAATTCTGTAATGAGGCGCATCGTAGACGAAAATATTTTAGTTAGAATGAACAAATAATAATAATAAACTAAATCATGTCAATTCCCGTCTTTTTAACCTGAAATGACTCGTATTTTCAATCGGTATAAATAAAAGATAGAAGAACAGTGACATTGAATGCAAAATTTTATTTTGCTGGAAACTTGAGAAGAATAAACTAGAAACTCATGTTATCAATTATTTGTTCATGATACTAATATTTTTCGATCCACCATTTAAGGATATTTTTTGCAAAAATGTAACAAGTCGCCGCCATTTTCTTTCTCATCAATTTACTTTAAATACTTTTTTAACTAGCTTGGAATAATACCCAAAACACTTAACAAAACACTTAATGTAACATAATAATTGTTATATGTATTGTTAGCAATAAATATATTTTATAGTAAATAGTCCCTTTATAAACAGATATATCTAGTTTTCCTATCTTATAAGAACGAAATATCGCATGAGAAACGTGAAAAGAATCCCTTTATAAACAGATATATTCCTATCTTATAAGAACGAAATATCGCATGAGAAACGTGAAAAGAATCCCTTTATAAACAGATATATCTAGTTTTCCTATCTTATAAGAACGAAATATCGCATGAGAAACGTGAAAAGAATCCCTTTATAAACAGATATATCTAGTTTTCCTATCTTATAAGAACGAAATATCGCATGAGAAACGTGAAAAGAATCTCTTTATAAAACACATATTTCTAGTTTTCCTATCTTAACAAAATAATAGATAGTTAAGCTTTACTTAAAATTGCAATTTTCGGGACTAATCGGAAAGTTTAAAAAGAATGAATCATTTAAACTTGCATGCAGAAATTACTACGTTTTTCGAGTATTATGTGTGTATTTTGGCGTTAAATCTTAAGAGATAGTCCAATATGATATGGGACGCTCTGTATCTTATGAGAACGAAATATGATATGAAAACATGGTTTCTAGTTTACCTGTTCTCGTATAAGACCTCTGACCTTCTCCAGGGTTTTGGTGACGGCCTTGGCCAGGGGTCTCATCTGGACAGACTCGAACTCCTTCTGCATTATACTCGATCCTTAATAAATTAATCGTGTTAAGAATGGAAAAGTCTGGGAAATATCTTCATAAAATAAAAAAAATAGCTTCAAATAGTAAATTTTTCTTTCCTCCTTCAAATCAAATCAATAAAAATTGAAAATCATTTATGTTTCTCAATACAGTGATTGAGACTCACTAGAAACTATTTATCTCCTAATTACAGAGAGACAATGAAATAAATATAGGAGGAGATATTACATTCCCGTAAAATCTATTTAGTTTTGTAACACATATTTTTGGGTTTAGAAATCAAATCTTATTCATGTTTCGAACTAGTAAATCTGCAACTTTTTGGCATAAAAATTCCCTATCAGTTAGATTGCATCCCTAGGGTTGCAATTTGACATTCCGACCCTAGTTTCAGGGTTGCAATGTAAACATCAGGGAGTTAAGAGTCAAAATTTTGATCAAAAGTTGAAAAAATCTATTGTGTTTCACATAGTTCTAAATAAAAGGATCGACAAATAACAAATGTACCGAATTTATACTGTCTGTTTCTTTATTTTCATGAATCCCTTGGGATCAACACATCTTGAGAGTTTCAGATCGGCTTTACAGTCACATCCTTTGTGGGTAAGCCTGTACCTGCTGCTAGGCATTCTGCGCCGAACCAGAGTTGACCGCCAAGATTTTCTGTCACAATTTCGTCCGGGAACTTGACACGGAACTCCCTGTTTGCTCGTCCATCCAATTGTTCCAACTCGTCCAGCATTCTGAAAAATCGTCCGAATATAAAATATATGTAATGAAATTTTTAAATATTAAAATGTTACCTTTATTTTGCAGAAAACTTACTTGGAGAGCCAAGGGAATGTTCTTAGCTTGGTTTTGAGATTCTAACTTGAGTGGGTCAACTTTTAACGGAAAAAATAGCTAAAATCGTAATTTACGACAAAGGGCGGGTAATCAGTGGGAATACCTATGTCTTAACTAAACAACGCGTGGTTCCCAAGCTAGTTAAATATATTTTGTGAATGTTTAAAATATGCGTGAAAGAAAATTTAAGTACGCTAATAAAAAAAAATGCAATTTGTCCAGTCGTTTTAGCGAGAAAAAAATTAAAAACATAAAGTTACCCAGAAATTGTGCGACTTCAGAGACGACTGTACAAAATTAATCAAAATCATTTCTTACAATCATGGTTCCCAACAGTTATAACCTAGTGTAGTATTTCACTTTAAGACCAAATCCCCTCCCGTTGTTAATCTTAAAAATATACTCTTATATATGGAACCCAGCGTTGCCCTTGAGTTACTTTTTCCCCCACTTAACTTAGAATCTCCAAACCAAGCTAAGACATTTCCCCAATCAAACTTTGAGGCAAAATGGTCCAGGGGTTCCTGAGTTATGATTGGACAAACAAACAGACAAACAGAGATGACAACTTTATATATATATATACCTGTTGCAGATATTGAGCAGTTTGTCTTGACAAGACCGAAGTCTGGAAACAAGAGAAGCACATCTTTCAGGATCCTTTCGGCCGTCGAAGGAGTCTAATTCGGCGGCCACCCGGTTCAGATTATCATCCGCATACCTTGATATTAATAATAACAAGAAGGTTATTTAAAATCGAGTGTCAATACCGTGTAATCTAAATTTATTGTGCATACGACGCGACGGCATGAAACGTGTATAAGCAAGCATTGGTTTGGTGTTATCAATTACATTTGTGTTATCAATCAAAATAACGTATGCGTGATATATCTATATAGTTTCTGTGAAATAACTTTTACTATGCATATGATGTTTCCTCTCAACAAAAAAAATTTTCCAAAAAAGTCTTTTAATTGACCCCCCCCCCCTCCCATCCCCTTTATTCATTAATTAAAAAAATACTTCATATAATATTCACTTTTATCTTAAATACAGTTGCCAGTTACAAACAACACCAAAATTTCTTATACTCTTTGGCAACTTTATTTGCTGTTTAGCCACTCTGGCCGAAGCACTAGACCCTAACTATGCAGCCAATAATTTGGGCCGAGCGCTGCGGAACTCAATTTTTCAGAATAAAAAAATTAATAAAAGAACTCACCAAAACTTGGCAAATAATGATTTATCGTCTCTGCGTGGCTTGTACAGCCATTTCCGTATACTGATCATACTCAACAGAGGGTCCTAAACATATTCATTGTCAGAAAATATATATTTCCGTATACTGATCATACTCAACAGAGTCCTAAATAGTTTGAAAATTCTGAGGTATCCAAATCTCGAAATGATTAAGTTGTACGCACGTCATCATTTCGCAATTAAAGGTTTGACGCTTTTTTTTGCTAATGACAATCTTTAGCCCATGAACATTAGCTTTTTTTATATTTAGAAAAAGCTATACTTGAATGAGCAAAAATTTGCAACCAGTGACAAGCAGCAACAGTTGTGCAAAAACAGGAATATTACGTAACTTACCAAACACTGATAAAATCATGGAAAATTACGATTTAACTTTATCTGATTCAATTCAATAGAATCTAATATCTTTTAGTATATCTCTTCTATTTCTAAAGGTGAACAACCGTTTTAACTTAATTAATTAGATTTAACAATTAAAATCAATTTCCGCGAACCAAGTTGACAATGCCAACTTCAATGAAGAAGCGTGACTATCTATATTATCGAAAAGTTCACAAATTACACTGTATTAACAACCTGTACTTCCTTAAATTTAGTTGTATGCTGGTTGACTGTACGACTGATACTGATTTTAGATTACTGAATTTGAACGATAAGTTAACCCCACCCCCAACCCTAGTCCATCTGTTTACTTACACCCTTGGTTAAAACTACTTCAAGATTCCCCAACTATAATAATTTGTCCCCAAAAATCTCGGTAAGTTATATTTAATATGTTCCGGCTGTAAAAACCCAAGTTTAACGATAATTAAATAGAGAATAGTGCTCGTAAAACATGTTATTCTTAGTTCATTGTTTTTAACATATGCAAATTGTGAAATTGAGAAAACAAGAAACATTATTATAATGAATGTGAAGACACAGAACCTTATATCACGATTACTTGCGAACTATTTTTTTCAACAAGACCCAAACCAATGTAGACTATGAAGACGACATTCAAGCAATCTTATCTGCAAATTTTACTGTGAGACCTAAACAACTGTGGACTTGAAGACGACGTTCAAGCAATCTTATCTGCAAATTTTACAGTGAGACCTAAACAACTGTGGACTTGAAGACGACGTTCAAGCAATCGTTATCTGCAAATTTTAGTGAGACCTAAACAACTGTTGACTTGAAGACGACGTTCAAGCAATCTTAACTGTATTTGAAGCGTGAACATCAACTTACTAAGTGAAATAAACAAGTCTGCATGTCAAGTTTTATAATAAAATCAGATCTCATAATTTCTTTTTGACTTTTGAAGTTATCTGAACTAGTAAAACCAGTTTTATGATATACAGAACACGACGCAAAAACGAATACGCTCAAAATAGACAATGTATAGACAAATTTATGAATGCGTTCAATTTTAAAGCAAAGAACGAATAATGAAATGAATTTGGATAGAAAAACGACTAATTCCTGATCACTGTTTTTAGATGAAGTTACAACAGTTATTATGGGCACAGGGGCGTATTAAGAAATGAATGAAATGAACAAATTCTGTGTACGTTCCTAGGAATTAATCGACTATGTCACTCATTAAGAGCCACTTAAATCATTTCCGATTTTGGGATGTATTGTTATCTAAAGAAAAGTGCGCAACCCGACAATGCAACCTGTAGAGAAGTTTTTATTCTAACTAGTTTGCGCATTTTCTGACATGTGCTAGATCCCTATGTCTTAACNTTGATCTCAAAATATTGTAATATTTAGATATCTGTAGCGTTTGCCAGAATTGGGATTTTAAAAAAATATTTTAAAGTTTTAGATTCCTTCTTATTTTGAATTCACATAATTGAAAAATAGTTGACTACCTTTGTTATGAGTTTTAAATCTCTGTATCTCAAAACCATTTTTATAAATCTTTTTTATAAAAAACTTAATTTAGCAAGTGTAAGTGCAAATATTTTCTATTAACAGACCAAGAATATTATCTAATAAAAAACCTAAGTCCTGAAGCTTTAAAAGTGCCGGAAATTATTCTCAGACGTTTGAATTCTAGAACCTCGTTTAATAGATTCAAAACCAAGGTTGAAAATTATTCTAATCTTATACTTTAGGATTATATGGATTGAATATGTGTGAGCTTAAAATCAGCTTTTACAACTTTAGGAATCAGCTTTCATAAGTTTATTTTTTATTTGGAGAGGGAGGTGTTTATTTCAAAGTATCCTACTTTTGTCACTTTATTGTAAGAAAAAAGTTGCTCTAGGACTTTCCCTTCTTTGTTCTTTTCAAAATTGAATCTGTATAATGGGAAAAAATGATATTCTTGACAAGGTATGAAAAGAAAAGAAAATTTTTGTGTTCTCTCGCACTCTTGTAACTTGATCGTATTCGTTGTCTTACGTTATCTTAAAAGAATCAATTACATAATCTTATAAATTCTTACAGTTACATAATCTTTAAAAAAATAAATTCATGACTATTAAAAAACCCAGCGAAAAAAACTTCTTAAAAAACTGATCACATTACTCCTAATAAAATCATTATATCTTCGCAACCTGATGTCGTAGAACTTGGAAAGTTAACTAAAAATTTTGATAGATCAAATAATTAACAGTTTATAATATCATAAGTTTAAAGTAAAGTTACTAATAAAAAGACAATTGAAAATCAGAGTTTGAGGCACGTATTCATTTTTTTAATAGAAACTATCACATAAATTGGAGTCGAAGTATAAATCTCTAAATTTGATGAGAGTGTCTCTGTAACTGAACAAGGAAGAGGAAAGTGAAGCAGAAAGAGAAGAAGCGGAGTAGCGTGTATTTGCGATGTAGGTCGGCGCAGTCTGCGGGCTGACCCATGCTCCAGAGCAGCTGTTGGGCCAACCCGCTCTCTCTTCGTAAAAAAATGAAAAAGCACTTTTTTGCTAAAAAAATGCTGACACCAAAGTTTTCGTGACTTTCCTCACAAAATCAAGGTCTATTTAATTTCAGTCTCCATGCTAACAAATATTTCATTTTTATCGTACATAAAACATTCATATTTAAATATTTAAAAAGGGTTTTAAAAGAAACTATTCTTTTTCATTATGTTTTAGATTCTAAGTATCAAATCAAGGGATTTCAAAAGACAATTAATTTCTTAAAGATATTCTTTGTTATAATTCTGATTTTTTAGTTTTAATTTCTTTGTCAATGCTTAAAGCTCCCAATACACGCATAAAATTAAAACGAAGTTAATATCAAAAGTTGATACAAATCTCATTTCGTGATTTGTTAATATCCTGATTCGGATGCCTGTCTAGAAAGTATTAATTCCAGTTTCTAAAATTAACTGTTTGAGTGAATCCCAATTAACGATGCAAAACATCTATATGGAAACACAACATTGTCAATACTAGTGATGAAAGTATCATTTTGTTCACACATAAATAAAGTATATAAAATGTAGACGTAATTAAAAAAAAAAACATTTCCCTACCGAAAAATAGGAAAAAATAAAACACGTTCACGTAAAACTCTTTTCAATCAGGTTTAAGTTTTTCANCCTAGAGAAAGATTTATGGACCCCCCCCATCCTATCAACTTTGTACATGACCATTTATTTTTTTTAGCAAAATTATTATTATTTTCATATTATATTATTTTAGGGTTAGGTTAGGACAATTTCAGGGCCGAGCGCCGCGGCGAGGACAGGCTAGGGGGCGGGCGCTGCGGCCACATGACCAATTATATTCATGTGTTACATACGAGATCAATGTACAAAATTGATAGGAGGGGGGGGGGATGTCAAGAAAACGTTCTCTAGGAATTTACCTAAAGTCTTATTTGACATGAAAACATTAATGTATTACCTAGTATTTTTGTCAGTCGGACATCTGTAATTTCACCATTTTATTTTATCAATGATTCAACCATATTTAAATTTTTTTTTTCTACAAAATTCACAAGTTTATCTATGTATCACTTCTAGCTAGTGCATTGTTGCATATGTTTAATATAAGCAGGAACAAAGAGAAAAAAGCTGCAAGAACTCACATTTAACACATATTTTGTACATTTTGCATTTACGTCACATCTTTGTTTTTTATTCACAGAACTGGGTGAAATCATTGTCCTAGAAAACTAAAATATTTCTTTTTGCTTTCTAGCTTGAGTATTCTAGTGAAGCTGAAAGTACGCCTCAAGGTTATGCTATATTTGCGTATTATTGTGTGTATAAGCTACGGTATCTAACGGCTGACTAGTATACCGAGTACCGACTAGGAGCCTGCTGTATTACAGGGGAATACAGGGGAATTAACCAAAAATTACTTACAATATTTTTTAAAACAATTTTTTTCAATTTTTTTTGAGTTAAGTTTTAAATTCTTGAAAAAAATATTAGGGTCAACACTCTTCTTTCTTTATTGCCAAGCAATGATTCACGATTGAGAATAAAGACTAAAAAACACTGTTAGGCAACTCTCACACATAGATTAAGTATATTCAAGACTGAAATACAGAATAAAGATAGAAAAGTTCTAGACTTGAGAATATTATTGTTAACATGGTTTACTGCTTATCTGGGATATATCATTATCTTCGCTTTCCCCCACTCTACTAACCACTGGATTTTTAGCAGCAGTACTAAGTGGAGTTCTTTTAGTAAGTCTTTGGGCATTGCAAGAAAATAAAAATATAGAATACTAGCTGGATAGCCCAGCGTTGCCCGTGGATAAAAAAAATTTGAAAAAAATTAGAATTTTTTTAGACTACAACACTCCCGGCCACCCATGAGTGTCCACAACAAATTTCAGCCCTATCAGTCCAGCCATTTGGCCGGCTATTTGCAACATATATATATATATACGAATGTCTTGTTCTATTGTATTGATTTTTTATTCTACTCACCCGCCCCCCCCCTTTCCTTACAAATACAAGTTACACCTTATAACAACAGATAAGACGGACCAATATAATTACTTATCAGAGTTTGTACAAGTTGTCATAAATTTCGAGAACATTGGACAGAGAAGTGATAAAGAAATGTCTCTCCGATATGAAGTATCAATTTGATAAGAAATGTGTCTCCGATATAAAGAATTAATTTGTTTTAATAAGAAATGTCTCTCCGATATAAAGAATAAATTTGATAAGAAATGTGTCTCCAATATAAAGGATTAATTAGTTTTTATAAAAAATGTCTCTCCGATATAAAGGATTAATTTGTTTTTATAAGAAATGTCTCTCCGATATAAAGGATCAATTAGTTTTTAAAAGAAATGTCTCTACGCGATATAAAGTATCATTTTGATAAGAAATGTGTCTCCGATATAAAGGATTAATTTGTTTTTATAAGAAATGTCTCTCCGATATAACGGATTAATTTGTTTTTATAAGAAATGTCTCTCCGATGTAAAGGATTAATTTGTTTTTATAAGAAATGTCTCTCCGATGTAAAGGATTAATTTGTTTTTATAAGAAATGTCTCTCCGATGTAAAGGATTAATTTGTTTATATAAGAAATGTCTCTCCGATGTAAAGGATAAATTTGTTTTTATAAGAAATGTCTCTCCGATATAAAGAATCAATTTGTTTTTAATAGAAATTTCTCTTCGATATAAAGGATCCATTAGTTTTTTAAAGAAATGTTTCTCCGATATAAAGGATCATTTTGCTTTTATTAGAAATGTGTCTCCGATTTAAAGGATCAATTAATTCTTATAAGAAATATCTCTCAGATTTAAATAAATCAACTTTTTTAAAGGAAATGACTCTCCAAAGTGTCTCAGCGGTGAACAGTATCAAAAAGAATGAAAAAGTTGTCATTTAGTGTCTAACTCCCCCCCCCCCTCCCATCAGAAGGGGAGGGTAATTCTGAAAAATATACACCAGAAGTAATTCTATTTTCTGTTATTAGTTCAACTACAATATCATCCAATCTTAATTTTCCTGCCGTCATCATGTGAATCCGTATCCGCCAGTATTTCTACAGTTTCCATAAAATCTTGTATTCATTCTTACGCAATTTCTTCGATCCATCTTACGCATGGATCCAACTTCCCTTACTCAAATCTTCTCCTCCCTGTTACGCAAGCTTACGTATACCAATGACCCCTGTGAACCTTTATACAAGATGTCTTCAACCTATCAAACCTAATCTAATAAAAAGGTACTTCAATTTCCCGCATTTACAATGTACCGACAATGTAATATTTATAAAAATAAAGCCAATAATTGCAATATCAATATTAGCTACCCTTCCCCCCCCCATTCTTTTCACTTTCAGTAAACAAATTTTGTTGTCTGAAGAAACGCCACATTGTTACACAAAGCGCTATGAGGTCAAAACTGAAGTATTGTTAATCCCGGGATCAAACTGAGATTCTTATTTTTTGTTATTCAACGGACTTTCCTCCTAAATTTACTGTTTCATAAGCAATAGGAGAGATAAAGAAAATTGAAGGAAAGCCATTGAAATGAAATTTGTATCAGTTTCTTTTCAGTATTTTAGCTATCGCATTTCTTTTATTTCTCCACAGTTCAACCCCCCCCCTCGTATCACTTTTATACATGCTTTCATCAAAATTATTTTTATTTATTTTTTATTATTTTAGGGTTAGGTTCGGTTAAGACAATTTCTGGCCCGAGCGCTGCGGCTAGGACAGGCTAAGGGGCCGAGCGCTGCGGCTAGGACAAGGGGCCAAGCGCCGCGGCTATAGGACAGGCTAGAGGGCCGGGCGATGTGGCCACAAGACCAATGATAACCATGTACAAAATTGATAAAAGGGGGTCCAAAACTCGTTCTCAAGGAAATTACCGAATGAACAATAGTTCAAACGATCAATAGTTCAAACGGCGTTGTTCAAATGCAGATTCACCGAAAACTGGCTTGTTTTCGTCCGTAAGATATATACGATCAAATACGTGAAAACTGAATACGTTCCAATATCATTTGAATCGAGGTTTACTTTACGTGTTTATTTACATGCGCGTAATACCGCAAGTTGTTCTTTTTGTCGTCTTCGTACTGAATCGATTAAGAAAACTGTTTTAAGCAAANCCCCCTGAAGTCCTTGTTTTCGCCCCTGTTAGCAGGATTGAATTTGGAACTCGTGTATAGTGGACTAACCCCCCCTGAAGTCCTTGTTTTCGCCCCTGTTAGCAGGATTGAATTTATAACTCGTATCTACCAGATCATCATTAAAATAAAATGGATCGAAGACACGAATAATAAGATATAACATGTGCAAAACATTTGTTAGTTCTGTCCCACGAGTCCCACCATCTGAGTAATAATTTGTGTTTAAATAGATAGATATATTCTACGGTTGGATGGATGGTACGGAGAAAACACAGAACCAGGGATTTATATTGATTACATTATACTTCACGGGAATTCTCATCTTAAAGGGACTGTAAGCGTAATTTCAAGTGACTCTCCATATAATGATGGCAATGCCTGATTCACAACAGAACCCCTTGAAACATTTTCTGATTAAAAATATGAAAGATATTGTCGTTTTTAGGGTTTAAAGTGTGTAATTCTGATAATGCATGTATATCTTCTTTCAAAAGAAATGCGAAAGTCACTTTTGAGGAAAATCACAATCTATATAATAAAACAAGACATTCACATAGATGTTGCGCGTATAGGCGGCCAAACGGCTGGACCGATTGGGCTGATTTTTTTGTGGACACTCATGGGTGTTATAGGCTAAAAAAATCCAATAATTTTTATTCTCAATTTTTTTTTCAAAATTATTTTTTCCACGGGAAACGCCGGGTCCTTCAGCTTGTTAAAATAAAAAGATAAACATGGTTGTCATAATATTTACTCGAATAGATAAAGCTTTATTACGGGTACCGTTGTGAATCAGAAATTGCCATCTTTTTGCATAGAGGGTCATTTGAAATTCCATCCACAGAACTTTCAAGAGGTAAATTGACTTTATATTATAACATATTCTTAATAAATAACTCGTGTGGTTTTAAACATTTTTTATTTTAAAGTGACATTTGCTTTATTTACCCCTGAAAATCTGAAATTAATAATTCATCTGCAAAACCAAGAAGTATATTTTGTCCGAGCTTGAGATTTACTTATTGTTCCTTGTTCCATGAGATTATTTCCCACCGTTAAATCTAACCACAGTATGTAGCCCCCCTCTACTATAATAACAATGTACCCCCCCTCTCACACCAGGAAAAGTTTCCATCATGGTTCATTAAATAATGATATATATGTGAAATCCTATGAAGAATATTCTTTAAATATCGCTTTAACAATATAATCTTAATTCCAATCTCATTTGTGTTGCAAAATTCAAAGAATTCATAGAAAAACCGAATCCTCAAGATGTATTAGTAACATTAGACGATAACAAATTTTCAATGTTATATTCCATTTAACATTGCCCCCACCCCTTCATTTAAAGGGAGTGTACGCCAAGAAATGACAGGGAAAAGGATAAACCATATAAAAATTATGAATTTATCTGAGTTTTTTTATCTATAATAATCTAGCGTCGACCTAAACGATTTTCCTGGCAATCACGTTTGAAATAATCATTTTACCAACAGATAGGAAATGTATGCCAATCGATTCAAAAAGGAACTGTAAATAACTTTAAGTGACCCTCTATTGATATAATAGCATGTCCGATTCTCAACTGTCCGATCATTTATAAACGAGATTAAATGTTTTCATTTTCAGTTTCTGTAAAACGGTGATATGCTCAATATTTTTCTTCAGAAACAATGCAGAATTTAACAGAATTTAACACCTGTCAAGTAAAAAAAAAAACGACTTAATATTGCAACTATTGATCAAATTAAAGTTTCAAGAGTGCAGTTGTGAATCGGACATGCTTTTTTTTATTAAATAAAAGGCCATTCAAAAAAACTTCCTTTGCAATTGTATTTAGTTCTTACCATTCAAGTATTTTCCACATTAAACATATTTAAAACAACATTGTAAATGTACCCGGAGGATCTGTCATGGATACTGCATACATCTAGTTCACGCCGGATATTGACTGTTCACCATTACAAGGCAGGCAGGGAAAACATGCAATAATTTGAAAAAGTGATCCTATGCCAATAAATTTATATAACATCATTTCAGCATTAACAATCAAAATTCAAACTTGATCTAAAGTCACACTTGATCTGAAAATCAAATGATTTTATGCCAAAAAAATTTACATTTTGAAAGAAGAGAGATTAAGGGGTTTTCGATGAGATTTCCAGTAACAGTTCAAAAAACATTAAATTTTTATCAATGCATTAAATTTTGATTAAAACTCGGCTATTGTAAAAGTTCTCAATTGAATTGGGTCGACGTTTACAGGGAAAACTTAGTTTTCAGGCAAAGACAGGTTCCAAGCTACTTATACACAGATATTTTCAAAATAGATTAACAATCCCTTTAAATACGCTGCTAGCGCTAGTCTAAAGGGTCTGTAAGCGTAATCTCATTTGACTCTCCATGGGAAAGATGGCAATTCCAGATTTACAACGGCGTTAAAATCGTTGTCTGATCTCGCTAGAATTAGATACCCAATCCATGTTTTTGTTTATTTCAGCTATTTATTTTTATTTGTAGTTTCTTGGCAAAAGTGATTTGCTGATTTCTTGCTTATACCAAACCATGTAGAAATTCACAGAAATAAAAAATCACAATATCTTCCACATTAGTGATCAGATTATGGTTTTAAAGGGACAGACCGGCTATGTAAGGTAGTTGAACTGAGTATGCAGTGTTGTGGACAAATTCTTTAGGATTCATTTGAGACATATAAAACTTTCTTAAGATCTGTAAATCCTGAGTTTGAGCGCAAAGTCAACGTTCAAAATCGTACTTTTAGGTGGATACGTTTTCAGAATCGGGTTTTTTAAAATTACTAAATAACGACGACGAAAAATAAAGTAATTTTAGCTTACAGTCCCATCTATGCTCATCTATATTCTATAAAAAACAGTTTCCTACCTGTATCAGCCTGGACAGAAACTCCAATCCGCCATTTTGAACTTTCTGAAATATTAACTTGTCTCGGAACGTGCAACTACTTGAAAACTAACAGTATATCTTGTTCTTGATCTATTCTTCGGCCTTCTCCTCGATGACGGCAACGGACTGGAATACACCCAGGGCCTTCATCCGCTGGAACTCAGCCTCAGCGTCGTAGTTCTAGAAAAATTCTAAATTTGGAATAAAGTTACAATTTTTTCTTTTTTAAAAATGAAATGCTTGATTTTTGTAAAAATTTGTTGCGTGAAAACGCCTGAAAATTAACAGAAAAATTAGTTAATATTTTTTTTTTATTGATTTATTTGATTTTTGTTAATATTTGTAGTGTAAAAGAAAGGCAACCCACAGTTCACGCCCGTTTTTCCAACGAAAGCCGGAAACAAACGGCATAGGACCAGCTTGGTGTAAAAAAATATCAAATTTGAGAAAAAAAATAGGCAACTTTTTACTTCCTCAGACTGGGAATATAAATTTCATTAACCAATAACTCCCTCTCCCATTTTTTCTATGTGCCCTTTTGCTCTTAGATATTTTCAAGCTAGTTGAAATTAAATACTTTTTGAAACATGTAAAAAATAGAGGTGGTTGATATGAAATGTTGACTTAATGTCTATCCCTCACCTTGTAGAAGTTAGCATAGTTATCCTTCCTTGGTTTGTTTACACTGAAGTACCAAGCTGCAGAGGTAATAATGGAAACACCAGTAGCAATTATTAGATTCCTGATAGAATAAATTGAAACTAAAATATAAAAGGATTGGACATCATTTTCACTATATACTTCTTAGACAATTTAAAAATTGTCTAACTGGAACTGCCTTAAAAAAATGATGCATTGCTTAAGATACAATGTCACAAAAACTATATTTTCCTCGCTCTGATTCAAGGCCCTACGCCATGTGCCCGTTTTCTCAATTGCTCTGGACCATCATGCCATTTCCTCGATGAGCCATTTGCTACTTAACTAAAAACGTCTAAGACCCATACCAAACGTCGTTTTTGATTGAGTTATTATAATCGAGCAAAGGGTAATAAATAAATAAAATGATCAACCATCGTTTGGTAGAAGTCAGAGTAAAGCTCTCATCAAACCGCAGAGCCATAATAGACTATGTTGTAGTACCCTTTTAAATAAATAAATATAGAAGAGAGCTTTTGAATGGGTTAATGTTTCATTCTTTAAACCAATCAACAGAAACTTCCAATTTATGAAGTATCCAGGGGCGAATACAGGGGGGGGGGGCGGCAGGACCTTCGCACCCCCCTGAGATTTCAGAATAGTTTCTCAATAGCACTTAAGGGAAAGAAAACCTGGTGCAAAACAGGAAAAATATCTATCTTTAAAAAAATTTTCGCCAGCGGCACGTCTTTTTGTTGTTCCTAAATCTGGATTTTTTTGTTCCCAAATAAATCTAGCACCCACTCACTTAAATCCTGTATCCGCCCCTAGAAGTATCATCAATAATCATTCATTATATATATTTGATAGAGAAAGGGGGGGGGGGCTTATTTATAAACAATTTAACTTACTTTTTAATAGCATTGACATGATGACCTCTCATGACAGGTTTAGCAATCTTAGCAACAGCTCCAGACATCTTGTCTGAAATATTTAATCTATAATTCTACATAATTTAATCAAAAGTTAAACATTCTACTCCTCGGCCTTCTCCTCTATGACGGCAACGGACTGGAATACACCCAGGGCCTTCATCCGCTGGAACTCTGCCTCAGCGTCGTAGTTCTAGAAAAATCATTTAAATTTCATATTTGGAATAAAGTTGTTAACATTTTTCTCTCTCCAAAAATTCGTACATGGTCATTTTGGTAACTATCTAAAAATTTAGTTTATTCCTAAAACATGACAAACCAACAGAAAAGCGATCCAGCCAAATTTTTTTTTGAGTGGAAAATTATATAACCTCAGGGAAGGTTTTTGCCAGGTAAAAATATTTCCGAAAAGTTTTCAAAAAATTGGAAAATACGCTAATCGAAGAGGAAAAATTCGCGAAATTTTTTGGAAAATAAATGTAGCTAAATAAGCTATCATTCTTAAGTGCTAGAATATTTGAAATTTTCAATTTTTATCCTGGTGTTTAATTTGTTTCCCCTCACCTTGTAGAAATTAGCATAGTTATCCTTCCTTGGTTTGTTAACACTGAAGTACCAAGCTGCAGAGGTAATAATGGAAACACCAGTGGCAATAATCAGATTCCTAAAATAGGGGTATTCGGAATTTTGAAAAAAATAATAATAAAAATAATAATAATGTTTGACAACTCTGAAAAGGACCCGAAAAAAACCAGTAAAAACAAAGAAAATGCTAAAAATAAATATCCATAATTTAAATTTGATCATCAGAAATTCAAGCTTAAAATAACAACATAAAATTGGATGCAATCATGTTTTTAAAAAGAAAAGCTTTTGATAAAAAGACCCAAAAAAATGATTTTCCAAATAAAAAATGTCTTACTTCTTAATAGCATTAACATGATGACCTCTCATGACAGGTTTAGCAATCTTAGCAACAGCTCCAGACATCTTGTCTGAAAAAATTTAACTGTTCAAAAAAAAAATAATGCGGGGATAAAAAAATATATAACTTGTGTTCAATGTACAATGTAAATTGTATCCTTGTCCGTAGTTAATTTAATACATATGAATGGAAGGCCTTTAGTGTGTTATAATTGTGACACACAGTTTTGTCTGTTTACCTGATTGCATAAAGTATATTATGATTCACATCTAAAAAATTGTTGCCTACAGCTTGCACCGATTTAGTGTATCACAGAAAGCGCGGTAATAAAGCTAGGATTTGTCTCAAGATTAGGATTTTGTTTCTAGGAAAGAGTGTTAAAAGTTCAATTAAACAATGTGCTTTTATTGATAAGACTCGTAGAGTAAATTCTCGCTTACTCCAGATTCCAACGTGGTAAAGCAAACTTTTTTGAACAAAATAGGGTAATATGATCAAAAAATAAATAGAATCCTTTTGGAACAGATTATTGGTATCGACAAATTTTCCCTGTTCCGAAGGAACCAAAAGGGGTTAAAGAACAACATTTTATTTCAGGAATGCCACTTTTCCTTTAGGACTGCCGACCGGCGGAATGATATATGCAGTAACTCCACCAATTATTTACCAACAGTAGACAATTCAGGATCTCCTTTTTCCTTGCGGAACGGTAAAATTGTACTATTGGTACTAATTCTTTGGGACCAATATAATGAAATTCAAGAACTCTTCTAATCCTCCAGGAACGGTAGAATAATATTCAGGAACTCCTCTAATCCGTAAGGATCGGTAAAACGGTATTTAGGAACTACTAATCCTTAAGGAACGATCGAGTTGTATTCAGAAACGCCTCTTTTCCTTAAGGAACGGTAGAGTTGTATTCAGGAACGTCTCTATTCATTAAGGAACGGTAGAGTTGTATTAAGGAACGCCTCTATTCCTTCAGGAATGGTAGAATGGTATTCAGGAACTCAGCTGGTTTCTGAGAGTGAACCCAGTGACCAGCGCCAGGAACATATTTGAATATTGCTTCAGGAAAGCGTTCCCTGAAAAAAGAATGAACCTCCTATATTTTTTAATTTAGATTTAAGTTATTCTTAACAAATTTTTCAATTTGTTTTTTATAAATTTGTATATTTGAGTTAGTTTAGGAGGGGATCTTAAATTTTAGAGAAGGGGGTTTGATATAATTATTATTATTTAAATCTTTATTGGGTCTAAGCAATTATATAACAAGTTGTTATATTAAAAATTAATCACAATTGTTTTGCATAGGGCATCATTTATATAAAAAAATCGTAAATAGTTGGTGAATGAAATGACACATTTTTAGCGTGATTTTAATCTAAAGTAAATTTAATATAATACAACCCCCTTTATTTTCTACCTGATCTCCTCGTGATCAGATAAAGGGATATATTCTGAATCTGCGCCACCGACAAACAAACTGGGTCCAGGATACAGCGGTACACTGAATATATAGAATAGATCTATATAAGATCATAAAAGGAAAAAAGGATACACGAACCAAAAAACGAAAGTTTAGAAACGATCGTTTGTGGGTCGATCCTTTTTGCCGAAAAATACTGATTTAGATTTGTAGAAAACTTACTTTTTTGCATTCTTTTTGTCCATTTTATTAAAGCTTTTTGCATTTTCTCTCTCTATTTAATTAAAACCAAAACTTAAATAAAATGTTCGCAGGTTTTATTTTGTATTGATTATGTCTTTTAGTTCATTTAAGGCATGAACTAACCCCCCCCCCCTCATTACAAATTAAGAACTTACCAGTTTTCGGTGAATTTAATAGTTGCAATTTCAGATTTAAACGCGGCATGGATTCCGTCAATGTTTATTCTCCATCCTATTTCACGTGTTTTAAAATCCTGACGCATATTCATGAGAAGCCAGGAGCGCAGTGCTGCGTCAGGAATGCGTAAACTTAACTGCGTATCAGCAAATTTCCGGGCCTGAACAAATATTTTCAATGTTATATTGGTGTGTCTCTTTATTTCTCAAATTTTCGCTATTAAAGGAACTGTATGCGCAAAGAACCCGTGTCAAGTAAGACATTTTGTAATATCTCTTTCAATATTCATAGCAGCCGGTTCTATTTTTGAACGTAGACTCATATAATTTGTTAGGAGCAGGATATGAAGTCAGATTGTCGATATCTCTTTCCGGAGTCTCGGAACCTCTGAAAAGTGACCTCCGTCGGCTCCGATTTTTTATCTCCGGCCTCGTTGGACATAAATAGCCCATTTTTTAAATATATACTCCCAATGACCCCTAAAATACATGCTGCTATTAATATTGAAAGAGATATTACAAAATGTCTTACTTGACACGGGTTCTTTAGGTGTCCCTCTATGCAAAGATGGCAATGACCAATTTACAACGGTACCCTTGAAGCCTTGTTCTCATCAAAAATTAGGAAAATACCATCGTTTTCTGAATTGAAGTGTTTATTTCTGCGAGTTTCTCCATTGCTTCTAATAAGCAAGAAATGCGCAAGTCGCTTTCTCTGAGAAACCATAAATGAAAATAAACAGTTTAAAGAAACTAAAACATTGATACATAATTCAAACTCGATCAGACGAAGCTTTCAAGGATTAAGGCAAATTACCATCTTGGCATAGAGGGTCACTTGAAAATACGCTTTCAGTCCCTTTAATAGGTAATGTAAAACCACCCTCTATCCCAATCAAGTTTAACCTTATACCTTTTATAAATTAATCATATGGTATATTCCTATAGAGAGATTTTTGGCCCCCCCTCCAGGCCCACCCCCTCCTATCAATTTTGTACATGGGTCTGACAAGAAGTGTCTTAACTTAACCTAACCCGTGGCCGCAGCGCTCGGCCCCCTAGCCTGTCCTAGTCGCAGCGCTCGGCCCAGAAAGTGTCTTAACTAACCTAACCCGTGGCCGCAGCGCTCGGCCCCCTAGCCCATCCTAGCCGCAGCGCTCGGCCCAGAAAGTGTCTTAACCTAACCTAACCCTAAATAACAAAAAAATAAATAATAATAAATTTGCTTGAAAAATAAATGGTCATGTCCAAACATCGTTCACTAGGACAGACCCAATCATATTAACATTTTATTATAAACAATTTAAAAAGTCAATCGAGTAGGTGGGCAATAAAAAAAACATTGATTTTTGATCCGGATACCGACATTTTTTGCTCCCTACATCCGGATTCCCAAATAAGCAGATTCAAATATCCGGTCTGATCTCTAGTGTTAAATAAAGGTTCAGCCTAAGAATTAAGATAAAAATTAAAATAAAAAAGTATACATTTTTACTAGCTCGACCTTGATTCGGATCCGCATTAAAAAACATTGCAAAAAATTTAAAATTTTTATTACCTCCGATATTTTCATGGATTGATCAAAGGTTACATTCTTGAGACAATGAAAATAATGTTCCATATTCCATTCATTGCTGCTGGTTACATCAAACTTCTGGTTGACAGGGGATATATCAACTATCACCACACGGTCAATCTTCACAATCTAAATATATACTTTGCTTGTCTGTCTGTTTGTATCCAATGAAAGTCAAAACGGCTGAACTGATCGGGCCAAAATTTTGAATTGGACCTCACATGACCACAGGGATGGTTTAAGATTGATCAAAATTTCAAAAACTTGCCTCCAACAAAATCCGATTTTCATTAAATTAAAAAAATCGGGATTTTTTTGTATGAAATCCAATTATCCAACTAAGCTTCAAATTTTTTAAAGATATAGAGATAGGAAAATCAGAGGTTGTGGACAAAACTCGTATCCTTTCCCAGATGAATTTTTCAAAAAATATCATTTCATCAGTAACCTTATTCAAGAAGACATTACTGTTGAATATCTACTACTCTCAAATCGTAATTTGTGATTTTTTTAAAAACAACAAAACTTATAATTTTAATAACACTTAATGAATTCAAATGTTTCCAATCAAATTGAATGTTGTTCTCTCTTAATGAACTCACCTGTTGTTCTAGCATTGAGAGCATCATTGCTGTGCGTCCACCCATACTGTGCCCCATTATACTCACAACAGGACCAAGCTTTAAATCCTTAAGAATAAAGTATTTAATTTCAGAACTTCCCTGAAATAACAATTTGGATTTTCCTTTTAAAACATTAACCCCGCTCTTCCCACCCAATAGAATCCATTTAACCGACATTGGTGTAAAAAGCACATCATTCACACAACATTTAACTTATACTAGCTTAAAGGCCCGGCGTTTCCCGTGGAAAAAATTTCTAATTTTCTGTAACACCCCACAGCCACCCATGAGTGTCCACAAAAAAATTTCAGCCCAATCGGTTCAGCCTATTGGCCGGCTAAACGCAACATATATATGAATTATGAATGTCTTGTTTTATTATAAAGATATATCCGTTTTATCAAAAACTATTTTTTTTAGGTATTTAGACCAAAGATGCAGAAAAAAATAAAGATGAAGAACAACGGAAATAGTCTTACTGTGAATAAAAAACTCAAACAAAAAGAATGAATAAAAAATAGATAAGTATTCCCCCTAGTCTAGTAGTATACCCCCTAGTAGTATTCCCCCTAGTAGTATTCACCCTAGTCTAGTAGTATACCCCCTATGCCATAAGCGGATATGACATTGTATCTGTGTGAGGTGAATCTCCGTGGTTTCTAGCATCTACTGTTAAAACTCTTCTACCAGTCTTCTTATGAATCTGTTTTGCCATTGACGTCCAATTATGCCTGAAAAGTACAGTTTACGCAATTTAAGACCAAATTAGCATTAGGCTGCAATGTTGTGTTTTATTTTCCTTAAGTAAGTTTTCCCACCCACGCAACGTTCTTTCATCTAAATGACTGTTTGGTACCCCTTTTCAACTGTCAATTTATTTACTAAACTTAATACCTTCTTTCCTGCGAAATATAAGAGAATTAAGCCCGGAATTATAAATTTCTTATAACGGAGATGTCGTTGTGAATCGTTGATAGCATTAAAAAGTGGGAATAACTATCTTAATTTGCGAATATTTCACCTTGAGCCTAGCATCCCGTGACAGATGAGAAGAGGGGAAAAATGTCTGTTTGAATCCATGTCATAATCGTCAAACGTCAACGATACTACAAAATATACAAAGAGACTGTATGCTTAATTTGAATTTGTTAGAGCTAACGGAACATTTATATACATATTTTATTACTTATTTATTACGAGAATCCTAACAGCGCGAACACTACCAGTTACCTATCCATCGGGCCAGACAAAACCATATGATAAACCGTTTTGTACAAATTTTTCTTAAAAAGGAAAAAATATATAATTTTAATCCGAATAAATATCTACATCTTAAAACAGTTATTTCAAACGACCCTCTACTTATAGAGCTTCATGGCCGATTCACAACGGTACCCTTACAAGCTTTGGCTGATTAACAGTGGATAAGATATCCATGTTTAGAAATCTATTATTTATAATTGCGGTTTCTTTACAGAAGTGATGTTACAGTTGCACATTTCCTCTGCAGATACAATGAGACTATAAAGAATTTAACACATTTCAAGGTAGAAAAACAACGACATCTTCAAAATTAATGATTAAAAAAAGGTTTACGGAGTACCGTACTGAATCTGGCATGCCTTTTTAAAAGTGGAAGGTTACTTGAAATTACAGCAATAAGTCCTTTAACTTCTTGTCAATGGTGAACCGGATTTGAATAGATAGATGTTTTTTAATGAAAACCAATGTGTTATTATTATAATATTAAATTTTTATTATGAATAAAAAAGTTCAAGAAAAGTATTAACTCGTATTAAATATCATCATACCAAAAAAAGTTTAAAAAATAAAGAAGTACTAATAAAAGATTTGAAAGTTTAAATGTATGGATTGGATAAGAAGAAATAGCGTTACAACGGAAGTAAGACTAAAATATAATACCACAGAAAGAAATAATTAATTTACAGAACAGTTTACAACAATTTGATTATTCATTTAATTCATTTCTTAGATATTTTTTTACCTGACTCTGAAGAATCCAGTGAAGTTGAATAATATTTATATTTTCTAAACACAAACTGTCGATGCAATCTACACAAACTAGGAGGCCGGGGGGGAATCATATTCTCTGAAATATATTAATGGATCTAATCAAGCTCCTTGCTTCCTTGTTTCTTCTTGAAGTTCCCCCACTTATCCCACTCAACACACTCAGGATATCTAAACACAAAACATGCTTTAAAGGGACTGTAAACGTATTTTCAAGTGACCCTTAATGCAAAGATCAAAATTTCCGATTCACTACGATACCATTGAGACTTTATGGGATAAAATAATGTGCAAGATATTGTCGTTTTTATAGACTTAAAGGGACTGTAAAGGAAAAATGAAATGGGGTTTATTAGGCTGAAATCTGAAAATCTCAGGAGTTGAACGATACCTATAAGACATCCAATTGATGTTCAAGTCACGAGAAATTGACATACGACTGTGTTAAAATCATACAAAAACATATATCATGTATATGTAAAAAATACGTCATTATCACGAGACCAGAACCCCCTCAAATCGCAGTACAACCGGTCACGTGATACAGACAGAGACACGTGACAATAATACTGCATTGCCATTGGTTGGAGTTCTGGTGACACGATCCGGACGTACAAATAATATTATCAATTATATCTATTAAAAATAAAAAATTATAAAATTCAAATACTAATAGGAACAAACTTGAGTTTCTCAGGCTCCTCTGATATAATCGTTTTCAGATTGTTTGCGTATTTGTTGAACATGATCTGTTTAATGCTACGAATCTTGTACAAAATCATACAGGAGGTAAATTTAATTTTTGATTTTTTTTATCTAATGTCGAAAAAACTTTAAAAATGTAAACATACTTTTCGTAAAGATGAGATCTGACAGCACCACTCTGCTCTCCGTTCTCTACGCGCATGCGCTTTCTGACCTCAGGGTGCGAGATATATGCCCAGTTACGCCTAATCAATTCAGATATTAAGGTTATTTTCAAATTTATCGTCAACCAACCATCGAACCAACCAACAAACAACCAACCAACCAACCAACCAACCAACCAACCAACCAACCAACCGAACAACCGAACAACCGAACAACCGAACAACCAACCAACCAACCAATTACCTGAGATATTTGTCCCAGCCTGGAGTTCCTTCATATGGATTTTTCTTCTCCCTCCTAAACAATTTATTCAATGATTGTAACTTCCATTTTTTTAACGAAAAAAAAAATAAAAATAAACGGGACTACTTTGTTGATCAATCTTTTCCGACATGTCCCTGTTGAAAGGTCAAGGTAAGTGAAAAAGGTGGTTATTGGAGAAAAAGATAAGTTTAAGGAAGAAAACAATGATTTTTTGGTTTGTTTAAATATATATATATATTCCTAAATGACCAATTTTATACAAAATGACCTAAATTAAGTTTATATTCCCACCTGGGAGTGGGAAGATGTCCCTCGAAAGATATCATTTCAAAATCTAAGATTTCATTATGACCAATTTCTTCCTGTGTTCTAACCTAAAATAATTACATTTGAAATCAGATTAAGAGGGCACCCAAAAGTATTATCATTTATTAAAAAACCGATTTTCTAAATGAACCGAGTTTTTAACATACTGGCTGGGTAAGCAGTAAATTGAAATATTAGGGTAGTTAATGTAATGTAAATCTTTTAACAAATGCCAAGTACAGCGATGTTTTGAAAAAATCTTCGAAAATAATTTCTCTACTCCAGTAAGTGTTAAACCGGAGACCGAATTATTCTCAACCGTAACCCTTTAAACATTATTTAGGATGAATGAGATATTCTTATTTGTCTCGCTAAAAAAATGATTATTTTCAACTATAGTTTCTCTGCAATCTTCATGAAAGCGACTTACTCATTCCTGCTTCAGAAACAATAAAGGAAGCAATTGATTGATTTAGATAGATAATGTTTTATCAGATAGAGGATTAAAAGGCACCGTTGTGAATCAAATATTACTGAGAGACCAATGAAAGTACGTCTACAAATACCATTACCTTGTTTTCTACTGGAGATGCGAGAACTCGAGGGAAATAATCATTCTCCGGTCTCATCTCAACCAAATGTAATCTCTTCTCTTCTGCCAGGGTCTGATGGGTCTTCTGTCGGAGCAATCCCAGGACAAATGCTTTAGTTATTGATTGGATATGGTTAGATCCTTCAACCTGAATATTAACAATTTTGGTATCATATTTAATGAAAAGCGAGACATAGTTGAACAAATTTCTGGATGAATCCTAAGCGCGCTGTATAAAAATATGTAGAACGACAGCTAAACTTTTTTCTTATCCTGATATAACCAAGAAATTGATACAGGGGGGGGGGGGGCTTACCTTAGCATAAATATCTTTAATACCAGCAAGCTGACATATTGCTTTGATTCCTCTGTGTGCTGTGATCCCGGATCCAGGGGGACATTGTCGTACTGTTATTCTAACAAAACAATCTTATTCTTCAGATTGGAAATTCAATAAAATGGTTCAATAACGAGGCGCAGATCAACTGTAAATAGGTTATTCGATTTCAGAAGCTTCGTGCTGATAATAGAAAAAAAGTTTCTAGCTCAATTAAAAGTTTGAAATATTCTATGTTTCACGGAAATCTTCATCTTAGATAATTTAAAAATAAAAAAAATAATTCTGCAGTTAGATTTAAAAATAAGAATATGGGCGCATTCTAGTTTTAATATAAATAGTTAAATAACTAGGTAAGTTGGAAATAAATTCTTAAAATTGTATACAAAAAAGTTAACACTGAATATTATCATGAAATTATTTCAATGAATAGGATTGTATTCCTTGTATTAGAATACTGTGTGAAGAAATCATGAAATACAGTCCTGTCCTCATATCTGATCAAAATACAAAATAATTAAAAAAAAAAAAAAAAACACGAATTTTGGGGAAAATAAAAAAGCTAGCTTGTTATTTAAAATTATCAATTTTTGACATTACTTATTGTTTTTACATTGCATTAGCGCATATATTTTACTTAGTTGCTTCTTGCCGCTTGGTTGGTTGGCTTGGATCCAAAAAAAGGCTTTTGGGGCAGATTTTATGGTCTAGGATACTATTTGTCTCAGATTTTTAGTAATAAGATACTATTTGTACGATTTTATGGCCTAGGATACTATTTGTGGCAGATTTTTAGTACCAAGATACTATTTGTACGACTTTATAGCCTAGTATACTATTTGTCGCAGATTTTTAATTTCTAAATGTTATTATGTTAATTTTTTTGGGTGTATGTTCATTCTGATGAATCCCTGAACTGCTGCACTGATCAAGCCCAATTTTTTAAAGTCCCCCAGAAAGGTCTAAGATAAGGTAATTTTAAACTCATCTTTGGAATTTAAAATTTCCCCAATAATCCCAGATTTCAATCTTTTTTTTGACAACGAAGGAAAAAAACGTGATAAAATAAAATCAATATTAGTTCTGCGAAGCCTCCTGAAAGAATAATTCGCATAATAACAAAATATTTGCAAGTTTTCTATATATTTCTTGTATTTTCCTTTCGATATTGATTAGTCTGAGTCCTGCCTTGTTGGTTGCAGCTCTGAAAGTTTTCTGATTACCGCCGTATTTACCGGCGGTGAGGGAGTAACCAAAGGTACCGTTACCGTTACCTAAACATTAAAGGGACTGTGAGCATAATTTCAATTGTCCATAAATGCAAAGATGACAATGCTCGATTCACAACGGTAACCTTAAAAGATTAGTCTGATCAAGCATAAATTAGATAAAAATGATCATTATTTTGAAAACTGCTTATTATAAAATGCGGTATTTTTACTTATTCGAGTTGCGCATTTCTACTGCAGGAATACACTTGGGAATTATCAGAAACACGTTAAAACTATAATAATAAACTATAACGACAATTTCTTCACCATTATTGAATTGATAAAGGTTGCTATGCAAGGGTACTGTTGTGAATCGGGCGTAGACATCTAGGGTCAATTAAAATTACGCGTACAGTCCCTTTAAAGGGGTATTCATTTTCCTGAAAAATCAAATTTCTCAAATATAAAAAAACTTTGCACAGAGCTCAACAGAGATTTAATGGCGTAATTAAGAGAATTAAGAACTGGATCCAGTGATTTAAAAAATACCACTGCAAAGTCATCAAATGAAACATTTTCACCTCTTTCGTCAGAATATCAAAAAAAAATATTTTGAACAGAGTCGACTTAAGATTATTTGCTTAGGTATTGAAAATTCTATCGGAATGAAAAACTTGGCGTTCACTTCCAATGTTTTTTTAAAAACTTTCTAATAAAAAATAATTGTTTTCCCAAATTCAGTGATAAAGATCGCCCCATTTCGACCCACCTGTAACCATTAAAGCGGAAGTACGTCGCACCCTCCCCAGGTTCCCTGTCATGTGGAACACCGTCTTAAACTCCAGCAGAATAGAATCAAAATTTTCAAACCTTCATTCATATCACCACACTCCAGAGCCTTTTCTGTCAATTGATAGTATAATCTTCATTTTAAATATGTAATTAATAAATTGATTTATTAATTTTAAAAGTTGATAGAGATTTAATGGCATTAATTTCATAAATCTATTATTTAAACTATACGATTAAATGACTGCTTGGTGAAAATGGTATGCGTTACAAGGCGTGATGATGAATTGATATATTTTCCTTCTAATTAATTAATTTATCATCAAAAGAACGCTACAGGCCGTGTGTGATGATTCCCTTTGCTCTTTATTAACCGCCTGCGGAGCCCCGAACTTCTTCCCGAGAGGTTTCCCTCCGCTCCAACCTCGCTCTAGAGCACTCACCTTTCGTTTAAACCTTAACATACATGTTAAAGGGGTCGTTAATCACAGAAATTCATGGCAGGGGTGTATATATTTCAGAAGTAACCCCCCCCCCCCCCCCCCCCCCGGGGGGGGGGGAATTTTTTTTATTTTTTGGGGGGGGGGGGGGGGGGGGGAACGTAAAATTGGACAGCAAAAAACAAGTTTTTTGATACTTCTAACCTAAAAATTGATTAATTTCCCCTAAAATCCTTAATTTTCCCCAACTCGCAAATAAAGCATTAAAAATTATTTTAAGGGGGGGGGATTTTTCTAGAAAGTATATACTCCTAATTCAGGGGTAAAAATTTCTAAGAATGAGGTTGCTAGAGGGGGGAAAAAAAATAGGATAATATCTGGTGTAGTTTCTTTGTGTTACTTTCAATTCAAGATGTTTTTTCCTCACCAAGAAAATAAATCTATAGCATCAATTTCTAACTCTATTTTTGAACATACTGAACTATTTCAATGTGAAATAGCATATTTACAGATAGGGGTTGATAGTTCAGAATCTTAATGGCAGAAAGAAATCTCAAGAGCATAAACATTATATTTGTATAATCTCAATTTTTCTTATTTTAGCCATTTGACATAAAATGTTAAAAAAACACCTTTTCTGTCCGGTCATTTCTCGAATCCTTTGAAGTCCGTCCTCATACTTCTCATATGTACTCTCACTAGTAAAACACAGAATAAATAGAAATATAAAATAAATGGCAAATTATTATCATCGCATTGATGCTATTGTTCCTTTGCCACTACGACCACTACCCTTAATGTAGAATCTAAAGCTCATACATAATAATGCTTATAAGTCTAGTTCGGGTTTATTTCAGCCTATGCAGTTTTTTAGTTCTTTTTATGCAGAGATCATAATTTATCAGTTCAAAGGGTTCAATTGCTCTTGGAAATTTATCTGGATTGAACAAAAGTGAATAAATTTGAGTAAGTGAAGCGTCTCTACATATCTTTTGTATATTATTTTATAATTCAAGATACCTTCCATATAAAATTCTATTTCTAACGTGATATGTGTTTGGCATTTTTAACCAAATATGATATGACTAGTAAAAAGTTGTAAAATGCATATAGTATAAAAACGAAATCAGATTTAGCTGGGCTTGTTTTAGAGGACGCTTTTTGTACCCCCGCCCCCTTTGTACATAACCACCATTAACAACGTTTAATTTGTTTGTTTCAGGGTTAGGTTATAACAATTTCTGAGCCGAGCGCTGCAGCTAGTGGGCCGGGCGCTGCGGCCACATGCCTAACTTTGAACATGTGAACATATGAGCTCTTTTGCTTTCAAATTATAAATTACCTCATTTCTTCAATATTTTTAGTTTTTACATCAGCTCCCGAACCTGATAACACTTTAGAGGAAAGTCCGGGGAAATCTATCCTTTTCTTTCCGAAACCGTACATTTGACCTCTGTTTAGATTTTTCGGCCTCAGAAGATTTCGTGCACGACCCCTTTTCTTTCCCTGCTGCGACACGCCCGTCATCGTTTTCCAAAGTGTGTCCGCAGTCTCTGATTTAAAGAAGGACATGTGAACAACTTGAACTATACATGGCAGCTGGTGTTGTTGTTGTAGAATAACAGGTTTAAGTTGAACAGATTGGAGGCTTAACGCCCGAACACTGTGTACTAATGATTGCATTTTTCATGAAATATCTAAAATAACATATGAATTGGGGTCTGTCCTAGAGAACGATTTTTGGCCCTCAGCCCCCCCCCCTCCTATCAATTTTGTACATGACCATTTATTTTTCAGCAAATTAATTATTTTTTATTTTTTTGTTATTTAGGGTTAGGTTAGGTTAAGACACTTTATAGGCCGAGCGCTATGGCTAGGACAGGCTAGGGGGCCGAGTGCTGCGGCCACGTGTTAGGTTAATTAAGACACTTTCTGGGCTGAGCGCTACGGCTAGGACAGGCTAGGGGGCCGAGCGCTGCGGCCACTGGTTAGGTAAACTTAAGACACTTTCTGGGTCTTCATTTAAGATCCATGTACAAAATTGATAGGGGGGGGGGGGGTCCAAAAATCGTTCTCTAGTAATAAACCATAAATTGGTTTATTGAGACCCCCTAGCCTGTCCTAGCCGCAGCGCTCGGTCCCCTAGCCTGTTTAGCCACAGGGCAACGCTTGGCCCAGAAATTGTCTTGACCTAACCAATCCCTAAAATACAAATAAATTATAGTAATTTTTCTGAAAATTAGTGCTCATGTACAAAATGATAGGAAGGGGGAGGGTGGGGGTCAAAAAATCAGATACTAGGACGGACTCTAATAATTTAATGAAATAGTATTACATTTTAGTTTTAATTCCAAAATATTGACCTGCAGCAAGTTTTAACAAAATCAAAGGAAAGATGAACGAAAATATAACTAAAAATGGAAGGGTGGTTTGGTTTGGATTGATCAGCAGGGACAGCAAAATGCCGCAATACATTTTACTCGATGAAAAAGGAGGATTCAGTTAGAAGAGCGCTCGTTCTTCTTTCTCGTTTTAAGATGGATAAAATCAAAAAGTGGACAAGTTTATCGTACAATTCTAGAAGTATTTGGATACTGTTGGGACATTTACAATTATCATAATTACATTTATCTATTTGTAATGCAACCTATTTAAGTAACAATTTATGACGTTCTCAATTTTTAATCCTCCATGACGAAACGTCATGCCTGTCACAATAGTAATTTTCAGGGGAAATCCTTCTTCCCATTAAGTACTATCCGATAATTGTTAAAACAAATATTATATTTTTTTCGTTGACGCCTTTTCCGCTCACTTATATTCCATGAAATTAATATTTTTAAAAATTTCATCATTTAAAACTGTGTAATTTTTTGTAGATTAATTTTTTTACATGATCATATCGTCATGATTTGAACTTATTCATTCTACTCATCGTCGTACTCGTCCATTACTTATCAGTTATCAGTCTGAGTCTGTTCTTACTCTTCAAACAATCAGCTGTTTACTTAAATTTAGTCATTATTATAACTCAAATTCTTACATATTCAAACAGGGGCGGATACAGGATTTAAGTGAGGGAGGGGGGGGGGGCAAAATTCATAATTAGAAACAAAAAATCGCGCTGCAGGCGAACATTTTTTTTGACTTAAAAGACTCAAAAAGAGTCAAAATTAATGTCAAAAGACAAAAAAACTAGATTTTTAACTTTTCGCACATTATAGTTTATTCAGACAGATATTTTCCTGTTTTGCACTAGGGTTTCTTTCCTTTAAGCATGCTATTGAGAAGCTATTCTGTATCCGCCCCTGTATTCAAGGCTGCAAATTAGCAGTGACTGCCCTGTAAATGTACATGTACTTTACGTACAGTTATTTTTCAGACGGTGTATGCAACTTATTGCAGTACTTTCAATTATACATATATATATATCATTCAAAGACTGTTAAGCTGTGTTCAGAGTTTCTTTCTGGTCTGTCGCATATTTCTCTAAAAAATGATAGAGGTAATTATTCCAGAAATGTTACAAAATTACAGAAAATCAATGTTGTTAAGTAGAACTTTTGGGTCCGTCCTAGTGAACGATTTTTGGCCCCCCTCCTATCAATTTTGTACATGACAAATTAAAATTAGTATTTATTTATGATTGTTTAAGGTTAGGTTAGTTTAAGACACTTTCTGGGCCGAGCACTGCGGCTAGGGGGCCGAGCGCTGCGGGCCTAGGGTTGTTAATCGTTTTTGTAAACGATCGTTTTTTGTTTCGTTTTTAAAAACGATCGTTTCGTTTACAGAAAAACTCGTTTTGAACTTTTAGAAAACGAATAGCGATCGTCTTTGAAAACGATCGTTTTAATTAAAACGATTTGCGATCGTTTTTTATACGATTGTTTTTAAAAAAACGATCGTTTTTGAAAAAACGATCGTTTTTGAAATTTTTTTTATTGACAATTATGTTAACGATCGTTAACGAAGGGTCGTCGTTAACGATCGTTAACGAAACTACGAACTTTATCAAAACGGTTGTTTTTTGAAAAAAAAATACATGCAACTTTATTGAATGTCGTCTTACATGATGTTTAACAGTTGTGGGGGAGTTAAAACTCCTTGATATTTTCTTAAAAACTACTCAATGATAAGTACAGATGCCCTCCAGGTCGGTTTCCTCTCTTCGTTAACGAAGGTCCGTCGTTAACGATCGTTAACAAAACGACGAATTTTATAAAAACGATCGTTTTTAAAAACGAGCGTTTTGTAAAACGATCGTTTTAAAAACGACTATTTTTAAATAAACGAACTTTTTAAAAAACGATCGTTTTTAAAAACGATCGTTTCGTTTTCGATTTTTCGTCGTCGTTATCATAACGAAACGATCGTTTTTCTGAAAAATGAAAACGTTAACATCCCTAGCTGCGGCCTCGGGTTAGGTTAGTTAAGACACTTTCTGGGCCGAGCGCTGCGGCTAGGACAGGCTAAAGGGCCGAGCGCTGCGGCCACATAGTCACATTATATCCATGTCTAACATAAAATATCCATTTACAAAATTGATAGGGGGGGGGGGTCCAAAAATAGTTCACTAAGAATATACCGAACTTTAAACAAATTTTAAAGTTGCTATTTTATTATTACGTCTCTTGATTCCAATTTATAAAATGATAAAAATTTAATGTTAAAAAATTTCGTAATTAAAATCGAAAATAATTTTAAGTATGATTTTACAAAGTTTGTACTATAAGAGAAGATACGATTTTAGTGAATTTGGTCTGGGCTGACTTTGAATTTGTTATATTTTATAACTTGATCTTTGACTTATGATGTAACACATAAAAGTTCTATTTTTCAGTCTCTTCTTGTGAACCTATGATGAAAGTTCTGAAATTTAGAATATGTAATGAATTGAATTTATTTTTTAGCTGAAGTAGTAAACGTTATCATATCTGAATGTATTAACTTATAAAAGAACAGTTCAGACAATGTTTATTTTCTTTATCTTACAACATTTAAAATATTATCACAGGGAATTTTAACTTTTTCATTGTAGCAAAACAAAATTATTTATGTTTTCTCGTCAAGAAAATACATTTTTATTTAAATATGAAACTAGAAACTTTAGAAGACTACAGATGTTCATATATGTAAATCTTAAGCGTAGACAATTAGGATTAAGAAAGCGCTAGTTAGCTGCAGATGCTGAGATGTAGATTGTAGAATAGATAAATAATTTTATCAAACACAAATTTTCCTTCAGATAAAATTGGATCCTGTTAATTTGTTCAATTTGACTGAATCCCCATGGAAACCACTAATCCAGGGGGGCGGGCTGAGCCACTATAACCCCACCATCCCTCTTTTCCAGGGGGGGGGGCTGAGCCACTATAGCCCTACCACCCATCTTATCGGTCTATCCATAGGATCCATCGTCATTCTGGTTCAGAGGACACTGGATCCTGTTAATTTGTTCAATTTGACTGAATCCCCATGGAAACCACTAATCCAGGGGGGGGGGCTGAGCCACTATAACCCCACCACCCCTCTTTTCCAGGGGGACGGGCTGAGCCACTATAACCCCACCATCCCTCTTTTCCAGGGGGGCGGGCTGAGCCACTATAGCCCTACCACCCATCTTATCGGTCTATCCATAGGATCCATCGTCATTCTGGTTCAGAGGACACTTTTTCCTAAATTAATTTATTTAAATTTTTCTTCAAATATTTGAGACATTCATGTTAAAATCTAAGAAAACTCGTTAAAAATTTTCTGACAAGAAAAAGATGTAAAAATGATAAGAGAATATCAAATTTGAATTATTTACCTGGTGTGTCCAGTTTGTTTACAAAGTCCACAAGCCCTGGGTTTCCTAGTCCCATCTGCTGGACCAGGGACCTTTCTCTTCATGGACCCAGAGAATAGATCATCTACAGGTCCGGCTCCACGACCTCGACCTTTAAGTGATCATTAATAAAAAACTGATTTTCTTTGGCCCTAAGCTTGTTTTAAAATTAAGTGTTGATGGTTTGGACCCTCAGAGAGATTTGAGTAGATTGGCATAACTGTGTTCATAATTAAAAAATTCGGTATCTTGTCTTTTTTTCAAATACATAAACAATCCCTTTAATATTTAGTCACTTAAAAGATGTGATTGAAGATGTACTATCTATTACGATCCGATGATTCTATAATGAAAGAAAGCATGAAAACAATACAACAATTATATAAGGGACAGTGTTTGAAAATATACATATTTTCTTTTCAAGCACCAAAACAAGATTAAGTGAGATTTCTTGATTAGTGATCTTGTATGTTTTGAGAGGATAGATTAGATAAATCACAAATATTGACAAAATCCATTCATCAATTGCAAAATTCCTCCTATTCAAATAAAAAATTCGCTAAAATAAATTTTTACCCAGTATCTTAGCTATTTTTAACTTTTTCCCCCTGAATTGTAAAACAATAAATGTCTTTTTTTGTGCAAAAATGTCAGACAGGGTGGACAAACTTGCCAGTTGATGTCCAAATTTAGATTTTTACCTCTCCCAGAACTTAGAAAATCATTTTAAAAAAATGTATACCCCTGTAACTTAATGAGGGATACAGTAAATTAAGATATTTACCTCTTCCTCCTCCTTGACCGCGCCCTCCTCCACCAGATCCACCTCCCCATCCACTACTAGCTCCTGCACCTCCGCCTCCCCGTCCACTACTAGCTCCTGCACCTCCGCCTCCCCATCCGCTACTACCACCAGCACCTCCTCCATTATCTATTTCATCTGCCCATATAAATGTTCCACACTGGGACCCCTGCTGTTTACTGCACACTAAGAAGTCTCTGTCCTGAATTAAAAAAAGGATACATTGTCAACTAATACCTTCCCCCTTGATTTATAAAGAAAAGTGGAAACCATTTATCTTGAATTAATATAAATTTCACAAAAACATCTGAACTAATCATTTGTAGTATCTTAAAGAAATTTTACCTTGTTCGGCCCATCTTTCCTTACAGTCCTTCTGACACATGGGATACCACATTCACATTGGGAATCTCCACTTTCACCACCACCTCCTCCTCCTCCTCCTCCTCCTCCTCCTCCTCTACTGGCTGATCCACCTCTACCACCCCCTCTCCTTGTTGCTCCTCCTCCATACCCTCCTCCACCTCCTGACCCCCCTTGCGCCTGAAAATTTTTAAGTTGATCCAATAAGTGAAAATTCTATCAATTCACCCAAAACATTATGAGTTTATTCAAATTTATTCTTGATTGCAAGTATCATTAAAAAACAAGTTAAAACTCAATATTTTCAAAATTTCTAATTAATTTTGGAATTTTGTGTAAAATTTTGGTTTGATGGCCGACTCAGGCTTTTAGCCTCAACTGAGTGACTTGAGTTATTTAGAAAAATAATCAAATTTGAAGACCAATACGTTTTTAGTTATGTCCAAGAAAAAAAACGAAGATTCAAAATTTCTTTATTTTTCTTAAAATGAATTTTCTTAAAGAATTTTCCAGTCCCATGCCTTATGATTAAAAAAACAGCACTATGTAAATAGTTTGGCACATGTTGTCATAAATGAGTTACCTGCGAACCCCCTTGCTCCACTTCATCTGTCCATTGGAAGAACCTGCACTGTTCATCTCTCCCCTTGGAACAACAAAGAAAATCTCTGCCTTTGTTGGGACCATCCTTCTGTACAGTTCGTTGGATGGAAGGCTGACCGCAATCACAGTTGATCACATCTTAAGATAAATGTAGGGGTTGGTTCTTTATTTCCTCCTGAGACGGGGGGGGGGGGGGGGAGTGATTAAAAATCAAGAATTAATTCTTCCTTATAGTCAGGGAGAAATTGTAGCTTTATTCGGCATCTAACCAAAAGAAATCAAAAAGCAAATATTTTGTACCTAAGTTAGCTGAAGCAGTAAAACTAGATGCAATCGCTTCATCTGCCCAGCTGAAGAAATTACAATTACCAGACTCACACTTATAGAATTCTCTTCCTTGGTTTGGACCTTCCTTACGGACTGTTAGGACAATGGCAGGGGCTCCACACTGACAAGTCACTTGATCTTGGGAAGTTTCCTGAGATGGCCCAGAGGATTGAAATTGGTTAAAGCTTCCTCCACTTTGATATCCACTATCATTGTTCCTTGTTAGATCCTTTCCTCTTCCTCTTCCTCTTGTTCCTTAAATAAAAAAGGTTGACAAATTATGTTCTTTTTTATTGAAATGCATTGGTGATGACTCTTCTTTAATACAAATATTATTGAATCAAAATATTCTTACCTGCTCCTCTCTCTCTTGGAGCTCCTCGAGGAGGTCTTACTGGGCCTGATCCAGTAGCTCCTCTTCCTCTTAATCCTGCACCTCCACCTGTATCATTGGTTGAAGATCCTCTACCTCTGCCTCCTCCCTGACCTTGACCACCACCACCTTGACCTCTGCCACCTCCAAAACCTCCATCTCCTCCTCCTGGTCCTCCTCCACCTCCTGCCCGTGGAGGACCCTGGTCAAAATGCTGATTGCCTCCTCTTCCTTGACCTCTCCCTGTAGGATTTGCAATTGCAGGTTGAATTCTTCCCCCATTAAGCTTCTGAATATCCATCATGTTGAGAAGATCAGTATCACATCCACCAAGGCAAGCAACAAATTCATCTGGATAGAAAGGTCTCAAGGTTCCACGTTTAATACTTAAGCTTAGAGTGGCTGGGTTTCCAGGGCATACATCACATTTAGCATCAACTTTTGCTTCAAGAACAGAATCGGGCAACCATATTGCCTGCTTGCAGGCAGGGTAGCCTTGACATGAGATCATCCAACCCCCAGACTGCTTACGTTTTAAGACTAGAAAAGATCCACAGTTAGAACAGGGTACAACAGGGTCAGGAAGGTCTAGACCAGGAAGTCCTTCATCTAGGGGTATATCCTGTGCAGGCTGTTCTTCTAGGAAGTAATGGGTGGCAGCATCTAAGTTTACAGCATTCTCCATGGATATCATAAAGATTTCCTTGTAGCGTGCTATTTGATCTTCTAACACTTCCTCTTTTGTCTTAACACCGTCACAGATAAGTTTTAAGTCTGACTCAAGACCAGCTCTCATGAAGGGTTTAGACATGCCAATTCCCATAGAATCATACCCCTCAACTAAGGCCATTCCAAGCTTCCCTGGAACTAGCTTGTCTCTGTTCTCAACAAACACATACTCCCTTGCCTTAATTGTCTCAATATGCTCTGCATGAGTAGCATCAGTGCCAATCCCATTCTCATCCATTAATGCGATCAAGTCAGCTTCAGTAAGAAGCTTTGGAGGCTCAGTAGATCCAGAAACTATGTCGATTGATGTTGGTTCAAACTCTCTTACAAGTCAAAAATAATAATATTATTCTAATTTTACATGATCAAAACTGCAGATAATAAAGTAATCTATTGTTATATTAATTTTTGAATTGCTCCTTTTTTCTAAGAGATAAACATTTATAGCTCTGATTTTTATATTTATCTACCTTATTTCTTCGTAATCTAAAATCTCTTTGTCTGACCATTTCTCATAAATATAAACCTAAATAAATCAGAAAGTTGAAGGTACATATTGAAGTGAAATTTCAACAAAAAACACCACTTAAAATACTCTAAATTATTAATGATACCAAATAAGTCCAGCTTTAGTCCAAAAAGGGATTAATAGCATGTTGCAAAACCACAGAAATAAATTAAGATGGATCACTTTATGTCCACTTGTCGGGGAAATTATAAATAATTAACCAATAAATAAATAATGAGAGTTTTCATCCAAATATCAAAAGGAATTGTACACAACGCTAGTCAATTATTTAAATTTTAACCTCCAGGTAATTTCTCTGGCAGACTGTTAGCCCATGTCCAACGAACTTTTCACCGTTAATGTCTATTTGGACTGTTGTCTCCTTACCAACAGCATCTCTAGAAAACAAGAGTTTTACAATAACAGTTTCTGCACTAAATAAAAATTAAAGTTACTGTTTCGCAAATTGTACAGAGGCCAAATTTAAAGAATTTGAGTCGCGGCTTAAATTTAAGCCGCAGCTCAAATATGGTTGGTTCCACTTAAAATTTTATTAAATTTTTCAAGATTTAAGCCAGTGCTCAATTGAAAGCGGTTTTTGGGGGATTTGAGACGTGGCTTAAATTCATTAAATTCGGACACAGTTCATATTAAACATAATTGAAGGAATGTTTTAAGTAATGTTCATTATATTCATTTGAGTTTATGGAAACTGTTACTGCAGCCGTGGACAAGGGGGACTCTATTGATATTTTATACTTAGATTTCCAGAAAGCTTTTGATAAAGTACCCAGAGAAAAACTTTTGACACTGTTAGAAGCCCATGGTTTCACGGATAACCTGCTTAAATGGATAAGAAGCTGGTATACTGACCGGAAACAGAGGGTTGTATTGAATGGTGCATGTTCAAACTGGGCAGTAGTGAAATCAGGTGTTCCCCAAGGAAGCATATTAGGTCCGCTGGGCTTTGTCATTTACATAAACCCACTGGAAGATAATATAGAAACACTAACAATTTTATCTAAATTTGCTGATGACTCAAAAGGGGCTAAAATTATCAGATCTCCTACAGATAATTCACTTATGCAGACTGCAATTGACAAACTTAGTGAGTGGGCTGATAAATGGTCAATGAAGTTTAACGTCAGCAAATGCACGATAATGCATTTAGGCAAAAACAATCCAAAGCATCAGTATACTATGAATAATATCCCTATGATCAGTTCTACAGAGGAGAAAGATGTTGGAGTACTGGTGACTGATAATCTAAAACCATCTAAACACTGTGCCCAGGTTGCTCAGAAGGCCAAGCAAGTCTTAGGTCAAATGACAAGAGCCTTCCATTTCAGAGACTGTTTCACCTTTATCAGACTCTATAAACAATATGTTCGCTGTCATCTCGAGTTTGCATCCTGTGTCTGGAATCCATGGACAAAAGCAGATTGTGATATTTTAGAAAGAGTTCAAATGAGAGCAGTCTACTTTGTGTCTGGATTAAAGGGATCAACATATGAAGAAAAACTCAAGGAGCTGAATCTTCAAACATAACCATGCTTACATTATTAGAACTATCCGAACAAGATTTCGCCTGTTTAGTGTTTATTGGTTAGGACATTAAACTTGTGGAATGTGGATGGCCAATATAAGTCATAAATCTTAAAAGTTCTTCCCTCTTTATTATACCTAGAACAACCAGCAAGAAAATGACGAACTATAAACTCGTAAACAACTGCCTCATCTCCTAAACAAATTAATCAAGTTTAAATTTAAATATGGTTGGATGTTGCAGTTGGAACATTCTTTTTCTATCATGAACTCTATTGTGTTAAATCTTAAGTGTCGTGTATAAAAATAATGATTTTACAATCACAACGACATTTTTTCTGTTTTTATAAAAAGTTCCAAAATTGTGCAAAATTATAAGACTAATTTAGGATTTAATGAAAATATAAAATTGCCTAATATTGATAAAGTGCAATTTATGTATACTGCAGTATATATCAGGGGCGTACGAGGGGGGGGGCCGCGGCCCCCACCCCCCTCTACGCGTGCCCCCCCTGAGAGGCTGAGGGGGGGCACCCATGGGGGAGGCTATTTTAATATTACATCTGCTTGCATTTCCCTTCCTGAGGCCAGACACAGTGGCGTACCTAGGGGGGTAGTAGTCCTCTTGCCCCCCCTGAGAGTTCCAGGCGGGGTCCTGCCCCCCCTGGAAAATACAAAATTAAAAGGAAACTACGTTTAAAAAGTAACACCTGACAATGACAAAGACTAAGGATTTGTCTAAATTCACTGTTAATACAAGACAAGGAGAGAAAAGTTTTAGCCCTCTAAAGAGAATACTTCATTACACAAGATGTACTATGACGGAGAGCAGACTTAACGATCTTGCACTTAAAGCTTTACACCCAATAAGGCTGTCTGAGCTCTCTACTAAAAAAATCATTGAAATGTTTGTGCAAGCAAATCCCAGAAAATTGTAGCTTAAAAGAGTTGGTGAATATGTAGATTGAGTAAATTCTATCTAAAAATTTCAGAAGAAATTTCGTTTACTAGTGAAAATATCCTTTTTAATGATGCTGTTAGCTGTGATGGAGTTAAATGATAAATTTAAAAATTTAAAAAATTTGTTTTTCAAGCAAAGGAATAATTTTTAGACTCAATAAGGTTAGCAACCACCCAAAAATGTAGTCTTTTTGCTGTATTTTTATGGTGAACAAAACAAGTCCAGGTGGGCGGGGGGGGGCAAAACAAATTTGAAAAAAGTATCAATATTTTTTCAAATAAGGGGTTTTTAAAGGGGGGGGCCCAAAAAAATTTTTTTGCGCGCTTACGCGCGAACATTATGCCCCCCCCTAAACAAAAGCCCTCGTACGCCCCTGGTATATATTATTATTATTATTATTAAAGGACAACCCATCATTCAATGAAATAGTATATATTAAAATTGACAATGCAGAGATTTAAGAAATACTGGGGGGATTTCATAATCATGGGTTAAAAAGAACTGTGTAAGCAAAATTTCAAGTGACCTTACAGGCATATATGGTATTGCCCAATTTACAACGGTACCCTTAAACACTTTGTTTGATCAAGTATGAATTGGATATCAATGTTTATAATTTTAAAAACTGATTATTTTTCAAATGCGGGTTCGTTACAAAAGTGACTTGTGCATTTCCAATTCAGGGAAAAAACACCTTTAAACCTAAAAAAGACAATATCTTCCACATTATTAAACAAATAAAAGTTTAAGGGTACCGTTGTGAAGGAACACTTAAAATTACGCTTACAGCTATAACTTAAAGTTTGGATTTGATGTGTAAGTCACAAGCGACATTTAAGCTGGTATTAACCTTGAGCTGTAACTTTTTCGTTCTTGAGTTTTGTTCTCAGGCTCCATGGTTCACCCCATTGTTAAAAAAAGTCATTCCCTAATTATGCATTTTGAAGTATTGCACTTCTTTTATTTAATCATTGTTTTTTTTCTAGATACTTGTTGAGCCTTAAGTTAATTTTTTACTTTTTATGTTCAATATTTAAGTATTTGCCATTGATATGGTTAGTTGGATAAAAGGGGGTGGGGGATGGGGGGGCGTGGTTAATTCGCCATCTTGTATAATTATGCATGGTTATGTAAAATATCCCTGCATGGGGACTCGAGGGGTGGGGGGGGGAGGATGGAATAGTCTGGAAGGAAAGGAAATATTGATTTTCAGCTGTACCACAACTACAGCTGAAGGTATAGATACTGAACCCTAAAACCTCCAGACCTTGTGAGTAAATATTTCGGCATCTCACATCAGTGTTGTGTGTGGGATGAAGGAATGGTATGTGTGTGTGATGAGTTTAAGGATAAAAATTGTAAAATAAAGTTTAAACCACATTATAAAAAATTTAATTATTAATAACTTAACACACGTAAAATATAGCGATATACATTTTACATTTATATCTTGTAGTTTTGCAGAACGTCATGACATTTTGTGTTTAGAAAATACTCGTAACTGATAATTTTCTATTAAATTTATTTTAAATTCCACTAATTCAAGAAATGAAAATCCATATGGTTGAATGTAATTTGTTTATAAAAATAAAACCGACACTTTTTTGTTTTATTCAGATGAAAAAGCTTGAACCAAATTCTGATACTGATTAAGTTTGCCCCTGTTAAAAAAAATAATAAATTTGGGTTATAATGAAAAAATTTAAGTTTCCTTTTACAATTCAATATTTTCAAATGAAAACATAAAGGGACTGTCGACGTAATTTCAATCGACCCTCCCTCCATGTCCGATGCACAATAGCCCCCCCCCCTACACATTTGTAGGCAAACCTAAAGACATTCTTGTTTTTCTATCATAAACTTGATAATTTTGAATTGTGGCTTCTCTTAAGTGGCTAGTAATTTATGCAGCAGCGAAAATACGGGAATTAACAGAATTAAACATTTTTAAAGACGAAAAAGAGGGAATATTCTCACGTTTGCTAATAAAAAGGTGCAAAGGCACCGCTGTGAATCTAGATAATTTGGGCGTTATTAAATTATGTTAACAGTCCCTTCAATTAAATTACAATCTAGGAATTGAGCCCGGAATGCCATTGTGTGGAAAAACAACAGCTGTAATCTGTGGACTTATTTCTACTTGGGGAGTTGTACAACTTGCTCTGCTCGGCCTATCTGCATACCTTCGCAGCCCTGCTCTTATTGAAGATATTAGTATTGAAGAAAGGTATGATTTGAATCTCACCACTTCAATTTTATTAAGTTTCATACCATATTCACAACGCTACACTAAAAACCGAAGGATTTTATTGTTTTTCTTTTTAAAAAAAGATAATTTCTGTCAATTTCCTTCCGTGTCTCTGCTGCATAAATTTGTAGTTTTATAGAGAAACCACAACTTTAAAATTACTAACTTTTAGATAAAAAAAATATATTCATAGTTTTTACGCAGGCAAGGTACCTGTTGTGAATACGACATGTAATTCTTACAAAGGAGCTACACCTAACTTTACATTTACAGTCCCTTTAAATATGCAGAATTGCAGGATACAAAATGCCGCAGCTCATATTTTTAAGACTAATAAACCAACTATTTCTTTTTGTTCAGAGAATCCTGGACCGAGAGTGATCTCAAGCTAGCTTTGGATACAGGAATGAGAAAATAAATAAAATATATATTGAGCTTAAGAGTACTTAAACCACGTGGGCGGTCTGGGTCTCCCATTTTGGGGAGGGGAGGGGGGGCTTTCAGATTTAATCTCTTAATTCTAATTTGTATTTCATCATCTAGTTAGCAGGGCTAAGATTTTTTTTAAAGGTTGAACATTTTGTTTTCCACTAAATTTATTTAGATTTTTAAAGTTTGTTTAATGCCTTCGGAATTAAATTTTTATGGGATTAATTTTCATCAAAAAATCAGGATATCAAAAAACAGCTTTAAACTGCTGGATTGCCTCTCTTCTATACTTCACTGCTCTTTGTGCTTCTGCCCAACAATTCTGGGCTAACCATCGTATTGGAGACGATCAATTCAAGGTATCTTAATCCCCCTTTCCATCCAAACTTTTTTTGAAAATTATTTGTTTTATTGTTGGCTTGAATTCGAATTTTAATATTTGTTTTTCGTGTACACTCCCTTTTAAATTAAAAGATAATTTTTGATTTTAAAAAATTCACAATTCTTATTTCAGGCCACTCAGTTCTAAATCTTACCATTGAGACTGTTTGAGTATTTGGTTGGGTGAATCGGCGGGTGAGCTTCATCAGTCTTCTTCCCAACACGTGGGTGAGGGCCTCCAAACTCAGTCAGGATCTTACCAGCAAATCCTAAAATAGTTTCAGTGAAACTAAACTATCAAATTTAAATTTTCAGTTAGATAAGTTACGAAAGAAAGAAAATGGCGGACGGAAAAGGAAAGAAAGGGAGGGATTTTTACGAGATCTTGGGGATTGAGCGAACAGCCAATCAAGGACAAATTAAGAGTGCATATAGACGACTGGCCATGAAATATCATCCGGATAAAAATCCGGGAAATGAAGAGGCGTCAGAGAAATTCAAAGAAGTTTCAACAGGTAAAATGAACATGGAACTATTAGCTAGTCTCTAATCTTTATATCTAATGGCCGTTATCTCGATCTTTTAAACTGTGACTTACAATCAAAATTTTAATTATCAAAACTTAAAAAGTAAGATTAAAAAATTCGATTTTTCTGAGTAAAAAGTTTTTGCTTTTGTGAAACAAAAAATATGATTTTTACCCAAATGAATAATTCTATTATGGACACAAACTGACTACTGCAGTATCTATATGGGAAAATTTACATAAATTCTGGGAGTTTAAAGGGACAATACGCATAATTTCAAATTACCTTACTTGCAAATATGGCAATACCCTATTCACAATGGTACTCTTAAAAGTTTTGTCTTATGAAGTATAAATTAGATGATTTTCTTTTTAATTTTGATGACTGAATGTTTTTAATTGTGATTTCTCTACAAAAGTAAAAGTAACTTGCGCATTTCTGCTGCAGGAATTCATTCATGAATTATCAGAGTTAAACATGTTGAAATCTCGAAAAACGACAATATCTTCCTCGTCATTGATAGTATAAAGGGTTAAGGGTTATAAATCGGGTGTTTCCAGTTTGCATGGAGGGTTCCTTGTAACTATGAAAACAGTCCCTTTAAATTTAGAGAGTAAGGGTCAACAAGTCTTGCAGTGGTAGCAGAATACTAGAATTACACAAGAATTTTTCCGAGGGGGGGGGGGGCTTAAAGTTTTTTTCATCTTTCCAGTGGCTTAGCACCTGTTGGGGCCTGTAAACCTGGAAACCATAGATTTGAGTGATCAAGGTAGAGGTTGAGCTTCCAAAGCCCCTCCCCAATGTGTACGCCTTTGAGAATGGATATCTTGCCTCTTAATACTATAAAATGTTTAGCCTATGCTGTTCTGTCTGATCCAAACAAGAAGCGTCAGTATGATATCCATGGAGAGGAGGGATCAGTGGCCGATCTTGGATCCATCAATGTCGAGGTATAAATCATACATCAACTTCAACAGATCTCATTATTTCTAGTTGTAGGAGTCTAAAATCTGATAAGTTTTCAGAACCCATTAAATCCATTCTATCCAATATTCATCCAATACATAACCATTGCACTGCACAGCTATTGGAAGAAAATTGAAATTCACTTGTAATGAATTCGTTACATTCATGGTTTTCTACAGTTGCAAACTGGTTTATTTCTTTGGCAAATCATTAAATAAATCCTTTAAAGACTTTATTTAAGGCGTAAGCCTATATACAACTGTCAGATCGCTACATTTAAAGAGTTGGAGGTCGTCATTAGAGTCTCATCCTTTGTGGTTAACCCTGCAGAATTTTAAATATTAATTGTTTCCTGTTGTTAACACAAAATAAAAGAATACTAGCCAATATTAATGGAACTAATGATATATGTAAAAAAAGGTTAAAAGTTCATGTTTGTTTAGGATTTGGGTACAGTGGGAAGACTTTTTGGGGCTTTGATCAGCAAGGCAGGGATCCCTGTCCCAACTGAAATTACTCAAAAAGTTCTCACTGGGGCGCAGCATCTCGGTAAGTCTTGAAGTTAATAACTATATTTTCATTATAAAAATCTAACTCGATTATTAAGGAAAAATTTTATTTCATTACAACATATAAAAAGACATAAAAGTTTCTGTTAAGGTAAGGGATTGACAGATGTCCCCGGGTTTGATGTTCCCAAGGTAGAAGATCTGCTTTGGGGTCAAACTGTTACAGGAACAGTCGAAAGACAAGCTGCTCATTTCTTTAGAATAACTGTTACAGAGGCGGACTTGAAGGTATGCATTTCTTTAGAATAACTGTTACAGAGGCGGACTTGAAGGTATTCTTTAGAATAACTGTTACAGAGGCGGACTTGAAGGTATTTCTTTAGAATAACTGTTACAGAGGCGGACTTGAAGGTATTTCTTTAGAATAACTGTTACAGAGGCGGACTTGAAGGTATTTCTTTAGAATAACTGTTACAGAGGCGGACTTGAAGGTATTCATACATTTGCTAGTGATTTTTTTTATAATTGAATTATGAACTAATTACATAAAAAATAAGAAGGTTTGTGTAAAAATGTGTTTCTTATTTTTTGTAATATTTACAACATTCATTTATCAGTTACACTTTTTTGTACAAAAAATGTCTTTTTTTAGAATGGTGTTATAATTCGTTGTAGTTCTACTGGGAAGGATAAATTCAAGATTGTATTCTTTGACCAGGAGGTAATAAGATTAATAATTTTTTCAACATTTATGAGAAAAAAATGTGCACGTATGATTTATGGAAATTTTTGAATCTCAATACACTAGGGACATGTCACTATGGTTGAAGAGAGTCAACAGAGTAAGAGGGCATCAGAGGCAAATCTTTATGTGGTTCCATATGGAAGGTAGGATTTTTTTTATCTTAAGTGTTATCTTCTTTTCTAAGAAAAAAGTTTTGAAAAAGTTTTGTAATTAGAAGTTAAAATCCTTGGACAAACAAAAAACACAACGGCTTAAAGGGACTGTCTTTGTTATTTTAAGTGACCTTTGATTTAAAAAAGTGGCATGCCCGATTCACATTGAAACACTTAAAACCTTTATATGATCAATAATGTGGAAAATAACATATTTTTTCTCGCTTGATAAGTTTTTAATTCTGATAATTTCCTCCCATTGTATCTGAGGAAGAAATGTGCATGTCACTTAGTAGAGAAAACACGGTTGAAGTTAATGAATTTTTCAAAAGTTAACAATAGATTTTTCATCCTTGACTAGATAAATAAAGCTTTTGAGGGTACCATTGTGAATCTGACAAGTCTCTTTAACTGGAAGATTACTCAAACATACGTTTAACTTTGACCCTTAATTTACACCCAGAAATCATATCAGATTTGTGCAGGTATCATTTGATGGAGACCATGCCCTTGTCCATGATGAAACATCTAGAAGAGGATGTGCCCCCCGTCTTTATGATTCTCGACACGTACGATAAAGATATCAAGGTCAGATCTAATCTTTTAGTAGGATTTGTAAAATAGTAAATGTTTTATTCTGTTTGCATGTATCTATTTTAATTTAAACATCAATTAGGGGGAAAATTTAAAGTTTAGGAAAAATCAATTAATTATAATGTTTATGTAAATTTCAATTAATTATAATGTTTATGTAAATTTCTATGAATATCTGGGATAGTTTCTTCAGAAAATTAGTAAAACAATTCCCTTTGTACTGTTATTTTATCTCTGTTTAGCATGTTAGACATTTTTTTTCTTTAGTTATGAATATTTTAGAATGTCTAAAATGGTAATTTTGCATCTCTAATGATTATGTTTATTTTTATTTTATATTATGTTGTGGACTGAAAATCCTTTCACCATTTATTTGTAGTCGGTAAGTTTAGTCATTGCATTTTTAAGTTACACCATTTATGCACCTGTATTCTTGAATTCGTCATTTGAAATATTCTTTATTTAAAACACATTAAAATTAGTTTTCTTTTATTGAAAAAATTTTAAGTGACCTTCCATTTTAAGATTTTCATGTGGCGTGATTCACAACTGAACCCGTCTTTTATTCGTTTAACAATTGTTGTTTCTCACAACTTTTTTCATTGTTTCTTTTTCAAAAAATCCGCAAGTCACTTTTTTAGAGGAAACGCAAATAAAAATAATCAAATTTTTAATGACAAATCATGAATTTCTCATTGTGAATTGAACTTAATAAATGGAGGGTCACTTGAAATTATGTTGACACTGACAGTCCCTAAAAATCCTTTCTATTTCTATGAGGAGCCAGATCTGTTTATGTTAAATTACTCTTTTTAAATTTCAATAAAACTTGTTTCCTGGTTTTTAGAATAATTTTGTGATGACCATGCTAACAAAAATTTTATGATATGAAAACTATAAAAGTTTAAATAAATGTTAAAAAACTTGCTTTCATACAAAGTGATACAAATTTTTTCTCTTATTTCCATTTGTTTCATCCTGAATTTAATGTTGTAGAACCTACTACCTGGAACTCATCTATTCTGTGTTTATGGAGACAACTGGTTTCAATCCGTCAGGTGTGCAATTATTTTTATTTAATTGGTTTTAAAATGAAGGGAAGCTTTTATTTAGACTCACTGATAAAGATTCATAGAAAGGATTCACTGAAATAGGACATTCATACGTTAATGAAAGGATTAGAATTTTAACCACTTTAAATATTTCTGTAAGGCAAGTATAAGATTAATTAATAATGTTATTTACATTTGGCAATCTTTTTATAAATATTTATTATATGCAGGTACACATTGAGATGCCTCGTTGCTGTCCATCCTGAGGCGGACTGTGTAAAAACTATACAAACCACTGAAGAAAAGTTGGCTCTCAAGAAGAAAGAATTGGAACAGTTTCAGGTTGTCACACAAGAATACACTCATTTAATGTCGAAACTCCAAAAAATCCTTTATTAAATTATTTAATTTCTTATTTAGTTTTACCATTTTCACAGTTAGTTTCGCATACATTTACTATACAATGAAATACATAAAATTCCTCTCTTCTTAAAGCTTTAGTAAAAGTCATGACAATATGGGGTTTTATCAGTTAATCAAGAGTCTAGACCTGAACAATTTTTTTATAAATGATCTGTAAATGATAAACTGATAATTTTTTAGACGGAGTTTTGTGAAGTCAAGAAAAAGTATGATGCTGCTAAAGAAAGGCTGGAGAATGACGTAAAGGAAATTACAGAACTTGTTCAGGTAAATCTTGGAACTTTGTGTGTGGATAGCTTCATACTTGAACATTTGATCTTGATATCCAATATGGGCACTTATAAACTTGAGGATCAATACTTAATCCCTGCAGGGTATGACTATCACAGGATATAGAAGAGGAATTAAATTAATCTGTAGATCTGCAGAAGACAGAGATCTGAAGATTTACAACACAAAAGTTCTGACTCCAGGCTATTTCCATGGGGTTCAAAATATTCTGGTCTCAACAATTAGCAGTCAGCATTTGTCTCGAAATATCTTTTTTTCAATGATAATCAATTTCAGTCAAGAGAGGGAGCTTATACAGAGTATGCAGATGAATCTGCATTGAAGTATAGCCATGTTCCATCAGCTTCAAGGTATAATAAAAAGGAACTTTTTTATCCTTTTTTTTTGGTAATGGGTAATTTAAATTTATTTTTAAAAATTTTTCCTTATTTGAAAGAAATTAAACAAAACGCCGTAAGTTTCAAGAATTTTCTATGATGGAAAATGAAGTTTTTCAATTATTTTATTTTCAATTTGCATGCTATTTACTAAATTTATCATTTAGTTTAAACTGAACATTTGGACAGTTCAGTTAGCATTTTGTTTATTTACTTTCAGAACCGTAGCTAGTAAAAAAGAGAAAGGGTTTTGGACCTTGTTTTCTTAGCCCAAAGGTAACCATTGAAAGGGTTTTATATTTCTGTAATGGTTTTTCTTTTTAACTTTTAATTTATCCAAGACGATTTTTTTATTTTTTTAAGTTTTGGTTTACAATAAAAGTGCATGTTCACTTGAAATTTATTTCAAATTTTATACTATTTGCATCTGTAAGTTAAATCATTGGAATATGTTGGAATGGATTGATACAAAGTCTTGCTTAAAGTGTAGTCTGTGCTCTTAAACACATAATTATTTCAACTGAACACAAACAATTATTTGTGATAAAAAATAAGATTCCGGAGACCAGATTTGATGATTAGTAAGACATGGTTGAACTTGTAGACATGGTTCAATAACTTGGCTAAATTAACACACAAAAGTTTGGTTAAACTACATCTGCGCGGTTCAGCTATTTATCTCTATTTATTATATCTGTTCCCAGCACAAATATTATAGACCATGCTAATAATTGTATTGAAATTTAAAAAACAAATGCCTATTTCGTTTTGAAGACTAAAGAATGGAAATTTTCTGCACCTAAATGTAATTTTAAGTTATGGTTTTTTTGTAGAATAATCTCAATAATTCTTTTAATCCTTTGCTCAAGGATTGTGAAATTAAGTAGAAGTGTTCCATAAAACATGATGTACAAATATTGTTGGGAGTAAGTCCTTGATGGTACTCCATGATTGAAGGGTCAGCTGTAAATGGTATGGTTATGCTAATATCTCTATTTTTCAGGAATACTACAAATTCTGCCCCAGGAGCTAACATCCCTCTGATTGGAGGGATTACTGGAGGAATTGGGAAGCTCTTTGGCTAGACATTTTATTAATTTTAATCCTAATATATTTATGCTTAATTGTGTTCTGAACCTGATCCAACACTAGATCTGCAACAGTTGACTGTTGATAGAAAACAAATCATTTACAGACATTTCTTATTCTAGTTTAACGTGACTCCAATTGTTGTGATTTTATCTACGCATTTTATTCTTTACCATCAATTCAACAGTCAACATATTCATTTTTAAACTGCTTTCATGTAAAATATTCTTTATTTCTGAACTATATAATTCAATAAGATCAGATTCAAAGTATTTAACATTTGGCAGCTGTTTTAGAATCCACTATTATGTATGTACCTTTTATTCTGATTTACCCATGGTTTCAAGACCCCATTTCAAATTATTTGTATTTCAATTCTAAAAATAAATGTTTAGAAACTGTTTATTAATCTGAGAGGAATAAGTTTATTTACCGACCAGATATGAATGACAAAATATAAAATGAATTTTAGCATGCAGTAGTTTACTAAAGAAATTCATAATCTAATTTGGTGTTAGTTAAAACCACAGACAGACAAGGACAGCAAACGTTAGTTTTATGAAATAAAGTATAGTGTAACAAGAGCAAGCTTGTAGAAATAAGTTTTCAAAGTAATTCAATTTTCTCAGAACGGATAAAATCAATGCAAAATCCTAGTTTAAATTTCAAATTTCTTGGTAAAAAGAACCTACAACTAATAAAATTCTCTATAAAACATTTCACATCCTACAATAATAATCCTTGACAAATTAATCTGTTATATGGATAACGATATTTCCCCATTATGCAGTGAAATGAGCGAAAGGGAAAATAAAAAGCTGAATTTTACCTCCCCATCTCTGATCATTGGTTTGGGCCTGAACAAGAGGCGCCAGGTCCAGCTCCTTAGGAAATATGTTGGTTTCAGTCCTGAAATAGGAAAAGGACTTTCAATGTCTGGGTGAGAGCTAACCTTCTCTTTTTTTGAAGATAGGGAGGGGATTTAATCCCAGATCTTAGTTGTTGATAATACCTTGGATAGGAAATAAATCCTTGCGTGTAAAGTTTTTCAGCAGCTGTCATAATACTCTTCGCAGACATACGCAGCTTCCGGTTTCCTATAAACGCATTTCCGGTTTAATGAAACTTCATCCGGATAAAAATGAAACTATTTCCGGTTTAATGAAACTATTTGCGGTTAAATCAAACTTCTTCCGGTTAAATTTAAATATTTATATCTGAAAAAACTGAATTTAATTGCCATTGATCGGTGATTGTTCTTGTTGTTTATGTAATTTTCTCCTTAAAGGGACTGTAAGCGTAATTTCAAGCGACCTCCATGCAAGGATAACAATGCCCGATTCACAACAGTACCCTTAAAAGCCTTGTCTGATCAAGTATGAATTAGATATCAATGTTTATAATTTTGATAACTGATTAGTTTGAAAGGTGGGTTTTCCACAAAAGATACTTGCGCATTTATACAAAAGGAAAATATGAAGAAATTCTCAGAATTAAACTACAATATCTTTCCCATTTTCGATCAGAGAAATGTTTCAATGGTATCAATTGAAATTATGCTTAAGTACGATCCCTTTAAAGCAAATTAAATGCTTACAGTTCGTTTAAAAGCAAATCAAATTAAACCGTTGTGAACATGTTACTCTATAAATGGATTTTACTCTTAATACCATCTACGTCTCTTTTACCTATTTTCTGTAGTTCTACAGTATCAAGGGGAAGAGGTCTCCATTTTGATTTAGGTTTAGAAATACAATCTTCTACTCTAGCTGTACTTTCTTCCATACAGATCTCATGATACATCTAGACATCATAATTTAGCAATTTAATCATCTACTGCAGCTGTACAGTGTACTGATCTTCCATACAGATTTCATGATACATCTAGACATCATAATTTAGCAATTTAATCATCTACTGCAGCTGTACAGTGTACTGCTCTCTTCCATACAGATCTCATGATACATCTAGACGTCATAATTTAGCAATTTAATCATCTACTGTAGCTGTACAGTGTACTGCTCTCTTCCATAAAAATCTCATGGTACATCTAAACGTCATAATTTAGCAATTTAATCATCTACTGTAGCTGTACAGTGTACTGCTCTCTTCCATACAGATTTCATGATACATCTAGAAGTCATAATTTAGCAATTTAATCATCTACTGCAGCTGTACAGTGTACTGCTCTCTTCCATAAAAATCTCATGGTACATCTAGACGTCATAATTTAGCAATTTAATCATCTACTGTAGCTGTACAGTGTACTGCTCTCTTCCATACAGATTTCATGATACATCTAGACGTCATAATTTAGCAATTTAATCATCTACTGTAGCTGTACTGCTCTCTTCCATACAGATTTCATGGTACATCTATTATTATTATTATTATTTAAAAATCATATTTACCATTTCCAATATAATGGAACTGTGATATTTCAAACTTTGAACTCTATCAGATTAAATATAATAATTTTGAATATCACAGATTTACACGATCAGGTTCCAAAGATATGGAGATTAGAACATTTGAGTTTGCGGCAAAGACTCATTAACTTTGAAGAAACCTTAACCTATATCTTTTTATCTGTTATTTTGTTATGTTGTCTCTGAAAAGTCCAATTCAAAATAGAAAGACAAATCTAATTTTCTTAATTATTAATTTTCATCCACTCAATTTTAAGTAAAAACATTGAATATGAATCTTTAAATTAAAAAGTAGGTTAGCCTTCAGTCAATTGATTTTTTTCTCAAATATTCATCAATCATTCGTGGGTTGCTCCCCCTCCTCCGAAACTCTTCACAATAAAGCTTTGATTTGATTTTAAAAAATGACCTGAACAATATTTTCGTCAAATAGTCGACATCGTTTCCAGAGGAAATCAACTTTTATATCTTCAATCTAAACATTTATTAAATATTCAAAAAAATTGGTTTGACCAAATAACAGGTGAAAAAATACTTTTTTTTGTAGTTAACCCGTTTTGCTTTAGAACAATACAGTGTTAACCAGAAAGCAGAGGAATAATCATCGTCTTCATTCTAAACTAAAAAATGTCGCTCAGGATTTTGAAATTTATAAATGACAACTTTCTTATAATATGCCCAGTTCAACAGTTGTAATAGTTATTCAATATTCATCACAAAATTATTTGGCGACATTTTTTAATTTAAAGAAAGAATTATTCAACGGTTTTCTGCTAATGCGTTAATAAAACATATGTGCTGAATTACGTACTAAATCTTAAACTAATCAATTCGGCTGTACCACATAATTCAGAAATATTGAGATCTGTCATTTTGAAATTCTGAGAACTGAAAATCAATCATAAATTCTGAGCTCTATCACAATTGAAATTCTAAAACATGCATTTTGAAATTTTAAGAAACCGGAAAAGGAAAAAGAGAATGGAGAATACCTCGTGGATAACTTTTATCTTCCAGAAGGACTCGGGAATAAAACTCTCAATCTCCTGAAATCAGATTTAAATCTGGTCTAAGTCAAATCTACAGGTAATAAAACTTAAGAGGAGGGACAATTAACCCTTCTTTAAGAACCTTTAAAAGGGAAGACGCGCAAAAAAAGATTTTTACTTAATTCAACAATTTAAATTTTTTACTTTAAACAACTAATGCCAATTATCTGTAAGATCAGATAATTGGCATTAGTTGTGACATTCGTTGATACCAAATCAATAAGTTGAACAGCAAAATTTAAAATCTTCAGCTTTATTTCATCAATTGAACTATGTCCACTAGGATCATGAGACTATTAGAAACGATTGCGCAGAATTTCAGTATTTTTCGACGTAAACTTGTTTTCATTTTCGTTAGATCATTCAATCTTCTATGTAAAGAAAACTTTGCTCATATACAGGGTGTCCCACGAAACATGACAGTTGGTGAATAGTTTTGAATGTCTTCTTCCATATACTGTATTAGATATTAAAGACTTTTTGCAGTTTATTTAGTTTAAAAAAACTGTACTTAAATATATTTTACTTAGAAATCAATTTTACGATAAAATGGATGCCATAAAATATATATTTTTATTCTATTTGGCAACAAACAACTTGACAAATTATGGAAGAAGACATTTTAAACTATTCTCCAACTGTCATGTTTCGTGGGACACCCTGTATATATATATATATATATATATTCCCTGCTTCCCTACGAAATAATTTAACCTAGATATCATCATATCTTAAGAGTTTCACGTTGTCTTTACACTTTCATCTTTTGTGTTGTGGGTAACCCTGTAAACTCATAACACATTACACTACTGTAAACATAACTTTTTCAAGTAACCCTCTATTGGCATGTCCAATCTACAATGGTACCCTTGAACGCTGTGTCTGATCAAATATCGAAAATCAATTACATGTAACATATAAATGTTAGCTATAGCTGACCAAACGGCTGGACCAAATTGGATGGAATTTCTTTTAACACTGTACCTTGAACCTCTCGACGACGAAGCCCATGGTGGGGAACTGACAGCTCCCGTAGCTAATCAGCTTGTTACTCAAGGAACCAGGGAACACCTGAATAATCAATCAAATCCAATTAAAAAATTAAATCAAATAAAAAATATCCAAGTTTTCGTTTTCGAAAACTGATTATTTTTATTTTTGGTCTCTCTGTAAATGTGACACGCGCATTTATCGCTCCAGAAACAATAAAGAAATTATAATAATTAAACAATTTTCATCCCAGAAAATGTCCATATATTACCACATGATTTATCCGATTAAGATTTCAAGGGGAACCGTTGTGAATCGTGCATGGAGGGTCTCTTAAAATTACGTTGACCGTCCCTTAGAGTAAAAATAATAAGAACTACCTTTTGTAATCTCAAGGTTTGAAACCGCGTGAACGCTGCACCGATTCTCAAGTCAAGTTCAATTCTGAAACAAAGTATTTTCAAGTTCGTCTTCTCTACGCAGCATTATTAATTAGAACTGTAGGTACCTAGTGCTGGGCAATAACTTGGTTAGTTTTTAAATACTTTAAAGGTTTTAAATGGTTTCAAAAGGTTTTAAAGGGTTTTTAAAGGGTTTATAAGGGTTTCAAAGGGTTTAAAGGGTTTTTAGGTGGTTTTAAAAGGTTTAAAGGGGGTTAAAAGTGATTTACAGGGCTTTTAAGGGATTTCAAAGGGGTTTAAAGAGGGCTCAAAGGGTTTTAAAGGGGGTTTTAAGGGTTTGAAAGGGTTTTGAATGGGTTTTACAGGAGTTAAAAGGTTTTTAAAGGGGTTTAAAGGGTTTTAAAGGGGTTTGAGGGGTTTAAAGGGGACTTTTAGGGTTTAAAAGGGTTTTAAATGGGTTTCAAAGGGGGTTTTAAATGGTTTGAAATGGGGTTCAAAGGACATTTAAGGGCTTTAAAGAGGTGTAAGGGGTTTTAGAGGGTTTTAAAGGGTTTTGAAGGGGTTTTAAAAGGTTTACAAATTTCATAGGATAAATTTCATAGGATACACATTTATCTTAGTAAAAAAAAAAATAACTTCAATAGTATACAGTTTTATGATGTCAAAGCTTCACAGATTTTTGTAATGCCTTCTAAAAGTCCACGAACCTTTAAGGGAGTGTTCGCGAAAAATGAAAGGGGGTATAGGCTTAATGCGATAAAAAAGCGCTTTTAATCGCCACTAATCTTACTTCTTTCTGTTGCGTCTATAAGGAGAAAATTGTTAAAGACGTCTCATACCGAATAACATGGCGTCCATACAAATTGAGAAAATTGCAACATACGACTTAGACCGTAAAAAATCAATTTAATTTCAAACAAATCATTCAGATATTACAACCAATAGTCATCGATAATCTTTCGCCACATTTATATATAGTTAATTTTTCATAATATGTTTTAATTGTTATGATCTGAGAGTTACTTATAAAAACGTTTATTCCTGTTTCGAGGATTTTTGGTAATGAAGACGATATTTTCATATTTTCCAGGAATGTTCGAAAACAAGTTGTAAGCTAAATAATATTTTAAAAAACAAAATCAAAACTAGTATGAAACATTAAATATATACAAATGTGGCGAAAGATAATCGATGACTATAGGTTGTAATATCTGAATGATTTGTTTGATATTAATTTGATTTTTTTACGGTCTAGGTCGTATGTTCCAACTTCCTCAATTTGTATGGGCGCTACGCTCTTCGGTATGAGACGTCATTATCAATTTTCTCCTTTTAGACGCAACAGATAGAAGTAAGATTAGTAGCGATCAAAAGCGCTTTTTTATCGCATTAAGCCTATACCCCTTTTAATTTTTCGCGAACACTCCCTTTAAGTTTTAAAAATTATATATGTGCTCATCTCTACACACTATAGTTCCACTCTACTAATTCTGTTTCATAAAACCACATACCGGGTCCACTAGACGGGCTGGTACGAGTAAACACTACAGAAAATCCTTGTACTTGTTCATGCAACTTATGTGGTACATGTACCTGCAGTCCACAGCATTGGAAGTTTCTACAGAAATCTCTCCTAGGGTTGCCATTGCACGTTCTATAGAGGGGCGGGTTATCTCAGAAAATCTGGAAAAATTATGAACAATTTGTTTTAGGATGGAGAAAGTGAAAGGAAAGGTGAAAGGATGAATAAATGGATTTATAAAAGGGATTAAAGGTGAAAGGTGAGAGGATGAATGAAAGGAAGTAAAGGTGAAAGGATAAATATATGTATTAATGAAAGGAAGTATAGGTGAAAGGTAAAAGGTAAAAGGATGAAGAAAAGGAAAGTATATGTGAAAGATAAAAGGATGAATGAAAAAAAAGTAAAGGTGAAAGGTAAAAGGATAAATGAATGTATTAATGAAAGGAAGTGAAGGTGAAAGGTGAAAGGTGAAAGGATGAATGAATGAAAGGAAGTATAGGTGAAAGGATGAATGAATGGATTTATAACAGGAAATACAGGTGGAAGGTGAAGGGATGAATAAATGGAATAAAAGGAAGTATAGGTGAAAGGTGAAAGGATGAAGGAATGGATGAATAAAAGGAAGTAAAGGTGAAAGGTGAAAGGTGAAAGGATGAATGAAAGGAAGTAAAGGTGAAAGGTGAAACGATTCTTGAATAGATAAAAAAGGAAGATTAGGTGAAATCTGAAAGGATGAATGAAAGGCAGTATGTAGGTGAAAGGTAAAGGGTGAATGAAGGGATGAATAAAAGGAAGTATAGGTGAAAGGTGAAAAGATGAATAAAATAAGTATAGGTGAAAAGTGAATGAATAAACGGATGAATGAAAGAAATAATAAATAAACGGATTAATGAATATATGGATATATTGATTATACGATCAATAACTTAAAGGATAGACAATAAATTGATGAACAAAAAGTAAAAAGTAAGAATGACTAATTTGTCGTGGAAAAAAACATGTTTTCAGAAAGCAAATTATGGACTAAATAGAATTGATTACAGAAAAATTCAACGAAAATAATAGTTTGGCAAAAACATGCCAAAAAATAACAAATTGATTAATGGTTCATCCAAGTTAGATGCTAAAAATTGAAACTATATGTCGTAAAACTATAAAGTTGTTGTAAAGATATGATTGGCTGCAGTTATATTTGCTAGAAACTTTATTGCTAGAAAAATCAGCCGTAGTTATTTCAGTTTACTGAGGCAAACACTTTAGGGTAGCGCTAACCTTTAGCAACTTAATTAGATATTATAGAAACATTTTAGCTCCCTGGTTCACGCAAAATATTAAACAAAACCTGATAAAAAAGTTTTGCTTTCAAATTATACATCTCAACTGCTAACAATGAGAAATTATTAAAAACTTCCAAATCTTTGTTTGGTCCTTCAAGCTACAGCATAAAAAAAGAAGAAAATATTGTCATTTTTCGCCCACATTGGTCTATGGAAATGCATTTTTTAAAACAATTTTATCTGCATGAAAAAGTACATTATTATCATTATTACAGAAAACTACTCATTTCTGAATACAATTTACCAATCGTCAATTTAAATAAATAGGTTATTATTTGCAACCTGATGTTGTTATTTTAAACTATAAATTCTGCTAGATCGAAAAAGTCCAAATTAAATTTAAATGACTAAGGGAAAATTCCTTTGTCAAAATCAAACAAAATTAATCTGTGTGGAATTTAATTAGCCTTTCTTGGAAACATTCTTTGCCATCACATTCTATATATCATTTAAAAACTAAGAAACATGGCAGAAAACAAAAGTCACCCTTCAGATTTAAATACTCTTAGAGTCAAAACTTCAGATCGTCAATAAAAATCCAGTTTTTTTGTAGGTAATCCTGAGAGATGATTGATCAATACTTACTTGGCTCGTAACACCCGGATATTTCTATTTAAAGATCGGCAGACATCAACAATCTAAACAAATAATTTCAATAATATTTATAAATGATGTTGATAATGATGATATTGATGATATTGATGATTTTGATGATAATGATGATATTGATGATAATGATGATATTGATGATAATGATGATATTGATGATAATGATGATATTGATGATAATGTGGCGGCGTAGTGGCGGAAGACGAGACTTCTGAGGAGTTTTGAACCTAAGATCTAGTCGCGGCAAGAAGAGCAACTTCCGGCCACGTCACCTATCTACCTATTTAAATCTTTTACATTTTTAGAATTTCAAGTATATAAATTTAGTAATAAAGTAATTATTTAACCAGGCGTTTGTTAAATTGAGCGTAGCTAAATTTGGTGACCCCGANCAATTTCCGGCCACGTCACCTATCTACCTATTTAAATCTTTTACATTTTTAGAATTTCAAGTATATAAATTTAGTAATAAAGTAATTATTTAACCAGGCGTTTGTTAAATTGAGCGTAGCTAAAATAATGATGATATTGATGATATTGATGATATTGATGATAATGATGATATTGATGATTTTGATGATTTTGATGATAATGATGATATTGATGATAATGATGATATGATGATTATGATGATAATGATGATAATGATGATAATGATGATAATGATGATAATTATGATAATGATGATAATGATGATAATGATGATAATGATGATAATGATGATAATGATGATGATGATAATGATGACAACGACATCTAGGCAAACTTTGGGTATGCAAAAAGTATGCAAATAATTAGATTTAAAAATTATTTTGTGTCATGTCCGAAACATAGATCAATAATATATTAATAACTATTTTGTATGCATCTAACACTGAAAGCAACTTTTTTAACGGCTAAAGCCAGAAAATATCATAATTCTATGCACTGCACAGGGTATCCCAATGAACATCTAAATATCAAATCTCAAAGGTGAATATTGAAGGGTGTATTAAATAACGGTTTTACTTCTTTTTTACTATACAAAATGTAATCCAGATTCTTTGTTTTTAAAGAAATGACGGACATTTTATATATTTAAATCATTTTAATTGTATTCAATAAATTAGTGACGACTTTCTTTATTTTGAAGTTACAACATAAGCAGACCACCTTTATGAGTTTAAATTGTTAATGGGTCAGTACATTTTAAAATGATCAGATCTGAGTTAGTTCCATTTTATTTCTTCTCACTACCCTTTTAAAAAATTAAGTTTTTTGTTTATTTTCTTTAGATTTTTAAACATTTTTAATATTGATTTGATGATACAGGGTGTCCCAATAAAAAGAGAGTCAACCCAAAACGAAATACATATTTTTTAAGGTAGAACTAACATCTACTTTATTAACACCAAATTTTCAATGGAACTAGTACTAGTATTCAAGAAAAAAAAGACTGTGTATATCGTGAAATATGTAAAAAGGAGTTAAAATGAAAAAGTGAAGATAAAAGAATAAGATTTGTCACTGACCTCCATCCCTATATTTTCTCCTTCTCTATCACAGTCCGTCCAGATTATCAACATTTGAGCTCCTCGAACCTTTAAAGGGAGTGTTTAAGATTAATAAAAGGAGGCTAGGTTATCAAATTATCAGTTTATCTCAATTCGATAATACTTATGATTATTTACAAAACGTATTCAAAAAAATTAAATGAATCTTTTTCTTTATAATTAGATACATTAAGTTTTAATTGCTTACGTTTGAAGCGAACAAAAAATAATGCTGAAATTATAAATAGTAACAAAGGTTCTGTTGTATTTTTAATTTCAAAAGCAAGGGAAAATCCCTTTTTAGGAACATTGAAAGTTGAACTTCAATTTCCTTATCGTTTATCTTAACAACTTGATATCGTGAATTTTAAAATCTTTAACTACGAACGCTGTAAGAATATAATGAGTTTAAGGCAAGTGTCAGGTCCTTTGTTTGAAAACAATACCTCTTTCTCCAGAGATTTCTTGATATTGATCATATTCTCCTCTTTACAGCTCTTGGACACAGGCAGATCGAACAGCTTGTAAAAACATAATTCAGGGGATATTAGTTCTAAAACTAAAACTTGGCCCATTTCTAACACTGAGTGTTAGAAATGGGCCAAATCTGCAAAGTTATCTTTTTCAAGAGTAGATATCTTTAAATCCATGTCGAGTAGAACAAAATTACACCATATATTTGTAAAAAAAATGGCTAAAACTATATATTGAAACAATAAATTTCAATTTTAAACTGATAATAAGGTGTGAGATTTAGTTTTTGATGATTCTTAATTTCATTTTCGAACATATCCCTATTTTGAAACAATAATCTGATTTCAGCTCATGTCGCGTTTTCTGAACATATCCTGGTTTTGAGACAATTACCGAATTTCAGCTCATGTCGCGTTATCAGAACATTTCCTGGTTTTGAGACAATTACCGGAGTTCAGCTCATGTCGCGTTATCAGAACATTTCCTGGTTTTGAGACAATTACCGGAATTCATATCAATGTCAATTTTCAAATACTTACGCACTTATGAAACAAAACAAGGCAAAATATAAACAAAATGGAAAATAAAAGCAAACTGTTCTTTATTGTAAGATCTGTGGATCTTTATAAACTAATGTGTGTTCAGGGTGTTCAAAGTCAAGAAGTTCTCCAGCTCGTCCTACGGAGAACCCCTATCTTCAAGCAACTAATCATACAAATCTCTACAAATACATTGAATCTACCATTATTTATCTTACCATTCAAACTACCAATCTAAGATTTTTATGTAAACCTTTTCTAAAGCCTATTTTATATTCTTGAAATTGAGTCTAATTTTCTACTATCGTACATGTCTTAAAACAGAATTGTCTACGGTTCCTCTGGTAGTATCCTAGAGACGTCTCCATCTCTAGGTACCAGACCTCCTACAACCTTGGCTTGGTTGTTTCCTTGTTCTATGGTATCTCCGATGGAATGATTACTCTGTTTCCCTGATCTAAGCTCCTCTAGATCAAATACAGGTACTAGTCTCAATCACACTTCTTGTGATCTCTGTGAGAAAGTTAAAACTTGAGAAGGATATTTGAAGATACACATAAAGATCTCAACTCAACTCTATAAAGCTCATATTTAGTTCTTGTACCCGAGACTGTGGTGCATTCTAAACACTAAAGGCTACAAACCTCCGGACAAATCAACATTGTAAGTGAATTTTTCTATTTATTTAAAATTAAGTATTTGTTATATAAAATTGAATGTTTTACCTGGAGAAAGTTTTATTTTTAAAGGCTAGAATTCTGTTTTATTGTAAAATTAATTAACCCTGGACTGATTTATTGTGTTTTCAGTTCACGGTTGAGTCCTGTATAAACTGCCTACCTGAAATATATACATAAGATTTAATCAGTGCAAATAGAGGTGAGCCGAAGAGAAAGAGTTCATGCTCGCTCTTATGTTTGTAGTTATTACCTGGTCTCCTATAGGTAAAAATGAGCACATTTATGATTTACAAATGATTACAGCATTGAGAAATCAAAATACTAATATCATTTGTTCTTACAATATAGATTTAAATAGAAATGTGGGAAACTGTTTGTTTAAAATGCTTGAAAATAAATCATCCATATTCTCTTTTTTAACAGAATGTGGACACTAGAAATAATTCAGAAGTTAATTTAGTCTTCATAAGATAATTTTTGTTTTCTGTGATTTATTTTGTAAGTTATGAAAGTGAGTTTTGTTTTGAATCGTGGATTATACTCAAAAACGGGAAAGTGGGGTTTGTCTCGAAAACGCAACAATGTTTCAAATTCAGGATATGTTCGAAAAATGAAATACCTAACATTGTCTTAAAAACGGTAAAGAGATTTAGTATAAAAAGAAATCCTATTATAATTTTGATTTAAATAAAAGTTTAAAATTGAGAATTGTTGTCCTCGTCATGTTGAAATGTTGGTTATAGTTTTTACTATCGACTTTTAGTCTGGATATGGGCCGGAATCCCAAAAACCAAGTCTTTCAATTTGTGCCCATTTCTAACACTCAGTGTTAGAAATGGGCCAAGTGTTAGTTTTGGAACTAATGTCTCCTGTAATTATACAGTGATCCTCCATGCCCAATGCCCGATTTACAAGCTTGGTCTGATCAATTATGAATTAGATATCCATGCTTTTGTTTCATTAAACTGTTAATTTTCATTTGCGGTTTCTCAAAGAAAGTGACCTGCGTATACCTTGTTTTTAAGAAGCAATGGAGAAACTCACAGAAATAAACACTTTTCCAGTCAAAAAAAAAAACGACGATATCTTCCACATATTTGATCCGATAAGGGTTTCAAGGGTACCGTTGTAGATCGGACATTGCCATCTTTGCATGAAGGGTCATTTGAAATTACGCTTACAGTCCTTTCAAAAGTTAAGAATTATAATACAAACTGTTGTGGATGAAAATAATGTAATACAAACTGTTGTGGATGAAAATAATGTAATACAAACTGTTGTGGATGAAAATAATGAAATAAAAACTGTTGTGGATGAAAATATTTGATCAGATTAGGGTTTCAAGGGTACCGTTGTAGATCGGACATTGCCATCTTTGCATGAAGGGTCATTTGAAATTACACTTACAGTCCTTTCAAAAGTTAAGAATTATAATACAAACTGTTGTGGATGAAAATAATGTAATACAAACTGTTGTGGATAAAATAATGTAATACTAACTGTTGTGGATGAAAATAATGTAGTACAAACTATTGTGGATAAAATAATGGAATAAAAACTGTTGTGGATGAAAATATTGAAATACAAACTGTTGTTGATTAAAATAATGTAATACAAAGTGTTGTTGATTAAAATAATGTAATACAAGCTGTTGTTTATTAAAATAATGTACTACAAGCTGTTATGGATTAAAATAAAGTAATTCAAGCTGTTGTTGATTAAAATAATGTAATACAAACTGTTGTTGATTAAAATATTGTAATACAAGCTGTTGTTTATTAAAATAATGTACTACAAGCTGTTGTTGATTAAAATAATGTAATACAAACTGTTGTTGATTAAAATAATGTAATACGAACTGGTGTTGATTAAAATAATGTAATACAAACTGTTGTTGATTAAAATAATGTAATACAAGCTGTTGTTGATTAAAATAATGTAACACAAACTGTTGTTGATTAAAATAATGTAACACAAGCTGTTGTTGATTAAAATAATGTACTACCTGTTGTTGATTAAAATAATGTAATACAAAATGTTGTTGATTAAAATATTGTAATACAAGCTGTTGTTGATTAAAATAATGTACTACAAGCTGTTTTTGATTAAAACAATGTAATACAAACTGTTGTTGATTAAAATATTGTAATACAAACTGTTGTTGATTAAAATATTGTAATAACAACTGTTGTTGATTAAAATAATGTAATACAAACTGTTCTTGATTAAAATAATGTAACACAAACTGTTCTTGATTAAAATAATGTAATACAAACTGTTGTTGACTAAAATAATGTAACACAAACTGTTGTTGATTAAAATAATGTAATACAAACTGTTGTTGATTAAAATAATGTAATACAAAATGGCGTGGATTAAAATTATGTAATAGAAGCTATTTGGATGAAAATACTGTAATACAAACCGCTGTGGATGAAAATACTGTAGTTTAACACTTTGTGGATGAAGATTTTGTTATAAAAACTGTTTTGGATGAAAATTTTGTAATTGAATTGTTGAGAATATTGAAAACGTACCATGGAGAAAATTGAAAAAAATAATTGTAAATGAAATGTGCATGAAAATATTGTTACGCGAGCCATGCTCCGTGTATAAAGTCTATGTGGTGCCCCTGTGAAATCCTGAGTTCTCCCTGCGGATCTGTACAGAACGTATTGTGAAAAACTAGTTTTAGAAGCTGTTTCCAGACCGACTACGCATGCGCAGGATTCTCGAGTGGAAGCGGACAATTTCTACCGTAGAATATATTTGTTTTTCGTGCAAGTTTGTCTATTATTAAACCGTGCTTATAATTCTAGGATCACTGCGGTAATTATTCTTTATATATATATATATGAATATCGTTTGTTTATGTTTGGTTATGGTTTGATATTTTATAATGTAATTTATTGGTTCCATTCCACAGTTTTTTAATGCCTGTGTTGATTTATTTGTTGTACTTGTATGATCTTATCACTCGATGCTTTTTCTGTGGGTTTATTAAAGTTATTTAGATTGAAGTCTCGGAGAAATAAACGTTCGGAACCATATAATCGTCCTTTATTATGGAGAGTGGTCAGAAGAGGAAGTCTTACAATCCTATCCTGAGAAATACCGCACGGTACTTATATAGATTTCATTAGGTCTTTAGGAAAATCGCTAAGTAGCGAAACAAATATTTAATATGTTTTGGATGGAATGTGGATGAAAATACCTGCTGTGGATGACAAGATGTCCATTTTCTATATTGTTGATGAAACTCTAGTCCTAAGAGATGTCCAGACACACTCGTCATTATCATGTTCGCAGGAACACCCTGTACCTACACATTTATATATCACCCTGTACCCCTACATTTATATATCACCCTGTACCCATACATTTATATTATTATATTATTATAAAGATTTATTCACACACAGAGATTTATATTCATATATTAATGGTGTAGTTTAAATTTGTTTCAATAAATTTTTGAAAATACAGGTTTCCAAAAGAAAAGAGAAAAATATGCAAAATTATGCAACAAATAGACAACATTGATTTTTACTCATTACATAACATATTTATCATTTCAGTTATTACGTAATCATCGAATCCTTCAACATATATTTATCATCCTGTACCTACACACTTATATACTTACCATCCTGTACCAACACATTTATATATTTACCATCCTGTACCCATACATTTCTATATTTACCACCCTGTACCAACACATTTATATATTTACCATCCTGTAACTACACATTTATATATTTACCACCCTGTACCAATACATTTATATATTTACCATCCTGTACCTACACATTTATATATTTACCATCCTGTAACTACACATTTATATATTTACCATCCTGTCACTACACATTTATATATTTACCATACAGTACCAACAAATTTATATACTTACGACCCTGTGCCAACACATTTATATATTTACCACCCTGTACCAACACATTTATATATTTACCATCCTGTAACTACACATTTATATATTTACCATCCTGTACCTACACATTTATATACTTACCATCCTGTACCAACACATTTATATACTTACCACCCTCTACCTACACCTTTATATATTTACCATCCTGTAACTACATATTTATATATTTACCATCCTGTACCAACACATTTATATATTTACCATCCTGTACCAACACATTTATATATTTACCATCCTGTACCAACACATTTATATATTTACCATCCTGTACCTACACATTTATATATTTACCATCCTGTAACTACACATTTATATATTTACGACCCTGTACCAACACATTTATATATTTACCATCCTGTACCAACACCACATTTATATATTTACCATCCTGTACCCATACATTTATATATTTACCACCCTGTACCTACACATTTATATATTCACCATCCTGTACCTACACATTTATAGATTTACCATCCTGTACCAACACATTTATATATTTACCATCCTGTACCAACACATTTATATATTTACCATCCTGTACCCATATATTTATATATTTACCACCCTGTACCAACACATTTATATATTTACCATCCTGTACCAAAACATTTATATATTTACCATCCTGTACCTACACATTTATATATTTACCATCCTGTACCAACACATTTATATATTTACCATCCTGTACCAACACATTTATATATTTACCATCCTGTACCAACATATTTATATATTTACCATCCTGTACCAACACATTTATATACTTACCACCCGTACCAACACTTTTATATACTTACCACCCTGTATCAACACATTTATTTACTTACCACCCTCTACCTACACATTTACATATTTACCATCCTGTACCATCACATTTACATATTTACCATGGACTGTAACTACACATTTATATATTTACCATCCTGTAACTACACATTTATATACTTACCACTCTGTACCTACACATTTAAATACTTACCACCCTCTACCTGCACATTTATATATTTACCACCCTGTACCTGCACATTTTTATTAATACCCTGTACCTACACATTTATATATCTACCACCCTGTATTTACACATTTATATACTTACCACCGTGTACCAACACATTTATATATTCACCATCCTGTACCAACACATTTACAGATTTACCACCCTGTATCTACACATTTTTATATTTACCAATCTGTACCATTCACATTTATATATTTAACACAATACCTACAAAATTATATATTTTAACACCCTGTACCTGCACATTTATCTTTTTCCACCCTGCACCTCAACGTTTTTCTTTTTAAAACCGTTTACTTGCAGATAAATTTAACACCGTCAACTCCTGTACATTGTAGAGTGTATTGAATAATACACGGTATATACTCCACCGTCAACTCCTTTACATTGTACAGTGTATTGAATAATACACAGTATATACTCCACCGTCAACTCCTGTACATTGTACAGTGTATTGAATAATACACGGTATATACTCCACCGTCAACTCCTGTACATTGTACAGTGTATTGAATAATACACAGTATATACTCCACCGTCAACTCCTATAAATTGTACAGTGTATTGAATAATACACGGTATATACTCCACCGTCAACTCCTGTACATTGTACAGTGTATTGAATAATACACGGTATATACTCCACCGTCAACTCCTATAAATTGTACAGTGTATTGAATAATACACGGTATATACTCCACCGTCAACTCCTGTACATTGTACAGTGTATTGAATAATACACGGTATATACTCCACCGTCAACTCCTGTACATTGTACAGCGTACTGAATAATACACGGTATATACTTCACCGTCAACTCCTGTACATTGTACAGTGTAATATTACATGGTGCATATACTCCACCGTCAACTCCTGTACATTGTACAGTGTATTGAATAAAACACAGTATATACTCCACCGTCAACTCCAGTACTGTACTGTACTGTACTGTACTGTACTGTACTGTACTGTACTGTACTATACTGTACCTGGTACGGGAATTCGTAGATTTTGTTGTATACACTTAAACTATCCCGCCTGTCAAACAATCAATCATGAAGTTACATAGAAATTTTATTTATGATGGAAACAGGGGTGATCCTTCAAATATTTATATATATACCCCTTATCAAATTTGAAATTTATTTAATGATTGTAAAATGTGGATTTTCAGCCAAAATTTCATTTTTTGGAGAAAAAATACGCCAAACATCAAACAAAGGTTAGTTTTTGGTTCGAATCTATCAGAGTTTAAATTTAGCAGTGAAAAGAATAGAAAGCGCATGTTTAGAATACAATTTTCTCTGAATTTTGCAAGTCCCAAATTTTTAAAAGTTTTCACTTAAGACCATAAAAAAAGCTATTATTATTTTTATTTTTTTTGATAAAATTTAAATTTTGTTTCTATAAGTGCAATTATAAATAAATGGATTATTTAAGTGGATAAAATTCTTTCAGATAGTTAATTATTTTGAACAGATATAAAAATGTTCAATTTATTATCCCATATTGGAACTAGAGGTTTAAATTAATAAAAAGCAAGAAGTAGCTGAGCATAGTTTATTAAGTTGAACTACTTCTTTCAATTAATTGAGTCCAGCCTCAGTTCAATCAATCAATGTCACGATTAAATTTTTATCTCTCGTAGAATATTACCCAACGTAGAAAGATAAGTCAATGAAAGTAAACAAGAAATTAATTACGAGTTTTTACTTTTAAAATGTCCTGAAATAAATTTTTCTTAATGGGGCTCAATTAAAAAGGAGGGCCTGAGTGGGGGGGTCAAAATATGTAACATTCACTCTATTCCTATTAAATCTTCCACGAGACATGATCTCGGCAATATGTTTCGCCGAATCATTTTTCTCCGCCACGTTCAGAACTTTCATCACCATTGTAACCGCCTTGTCCGCCGCGTACTGTCAAGTGGCGCAAAGTCGAAACCAACTCCTGAGTTGATTCAGTTTTCTATCGGCTACCATAAAGGATTGTCAACGAACATTTTTAGACTCACAATTGAAAATGCCAACAACGATTTACAATCAAAATAATTACTGTTTACGCCTCGACTCTACAGGCCGATTGTACGGAATTTACAGTGTTCCCTAAAATCATGACTCTCTGAAAACTTAATCAGGTTTCACTCTATGCAAAATCATTAAGCCCTTAAAAATATTTTCAAGACAGAAGATTTAATTCAATCGTCTTTACAGTCGTCATCCTTTCTGGGTAACCCTGTATATTAAATACATCTCAAATTAGAATTGTTCGAATGGGGCATTACTAGAAAGCAAGGTTACTGTGTTGGCACTTTTATCCCCATGTCAATTAAAATTATGTTAACAGTTCCTTCAAGAATTCATCCTCTCCGACACCAATTGCTCGTTCAGCATTTTGATCTGAAACTGTGATTGAAACAATAATAAGTGATGATTTATTTAATAAATTTAATTCGCCGACACAGTGGCAGGATTATCACAAAGAAGTATCACGCAGACAAAGTTAATAACGTGCACAGAGGTTACTTAATTAATGTGATCCGAAAATAACGTTTTTAGAGTCGAGCATTATTCTAGATATACAAACAAAATCCGTGATTAATGCATATAAAAGGGGTGCAATACATATGATAACATTAACCATGGTGAGAATTGATTTGTTAGAACAATCTTATCACAATAATTTGATGTTATTTTACAAGTTCAGCTTTGGTAAAACTAAATGTAATACGGATCTTCTAAACTAGTTGAAAATAGAGCCTAAATGTTAAGTTTGTACACATCAATAAATAATATTGTGGATTATGTAAATTGAAAATACTGAGAAATGGAACATAAATTTATTACAAATAAGAAATCGTTTAAACCCTTCATATCTTTTATATTTGTCCTAACTCGCATAGAAAACGTTGTTCATCAAAATTACAAAAACTTTTAATTTTCTAATATAAATTTATATCTATACAACAAGAGAAATGCATCATAAGGAGGAATATAAAACTTGAACTTCAAAAGAAGAAAATCAATGAAAACACTGAAAATGGGGAAAAATGAATGAAAAAAGGTTGACAAAACCGGTTACTCTCTGTACGTTAATTTTTAATATAAATATCTAAATTAGTTTTCTTTTAAATAAAATCCATTAAATCATTCCTTCTTCTAAGTTGTTTCTTCAATAATAATCTTCTTCTTCAGGATATAACTCCCCTCCTCCTCCTCCTCCCATATGTTGCATAAGTAGCTGAGCTGCAGAGAGCTCTCCAGCTCCTTCATCCTCTTCTTCCTCTTCGTCATCTTCGTCATCTTCGTCATCTTCGTCCTCATAATCTTCAGCCTCTGAACGCACACAGATCATGTAAGCGTAATTTCAAGTGACCCTCCATGCAAGAATGGAAATGCCCGTTTACAACAGTAACCTTTTAACCTTAATTTGATCATAAAAGTGGAAGATACCGTCGTTTTTCTAACTAGAAAAGCGTTTATTCCGATGTTTCTTCATTGCTTTTTTATAAGCAAGCATTGCGCAGGTCACTTTCGCAGAGAAACCGCAAATGAAAATAAACAGTTTAAAGAAACAAAAAAATATGTATATAAAATTCATACTTAATTAAAAAAGCTTTTAAGGGTGCCGTTGTAAATCGGGCATTGCCATCTCTGTATGGAAGGTCACTTGAAGTTATGCATACAGTCCCTTTAAAGAGCTATCCAATTAAATCAGGGTTTTTACAAATGAAAGTTAAAATTATAAAATACATGATTATAATAATTGTTTGTTTTTATTTACTTTTATAGCTATGTGAAAGTGCAAGTGACGCCTCATTTTAAGAGATTCATGACCCATTCACAACGGTACCCTTTAAACCTTCGCTTGAGTTTCAGTAAAAAAGTATGTGATATTCTTGTTTTTCTGAAAAATTGCAATTTTCATTTGCGGTTTCATGCAGGAGCGACAAACAAAGAAATTATCAGAATTAATGTTCTAGAAAAAAACGCTAAATTATCCTCATTGTTGCTTGAGATAAAAGTTTACAGGGTACCGTTGTGAATCCGGCATGCTATTCTGTAAAAAGGTCAATTTAAATTGAGATAACTGTCCCTTAAATCCCAAAATAAGCAATTCTAGATACAGACCTGTCTCTGTGCTTTTATTCTCCTCATTAAGATCTTCTATAACTATAGGCAGTGAACTCTCCGCCGTTTGCTTTGTATAAATGACAGGGGCGGATGGTTGATTTGAACTAAGGACAGGGGTGGTTGGTTGGCTTGATGCGGAGGATTTGGGATCATGATTCTTGGATTGACTAGTTTGGCTTGTACTTACATCTAAAAATTAAAGATTAAGGGACTGTAAGAGTAATTTTAAGTGACCATTCATGCGAAGTTGGCAATGCAAATTCACAACGGTACCCTTAAAAGCTTTGTCTAGACAGCTGATCAAGTATGAATTAAGTAGTTATGTTTTATTGACCAAATAAAAAATTCAAGGATACCGTTGTGAATCGGACATTGTCGTATTTGCATGAATGATCACTTAAAATTATTCTTATACTTCCTCTAAGTAGCGGCTATGGTTCTGAATTAATTTATTTATTCTTGTGAAAAATAGGTCTAAGCTGAAACTAACCTTTAACAAGCCATCTTTTGTCTGATACAAAGAAACTATTGAAAGGGCCGGGGTCATTAGAACCAATTAAAATGGGTCCAACGTCATTTTTTCAATAATAATGAAAAGAACCAGGATGTTTGGTTCTAAGAAAAAGACAAAAGAAACCCTTTAATAATTTTTGTTTATTACGGGTTATTACCTGAGCTAGGTTTATTAGACCTAGATCCAACAAAATCTCCGAAATTCACTAATCTCTTAGGTTTCAAATCACTTTTCTTATCATTTGTTTTGCCCGGTGTTTCTCCGGGTGTAGTTCTATTCTTAGCGCTTCGCGCCCCCAGATTGGGTTTTATCTTTGGAATTGATCTTGGGGCTTCTTCAAGCTTGATCTTTTTGGGTTGGGAGGGAGTAGGATCAGGGGAGGGTCTTTCCTCACCAAGATTTATCTGAAATGATTATTGAAAAAGTAGAATATTCGACAAAAAATGAAATTTGAACGTCAACTGGCAAGTTTTTTCCGTGTTAGGTACTTTAAAATAAAAATAAATCCCCCAAATCCATGCACANTAATAAAATTACCCGGGGGGGTTTACTGACCTGTCCATTTTCATTGGTTTGCTTGCTAGTATCATCTAGTTCCGATCCAAGTTTTGTTCCAGGACTCATGTTTAAACTTCGTAATACATCATAGTTGATTTTGGTTGATATTTTCTTCTCCTAGGGTGGGATAAAACCCTCGGTCAACTTTAAATTCATTTCATACTCCCCCCCCCCCTTTATACCATTCTGAGAGCCATGTAAAATTCAACCATTTAAGGTTTATAAATCTCAACTACTTTTGAAACAAGTTATTTTACAAATGGTGTAAAAGGGGGAAAAATGCTCCAATTTAATGGACTACAGATGTTATTTCAAGTCCGATTAACAACAGTACATTCGTCTGATAAATATGGTCTCAAGATTAGATTATTTTCAATTAAAAGTGATTTTTTTCGTCAAGAAAGAAGGAAGATAGTGTCAGAATTTAACATTTTTTCAGACAGAAAAACCTCGATATCGTTCTCATTGTTTTTCATATAAAGGTTTAAATGGCAGTTTTGAATCGGACAATGCCACTTTATAAATGAAGAATCACTTTAAACTACGTCAACAGTCCTTAAAAGACAAAAATGGTGGGGTCTGTTTAAATTCTCTTATCCCGAGGTTTTATCCCTGGACAATTTTCTCTATAGCCTCTATGGCGGACCCGTTGGACTGATGATTCATCTTGATCTTCTTCTTCATCTTCCTCTTCTTGTCCGGGTCCTTACCGGCCTAGATCAGGAGGTTTTTCTTTAAAGAAACTGAGTTTTTGCCACATACTCTGATTTTCTAATCTCTTTATCTTTCCAACCTTATGGTGTAGAGTAGACCTTTAATATTTCAAAGTATGAATTCTGTTAGATCAATTAATCTAAGTTTGACATATGTAAGGGTTACACCATCAGGTTGGAAAGATAAAGGGATTAGAAAATTTGGGTTCGTTTCCAGAACTCAGCTTCTTTGTTAAATGTTTTTTGAGCATTTTTTTTAAAAACACCCATTTAGCTTTCATCATAAGCATCAACTTTAAACATTGATAATCAGTTATCATTCCTTATTAAAAATCTATTTTGTAGTGAATAACAATTTTCTTTGAATCCCGTTAATCTAAAAACTTATTAATATTGGTACATGTTAAAACCAGTTCTTTACCAGTTCATTGAATTACGACAAGGTTAAAATTTCCATTCGTTCTTTGCTTTCGGAGATTAAATAATTAATTTTTAACTCTTATCAGAAATTTTAAAATTTGCCAAATAATAAAAAATTAAAAAGGGAGAAAAAATGCATTAAATTTTTTAGTTTTTTGTTTTAAGTTTATAATTAAAAAAAAACTGTTGAGATTAACCGGTCATGATGAGCTTCATCAAAATCAAATGAAATTGTCCCAATAAAGTTGACCTTGATTAATTCTTCTCTTTCTATCTTCTCCCGTTTAATCTTCTCTTCTTGCTCCAGTAGGTATTCAGCGTTCAACTTAACATTCAGGAATTTAAAGAATTGTCGACCAAGGGATATATTTAAAGAATTGTCGACCAAGGGATAAATTTAAAGAATTGTCGACCAAGTGATAAATTTAAAGAATTGTCGACCAAGGGATAAATTTAAAGAATTGTCGACCAAGGGATGAATTTAAAGAATTGTCGACCAAGGGATAAATTTAAAGAATTGTCGACCAAGGGATAAATTTAAAGAATTGTCGACCAAGGGATAAATTTAAAGAATTGTCGACCAAGGGATAAATTTAAAGAATTGTCGACCAAATTTAAAGAATTGTCGACCAAGGGATAAATTTAAAGAATTGTCGACCAAGGAATAAATTTAAAGAATTATAGCTTCGTCGCTGAACCGGCGGTAGGCAGCTCAAATTCATTAAATTCGGACCCAAGGGGTATATAATATATTTCAAAAATAATCCTCAATCCACAAAATCCTTTTCTAAATGTATAAATACATTTTTTTTCCTTGTGAAGCGACGAATTAATTACTACATGCACCTGTGTGTTAAGTTTGTTATGTGTTAGGGGAGNATTTTACCTTTAGCCGGGAAATTCTTAACACTTAGAAAGATGTAACAAATAATACAATTTCTCTCATGTGTAAAAAAGAAAAAATGAAGGTCGTCTTTTGACGAGTTTTTGGAGGATTTTGAGTTTACCTGAAGCCAGCGTTTAGTTTTCAGTCTTATCTCAGCTCCGGTCATTATATAAGAATCTATTTCATCTTCATCTATACCAGTCAAATCCAGTTCCTCATCCTCATCCCTACAGAGTACATAATTATTAATCATTAATTAAAGAAGAATATAATTCAACTTCAAATTAAATCAAAAGGAGTAAAAAAAATTTCCAGATAATGGCCAAAATTTTATTTATATTATCCATCCTGAAAAATGGAGGCAAAATTTTCACTTTTCCTCAAAATCTTCAAAAACCCCCCTTTTCATTAAAAAGGCATTCTACCCCTGGGTAGTGATGTGAAAAATATTAATAAAATTACCCCTTCCCATCTTCATCCTCTCTGCTATCCTCCTTAGAGTTGGTCAGATAATCCTCCACGGAGTTCCGGAGTCCCATACCAGGGGAGTTTACACTAATTAATCACAATCAATCAATCTTTCATCGACATTGACAACTCTTCTAATAAACCAAACAACCTAGGTCAATCAATCATCGATCAATCGACAGATCTACTGAACATCCAGTCAATCATTTTTGACAACTAAACCATTCAATTTATCAACCATCTAGGCATCAACCATAAAAATGCGAAGTCAATTATCAAAATATCAACCTAAAAAGTTTTTAACGTATTACCTGACTCTAGCAGGGGAGATAATATGACGGACTGGAGTACTTGTAGGGGGAGGCATTAACAGATAATCTAACTGCTCCTGAAAAAAATGTTTGAGGATTTTTTTGGAAAAAATATTCACGTTCAAATACTTTTTAGGTCGAATGATACCAAATGCAACTTTTTTTTTTACATGAACATACATTAATAAATCGATTTCCGAAATGTTAATTTTCTTTGCAACCCCCCCCCCCCACACCTACCTTGGAAGACAGTTCTTGTATCTGAGTTCCATCTAAACATTGTGAGATGATTCCAAGGGTTTCTTCACCGATAAACCGCGCAGTTTCCACTTCTTCTAGATTCTCATCTGTATCTGGACAATCAATACAGACAATCAATCAATATAGCAATAGATCAATATATTAATCAAAGATCTAATTTGTTATCAATCAATTAATCAATTAATCAATCAATCAATCAATTAATAAACCGGGCAGTTTCTACAATTTTCATCTGAATCTGGACAGGTAATAAAATCAATCAATAAATCAAAAAAGCATTAGATTAATATATTGATCAATCAAAGATCCAATTTCTAATCAATCAATCTATCACCGATAAACCGTGCGGTTTCTAGATTCTCATCAGTATCAGGGCAATAAATACAGCCAATCAATTAATCAAAAAAGCAATGGTTCAATAATAGCAATAGTGAAATAAATCAATCAATCAAAGATCAAATTTTAATCAATCAATCAATACAAAAAACAGAGCAGTTTCTAGTTCTTCTAAATTCTCATCTGAATCTGGACAATCAGAGTAATCAATATAATAAATCAATAGAGCATTCGATTAATATATTTATCAATCGTAGATAAAATATTTAGTTAATAATACATCAAACAATCAGTCAAATTATCAACAGCAGCTAAGGCTAAGGCTAACAGCATATTAGGCCAGATGGCCAGATCCTTTTCTTACAGAAACAAAACTGTATGGATATCTCTGTATAAAACTTATGTACGGCCCCACCTTGAATACTGTATACAAGCCTGGAATCCCTGGCTGATTAAAGATAAAGAAATCCTGGAAAAAGTACAGAAAAGGGCTATTTCCATGACTTCTGGACTCTCAGGATCTACCTATGAAAAGAAACTGAGAGAGGTTGGACTCACTAGTCTGGAGTATAGAAGGAAGAGGGGAGATATGATTCAAGTCTGGAAAATCCTTCATGGACATGATCATGTGGAAAAAACAAATGGTTTAGCTCAGCCTATGAACCTGGTGCAAGAGTTATCAATATTTGGAATGATATTCCATATGAAATCAAAAGTGCTGGAAACCTGAACATTTTCAAAAACAAGCTCGATAACTGGCTGAATTCCTGAACGGCCAATGAAGTCGGAAAAGAGATGTTTTAAATTATCACACCCGTGATAAATAAATATAATCACACCAATTAAAAATTAAATTAAAGATCGATCAATCTGTTCATCCATCAATTAATCAAAAGATTAATTAGTCAATTATTCAATCAATTAATCAACTGATCAATCAATAAATCAATTAAAAATTAAAGATACCTGATGCAGATGGACTTTGTGAGTTTTCATCTGACGAAGAAGGCCGTCTGCTGAAAAAGTAATATTTATTTTTTCCTCTTTTCACAAGATTCAAAATAAAATAAAACCTCTTGCTTTAAAGTTGATATCTGGGCATTTACTTCAGCATGGCAACAATTGTTTAAACATAGAACAAAACCTTCGAATGTAAAAGCCCCAATTTTCAGCGATTGCACTCTGAACCCACTGCATTAACGCCATAAATCTGGGAAGAATTCAATCTATTTCACCAATAAACAATTGACCGCTAAAATAATTAAAGAGGTATCTAATTCAATTCAATTTTCAATTAAAATTAAATATTTCTGAAGGAACATTAGTAAAACAATTTTTACGATAACATATATATATATAAATAACATCATATAATTGCTCCTTCAGCAGGAGAGCTCAATAGCTCGGGGCTGTTTTAGCTGAACCTCCCTGTATCTCTGTAAGCTCTAAAACAATTGAACTGGCAACACTACGGGGACGGAAGGGTTCAAGTACACAATGCGGATCAGCACTACGGAGGCGACCAGGCAGGGGTTTACAGACGGCTTTAATCATACGGTATCAACACAATTTTAATTATAAATTGAAAATGAAGGGCTCAAATAATTGAACAGAAACAGAAACACCAATCAATGATTTGAACAAACATAACAAAATAGTTTAGAGCACTGAAAATTCCGACATTTATTAATAAGCGTAGTTTTTAATTCAATTTTAAATTCGTTTTTATTAGAGATAAGTTTCAAATGAAGTGGTAAATTATTCCATAGAGATGGGAAGGTATAATATAATTGAAAACGTTTAATATAGTCAAGATGAATTCTAGGAATAATATAATCACTATCATTTCGAAGTTGATATACCAAAAAAGTTAGAGAAATGAAGCCACAAGTTTCAGATAAGAAATTTTTGTTCCGTACACCATACCTGAGTTTAGCAAGCGACCCCTTTAATTTCCCTTTTCTCTCCTCCAGCTCCTTCTCTATCTCGGCCTCGAGGCTACTCATCTCCTTCTCCAGTAGGTCCTCGTCCTCCAGTCTAGCCAACCTGTGGGAGTCAAGGAGATTAGTTTAGTCAAGGAGAATAGTTAAGTCAAGGAGAATAGTTATGTCAAGGAGAACAGTTTGGTCAAGGAGAATAATTTGGTCAAGGAGAACAGTTTAGTCAAGGAGAATAGTTTATTCATGGAGAACTTTTTAGTCAAGAACATTTTAGTCAAGGAGAATAGTTTAGTCAAGGAGAATAGTTTAGTTAAGGAGAACAGTTTATTCAAGGAAAATAGTTTATTCAAGGAGAATAGTTTATTCAAGGAGAATAGTTTAGTCAAGGAGAATAGTTTAGTCAAGGAGAACAGTTTAGACAAGGAGAACAGTTTAGTCAAGGAGAATAGTTTAGTCAAGGAGAATAGTTTAGTCTAGAAAAATACTTATGTCAAGGAGAACAGTTCAGTCAAGGAGAATAGTTTGGTCAAGGAGAACAGTTTAGTCAAGGAGAATAGTTAAGTCAAGGAGAACAGTTTATTCAAGGAGAATAGTTTATTCAAGGAGAATATTTTAGTGAAGGAGAAGTCAAGGAGAACAGTTTAGTCAAGGAGAACATATGATACCTCTCTCTATCCTTTTTCCTCGCTGCCTTAAAGCTGGGTGGATCCTGTTCCTCTGTCATTGCTATAATCAAATATTTTAATAAATAACATTTTTTAGCTTTGTTGGGTTTCTTTTAGAAAATATTCATGAAAAATACCCTTCTCATTAAATTTCAAAAAAAACATATTAACTCCGGAAAATAAAGCGATAAAACATTCCGAAGATTAGAGAGGGGACTGAGTAAAAAAGGAAAAAAGGGAAGGAATGCTTTAAATGCACGTTTATACGATATTTCTAATTTATAAAGAAAAAATGAAAAAAAGCGAAAATATTTAATTATTTTATCTTGGAGACAGGGGTAGGAAACAAACAAAAAAACAAGCAAGCAAACAGCAACAGGCGATGGGACTCAGCTTAGTGTAACTAGGCGTAATAGTAAAATGGTTACATTTGCCCCCCCTTCCAGCCCCCTCCCTCCTTCCCCCGGGGGAAAATTAGTTCTCGTTGCATATCCCTCAGACATATAAGGTTGTTTCTGCTGAAAATTGGACGATTTTTTAAATACGGCGGGCAACGTACATACACTTTTCAACATCAAGATCTTTGGTCATAAATATTGGATGGGTGGCATTTCCCGGAGACAAAGGTCAGTATTGGACGATTTTTAAATTCGCACAAACATACCTTCAATTTTGGGGAATAAAAATCATTTTCGAAAGTAGTGGGGGGGGGGGAAATTCAAGAAAATATATTTCCCTGGTTATTAATTAAAAATTTACCATCAAGATCTACTGTCATAAATTCCTCTAGAGTGAGTTGAGAAGCCGGAGTTTCTCCGAACTCATTTAATCTCTTCCGTAGTGTACTCTCATGTACTTTTACTACCTATACAGTACATAAACACTAGACTTGTGTCATAATCGGATATACATTAATTTCCATCCTTTGGTGGTTATTTTTAATGGGGTCTCGGCCTTGATTTCCACGGAATGATGGTTGATCTTTATTTATTTATTTATTTATTTGTTCAGTACATAAACACTGTTAATGTGTACTCTCATGTACCTTTACTACCTATACAGTACATAAACACTGTTAATGTGTACTGCCATGTACTTTTACTACCAATACAGTACATAAACACTGTTAATGTATACTCTCATGTACTTTTACTACCTTTACAGTACATAAACACTGTTAATGTGTACTGTCATGTACTTTTACTACCAATACAGTACATAAACACTGTTAATGTGTACTCTCATGTACTTGAACTACCCATACAGTACATAAACACTGTTATTGTCTACTCTTGTACTATTACTACCTACACAGTACATTGACGCTTTCATTATGTACCCTTAAGTAATTTTACTACATACACAGTACATTAACAATGTTATAGTGTACTCTCATGTACTTTTACTGCCTATTGTGATCTTTTCCGTCGCGTACTCTCATGGTATTACACTAACAGTTAACAAACAATGAACTATACATAACAGTATCATTGCACATGTCGTTCTAACTCTGTGATCCATGCACCCCGGAAGGGGGCACTGGGTTGCCGGGAGGGGTGGTTACCTAATAACACTTTTGTTATTAGGGAGTCATACTATAGATACAAATAAAGATTGTCTTTAGAAAATTTTACCTTTATGACGTCATTTATGGTTCTGTTAAATTCGTGAAGTCGACCTGGAAAGTAAATCATTTAAATAAATAAAAAATTTCACGATGTTTTAACTCTCACAGAGTAAATAAAATAGGCGTCAGTTCCACATTTTAAAGAAAATATATTTTGCTCATTTGGATAATTCAAAATATTTTTTTATCCCGAGATTTAAGTATCGAGTATGAACATGTTCAATGTTCATTGTTCAACGTATTTCTGGGGTACTTAACTTTCACAAAGTTTACCATCAAAGATTGAAGAAATGGTAAGATATTTTCCATTAAGCTTTTATAATGAATTCGTGGTAAAATCATCAATTGCATTCTGAAGAATTAACATAATTGTATATAAATAATTAGGCACTTCATACGAAGGTCACTTTCAATAGAAAAGACAACTTTTCTTGAAATATTAAGAAAAGAATCTGTCAAGGACCCCGCTATGGACCATTCCAACCCCCAGAAAACGTTGACACTTCCTTTATTTTTATGGTAACCAATGTAAAACTAATATAAAAAACTAAATTTAAAAATCAAAATTAGATCAATCAACATATATTTACCTGCTATTAAGAGTGCAGCCCCGCAGAGTCCTGAGGGTCTTCGTCCAAAATGGATCCAATCTTTTTTCATTCGTGAAACTTAAATATTTACTTTATTTAATAGACGCACAGGGGTGTATATTTTCTTAAAAATAATTTCTCCCCCTTTTGACAAAATATTCCCCCCTAGTAATGTTTTTAGGTTTTTTTTTATAGCGGAATTAGGTGAAACGTTGTTTTTTTCCCACAGAGTATCAAAAATCAGGGAGGGGGGTGTAATTCTTGAAAATTTATAATCCTGATCGGCCAAATCGATTCGGCCGTTTTGACGTTTATGGGATGCCAACAAACTATAAGAAAAAGGCAAATACATTTCAAAGATAATGATAAATTAATGATAATGATTCCCATAGATATAGATGATGATGATTATAGATTACTATAGATTGATGATTATAGGTAACAATAGATTCGATGATTTTAGATTACCAAAGATAGATGGTTACCTAATCTGAGAGCTGTCATGGACACCTCGTGAGTTTTCTCTCCGAAATCTAACCTGTGAGCAAATCTGGAAGAAAAATGCATTTTTTTTTTAATCAATGCACCAATATCATTATATTATTGATATTAACTTCTGTTGAACATGATTATTTTCTCTAGAATATTCCATTCCCAGAAGCCTAACTGATAAATCCAAATAAAAAATCATTTTAATTTATCATTTTACACCATTTTCAAACCACATTATTTTATTCAGAAAAATAAAAAAAATGAGGGAAAGAAAAGTGCAAAAAAGAATCACATAAAAATCTTTAAAGAGGTTAAAAATAAAAATGTATTAATTTCATAATCCACCCATAATATATATATATATATATATATATATATATATATATATATATATATATATATAAATTATTGATATTAATTTCTGTTGGACATAATCATTTTCTCTAGAATATTCCACTAAGCCTGAAATAATTAATCCAACCCAGCAACAACAAAAATTAATTTAACATTTTCCATTCACATTATTATATGAAGACAAATTTAGAGCGCATGGGAAAAAGAAAAGAGAAAAAGAGGAATCACGTGCAAAGTTCATCTTGACGTTAAACTAATAACACACTTATTATTAAAGCTTAAGGATAAAAATGTATGAAGTTTTTACATCCAACGATATCATTATTAGTATTGATATTGATTACTGTCGAACATTTTCTCTAGAAAATAATAAGAAGCTGACATGATCAATTTAATTTGGAAAAACATTAAACACCATTTCAATTTATATTTGTTTTCTTCAAAAATTCAAAAACACGTGAGAAAGAGAATAGTGGAAAAATCAGAATCACATGAAAAACAAATTTTAATGATAAAAACTTTTTAATGGTTCAGGATAAAAATGTATTAGATTTATGATCCACTGATTTCATTATTATCATTAATATCAATTTCTGTAGAACATACTTTCTCTAGAAATGATTAAAAAATAAGAAACAAAATTAATTTTGCATTTTACACCAGTAATAATTTACAATTACTAAATTAAAAAAATTAAGACTTAATAAAATCATTTTTTTAAAAGCTTAAAAAAGAGATTATTTGAAGTGGTCCTTCATTTTTAGGGGCCCGATTAGCAACAGTAACATTTAAACACTTGTTTTAGATAAAAACATGATGAAATTCTTGATTTACTATCGATAACTTTTAAATTTCAGTTTCTTTGAAAAAGCACTTGCGGATTTATGCCGCAAAGGCAAAAAAGAAAATTTAGAGAATTTAACAAATTTTAAGAAAGAAAAAATACTTAATTGAGGGTCACGTTCAACATTCCCTTATACAAAGCTGTAAGTTTTAGTTAGTTAATTAAATTACCTCATTACGTAGAGACAAGGATCCATTGCTGGAATATTGATGCATAAAGCCTGGGAGAGTCTGATCAAATAATAAAATCTTATGGACAATTTTTCTAGGATTTCTTTCTTCTCTTTTTAAACGTCAGGGGGGGGGAGGGGGAATTCAACGAACTTGCAAGATTTTTTTAACCGTTTCCCAAAAAACTTTTTTTGCAGGGTTTCTAATTATTTTTGATAAAGGGCCTTAAGTGGAATAGAATATTTACCCAAGTAAAGTTAAAAGTTAACTATAAAATTTAATTATTTACAATACATTGAATTTTCAATTGATTATAGATCTACTTTCAATTTCAAATATTTCTAAATCTATCTATTTTCGCTCATATATAGTACTAGCTGAATTAAGGGCCCGGCGTTTGGGAAAAAAATTCAGAAAAAAATCGATTTTTTTTTAACCTATAACACCTCCCGGCCACCCATGAGTGTCCACAAAAGCAATCATATATATATATCTATGTTATCTATAGCTGGCCAAATGTGTTATTTTTTTAAGGAAACTCAATTTTTTTTCAAATTTTTTTCAAAATTCAATTTTTTTAATTTATGGGCAATGCCAGACACTTGAGGATGAAATTTATAAAATTGGCGTATTTATTAAAACGGTGAAATTAAATTAAATTAAAACTCTGACCTAAGATAAGTTCTGCCGAGCTCATAAACGTCAATCTGCAAGATGTCGCTGAAGTCGATTAGCATGTGAGATGTTCCTTCCGTTCTGCAGGTGATGTACACACAAGCAGCAATCACGTGACTGGACTTTCGTCCCCTGGCGGATTTATACAAAAATTAGAAGGGGAAAATATATAGAACATATATAGATATATATATATTCCCCAGCTCGTGTCCGGAGATTTGGACAAAACAGATGAAAAATTGGATATCAGAAAGCAAGATGTCCCAACTTTTTACACAAATGTTAAATGTATTTATTTTCAACCTGACATTTTTTGAGAATCCTACCTTGTTAAATGTTTTGACAGTGCTAACTTGAAGAAGTAGAATGCCATATCAATATGATCAGGACGTAACCGAAGCTGCTCTGCCAGATTTACAATCTTCTTCCGCGCATTTTTTAAAGTTATCTCCCGCGATTCCCGTCCAATACCGGCGGTAAATGTTCCGCCGATATTTTTTCCGCCTTTTGACTCTGAAGATACGAAAGTGCCGATAGCCGAGGAGCCACCATGTGCATTTTCCTCAAATTGTATATCTAAACAACAATAGTTTAATCAAAATCAAACAAAAAGATTTGGCATGAGACGTAGCGTTGTGGAGGGGGGGATAGACACAAATCCTTTTACTTTTTATTATTAAAGGTTAGGTTAGGTCAAGACAATTTCTGGACCGAGCGCTGCGGCTAGGATGGGCTAGGGGGCCGAGCGCTGCGGCTAGGACAGGCTAGGGGGCCGATCGCCGCGGCTAGGACAGGCTAGGGGGCCGGCGCTGCGGCAACGTGAGAGTTTTGTCTATCCACCCCCCCCCCCCTCCGCACCGCTACGTCCCGTGCCAAAAGAATTAAATTCAGGTTGCATCAAGGAAGCGTTATTTTGACATTAACAAATAACATGAAAATAATATTCGGGGAAAAAATAATAAAATATCAGTAAATCTGGATTCGAATCCGGTCCGTTTCTTTCAGGGCGGATCTATCAATATTAAATGGATTCAAAGCACTGAATAGTGAATATACCCGTTTAAAAACTCCGACTCATTCCTCAATACTTTAATAATATAATTTAAAACCAAAGGTATCAAGAACTGGGATCCCCGGGAAACTAACCTGAGACTATGATACTAGATTCCAGGACAGCTCCACAGTTTGTACACACCGCATCAGCTCTTGTCGAATCAATCTTTTAAATAAGAAAACATTGTTATTAATATTTTTATACCTAGGTTTTAGGTCAGAACGGTTGTGTGGTGTATCTAGGGATCAAGCATAGATCTCCATGTTCTGAAGATTTATGAAATAATTTAATCACTAAACGATATCCCGTGGTGGTGAATATTCTGCAGGGAGGACTCAAGCAATGATCCTCCAAATTCAAAGTGCCCAAATTGGATTTTGATATCACGATAATCTCCAAAGATCCGACTTCGTTCAGTTAAATGAGGAGAAACCAGGAGATATCAAGTTTAAGCACTCAAGATAAAAAGATAATACAAAACCTTAGGGCGACCATCTTTCTGGTAATATTCATAGCTGGGGTAACTTTACGAGATCTTTTACAGATTCCTTCATTTATTAGACTTGAAGTCCTAATTTTCTTCAAGCCTTTATACATTTTTAAGGCCTGCTCATACAAAACAAAATTATACCTCAAACTTTAATGATTAGGGTGTAAGGGAGGATTTTTAAGGAGTTCAAAAAAATGTCGAAAAATGTTCAAAAATAATTATTTTTACTTTCGACAAATAATGAAATATGACACAAGTTAATATAACAATTTTTCAAGGCCTTTTCAATTTATAAGTCTTAGTCCTGTAGCTTCATTAATAAAAAAGTAATTAATACATTTTCTTCCAACGAAAAATAAAGTAAATAATACAAAATTATATTAATTAACACATCTCTCCTACATTGTTAAATATTAATTACTTCTTTTAGCAGCTTTTAGATTCTAAACCTTTCATAGTGTTCATTAAAGTTTCTTCAAAGGATCGTAGTTCAGGATTAAATATTAAGGTTTAGTATTTTTTGATTTAATAAAAATTAGATTTGTTTATGTTAACCGCTTTTCTACATGGGGTTCGATTTTACTCTCCTTGTATTGATTAAGAAATAACATTCCCCTTAGATTAAAATAGGTCCCGTTTTTTCAATTCACGAGTGTAATTTCATAAAATTATATTTCCTCAAGTAGCGAACTGAGGTTGGAAATTTTTGTGCGGAATATTTTCATTTTTTTGTATCCTGCATTATGGGTACTTTCCCTACAGAGTATGAACAATACAAGATATCAAAGAGGAATGAAATTAGTCCGCCAGTCTGCATAAGACTAAAATCAATACTTCCATTTTGTATTATGAGTCGTCTTATTTACAGGTGTAAATCACGTCCCTAGACTTCTGTCGAAGTTAATTTTAAGATCACATAAAAATTTCATTATTGGAATTTTTTTAAGATTTAAAACTTTTCAACTCTGAGTGTGTAAAATTTTATCAGAATTCCAGAAATTACGAAAAACGGACTTTTCCAGTAAATAAAATGTTTAAGTACATTAATACATTCTATAGGAAGGATACTTCATAAATAATCCTTTACACCCCAACCTGAAATTTCTGGGATATGATTACAAAGTTTCTTGCGGCAGATTCTTAACAATTTATGATTTTATACCTACGATTACAATTAAAAATTTATTGAAGAGAAAACCGCGATAAGGATTAATTCAGGCCTATTTTAGATTATACAGCATCATAATTTCCAATTTTTCTCAATATTAGAATCCTTTCCCTCGTTAACACAAGCACCACACTCAACAGTCCACAATCAATATTTCAGGTGAAAAAAAATCATCTTAACAAAATATCAGTTAAGCCGATTGAGATCCTTCCACAATCCACATGCATCGAAATATTTTGGAATAACTTCTGGATTTACTTTGTACCTCAATATCGGTGGACCCGCATTCTTTGCATCTTCGAGACATAATTCTGAAAATGTTTAAAAAGACTTAATATTTGAAGTTTTATTCAAAATATTTTATTGTTTAAAATAATATATCCCGCTGCTGCAGATGTTATGTTGGAATAGCCAGTTCTGTCAAAATCACTTGATCCGAAATCCTGAAAAAAATGTATACAATTTCGTAGAAGCTTAAGTACAGAGGGGATCTAAAAAACCTTGGACCTTTTGCTTAGTACAATTTTTTAATGACCCAAATTTAATGATTAGGGGAGTAAATTACCCACCCACCGGTTCAAATCCTGAATCACCAATTTAACGTTAAAGATGCATGGCGTTCAATGTCATGAAATAAGGAGTTAATCAGTGATTCTGGATTTAAACCGGCGGTTGGTAGTTTTAACGGCCTCGCCATTTCTTTAGATTCGGTCCCTGGAGTAAATCTGTAATCTGATCGCTCTCCAACATGAAGATTCTTTCACGTTTTTAGCGTTAAAGCAAAATATATTTATTAACTACTAGCTGATGGGTCCGGCGTTGCCCGTGGAAAAAAAAATTTGAAACAAAATTCTGCAAAAAAATCGATTTTTTTAGCCAATAACACACCCCTGAGTGTCCACAACAAATTTCAGCACAATCGGTCCAGCCGTTTGACCAGCTATAGGCTTAAGTCTTGTTTTATTATATAGATGAAAGATATTTTAATCTTTCTGGAAGAAAATTTCATGAAGACGATGTGATGTTATTTATAGAAGTAAAAAAAATGCAATAATGAAACTTTTTAACACAAAGCAGTTTTAACACTGAAGCCTACAGCATCGTAAAACAATAAACGCCAGAGTTATTTATTTAGATTTTAAGATTATATTCTACCGTCCTAGTTGTTAGGTTCACTGATAAATGTCTCCAAAATGACCCCCCCCCCCCTCCTCCACAGGAAAAAACTATTTCAGGTACATAACATGGGGGGGATGTGCTAAAAAAAAATACACTACACTCACTCCAATGTTATCGAGATATGAAAAAAAAGAATTCAAATATTACTTACAGAGCAATTAACAGGAAAAAAATTAAGCCTTATTCGGTAGTTCCATATCCTTTATCCATAGATCAAATTTCATCTTTCTGAAATTACTTTATGTAAGGGGTCAGAAAGAAAGAAAGGCATCAGGGTAAATATATCGGTAAAATAATATTGATTGAATAATAAGGTCAGGATGCATTTTAACAATAGACAAGTCAATGCAAACATGATTGCCGAGTTTTTTTTTCGGCAGAACAAGTGCCGCTCCTCCAGCACAACCCTTTGACCGGTCCTGGTGTTTATCCGCAGGTGTAGCCGGGGAAACATTCGGCGAAGGGTTTGCCGGAGTGTTTGCTGTCCACGTGCACACGAGCCTGCTCGTTCTTCTTGATCATACGGATCTGCTGTTTACAAATCGTACAAGCTACCATCACAACAGGGTCCTTAATAAAAGAATATCAATTAATGATGATCTTATATTCATTGGGTCGATTGTCATATCAACGATGCATAACGATAGATTTTGAACCCTTCATATTAGATGTTTCAGATAAAAGATTAGTGGGAGAGGATTTATGGATATAAACAGCACAGACAAGCAATAAAATATCAAACAATTGTTCCATTCAGCGTTTCGGATCCGGATCCGGTCGGATCCGTATCATTTGGTCGGATCCGGATCCGTATCAGGAAACGTTGATATGGATCCGGGTAGCGCCAAAAATTAACCAAAACCATGGAATAAATAAATCAAAATGGTTCGTAAATGTATTATTTACATGACGAAAATTTTTCAAAATTATCTTTAGTAATTTAATGTTTACATTTATATAATAGTAACGACGACATTTTTAACTTTAACTTTATAAATTATAACCTTGCATAACATTTCATAGGGAAAATCCGATTCACAGAATCAAAAGTTACCTCGGATCCGGATCCGGATCCGTATCAGAGTCAGGATCCGGATCCATCATCACGGATGCGGATCCGCGGATCCGGATCCGCATCATAATGATATGGATCCGAAACACTGGTCAACTTCCATTTCAAGCAAAACTTACAAAATCAAATCGCATCTACCGAATCTTAAGAGAAATTATAGTTTTGAGACAATATGATAAAAATATTGAGGGAACCGTTGTAAAATATTCAAGCCACGCTTTTCAAATTATTCTTTAAAAACAATGTTTAAGTCAATTCAACAACATGTATTTACAATTTTACCAGTAAAAAACAAACAATATTTGTTTTGATCAGAAAAAAAGAAACAGATACTATTTGTTTTGATCAAAAAAAAGCAACAGATATTATTTGTTCTGATCAGAAAAAAAGCAACAGATATTATTTGTTCTGATCAGAAAAAAAGCAACAGATATTATTTGTTTTGATCAAAAAAAAAGCAACAGATATAATTTGTTCTGATCAGAAAAAAAGCAACAGATATTATTTGTTCTGATCAGAAAAAAAGCAACAGATATTATTTGTTCTGATCAGAAAAAAAGCAACAAATATTATTTGTTCTGATCAGAAAAAAAGCAACAGATAATATTTGTTCTGATCAGAAAAAAAGCAACAGATATTATTTGTTCTGATCAGAAAAAAAGCAACAAATATTATTTGTTCTGATCAGAAAAAAAGCAACAGATAATATTTGTTATGATCAGAAAAAAAGCAACAAACATTATTTGTTTTTATTAGAAAAAAGGCAACAAACATTATTGTTTTTATTAGAAAAAGGGGAAAAACATTGTTTCTTAGTTTTATTTTTTGTTTTATCTTTAAAAAGCAATGAATTATATTATATTATTGCAATCTGTAACAAACAGAGGTGTATACTATGTTCTTAAAAGATAATTTTATAAAAGATTTCTTCCTTTTTTATAAAAAAAATTTATGAAAAAACTTGCCTTTCCTCATTTTTTTAACAAATTCATCAAAACTTATTCGTTAAATTATACAATATACACCCCTCGCAGCAAACCTTGTTATTTGAAGGCAACTTCCCCTTCTCATCCCCAATCCCGTTGGCAACATTCTGCTTCTGCTTCAGTTTCTTCAAATCCTTCTTGGATGCAGGCATCTTTGGTCTGAAGTGTAAACCGGTTATTCATGTAAACATAAACACAAGGTTAGGATCGTATTCAGAATTTAATAATACACGTGGAGGTCATTAAAGTAGATTCCCAGACATTGATGAAAGTAAAAGGGAAATTGTAAATTCAAGTCAATATTCTTTAAATCAGGGACATGCCCGATTCACAAGGATACCTTTGACATTTGTCTGATAAATTATGTTGAAAATATCGTCGCTTTTCTAGCTTATAAGTATTGAATTCCGACAATATCCTACTCCATTGTTTCTGAGTAGAATTCCGCAGGCCAATTTTGTAAAAAAAAAAATCTACTTATAAATTAAAAGTTCATTCTTTTTCCCACGTAGATTTTAAGTGTACCGTTGTGAATCGGACATGCCACTCTATTAATTGATATGTTACTTTATATTACGTCTCCCTTTGAGCACAAATATAGAAATAGGAATCTACAAACGCGATTTATTCATACTAATAGGAACCATAATATTCTTAATTTTTAGTTTATATCCGTCTTATAATTACTTCTTTTTCAAGGCCTCTTTGGCGGCCTGGTAGCAGCTGAGGACTGCTCATTTTTCTGCAATTAGATTGTTATTTGGCGAGTATGGCAAATACAGATTAAGTTTGGAGTAAGGTAATTAGAGAATAAAATGTGAGAAAAAGAATTGAAAGTTTCGACGGACTAAATTCCGAAAATTCCTTTGCCATCCTCACCAAGAGAAAAAATAACACCACGTGACAAAAAAAAACGTGGTTGCAGCAATTTTGAAACAGATTTTAATCAATTCATTTCCTTTGAAGTTGGAACTGTTCATCCGCAGGTGTAGCCAGGGAAACACTCCTCGAACTTCTTTCCAGAGTGCTTGCTGTCCACATGGACGCGAGCCTGCTCGTTTTTCTTAATCATACGGATCTGCTGCTTGCAGATTGAGCACGCAACCATCACAACAGGGTCCTACGAAGAAATAATTATCATTAAAAAAAAAGCAGCAATCATTAATACGATAAAAGCTGATATTTTTTATTACCAAAAAAAAAACTTTTTACTCTGAGAGTGGCATTTGTGGCACCTTAACGTTTAAAATTAAAGGGGACTAAAGACGTAATTTCAAATATCTTTTCTTTTCTAGGGGGCATGTTCATTGTTCAATTGTAAATTTATTTGCTTCACTAGGAAATAACATATTATTTACGGGAAAATAAATAAAAAAATGAAGTAAAACTTGTCAAGAGTAAAAAAAACCTTTCTAATGTTTTTTTTTCATTTTAACCTCAAACATCGGAAATTATGGAAATCTGATTTTGTTAAAAGAAATTGACAAAACCGAGAAATATTTATGAGCAGAATCCGGATCCGGTTCATATATAAGGACGGTTCCAGGATCCGGATCCGGTTCATATATAAGGACGGTTCCAGGATCCGGATCCGGTTCATATATAAGGACGGTTCCAGGATCCGGATCCACATCACAATGCAGAACACTCAGGTGCATATTTGGGTATTTATAACTATGACATAATATGTAGAGAGGATCGTAAGGATACAAATAAGGGGATAGGAGGAGGTCTTTTAATCTATGCAAAAACTAGCCTTGGAGCATGTGAGTTTGAAAGCGAAGAGATGAAGGATTTTAACCAGTGTTGTGGAATTGAATTCAAATCTACTGCTCACTCATATATTCATTTATTTTTGATCTATAGACCACACAACCTTTATAATGGTGAAAATGTGACTGAGAATAATTACAATCTTTTGAAAGCAATTAAAAATTCTCCTAAACAATCTGTCCTAATAGGAGATTTTAACTATTCGGACATAGATTGGAAAAATAGAACTGCATCAGCTAAAATAAGTAAAGACTTTTTAGAACTAGTTGAGGACAAATTTCTTAAGCAGTGCATAGATTTTCCTACTCACAATTCTAGAAAAATCTTAGATCTGGTCTTAACACCGGGAGAACTTGTCATTAGCTGTGAGAACCTAGGAAAACTTGGATCAAGTGACCACAGAATGATCCTAACTCACATAAGAGGTGAAGTATCAACAAAGAACAAAACCAGCTATTTTAGTGACTGGAAAAATGCGGACATTGTTAGTCTAAAAGAGTTCTTATGCAACATTAATTGGCAGGAAGAACGACACAACATGGACATTGAAGAAGCCTGGAATCTTTAAAAACAAACTATCTGAATGTATGGACAAATTTGTTCCTCAGAAGGTAAAAAAATTGAACAATCAGCCACCTTGGATGAATAGGGATTTGCTACAGCTCATCCGAAAAAAGAGAAGAGTTTGGAAGAGATACAATAAATACAGCAGCATGGAGGACAGGACTGAGTATGAAAATATGGAAAGACAAGTAAAAAACCAAATAAGAAACACCAAAAAGAACTATGAAAGAAGACTTGACAGAGAAATTAAGAATAATCCTTGTTTTATAATTATATAAATTCTAAAAAATCTAACAGAGTGGCAGTTGGACCATTGAAGCATGAAGGAAAATTAGTAACAGATTGTGAAGAAATCTGTGATAAACTAGGTAATCTGATTGAGATGTTTTAATTATCACACCAGTGATACAATAACATAAATTCACCAATTAAACCATTTAAACCAATTAATATTAATATTAACTACTGAATGGCCAACATAGACAAAAGATTGAGATGTTTTAATTATCACACCAGTGATACAATAACATAAATTCACCAATTAAACCAATTAAATGAATCTTAAAAGCACGCTTCATCTTCCAAAAAAACTCGCCTTATTGTTGGAAGCAATTCTACCCTTTTCGTCTCCGACTCCGTTTGCAACATTCTGCTTCTGCTGCAGCTTTCTCAAATCCTTCTTGGAAGCAGGCATTTTGGATCAGTTAGTTCTGAAATGGTATTAATCTTTTATATAAAATGTACCATGGGGAGATTCATTCTCATTTTGGTTCGTCATTGTCACCAGGTTTCAGTCTTAACTTCACAGCCATTATTATATGATTTACCAGCTTGTGATCGTAAATAAATGCAAAATTACAAAAAAAGAAAATTACAAAGTTAAGAAAAAATGGCTGAACAGATAAATGCGACTTTTTAAAGTATAACCATAACGTCGAATGAACGGAAAATAAAGTTCAACAAAACCGTTAAACTGCCATTTCCATGGCAATCTTAGGGTACGGATTATAGTCGGAAACTTCAAAATCCTCGAACTTAAAATCCTCGATGTTCTCGACAGTACGGTTGATTTTGATGGTGGGGAAGGTTCTGGGTTCCCGCTTGATCTGTTCCTTCAGTGCGTCTACATGGTTCGTGTACACGTGTGCGTCCCCTAGAAATGTATATATTATATCAATTTGGGATATTATCTTCAAATACCCGGCCCCCCTCCCCTCATGGTACCGGGGAGAACATTTTTAAAGCTTAAAACAGAAAAATAAATATTAAACTTTTTATAAAAATGTCTTTCTTGGCGTATCTGTTAGTTGTTCTGTAATATCCAAACGGAAAAACTTGAAACCGATTAGGCCGATTTTTTTGTTGGGCCACTTAAGACCCAAAGGAAGGTTTATAAAAAGTCAAAATTCAAATTAATTGTTCTCAAACTTTTCAATTAATCAAAGTAAAAATGATCGCAGGCCTCAGAAACATATGAAAGTACCAAGATTAATATACAAGATCTCAATTCTGATTAGAACTGGTTTAAGCAGGAGCTGTACGGTTGACGACAATCCAATTATCAATAAATTACAAGTTAATAGAACGCCAATAATATAGGAACTATTAAATAAATTGAAGAAAAAACATGTTATGATTGGTTTGCACTTAGCAGATCCAAGAATAGTGAATACAGTCAATTAAATTGATCATTTTCCATTTTTGATCGAATAATCGATAATTCAATCGATAAATCCAACAACGAAACCATCTTACCTAAAGTATGAATAAAATCCCCCGGTTTCAGTCCGGTTACATGTGCAATCATGACAGTCAGAAGAGCATAACTAAAACAAAATAATTAGACTTAAGTTGGATGTTATTTAAGTATTTTGTTTGGGAAAACACATCAAACCTATCTATGTCCTGTATCCAGAATAAATATTAATTGTTTAATAATTTGAACGGAAAATTTTGAGAGGAAACAACCTTTTTGTGTCATCTGCCATTAATAATACGGTTTAGTATTAATCTAAGTGTAAAAGTGTAAATGTAATTTAATAATTTTCATTTTTTGACATTTCTCTTATGTCTTTTATTTGGTTAAAATGGTGAAAACAAGGAGATGAACTGTGGCAGAGGAAATGAACTGATGCAGTACACCAGTAAAAATAATTTTTTAGATTGTTTAATTAAGATAGTGAATCATAATCGTCAACAATTCCTTGAGTCATTAAATCAAGGAAATAGAACTGACCTGGCAATATTAAACGGGACGCCTAAACCCATATCTGCAGACCTCTGATACAGCTGACATGACAACTCTCCTTAAAACATTGGTTAAGATGAATTCCACGATCATTATCCATTTGAAAAGATTTTTCCACGTTGACAAATGAAAACAGTGAAAAGAAAGGAGTCTTTTTAACAAGAATTCCAAAAACCAAATTTTTTCAACATATACCATGAGAGCCATAAAGCTGTGGAATGAGTATGGTCTTTATATTTTGAATGAGAAATGTGGCAAAGGATTATGTTATCAGCAAGTGTAGCATATAGAATTGAAGTGTTGACACTTTATAGCATATAGAATTAACGTGTTTCAGACACTTTCTTAGAAATTTTTTTGTTTCAAATTACATTTCACAATTTAAGGAAGACCACGGGAATTCCACTGTTCTCTGGTTCTCACTGTGTTAAGTGTAACGTGTAACGTGTAACGTGTAACGTGTAACGTGTAACGTGTAACGTGTAACGTGTAACGTGTGAGTGTAGAGTGTAACGTGTAGAGTGTAACGTGTACAGTGTACAGTGTACAGTGTACAGTGTACAGTGTACAGTGTACAGTGTACAGCGTACAGTGTACATACCGTCAGCAACATGGAACTGTACAAGACAATGGCAGGGAGGCAGGGCCATTGCATCAAGGTCTGCAGGATTCCAGGCACACATAATAATTCTTCGGTCAGTCGGCTTCGTTTTCAGTGTTTCAATAACCTACTCTAGCATAGGTTTAAATATATCAATGTTACCATTGACCCTACCTAAGGTTAAGATTTAGTTTTTAGTGTTTCAATAACCTACTCTATCATAGGTTTAAGCATAAACTATCAATTTTCCCCCTGGACTCTACCTTCAAGGTTATGAAAGGTCAGAGTGAATACAGTTTTGATTTCATTGAAAAATTATTTAGGAGACCGTCACCATTACGTATGTCAACCGCTTTTTATTCGAAATTTTCTATTAATGGATAGGTAAAAGGTTGACAGCGCCTGTGGTAATTCTATTGAAATTTAATAATTTTATACGATGTTAAATTCCTAATTTTTTAGAAATCTTCAGAAACTTTGCACTTTTTGAGAAGAAAAAAATTGTAATTTACTATTTGCTGCTTTTTAAGCACGGTAAAATTCCCTTTATTATACTAGTTACGGCTCTAGAGAGGTTGGGGGGAGGAAGAGGGGGGGGGGGGTTTGGATTCGTTTAAACCTTTCCTTAGCTAACTGATCTACACCTTGACCTGAAAAATAAAGGCATAAATATATTTTAACAGAATTTACAAATCATCCCTTAAAACTTTTGCATAAGAAATCTATGACATTTTTTTTAACAGGGTTTATTTTATTTTCAAATCATGTTTTACATCAAAAAATCTCAAAAACGTTTCATCTGAATTTTTACTATAGACGTCATTTCTAGAGACTCCTCAGTCTCCATTTCCAGAGTAGCATGTCCGATTCACAACGGTACTTACAGTGAATTACAGATTTCTGCTTCAGAACCAATTAAATATTTGAATTGAATAATTTTCAATCTAAAGAAAAAGGCGACAATTTTTACATTACTGAAATTGGATTTAATGGGGTTTTGGTAACATTGTGACTCGAACATTCAACTTTTTTAATGAAGGTAACTTGGAATTATAACAACAGTTCCTTTCAGTAAAAACATACACCAACCTTTCTCCACATATACCTGAATAGTCAGTGTGCATGTCCACATATTTGGCGCCAAAATGCCGCCATTGAAAACCATACACAGGACCCAGATCCCCTACCTCCCTAGACAATATACAACCGTAATTTCGGAATTGTTTTTATAAATCAGTTTTTATCTTTATGTTAATCCAATTCTATCTCTAATATTTTTTAATGATTACGTCAGTTTACTCAACGTCCAAAAAAGGCACCCTTCGATCCGATCTAGGGGAAACTGATTTTAGAATTTTCTGACCAAAAAGTTGTTCTGACGTAAACACTTACTAGATCTTAAAATAGTTAATCTTGACAAATGGAGTTGAATGGAGGTTAGGCGTAATTTTAACGGGAAGACGATTAAAATTCGTAAATAGAGGTTAGAGTTAAAAGTACTCGATATGTTCTGACAACTACTCGATATTCAATTCAAATACCCTAAAGGTCAGTTTCTTCTAAGTTAGTTTCCATAGCTCACAAATATAAATAAAAACTTATATTAGATCTAGATTTGTTTTAATAATTTTTTGTACTAGCATAGGAACCCAGTTTTATCTAAAAAACGAAACTTTCTCTATTGAAGTCAACCTTATAAACTACTTTACGTAGCCGGTCACTCCCTTTAAGAATATTCGGTAATGTCAAGTTACAAAAGTAATATTATAATTTTTCAGGTTTCTGCTCAAAGAAGTTAATTTCAAGTTAGAAATTATTCCAAGAAAATTTTAATATTTAATCCGGGAAACCTTGAAAATTTTTCCGAGGTAATTTTAGAATATTTCAAGAAGTAGTCGAAATTTTTAGAGACGCTTTATTTGAAGAGTGGAATGCATTGTACAACATAAAAAGTTAAAAATCGAAGATTATGTTTTCTGTTTGACTGTTTGACTTTGATAGGTGTCAGGTGTCCAAAAAATATCAAAGAAAACAAACGAATTAATTGTTCGTATTGAAAATAAACTATTTGTAAATTCTACTTTACATAAATCTGGCCTTATTACCTTTCCGTTAATCCAATAGAATCCAAGTACTCCCTAGAACTGTTGCCATCCCAGATACGAACATTCTGAATTCATCAAAACTTTTTAATTAATCCATAATCATTAAAAACATTTCAACCAACTTGTAGGATACATGTCAACAATTTTAGATGTTCATTAGATGGTTATTTTTAATTTATTAATTTACATATTTGATATTATTTGGTGAAAAACTATGAAAAACTATTAACAAGTTAAGAGAAGAATTTCCGAAGATTTTCACTTGTAATCCTTATCCTTAGCACTAGCAGAACCCCTGATAAACCAGAATACTAACCTTATCCTGGAGTTCCTTAGCACTAGTAGAACCCCTGATAAACCAGAATACTAACCTTATCCTGGAGTTCCTTAGCACTAGTAGAACCCCTGATAAACCAGAATAATTCCTCTGCAATTCCACGATAAAAAACTTTCTTAGTAGTCAACAGTGGAAACCGATTATCACGCAGAGAAAACCTGAAACCAAGATTTAAGCTTATTTTGAAGAAAAAACGCGAAAACATCATTAACAAGTTCGAAGAGTTACAAGAAAAATCATAATTCAGAAAAATAACGTTATTAAAGATTTATAATTCAACAAGATTTCTTTGATACTTTTCTTGTTATTTCTTGTTAAGATCGTTTGATTTTTTTCTTGATAAAATATGACATAAAACCTAATTATATTGTTAATGCAGGAATAAAGATCTACTTATAATAATGATGAAAAAATATCATCGAAGGATATTTTGAAATTAATTAGTTTTTGATAATTCAGTCTTTAAATTCAGATCTTATAATAAGATAATACTATCATCATATTCATTTTTAACAGATTACGTCGAATTTTTTATCTCTTGGTCATTATTTTAACCTAACATTCATATATGCAATAAAATCACAGTTAAAAAATATGGTCATGCAAGGAAAATGAAGGAATTATACCGCATTTAACCACGGGATTTTAAAGAAAAAATTGAAGTAATCTTACCGCATTATATTGAAATGATAAAAAATAGAAGGAATGCCGCATTATATTGAAATGACAAAAATAGAAGTATACTTACAGCATCATATTGAAATGACAAAAATTGAAGTAATCTTACCGCATTATATTGAAATGACAAAAGATAAAAGAAATCTTACCACATTATATTAAAAAGACAAAAAATAGAAGGAATCTTACCGCATTTTATTAAGATGTAAAAATTGAAAGGAATCTTACCGCATTTAAAATTACACAAAATGGAGGGAATCTTACCGCATTTAAAATTATACAAAATGGAGGGAATCTTACCGCAACTAATATTATACAAAATGGGGGGAATGTTACCGCAATTAAAATTATACAAAATGGAGGGAATCTTACCGCATTTAAAATTATACAAAATGGAGGGAATCTTACTGCATTTAAAATTATACAAAATGGAGGGAATCTTACCGCAATTAAAATTATACAAAATGGAGGGAATCTTACCGCAATTAAAATTATACAAAATGGAGGGAATGTTACCGCATCTGAGCGCCAAATATTGACAAAGTCCCAGTTCCAGTTCTGTCCCCTCTCCTGCTTCCAGTATTGATTATCTTCCTGAAAATCACTTCAATCAATCTTCATACTAAGAATGAAGCTCTAATCACAAAAATAGTTGAAAGACAAATATTATGATTATCAGGGTCTTAGAATTACTTCTGGATATTTATATTACCCAGAAAAAACCTCTCAATTCTTCCTTTGTAAAATTATAATCTTGAAAAATTCCTAGAAAAGAGATAAAGTATTTATTGAAGTTAAAATCAAATCAAGATGAAGTGAAACCTTTCAACATCAGACTTGTTAAAAGAATCAAAAGTTTCTTTAAAATTTTACATGACAGATGTCTAAATTCTAACAAACAACCTTTAGCGCGAGCCCTATCGAAGAGCGTGTCGATTTGCTTTTATCAAGTTGATGTTTTGTTAATCTTAATTAAGGTAATGAGCATTGATCTTGTGGTTTTATTAAAGAGAAGAGGGGGGATATAACTTGAAAATTAACTGGTAAGTTTTTTATTAGGTACTGTCTGACCAAAAATCACTCGTAATTTACGGGACGGGGGTAGAAATGGGAGCCAGGGGTAATTACTTTTGAATAAGTGGGGGTTACGATTATTCTCTTAGATAAGTCACATAAAAAGATAACTTGGAACTTACTTGCAAAGATCAAGATATTGTAGTTCCTCCGTGTTAATCTCTATGTTTGAATCTCCCTGCCCGTTCGAGGCCTTCATCGTGGCATCAGTCACATCTGTAGAACCATTGATAGTCGTCATTTTCCAGGTCTGTAACAAAATATACTTTCATTACTTAGTGAAAAAGATTGTTCAAATTTTATCATTACTTTATTTCGTTGAATCTTCATACATAAATTTAACTTTCGAATATTCAAAGGATTCATCATTTCGTTCTGAAAAGGTTTAATAAATGCAATTTTTGGAAAAATATTTCTCTCAGATATCTGCAGCTTCGATTTGTTCTCTGAGCAGATCAATTTCTGTTTGTTTAACTTGCAGCATCTGTTTTTGCGCATTTACTTTTTTTGTGAGCTTCTCAATTTCCTTCTCAAGATCAAGAGAGCTAGTACTTGTGTGAGCGCCATTGGTTTTCAAATTTTTCAGTTCAACTGTTAACACATTATTTTGAGTTGATAGTTGGACAATATTTGCATCCTTGGTCTGTAATAATTTCTTGGCGTCATTTAATTCTTTTCTAGTTTTCTCTAGTTCGTCATCATCAATACTGATCACATTTCTGCTGTTGAGTTGCGCATTTATACGCTCCGACGCTTTTAATTTCTCCCTTAAATGTTGCGTCGTTTTCTGCAGCTTTGTAATCTCAGCATCTTTAGTCCTAACTAAATTTTGCTCATGAACAAGAACCGATTCCAAATTTTTCATCTCTTTGAACTCTTTCTCCTTTGCCTCTAAAACTCTTAACTTTTCTCTCAAAAAATCCGTCTCACTGACATTTTTTTTTATTTTAAAAACCTTATAAATATAAAGGTTGTTGGGGACATTGAGAAAGAAAATTGTGAATTTTTTTCTCCATGGGCGTCACCAAATTTTGATACGCAAAAAAATCCCAGGAATCAAAATGTCAAGGAAAATAAAAAAAGGCAACTTGGTGGTTAAAATAAAAATTCCTGAGTTGCGCTTTTAACCTTTCAATTTCTAGCCTCTTTTCCTCCTCAACCTAGGAAATAAATAATAAGTTTGGAAAAAAGGAAAGTTTCGCGATTTTAGGCGTTCAAAACAAAGAAAAACGCTAAATCTTTTTTATGCGATCCCAAAAATAAAAAGGATAGAAAAACGCCGATGTAAGGGGCAATTTTTTTTTCTTAAAATCCCCTCCACTGGGGTTAGGGGTAAATGAATTTAGAAGATCTAGTAAAAAGTTGGCTTCATCTGATTCAAAGCTTGGGAGGCTTAGATTGATCAGCTATGTGCAGACAATTGGAGTTAATACCAAAATATAGATTTTAAAACCAGCTGAAGAAAACCTTCTGAAGTTTGTCTTGCGCTTTTGTCAAAACTTGACATTGATTTTTACCTCAGTAGCTTTATTGGAAAGAGTGGCCAAAGACTGTTCAAGCTCCCCGTTCATCCTAAAAATGTCACATGATAGATCAGTTAAGAATCGCAAACTTCTTCAGATTTAAAATAAATTTTACTATTTAATAAGAAGCAAAAGGTGAAATGAAAGTTGCTATTTTAAACCTTTAACTCTGACTGCGCAATAATTTTCTGAAATAAATTAGTCGTAACAGTTAAAAATAAAATTTCAATAATAAGATTTAACAAAATGGATTTTTTTCCATATTCATAGGTAAGTTGCTTGGACTAAAAAAAGGTACATGTTGTTAAAAAATTGCATTAACAAATTCGTGAAAAAAATGTATATTAACCTTGTCAAGTGTTCCAAATGGTTATTTATTTCAGGATTAGAATTAGACTTTAGTTTGATCTTCATCTTATAAACTCGTTCACCAACTAAAAGTAAAATCATTTAAGTTTAAGGGCTATTTTTCTAACAAGATTTTATATTGCCTAGAGATTGTAACATTTAATCCCTTGATATCGTTACAATCCCAGACATAAATCCTACGTTACAAGATGGAAATTGGAGAAGGAAGAAGAAATGAGTTGGGAATCCAAATGTCTTGTGAAGCCAATGTCAAGGAACCCTCCGAAGCTCCGCCACATCATTTAGGAGGAGGGGTGTTTGTGTTTAAACGTGGGGAGATCGTGTATCAATACACATGTTCTCAAGTAACAGTCAAGTTAATAGAAAAGGAACATTGTTATATCGATATCCCAATCCATCAAGAGAAAGATTATAAGTTCATCTCCATTGCCAACCGAATGCTGATCACCTCATCAGCGCAGGAACCATGCGTTCCTCATTTTTCCAAAGCAATAAAAGGAATTAAGAATTGGATTAAGATAAGTCCCAAGCTCAGGTCCATTCCTCCGCCACGGACAGAGACGAAGGAGACTGCTCAAACTCATCATGAAGATGAATTGGGTCTGTACACCCAGGCGGAGGAACGAGATTTCGACCATGTGGCGGGTTTGGCCTATTATACATCCCAGGTTCAACAGCGAATCGTCCATGCTGTCTGCAAGAATGATGAGAGCTGTGAACTGAATCCGTTACCAGGAAGTCCATCGTATTCTCTGACGAAACTAGAACAAGAAGCCGAAGATTTTATAACGTTGGGCGGATGGAACTTTTTTCTCAAGANATGTAGATATAATCATGTAAGTCCACATGCTGTAAGCCTTCTGAGAGCTGTCCATGAAGTGCCCGTCCCCTAGCCTTTGGTTGAACAAACGGAGCTTAACTCATACGTCTGTTCGGTTCAAAGGTCTAGGGTGCACTGTTGAATCTTAATGAATCAGTTCAGGTTAACTACTCCGCATTCATTAAAAGAACAAAGAGATAAAGGTGTGAGGCTGGGGGAGGTTTTTAGCATGAGTCACCTATACTTTAAATATTACAAGATTTACTTACAGATTTTCCTTTCAGTGGGGAGGACGAGGTCAAAAATACTAGTTAAAATGTTACCGCCCTTTAACAAACATAACGATCTACGTTTCCTCTTAACTGTAAGATTTGTACTGAGGATCTTAATAAACAGTGTTCATACTCGATATGTTCTCCAGCTTACAGGGTGGCCAAAACTTTTTTGAACCCATCCGTACAAAAATCCGTACATTTTCAGAAGAAATCCGTACAATCTTCGAAAAACAATCCGTACAATCCGTACAATTTTTTTTTTAAAATATTATCCAAATTAATATTTTATTAAGGTTGCTGATTGTTCCTTAGTGATGATAAGAACTGTCTCCGCAGATTCACTAATCGCGAATTCCTGTAAAATAGGAGAATATTAAGTCAAGTTTTCATTTCTCGCTGAACCTCAGGGGTTTCTCAAAAGTTGAAGACGTAATTTCAAGTAATCCTCAATCTTATGCGGGAGATGACTGATTTACAACGGTACCCTTGACACTATGGTATTAGTACCTTTGAAACCTTCGAGTGAAAATGTGATATCTTTTTTCTATTAGAAAGTTGATATTCTTATTGCTTGTTTCTCAGAAATAGTAATTTGCGGATTTAGGCAGTCTAGACAGAAGGAGGAAATTGACAAAATTCAACACTGTTTAAGCTATTTGACAANGGTACAGGATACTGGAACATCTTCTTGAATAAGCAATCAAATAAGTACTTATGGAACATATTCTCAAATAAACACTTCTTGGACATATCTCGAAAATTATGAATGAATTTTGATTGTCAATTGAAACATTAATCAATCTAATATTATTTAGAATGCAGAAAATAAGTTAAACTAACTTCATTTTGACGAGAATTTTTTTTTTCATGAAAAATTTGCTGAAATGAGTGAAAATTTAGAAAAAAACGGTGTATTTTCCAGGATAAAATCCGTACAATCCGTACAATTTGAAAATAAATCCGTAAATCCGTACAATCCGTACAATTTTAGGGTTTAAAAAAACAATCCGTACAATCCGTACATTTTGGCCACCCTGAGCTTATCATACAGAGAAATTCTATACTGTATCCTTGATCTAACGCTCCTCTACTAGATCAAATACAGGCACTAATTTAGATTACGATGCGTGTGATCAATGTGAGACTTGAAAAGGGATATTTGAAATGACATGAAAATCTCAACTCAACTATAAAAAGCTCATTTTTAGTTCTCGTACACGAGGCTGCGGTGCATTCTAAACTTTTTAATTTATATAAATTTAAATGTTTTTAACCTGAAGAAAAGTTATTATTTAAGGCTAGCAATAATAAACTGCCTACCTGAAATATATATATAAGATATCAATCAGTGCTAATTGAGGTGAGCCGACGAGAAAGAGTTTAAGCTTGCTCTTATGTTTGTAGCAAACTTGCCTGGACTCCTGTAGCTAAAACGAGCATACCAACAGAGTTACTTTACGTTCTTGGACCATTAAGTAAATAACCGCCCGCTCTGCGAAGTTTTCGTGGAAAAATTGCGCATTTTCAACTCGAAAGACGATTAAATTGTGAAACACAACTTTTCCGGGAAATTAAACTTTTACTTGACTATGCGTTCCCTCGACCAATTTTGCCTACACAAATTGGTCTTTGGAATTGATGGTAAAGTGAAATCTTAACTTTCCGGAAAAGCTGGGTTTAAAAATAATTACACTTCACTCACCTGAGTCTAAAATGAGCGCCCCAACCTTCATATGCGGTGTCTGTCCAAAATGAAACAAAAGCTCTTGGATCGACTGATAGGTTTCTCCGCATTCTGTTCTCCGTAAAATCAATATTAGCAAATATTATTTTAACAAAATATAATTTGATTTGTTAGTTAAGTAAGCGCTTTAGTTTAAAAAGTTTAAAATCTGGGAGTGTTAAACATAGATTGGACCAGTCAGATATATCTGAAGTAAACAGAAATCAAATGTGATAAGTGCCATTAATATTCATTTCAGTAACCTTTGTACCCTTAAAGGGACTGGTAGCGTAATTTAAAGTGACCCTTCATGCATAGATGGCAATGCCCGATTTACTAAGATAGCATGGAAACCATTATCTGATTAATTATGTGGAAAATACAGTCGTTATTCTAGCTTGAAAAGTCTTTTAATCCGATAATTTAGAAATGCTTTCCTACAATAGAAATGCGCAAGTTAGTTTTGTAGAGAAACCAAATTTTAGAAAATTTGAAACAATTATATCTCATTCATTCTTGATCAGACAAAGCTTTTAACTTTTATTGGTACAGTTGTGAATCGGACATGGCCATCTTAGCATGGAGGTTCACTTGAAATTGAGCTCACAGTTCCATTTACTGTTAAAAAGATTTTTTAAAAGCAAAGGATTTCTCCAAGATCTAAAATCAATAGCTACTGATGAACTAATAACTCGTCAACAGTTTGTTTATATGTTTGATTGATTGACCACTTTCAAATAGTTATCTGTGTAAATGGGGGATACAAAAAATATTAGTGTTTTTACGATCCAGTGAGCGGGCAGGTGTAAGGTGGTAGTTCTGGAAGAAAAGAGATTAATCTCTTCCAGAAATGAGAATCCACCATATGCTCCAGATAATCTCTCTCCTGGGGTCAAAACTTTTGAATAAAAAATCTGTACATAACGCGCTTTGTTGGTTCCCCTCTCCCTGGCTAAATTCGTCTACGCTCATCAGCTAGTAAACCAATTTTAATATACTCAACTCAAAACAAGAGTTTAAATTTAACACGTTTTTTAAGGTTCTGGATAATGAAGGAAAAATAAAACTCCGATCCAATCTAATTATTCAAAAACTTTTTAAAGAAATAATTATAAATAAAAAGCATAGGTAGCTTAGATAAAACACATCATAAGCTCTCACTTTGTAAAAAGTAAATCCTATGACCTGACNATTTCCCTGAAAGTTTTCTTCCCTCGTAGAATTCTGTGATTTCATCGCAGAAAGGACAGTCAAATTTGATAACATCCGGACTGAACAGCACACATTACAGTTATTATTTCATTTCTAGTTTTATAATTTCTGAGGATAAGTACAAGGGTGTACTAGTTATCTAATTTCTTTGAGAGGATAAGTACAAGGGTGTACTAGTTTTCTTATTTCTTTAAGAGGATAAAGTACAAGGGTGTACTTGTTATCTAATTTCTTTGAGAGGATAAAAGTACAAGGGTGTACTAGTTTTCTAATTTCTTTCAGAGTTTAAGTACAAGGGTATACTAGTTTTCTAATTTCTTTGAGAGGATAAAAGTACAAGGGTTTACTAGTTTTCTTATTTCTTTGAGAGGATTAAAGTACTAGGGTGTACTAGTTTTCTTATTTCTTTGAGAGGATAAAAGTACTAGGGTGTACTAGTTTTCTTATTTCTTTGAGAGGATAAAAGTACAAGGGTGTACTTTCTTTGAGAGGATAAAAGTACAAGGGTTTACTAGTTTTCTAATTTCTTTGAGAGTATAAGTACAAGGGTATACTAGTTTTCTAATTTCTTTGAGAGGATAAAAGTACAAGGGTATACTAGTTTTCTTATTTCTTTGAGAGGATAAGTACAAGGGTGTACTTGTTATCTAATTTCTTTGAGAGGATAAAAGTACAAGGGTGTACTGTATACTGTATATTTTTCAGAATGAAAAATTGGACATCGAAAGGCAAATTTTTTTTTCATTCTTTGATACTTTTTACTCCAAAATTTATTTGTTTTTTCAAGGGTGTGTGGAATAATATTTCTGGGGTGGGGGAATGATATTTCTAACATATATACAAATTTGTGACAGTGAAAGATGTAATTCAATCCATTTAAAAACTGTTTAATGTTCCTGACAAATTCCATGGGAATGTATCCAGTCATATCAACAGCGTTCCTAAACAATTTAAGAGAATGTTCGTTAATATTTCTAGTAAGGATCCGTATCAAATTAAATTAGGGCGTACTACTAAGTTTAGCGAATGATCTATTGGATTCGTAACATTTGGTGGGGGGTCCAAAAATCGTATACTAGGACAGACCCGACAACTTTACCTGAGACAACCCCGAGGGGTCCCGAAATAACGACAGACGACCTTTGGATACTTCTCTCTTGAGGGTTGTTCTCTATATCCCCGGGAACTATAACGTCTATCTCTATTCTCAGACATGTTTCTAAAGAGAAGTCATAATAATCGATTTTTTCCTCAAATACAAAAGGCAGATTAAAATTTGCCCAGAAACTGATAGAAATTAACAGAAAAGGCCCAAGCAGTTTGTCAGAAGTCGACGATATTTTCCTTTTTTACACTAAATTGCCGGTTACGAACATCGTATCATTGTATTAACGGAAAACGGAAACTCAAAAAAGAAGGTTTTAAATTTTTACTTTCATAGAAAAAAAGTAGTTTTAATGTAAATCAAAAAATGTGTGAATCTACATTTCAAAAGCGCTGAAAGAACCGCGCATTTTGGTTACTAGCTTTGCTCGTTGCAAGAGTCAAGACCATTAATATGAAGAATGCCGCAAGATATTCTTGGCTCAGAGCTTTCCTGTCGTCTTTACATTTTCTTGGTAAAGGATTTTTTGGGGGCTGGGTCTGGAGTCCATACATGGGAGAGGAGTGGGTGGGAAAGCTTCACTTCATGATTCGAGTGAATGCCGCGCGGTCATTTAAAAGGTATGAGTAGGGGGTGATGAATTTTGTAGATATAAAAATAAACTGTTTCAGTGGGATGCCTGCGTAGAGACTAACAGCTGTTATAACAGCTTTTGATACGAGTGTGCGTTTTTATCATTTTTAGGGCTAAAATAGGTATTTTTTCACTTTTTAAGTTTAAAGTTATATTTCATCAACTTTTTTACAGAAAACAATTTTATCTTGATACTTTAGTGATGGATACGAATGTTATGAATTTGATATAGGTTAGGTTTGAATTTTTATCACATCTAGATACAAATGTTAGGGATTGATACGAATGTTAAGAATTTGATATAGGAATGAATTCATCAGTATAATCTCAAGTAACCCTCCATGTCCAATTTACAAATAAAGAATCCCCTAAGGGGAGGGAAGAATTAAAAAAAGAACAAGAAAAGAGAAACAAAAGCGAGGCAAGGAAAAAAAAAATATATTAAAAAAGAAAACACACAATATCACTACATTAACTCGGAGTCTGGGGAAGAAATTTTGAAAGATAGTTCTTTCCCTTTATTTCTGAATAGTGATATTATTACTTTCCCCAGTTTATCAAGGGAAGAAAAAAACAATTAATTCCCAAAAAAGTTTCCCACATTCCCTATGGTTAAGAGAAAACAGATATTTTAGAAGTTACCTAGATTTCCTTTATACTGAGAACTGCGTCTCATTTCCCAATTGTATTTTAAGTTCTAATGGAAGAGAATTCAAAGAATCATAAAGAACCTTTCGTGTAGCGCAGGCATTAAATGTTTGGACTTAAAGACAGCTTAGTGTCAAACAAGATTGTTTTCAATTTTTTTTTCAATAATGATTATTTTTATCTGCTAGTTTTGGCACACACAGAAAATTATGCAAAACCTTTTTGAGGAAAAGTATCATTTTTTCCCTTGAAATCAATATTTTGTTTTGCCCACATTTAAAAGGCTTTAATAATTTCAAAAAAATATCAGAGGGGACTTGGTTTTTGACCTTTTTTAAATAAAGTATCTAAATACAAGTTTGTTTTCGACAAAATAAAAAGAAAATTTTAAAGATAAATGTCTAGTGGAAAAAAACACTGCAAAACCGATATTTGTAGTTTTCAGATCTGGATTAATAATTTTAACATGACGGATACAGGATCCGGATGAACATCAAAATGAAATGGACCCTAACTCTCTAAGAACTGCAACTTAAATCAAAAAAATTACCTAAAGCATCCGTAGTTACATCCATTACAACAATTGCAGAACTTTATGAAGGTCACAATATCATTTGCTCGGACTTTCAACGGAGACTGAAAAACAACTATTAGGGGAAAATTCTTTTTAAAATGAATGCATCCAAGGGTGTATATTTGCTTGAGAAATCATCCCCCCACCACTTTTCAAGTAAATATTTTTACCCGCAGCAGCACAATATTTTGGGAGTGTTTTAATCGCTGAATTTAATAAATATTGAGCAAAAAGTATCAAAGCCACATTTTTAAGGGACCTCACATTAACCCAGGGAAGGTTTGTGGACGGTAATAGGACATAATTTTCTTTTTAAAAAGTAGATTTTTCAAATTCCACAAAAAATCTATCTAATAGCGACAATTTCAAGTTAGAATGGAAGATGGGCGCAAAGCCTGTTTTAATAATTTATTACCCAACGCATCAAAAATCAACTCCCGCCCCCTGAATTCTTGATAACAAATACCCCTGAAATTATTCAAAGATTATGGTTGTTGTTTTTAATTTATTTTTATCTGTTTTTTTGAGAACTTACTTTGTGAAAAGTTTCGGCAGCAAAGGGTTGAACAAGACAGTGCTGAGAGAGGGGAAGGAATCCTTTCTTATCCGGTAGCTGGAGACGTAACTTAGAAGGCTCATTAGGATTAATTGGATTAGAAGGCTCACCATGATCTATGTGATTGAAGTCTCTGTTGATTAAAAACTGAGTTTCCACAGGGAGTATTTCAGGTTCAAAGTCTTGTGTAGTTCTAGGAAATGCTTCTACTGGTTTCACTTCTAGATTCAGTCGAGATCGTTTCCTCGGTCTTTCTGCATCTTTATCACCATAAGCATCATCCTTTACAGCTATATTGTATTTGTACAACAATTCGAACATGCAGGAGGTGTCCTTTTTTAGATTAGAGAAGATTTCGTAAATCTTTCCGATTATTTTCTTCAAAGTGTTGTACTTTCCACGGATAGTGACGCCAACAACGATATTACCCTTGGTGGTTGAAGCCTCAGGAATGTGTATGTAAGCATCACCATACTAAATAAAAACTTTTTTAATTCATTGCAAAAAAATACCAAATTCATAAGTAATGATGTTTTTTTTTTATCTGTAGGTTTAAATTAATTTAGAAGTTTGAGCAAAAAAATAAAGTTGGAAAGAATCAAGCATAGGAGATTGAAGATGTAAAAGAAAAAAGAAAAATACTTTTGAACTCAACGTTTTGGTCATCTCTCCTTTCTTCCCAATTATACAGCCAATATTTTCTGAGGGAATTTCGAGGGTTTCAACACAGGATTCTTCATTGCGATCACGTCCTCCGTCCTCCACTCGATCTCCTTCTTCTTCTCGATCGTGTCTTGAATGTTTAAAAGGTGAATCTGGAGCTTCAAGCAAAATTTTCCTCTCAGAATTTTCAGAACTATAATACAGTGACTTATATAATTCTTATATTTTACAGATGAATTTATTTAAAGGAAGAATTTTTCTAAATGAATTCATCAGTATAATCTCAAGTAACCCTCCATGTCCAATTTACAAATAAAGAATGTTAATTAACGATTGAACGAATAAAAACCGAAAAATGTGTTTGTAAATTCACCTTGGTATTCCGCCGTCATGGAAAAATCTGCACTGCTCACTAAGAAAAATAATATAATAATATAATTGGTGTTGTTAATTTTTTTAAAAATCTAGTTTAACGTCCAAGATTTAAAAACTGTATTCTGCTCAAATCTATCTGCAGTACGTCTGATAATTCAGAAGTGCAGTACACAAAATACTACACCCTTGTTATTGTTATCCCTATATTAATCCCTTCTAGCTTTCTCCTACATGCAGTCAACTATAACTTGCTTAACCGTGTGTATGAAAGTATATAACTATAAGAGGAAGTGTCTGTGAAAATTATATAAAGAGGAAAAAATCAAAATTGTTAAATAGATTTTTTGGATGCAACCAATCAAATATCAATCATGAAACAAAAATTGGGGTCTGTCCTAGTGAACGATTTTTGGACCCCCGCAGCTCCCCGCCTATCAATTTTGAACATGACCAAATTAGAATTTATTAAGCATTATTTAGGGTTAGGTTAAGACACTTTCTGGGCCGAGCGCTGCGGCTAGGATGGGCTAGGGGGCCGAGCGCTGCGGCCACGGGTTAGGTTAAGTTGCGACACTTTCTGTAAGATCCATGTACAAAATTGATAGAAGGGGGGGGGAGGGGGCAAAATCATTCTCTAGGAAATAACCAACATCTTTACAATAAAAAAAGGTTTTATAAAAAACATTTAATGCAAAAAGAGACGACCTTATAAAAACCTCCTTTCCAAGTTTTTATGCAGATTTGGCTTGTGCACCCTTTGTTAAGTATAATTCCCATAACTTCTGGGTCCGTCCAAATAGAACGATTTTAGGACCCCCTTCCCATCAATTTTTTTCATTTATTTTTTGTTGTGTAGGCTTCGGTTAGGACAATTTCTGGGCCGAACACTGCTAGGATAGGCTAGGGGGCCGAGCGCTGCGGCTAGGCCACGCTAG